GCAAAACAAATCCTCCACCCACCAACATGACCCCCCCTCCACAACACGCTAACTTATACGGTAGCACTGCAGACCTTCGACGACCCTGCTGCAGATGTCCCCGACGTAGCATTACTACCTGCTAGGGTATAATAAACACGACGATCCCGCCTCTTTGCAAAACTACGGACTACTACCCCGTTTCTTGTCTGTCTCTCACCCCAAGACATCCTTATTTGCTCATTGTAAAACCTGCAGCGCATCATGAAGCAGTCTATTCTTCTCACTGCTCTCGCAGCTTCTGCTACGGCGGCAGACTGCCCCAACTACGAACAGTATGCTAGAGTTCGCCATACACCACTCTCCTCCGGCAAGTACAATCTTCCGTACCAGCGTCCTGCTCAAGAGTGCCGCTCCTATGTCGTCCCCGAGGTCGAGCGTACCATTAAGGACATGGAGAAGAAGATTCGCGACCCAGATCTGTACCGCCTCTTCCTTAACAATTGGCCCAACACCGTCGACACCACTGTCCTTTGGAGAGGCCATTCCGCCGACAATGCCGACGAAGAGGTAAGCTTATCCCCGGACACTAGCTCCATGAACCTACCCCAATTACTAACCAACTGAATAGCTTGCCTTTGTCGTCACTGGCGATATCAACGCCATGTGGCTCCGTGATAGCGCCAACCAACTCCAGTCTTACAAGCCTATTCTCAATGCTACAGTCGAACATGGCGAAAACGACATTGCCTCCCTCTACCGCGGCGTCATCAACCTTCATGCCCGCTACGTCAAGAAGTACCCCTACTGCAACTCCTTCCAGCCCCCTGCAGAGTCCAAGATTCCTCCTGTACACCACCGCAAGCGTTCGCTTCAGAAGCGAGGTGACACAGTCAACCCTCCTTACGATCCTAACGAGGTTTGGGAGTGCAAGTACGAGCTTGATTCGCTCGCCGCATTCCTTCAACTTTCGTGGGATTACTTTGAAGCTACGCAAGACGGTGCCTTCTTCGGAAAGTTTCACTGGAAGGAAGCTGTCAAGACGGTTCTAGACGTCGCCGATGGTATGATGCACGGCACGTACAAGGATGATGGCAGCATCAACCAGTCTCACTACACTTGGCTCCGTGATGCCAACAGTGCTACAGAAACGGTGTCTAACAACGGTGCCGGTAACCCCATCAAGGGCCATGTTGGCATGGTCCGCAGCTTCTTCCGACCCTCTGATGACTCTACAATTTACCAGTACTTCGTTCCTGCCAATATGATGTTTGCACGCAACTTGGAGACTTGCGCTACCATTATGAAGAAGATTGATGGGGACCTTGCCAAGCGCATGACGGATATGGCTGCTGGCATCCGCAGAGGAATTAACGCTCTAGCTAGAATCAACCACCCCAAGTATGGTGAAATCTACGCATACGAGGTTGATGGCCTCGGCTCAGTTAACTTTATGGTAAGACTTCAATTACGATACGCAGCACGAAAGCATGAAATAAAGGCGACTAACTGGCAAATAGGATGATGCCAACATACCATCTCTTCTGAGCATTCCCCATCTCGGATACGAGGGCAAGAATTCGGACATTTACAAGCGCACTCGCAACTATGTTCTCAGCCGATCCAACCCATACTACTGCTTTGGCCCAGTCATCAACGCTACTGGTGGTCCTCATCAGGGTCCTGGCCAAGCTTGGCCCATGGCTGTGATTATGCAAATTATGACTAGTGACGATGACGACGAAATTGTGCATGGAATCAAGCAGCTCCTCGGCTCTACCTCTGGACTCGGCCTGATCCACGAATCCGTCAACTCGCACGATGAAAACAAGTTCTCGCGCTCTTGGTTCGCTTGGGCTGCAGGTCTTGCCGGTCAGATGCTCCTGGATTTGGCTGACAGAAAGCCTGCCTTGCTCGAAAGAAGCTACCAAAACTAAAGTTGACGAATCTTCTTTTTAATTCCAACCAGTATATGATAACAGTTTATGTAAATGAATTTCGACTTAGTTTAGCAGACATCAATGAGATCTACAAATTTGACGATTGTCTGTTACATTTATGCAGTCCTAATATATAGCCATGAAGAAAAAAAGCACTTCTCTGAACACCCCCCTTTGCCAAGGCTTCTCTAAATCACGAGTAGAGCCAGGCATTCTAATAACAGTTACCAGTCCTATTCCTCAACTAAGATCAAATCCAGCACCCGACTGGATAGCGTACAACAGCTTCTCTCTCAACACTGTTTCTGTTGTGTACAAAGGCAGCTTGAGCAAATTCACACATGTGCTGGTACTGGGCAACCGGGTTTCGTCTCTAGAGGCGTCGCGGATGGAGAACTTCGGCCGAAGCTGCGAGAAGCCAAGTAGCGGCGCACGGGGCGTAGAACTCACATACTTGAGCAAATCGCGGCGCTGAGCGTCGGTGAAACCGCGAACAACCTTCCAGAATAACTCAATCGTTGGGTGCTCCTTATTATCATCTCCAATCTCGTATAAACCGCTATACACGGTGTTCTTGCGTAAATCTTCAATATCAATCTCCGATGAGTCTCCACCTACGAGGTGCTGGAGCTCAGACTGGTTGAACATGGACAGCCACGAAGGTCGAATGATGGCTCGAAGGCCCCGAAGGAAAGCAGCTGTTTGGGCAGCAGGCTGTACAACAAGGCGATGACGAGCCACGTAGGAGATATATAGCAACCTGTTGTCGTTTGTGACAGGGATCTGATCGCCGTTTGCAATCAACTTGCGTGTAATTGTCTTGACAGGCCGACTGGGATGAGATACTTGATCTGTCACTGTGAAGTCGAGTGACAACTCACCCACGTCGCCTGGGTAATTTTTGAGCCGCAACATGCCGTTGTATAGTTCCTCGTCCATGTCTACCAAGTCGTTGATGCTGCCCTTATAGCTGCTCTCGTCGGTCGAACCAGATGCTGTCCACTTGAGCAGAAAGAAGCCAGCGAATGCAAGATCAACCAGAATACCCTCGTACAAACACTTGCCGACAACACGGCCTAGGAATTCGTACATCTTCAGTTGCTCAAACAAAGCGTGTCTCCATTCCTCATCACGCTCCGTTTTGCCCATTTCCCTCATCTCGTCGCGGAGGACATCATTGACAGTTGGGTTTGGGTATAGCAAACCACTGGAGCTACTCGCAAACATGCTCAACTCCCCCTCTCGCCCACTAAAGGCTTCTGAGGTAACGCCCATCAAGAATTCCTTAGTCACACCTCCTCCATCAATGCCGGCCTCTGGAGCACCGAATTGATCAACGAATGTGATCTGTATAGGGTCTTTGAGAGAATCACCGATCTTGTAAAACTGTTTGTACGCATCTTCAAACAGATGACCTCGTCGAATTTGTCCTTGATGGTGTCGGGATAAGGACGTTGCTGTAAAGGGATTGTTGAGGCTTTCTCGGCGTGTAAAATCCAGCTCAATGAATTGACGAAATATCATCACTCTCGTTTCAAAAGGGACAACAAAGGGCATGTGTTTCAGGATCTCCAGCTTAGGTCCCATTTCTGCCAGCCGGCGAGCACGCTGGAGGCGTTGATGCTCAGACCGAATTCTTTCCAGCCTCACGTATCGAGAGTTTCTCCGCCCCGAGAATGTCATGCTCGTGGTGTCGTAATCTGTCATGGGTTCATCATCATCATCGTCTTGACCATCATCATCGGAATCTGCATTTTCCTCTTCTCGACTTCGGCGCACTTCTTCCGCCATTACGGCGCCCATGAAGTCCTCTTTCTCGAGCTTATCAGTCATTAGCCAATGACTAGTTGGCAAAAAGCGTTTTCTAGAGTCTCGTTCGTAAAGCATCTTCATAGCTGTTGTGATTATAGACCTCAAACTTGTCATATCTAATCGAGTTGGAGATGCAGTTGGTAATTGGTGGACAATGTCATGATGCGATGTTGCGGACGGTTCCATCAATGGGACGGCTGTAAAGGTGGCGGATTTATAAAACAAACTGAATGCCGCGTTCTTTAAGAATATGGTCAGATCTTTAATATCCTTAAGTGAGAGGCTGCATGACCTGATACGTGTAGTTGAGGAGTTTGTGTGTACAATCTTCGGGTAAATACCGCTAAAGAAGTCTTCATCATCACTGAGACGAAGGATGAAGATATAGAGTTCTAGGAAGAGGAGGATAATTCTCCATTCCTGCTCATCATTCCTGGCGAGAGTCGATTCCGATGACGGGTTTAAATAGCGCAGGAGTATTGACAAAGCGCTATCTGCGTCAGTGGTAATTTGGGAGAAAATGTTGGTTTGATCCATCATTTGCCATAGAAACCTGACCACTGGAATACTGCCACTCGGGCCTGAAATATCTTCCAAGAACAGTCGCATTCGGACGTCGTCAGCCTGGCTTGGAAAACATTGCAAAAGAGACAAAATATAACCAGCTAGAATAGAGGCCCCACGTATCGCTTCAGTCGATGTTCCTGCCAGGTTGGCGGCAAAATTTTGCAAAAGACCAGCGATATTTTCCGTTTGAATAAGTGACTTCAGCTGCTCCCGAATGTACAGCTCTCCAGCTTCAGTAGGTTGGGTATCAAGTCTGTCCCCAGCACTGCTTTCTGGGATTTGAATTGCAAAATGAAGACTGATTTCCTTGGCCAAGGCCGTTATTTGCGTAAAGACAGCTTCCAGCAGGGTGGGGTTCTTCTGCGAGTTCGAGTTTGCTCCAGTCATATTAATGAAATGAGACAGAAGCCAAATCAAGTCATCCTTTGAACGACTCATAATAGCAGTATGGGAATACATCTCGATTATGGTATCCGAAAGAACATTGGCATCGATTCTGGAAGCATATTCAGCGATGTTGTTTTCGAAGAGAGTAGTTTCGGACCGTGTAAGAAACGACGATATAAACTCCATGTAAAACCCGCCAGCTGTAGCTAATGTTAGCAGCGTTGATGACGAAGGCCTTTTGTTATATGTAACTTACCATCTGATGATGGCGTCTCCAATGGCAGGCAGATTCCATTCACTAGCAGAGGTCCCCAATCGGCTAAGTCCGACTTTTGACAAGCCTTGGAGAGTACATCGAAATACGCTTGTGAATTTTCGACGAGGGCGACAGGATATTGTTGAGCCAAACGTGTGGCTAGAACTAACAATGCTTGATACTCATCTGAAATGGGACTATTCAAGTTAATACGATATGATATCGTCTGAATTAGGATGAACATCTTACCCAGATGCGGCTATTGCTGTTCTAAGAGCACCTATTACGACTCTAAACAGTCTGCTGAGACGTGATACGTGTGCTGGGGGTAATGGCAGATCGCCATCCATTGACACAACGTCCGTAGCATATTGAACAAGACGGCGAATGTCGTCCTCTGTTGGTTTCGATGAGGCAAACGCCAAGACTAATGTGAACGCTGAAAGCACCCTTGGAGAGATTTCGCTCTGCTGAGGGTTGGTGTAAATATGATCGAAAGCGATGCGGCGCTGGTTAGCTGTCACAGTTCGTTCTTTGTGACCCCGCCATGTTTTCTGTATTTTAACGGCTGCTTTTTGTTTCTGCCTTTCAAGGTGCCGTCTCTCTCGATCCGCCTGGGCGTTGGAAACCGTCTTTGTAGCGTTAGAGGCAGCGGAGGGGCTCCATGATGTGTTTGCAAATGGGTTCCCGGCGCCGCCGCTCAAGTTGACGTTTCTTGGCCGGCGAGAGTTGCCAGTGAACGTCGAGAACATGGCCGCAAACAATCCAGAGGCCAACTATGTATTAGGTGAGCCGAGACGCACATATGTGCAAAGTTGGCATACTAGGGGATTAACAGCACGCGCAGGAAATGCGTGGGTGGGAAAACTGTTGCTGTAAAGGTGACATGCGCTTTCTAGAAGATTCAGGCATCGGTGCACAGAGGCAAAGATGACGATAGCTTGCTGGATTCGGAGCTGTCAGGTGTGGCTTACGCTATCAGAGCTAGCTGTGGCGCACCACTGGTTCACTGGTGCGCGGTGTCGGCGACAGCCCAGGTTAAGCTCAAGCTCTCTTTTGGCGGGGCACGAGGCCAATCGGCCATCGAGACTCAGTTGCTGCGCACAGACCAAGCTTCGATCCAGGCGAATCTACAGGCTGGCGGCACTAAAAAAGACGTTGGCACAGAGGAAGCGGTGCCGTGGCGACGATGAGGTTGGGAGCGAAGTGGCGAGGAAGAGAACAAAATGGGATTTGAGGCGTGGAACATGCATGGAAAATACCTAGGAATAGCGCTGAGGCCGTTGCATGGCGTTGTCTTATCTTGGTTTACAGTGCTAGATTGATCGCCTAAGATCGGGGCACACACCACTGTGAGCCTCTGTGACAACAGCCCGATGGCACCACAAAACGAAGCAATTTCTGCAAGGCGCATGGTTTCACAGAGGGAACTGTTTCAAATGATACGCCGTTCCCTTTTAATATATCTAGTATGTATTACATATACTGCTATGCTCACATATTTGACACTTTTGTTTGGTCTCGCATCGGAATACTAGCCCTATTCAGAGCTTCCTCTTCCTCTAAGCGGCTGTAGCGGGGGGACTTCCCTGCTGTAGGGAACGTGGGCTCTGGGTGGCAGTGCTCGCGCCCCGCGGAGCTGAGTCGCCCGCCGTTTTGGTCAAGCTAAAAGAAAGCCACGACTCACGGCCCTCGTGCGCAAAGAATTTTTGAAGGAAAAAATACGTCCCATTTCTACAGAGGTACAGACATCACCTCTTTAACAACGCCAATTGTCGCCATAGACGATCTCAAACTATTCAACTCAACTTGTCGGCATACACACTGCCAACCTGCGACTGGCTCTTCTCGCCATGGCGTGCTTCCTGGTGTCACCATGTGGTCCGAATTGAATCCTGAGCTCTTGCTGCAAATAGCCGAATGCCTACAAAATGATAGCGATATATATGCTTTTTCCAGAACCAACAGGAGCTTCTTTAGCAGTCTCAGACATTTTCTGTATCAACACAACGCACGGTATTCAGCTTCGTCCGCCTTGCTCTGGGCTGCAAAACATGGTCAGCTGGATACTGCAAAGGCATCTCTAGATGCCGGAGGTGATTTAGAGACTCGAAATCAAGACTCCGATTCCCCACTCTTGATTGCTGTCCAGAGTAACCAGATTGACATTGTTCGTCTCTTTCTAGAAACGGGTGGTGTCAATGCCGATGTCAAGAATGTTTTTGGACAAACTCCGCTGATTCGTGCAGCTGCCGCTGGAAATAGGACCATGACACAGTTGCTAATACAATCTGGCAAGGTGGATGTCAATATACAGGATGTCGAAGGCTATTCTGCCCTAGCCTTTGTATCTCTTTTTGGAGATGATGGTATCGCCGATATTCTTGTTGAGCACCAGCAGACTGCCGTTGATGTTCTTGGCCCTTCGATGCGTACTCCCCTGTCTATTGCTTGCGAACGTGGACAGATAGGCGTCGTCTCTAATATTCTATCCTCAAAGAGAGCTGATTTAAACGCCCGAGATGCCGATAATCGAACGCCATTGATGGATGCAGCCGAGTTTGGAAGTTACGATATTGTCAGTCTGCTGCTGAGTATAGACGAGATCCGCACCGATTTAGAAGACGACGAGAATGAGACAGCCTTTTGGAAAGCTTGCAGAGCTGGACATATGGATGTCGCCAACTTGTTTATGGATTCACCCAAATTTGACCCAGATGCAGCCGATACTAATGGTATGACCACACTGGCATTGGCAGCAGCTGCTGGTGACGATGCCATGGTTAACATCCTGATATCCTCAAGCCGGGTGAATCCTAATTCGAGAAATTACTGCGGTCAAACTCCTCTTATGGCAGCTATTCAGTCAAGGCGTCTCGAGACCGTCAAACTTCTCGTTGAATCTCAGCGAGTTTCTCTCGACCTTCAAGGAGATGGTGGCGAGACAGCGTTTCTGCTGGCCTGTCATGAAGGGGTTGTTGATGTCGCCGAATATTTATTACAACTGGATGGAACAGGCTGTAGGCGAAAGCTCAGGAATGGTGCAGGTGCTCTAAGTCTTGCTGCAGCTAGCGGCTGCGTCGAACTTGTACAGCTTATGTTATCCCTCGGTGTAACAGTGGATGAACGCGATGATGAGGGAATGACAGCGCTTAGCAGAGCTGCAGCAAATGGCCACCTAGATTCGGTGAGGGCGCTGTTAATTACTGGTGGCGCCGATCCGAATGCAATGAATGCTGCGGGGCGCAGTCCATTGATGCTCTCTGCTCAAAACGGCAAAGTTGAAGTCGTCAAGTTTTTGCTGTCGCTTCCACAAGTTGAAGAAAGGGCTTTTGGTCCTGGGGCGCGGACTGCTATGCATTTTGCTTCTGAGCATGCTGGTGAATGCGGAACTGTGTGTATGAAGCAAGTTGAAATATTGAAATTGTTAGCCGGAGCCGGCCTCCCGTTTGATATCAGAGATGCTACGGGCCGAACTCCTCTCCACTGGGCAGCATTTCGAGGATGTATTGATACCGTTGTCTATCTTGTGTACAAGCCAGGCACGGTGGATGTAGAGGATCATAATGGACGCACACCATTGTTTTACGCCTCTATGCAAGGAAATACCTACATAACATCCATGTTGGCTAGACATTCGTCCTATGGAACAAAGAGAGATATATTTGGCAACATGCCAGTGTTTGTGGCGTTGCGCAACGGGCATGAACAAGCACTTGAGGAGCTCTTCAAAGTTGACCCAAGCCTCGTCTTTTCAACAGACAAAGACGGGCGATCTTTGCACTACTGGGCGGCACGAGAAAAGAATAGCAGGCTGATGGAGATGATCCAGAATCGAGCTCAACGAGCAACAGGCACGAGGCTGCGTGATGCCGCTTTACAACATCCACCGCAGGTCCAGAGCGGATCACCACCAGCTAGCCCTGAGCCCTGTATGGCTGGCTGCTGCTGGTGTTACATATGCTGCCGAGGAATCAACCACGAATTGAGAAATTATAGCTGTGAAAGTTGCGATGGTGGTGGATTCACAATATGCGCACAGTGCCACACTGCTGGAGCGGGATGCCGAGATAATGGACATTCAACCAGGGATCACCAATGTTTGCCTTGAACAAAATTCACGAACGAACACCTGGAGTGAATCACAAGAGTGGGTGACCAAAGCGGGCTCAGGCAACCGGATGACTGCGGGCGAAGACCGCCTCTTTACCGACCAACAAGGTCCTTTGACGTGTTTGAGCATCTTGACCGCCTTGGTGTGCTTGCATAAAGCGCTGCGCCCGGATGCAGGAATGCCCTTGCTGAGGGCAATTGAATTTGTATTTTGTATTATTAGCATAAAGGTATCATGTTAACCTGGGCCTTGGGAGTTTGAGGTTTGCTTCGTGTTAACGGGCATATGAGAAAATGAACACTTTCTACATATTACATCTACAAAGCACAGAGTCTCAGTGAGATAACGTCACTGTATGAGAAACACAGCTCGGCAAAGGAAAAATAAATGGAGAGCCGTGTGCACTGTGTTAGGCGGGCTGGGCTGTAAAATGATCGCCCTAGCAGCGCCCGCCGTGTAAATGAGGTTGGAAGCTCAAAGAATTCTGCCCTAATTTTGTGGCATTTACTGTTTTGTGAGCGGGCGCGTGTGGTGGTGCTTCCATACCGCCGGGTACATGGCACACGTAGCGGAGATTGCCTAGCGGATAAGTATACTGTCTTTTTATTACGGAGCACTGTGTAATTTGGCACGGCCCAGGGCGGTGTACAGGCCCTGTCCATTTTTTGGGGGAGCCACACACCAAAATGGCGCTACTTTGCAGCGGGCGCGTCCACTAAAAGCTTCTAAAAAAGCAAGGGAGGGTTGGCTTGCACCAGAAGGGAAAGAGGACACTCCACCCCGGCTTCTTCAGTCGCCTGGGTGGCACTGTACCTGCGAAGACCGCCGCGAGAAAAAAAAAAAACCAAATTCTGCTGCCAATTTTCCTTCGTTCGCCTCTTCCCTTCCCTTCTTTCTCCTCCACACACGTCCTCAACTTATCAACCAAAACCCCCAACCCTTTCAAAAGAGTCTATTCAGAGGTCCAGTCTAACAACTGCCTTTGTTCTTGCTCTTTTCTTCAAAGAAAACCATAAAAAAAATTGAAAACTCATAAAAACCCCCCCGCCACCCCGATCCGTCCTCGAGTCTTCGTCTTCGCGCGACTACATCTTTGACTATCCTAAATTTCTTTGAGCAAAGCATCATCTCCCTGCTTCTCAAAGTCTTTTTTGATTCAATACAGCCAGCCTCATTTATCTTGTTGCCGGCTTTGATTCATTTACCTGTCGCAAGCAAACTATCATGTAGGTCCTCACGCGCCACGCTTGCCAAAGCCCGCTCGCAATACTAATTCGTCATTCTCTGCAGCTTGTTGATCAATCATCTCCACCGATCTCAAAATGGCTGCTAGCACTACCTCCGGCGCTGTCGACCAGCTCGCCAACGACCTCAACAACACCTCCATCGACGCCAAGGCCCCTGCCATCGACACCAACGTCGCTGGTGCCGCCGACGATGCCAACCCTACCCCCAACTCGGCTGCTCCCCACCCCCAGAACTCCGCTTCTCTCTACGTTGGTGAGCTTGACTTCTCCGTCACTGAGGCTATGCTCTTCGAGCTCTTCTCTCAGATCGGTGCCGTTGCTTCCATCCGTGTCTGCCGTGACGCTGTCACTCGCCGCTCGCTTGGTTACGCCTACGTCAACTACAACTCCACCGCCGACGGTGAGAAGGCTCTTGAGGAGCTCAACTACACCCTCATCAAAGGCCGCCCCTGCCGCATCATGTGGTCTCAACGTGACCCTGCTCTCCGCAAGACCGGCCAGGGCAACGTTTTCATCAAGAACCTTGATGTCGCTATTGACAACAAGGCTCTTCACGATACCTTTGCTGCCTTTGGCAACATTCTGAGCTGCAAGGTCGCTCAGGATGAGAACGGTAACTCCAAGGGTTACGGTTTCGTTCACTACGAGACTGATGAGGCTGCCAGCCAGGCCATCAAGCACGTTAACGGCATGCTTCTCAACGAGAAGAAGGTTTACGTTGGCCACCACATCCCCAAGAAGGACCGCCAGAGCAAGTTCGAGGAGATGAAGGCTAACTTCACCAACGTCTACGTCAAGAACATCAACACTGAGGCTACTGATGACCAGTTCCGTGAGCTCTTCGAGAAGTTCGGTGATGTCACCTCTTCCTCTCTCGCTCGCGACCAGGAGGGCAAGAGCCGTGGTTTCGGTTTTGTTAACTTCACCACTCACGAGGCTGCTGCCCAGGCTGTCGAGGAGCTTAACGCCAAGGACTTCCTCGGCCAGGACCTCTACGTTGGCCGTGCTCAGAAGAAGCACGAGCGTGAGGAGGAGCTCCGCAAGTCTTACGAGGCTGCTCGCCTTGAGAAGGCCAACAAGTACCAGGGTGTCAACCTCTACATCAAGAACCTCGATGACGACGTCGATGATGAGAAGCTCCGCAACATGTTCGCCGAGTTCGGTCCCATTACCTCCGCCAAGGTTATGCGTGACTCTCTGACCGACTCTGATGATGAGACCAAGGACAAGGAGAACGCCGAGGGGGAGAACGCCGAAGAGCCCAAGGAGGCTACTGAGGAGCCCGCTGCTGAGGAGCCCGCCGCCGAGGAAACCGAGGAGGGTGAGGATGGTGACAAGAAGGACAAGAAGTCCAAGAAGCTTGGTAAGAGCAAGGGCTTCGGCTTCGTTTGCTTCAGCAACCCCGATGACGCCACCAAGGCCGTCGCCGAGATGAACCAGCGCATGATCAACGGCAAGCCCCTCTACGTTGCCCTCGCTCAGCGCAAGGATGTCCGCAAGAACCAGCTTGAGGCCAGCATTCAGGCCCGCAACCAGATGCGCATGCAGCAGGCTGCCGCCGCCGCTGGTATGCCCCAGCAGTTCATGCAGGCTCCCGTCTTCTACGCTGGCCAGCAGCCCGGCTTCATGCCCCAGGGCGGCCGCGGCATGCCTTTCCCCCAGCCCGGTATGGGTATGCCCCAGGGTGGTCGCCCCGGCCAGTTCCCTGGCTACCCTCAGCAGGGCGGCCGTGGCGGTCCTCAGCAGATGCCTCCCAACATGTACAACATGCCCGGCCAGTTCCCTCCTCAGTTTGGCCAGCCTGGCACTCCTCAGTTCATGGCTGCTATGCAGCAGCAGGGTAACATGGCTGGTGGCCGTGGTGGTCCTCAGGGCGGCCGTGGCAACAACGGCATGCCCCCCAACGCCCCTGCTCAGGGCTTCCCCCCCAACAACCGCCAGGGTGGAATGGGCCGTGGTAACGGAAACCGCAACGGCAACTTCCCCAACCAGGGCGGCCGTGCTGAGGGCAGCAACGCTGCTGCCATCCAGGCCCAGATTGCTGGTGCCCAGCCCGCCCAGCAGAAGCAGATTCTTGGTGAAATGATCTTCCCCAAGATTCAGGCCATCAACGGTGAGCTTGCCGGTAAGATCACCGGTATGCTTCTCGAGATGGACAACTCCGAGCTCATCAACCTGTAAGTTACCATCACTACTCATCTTAACGTGATACATTTGCTGACTGTTTCTTTAGCATTGAGGACGATGCTGCCCTCAAGGCCAAGGTCGACGAGGCTCTCGCCGTTTACGACGAGTACGTCAAGACCCAGGGTGGTGAGGAAGAGGAGAAGAAGGAGACTGCTGAGGAGACCAAGGCTTAAATGCTGGTCATGCCTACGGTTCAGCAGTATGGATAAAAGTATTTCTTTTGTTTTTTTTAATCTTGCACATATTTTAATTGCCTCGGTGGAAATTGGTTCCTTAGGGGTATTGGTAGGCTTTGCTATATTCGTTGTTTTACGGTAGGATTCCCAGAGAAGTGTTTGAACTTGCGCCTACCAAAGAGGCAAACCGAGTTGGAGGAGAGCAGGGCCCTCGTGGCTGACTAGTGGGTATTGAGGCGGAGTTGTCTCCCCATAGTTGACGTTAGTGAAAAGTTAGCAAGTAGAATTCAATGTGGCTTGTTCTTTAATTAAGAACTCTGCTGCCTTTGACTTTACGTTGTTTTGCACCGGTTCAAAGTGAATGTTAATAGCGTCGAAACCGGGAGTTTGGTCTCGTGTATTAAAACGTGTTATTCAATCTATGTAAATTATTTGTAGATGGTGGAACCCATGCTGTCCAAAACGCCAATGCTGATGAAAAAGAGACATATTTGAAATAGACAACCGCATGGAGGTTACGGGCTATCAATGCGTACAGGCTCCCCTTCTTCAATCAATAGCTTTGCGGAAGGAACGCTTGCAAATAGCGTTTCCATAACCTTTCCTTTTTGCTTGCTTCGTAGGTCAGTGAGATACTCACTGACAGAGCTAAGGCCGTATATTTGGTCATCTAGTGTAAGCTGTGTAGCATTGGAGCCGCGGACGAGTGGCGACACAAGCTTGCCACGAAGTGATTCCAGTGATGCACGCAGGACTAAAAGCTTGGACTGGTGTGTGACAAGGGTGTGCTTATTTCGGACAGTCTTGTCACGGACGTTGTGTAGCAGTCTTCGGTTTTGTTCAAACTTGCGTAGCTCCTCAGCGCGAGCACCAAGAATACGAACCCAGAGGCCGGAGAGCATATCTGCATGAAGCTCTTCTTGTGTCGAGGTTTCGCGGACGACGGTGCGGGCGAGATTTAGGAAGTGGCGGTCGACAGCCTCGAAGAGAGCAAAGAGCGTTACGCTGTGCTGGAGCTCTGCTTGGATGCTATCTTCGAGGACGGTGAGAAACTCGGTGAATAAAAGTTGCACGAGCCGTTGTTCGCGCTGGGGCTGGCTCATGCCGAATATATAAGTGGCCATGTTGCCAATGGCTGTGGTCTCGCCCGCTGAATTTTCAAAGATGTGCGCGGATGAAAGAAGACCGTGGAGTTTATCGTATGTTGATGATATTGTTGATGGTGTGCTTGTGCTCTGAAATCGTTTCAGATGCATCTTGACCCAATCCATGACATTAAGGATTCTGTGTTGGATTAGTGCTTTGAACGACGTTTCTACCTTGCCAGAGGAGGGAATGCTTACCCATCTATATCGCCGTCAACTCTTGAGAAGAATTTTGTCATCTCTATGGACAGTGTTTTCATAGTGTCGCTCAGTGCGTCTAGGTCAGATACGATGCTGGCCGCATCGCGCATGTCGCTGGACCGCACGCTTTCGCTGAGATCCCACACAGCAACGCTTGTTGCTTGCAGCTCATGTACTTGCAGTACAGCGCTCTCTGAGTAATAAATAAGCGGTTCAAAGGATCTAGCCACACCGGCTACCTTAACAAGGTCTCCAGCTGGACGGCGAGACGCAGGCTCTAGAAGTAAACGAACCATGCCAATTGCTGCGAGGCCAACGATAATAGAACAAAAGGTCGAAGACCAGGTTGCTGTGGCTGAGCGATAATATTGTTGCAGTTGCTTGTAGAGAGCCACTATAGGCTCAACTCCATTTTGAAGCTCGGCGTGCATGTCAAATCGAACATCTAGATCCGGGTTAGACCAAGGAAGGAGGGTGCGCGAGGATGACTTGGCGGCTTACAACTATTGAGCGGCAACGTCTTTACTTCGGTAATGGTGTCTGGCATATGAACTCGTAATGTTTTCTCATCCGCCGGCTGAGGACTTGGACTTCTACCTTTGGCTGGGCTCTGACTGCCACGAGGCAACCTTGTGCGAATGGCGCGGTCCAGGACTTCACTTTCTTCATCCTCGTAGTCGGATTCGGGAGCACCAAGCAGAGGCGGCATGGCGGCAAGCAAATCATCGTGGGGACCCCTCCAGAAGCCGCTGCTGCGGTCTCCGTTGTCGAGTCTTCTCCATGCGGGCGGACTGTAGCCACCAGCGACGGAAGCGATTTCCGAATCCTCCTCGTCTTCGTACGGATCGTGATCCGTCGCTGGTTCGCTGCTCGGGAGCGTCGAGCAGCGCCTTGAAAGTAGGTTTGGGCTGATCGGGTCCCCAAAGTTCCTTAAGGAAGCGTCCATGCCGTCGGACGGCTCCGACATTGACTTCATCATCTTTGTTATCGTAGCTGGCTCTGCCGTTGCGCGACGACAGCAGCGAAAAGTCACGCAAGACTAACTGTTTAGGAGACCGCGAGAGTTCTCTATACTTGGAAGATGAGAAGCGATGCTGCTTCTCGGCCGAACGGCCCTGCGGGCTATAGATGTGCTGCGGCTGCGGCTGCTGTTGTTGGCGGAGCGGTAAAGAGGGCAGGGACAGGCGCTGCGGGAGGCGAAGTACCGGCGTCCACGGAATATAGAGGGCCACGAAGCAGAAGAAGACGATGACACAGGCGACAAAGGTGCCTGGCGTGACGGTGATGCTGATGAGAGAGACGTTTGTGGTAAAAGTGAGAAGCGAGCTCATGGCCATAGGGAGGATTCACGGCTGAAAGATGCTGGCTTACAGACTGGTCGCCACTTGACTGGAAGCGATTGGTCTTGGGCCCGTGCGGAGAATGGTAAGGCACGAGGGGAAAAGGAGGGGAACGATACGCAGAGAGAAGGGGGGATGGTCTGTTTTGAAGCGGCCGCCTTGTGGTGTTGACGTTGTGGTTCATTGGGTGTCGAGGCACCGTTTCTGTTCGGGATGTGAGGGGCACGCAGCCGGTGCAGCTGGCGAGGAGCAGTGCCGGGCAGTTGGCGCAGGTGGCAGCGCCGGAATAGGAAAGGCACGAAAAAAAAGAATAAGACGGAAAAGAAACGATGAGCATAGCCGAATGACTAGCCGTTTGTTTTTTTCTCTGTGTTTTTGTGTATGGTCAACGCGAGGCCAGTCGTCGCGGCCTAGTCATTGTCACCGTGGCGCTGCGTATAGCACGTCTTTGGAAATAGAGAGGTTGGGTGTCGGCTTACACGCCAGCCAATCACAACGGGCCACCACCCTCCACCACTGGGGCGTCCTGGGCCAGTGTTTCAGCGGCCCCTTTAGCGGCCCTTTAGTGGCCTCTCCACTGGAAGGATGCGCTGTGTGGCGAGCAGTCAACTCGACGAAGAGCCCTGAGACATTCCCAGACCAGGGACACGCCATTCCGCTCCATTTGCTTTTTTACATGTGGAAACGAATAAATGCTCTTGTAAAATTCCCAGTTTTTGCCATCGCCGTTTACGGACATGTAGTCTTGTAATGCATCGCTAAATATAGTAAATGACGGACGCTGTATGCTACTGTAGGCCGCAGAAAAGGCCGTCGTCGACACCTGCAACACATCGATCGTGCAGGACATGATCAAGGTTGTTTCCAGATTTGTTCCATTCATGTGAGATGTAACCTTTCTCCCTGGAGTTACTTGAAAAGGAAGAGAATCCCTCCTCGATGCATTCGTGTTATGTATTGTCTGATGGATCAGAGACCAAATCGACTTACACGGCGGCGACATAGATCACAAGGTCGTTGAAAAACACAGAAGTTGTTGGATAGTTGTGGTGATGACCATTATGTATTTGCTAAACAGAAGTAGCGCCAATTAAAATTTATAAATACAGAGCATTTAGTGTCGCTTCACGTTATCCTAACAAAGAGGTAGTGATTTACAGGGACGGCAAGGACAAGGCCAGCGCTGACACCAGCCTGGAGGGCAGCACCAGCAGTGACAATGCCAGACTGTGTAGGCTTGTTGCAGTTTCCTGGGCAAACAGTCTTCGTAGCATTGTTGGGCACAATAGAAGAGGAGACGCGACCAGCAGAAGTAGGAGCAGCAGTGGTGGTAGCAGCAGTTAGAGCAACAGAGGAGCTGGGCTTGCCAGTGTTGGCAGGCTTGCTGATGGAGGCGGTAGAAGATCCGCTAATAATGCTATATTGATACCCTTTAGCCACTACTTCCAGAGGGTTGGAAAAATGAAAAGTTTACTTACGGGCCATTGTAGTGGTTGCAGTCGTAAAAGGTCACCTCGGAGAGCATAGTGATGTCGGCATCGCCCTTCTGGTTGTCCTTGTTGCAGACGTACCGCTTGTTCTGCGTTCCAACCTCGTCACGCACACCAACCTCAAAGGCGTGAAGGATGTCAAAGCGCTTTTCATCGCAGCCAGTGGCAGCGTTGTTCATGCAAGCCTTAATCTTGGACCAGCTGTCAGAGGGGATGTGTCCGAGGCAGTCGTCGAACTCGGCGTCTCCAAAGGTACCAGGGCAAGCCATCTCAAGAGGGTGAAGGCAGTCAAAGCAAGACTGGGAAAGAGAATTGGCAAGACAGACGCGAGCGTCCGAGCCACCTTCGCGGCACCACAGAAGGTACTCCTTGTCAGCGGCCATGGCGCCAGAGGCAAGGGTGGCAAGGGCAAGAGTAGTGAAGTGGCATCTTGGTAATTAGGTAAAGTGAAACCAGTGATTGGAAGGTAAGAGTACAAATAAAGGTATCAAAGAAAGAGGTGATAAGCGAATGTGTTGGAGAAGTGTCCGTTGGAAGGCAAATGGGCGGAAAAGTGAACGACTTATATATCCCATCACACTCGGCAGTGCACGTCCGCACGTCGTTCATTTCCTCGTATATCATCATGTAAACTCAATCTTATCAATTTATACAAAGGTCCCATAAATCATAAGGTGTAATCCTTCTTCACGCCCTCTGGGACCAATGTCACTTCTACGCGCTTGCCCATCTCGTACACCTCCAAACGACGCATTACTCTTGGGGAAGCGGCCGGCATTACCGAAGCGAAGCAATGGTTTGCCGAGGAATTGTTACTGTATATTTCCGGATATAAGCTTGTAAAATAGACGTTACGATCTACCGAAGAAATTCGTTGAGGCGATGAGGGTGGTGTGGTATTGGCCTTTTCGAGTATCTCGTACAAGCAGCGCTGCCTGATCTATATATACCAAAACGAAATAAGCGCGCTGTGCTGCACCTAGGAAGGCACAAATTGGATTAAATTCCTTGGGGAACAGAGTTTATTGGTATTTATTTCCGAGAATTACCTCCGTCGTGAAGGGAGAATTACAGAGAGCTCGCACAGTATTGGGCATGATTTGATGGCGGAATACTGGCATGACGAAGAAGAGGCCGGCAAAGGTCTTGTCTGTAATGAGTTGGTCTAGATTTCTAACGGGCCTGACTATTTGATCTCTAAAATGAGCTCGCTGCCCAATTAGGCAACTCTTATAGATGTTGATGCGAGTCAACAGTTTTCAAGAGGACCGTGTTCCACTAAACAAAAGTACCCAACGTTCTGGTGATTGACAGGCAAGGGTATGCTGTAACTAGGGCGTTCTAATACGGTCCTTCTCTCTTTTACATCATAAGCAAGGGGAGAATTGTGAAAAAGCTCGGTGGTTCACGTTGCAAGTACCAGACGAATTCGAAAGCAGCACATGTGAGGCATCGTTAAACGGTCTAAGTGAGAGGAAAAAAGTATCTTTCATTACATTCTGCTCTACCTATAGTCAGAAAAAAGGAGACCGGGTAAAAATGCTACGCCATACAAGCACAGTCTGACCAAATGGCTCAGCAGGCTCGCTTGACGCTTCCCAAGACAACGCTCATCGCCACAAAATAAACAGAATAACAATACTACAAGGGTATTCAGAAGGCTCTTCTTCAATACAAATCACCAAGAGACACCCGCAAATACAATGTAACCAAAGTATTCGATTTGCCGCGGTTCATCGACGACCGCGTCGCCGAGTCGCTCCTCCTCGCATAGCGCGCAATCTCTAATCGATCTTGGCATTTGCGAGACTACGCGCCGTCGGGTTGGACAAATTATTGACTTGGTGGATATCTGCGCGCTTGTATTTGCTCGCTTTGCGCAGCTTCTTTCGCGCCACCATGACCGGCACAGAGCTCTTGGTAACCAGGTAGTTGGAGAAGGAGCCGAGGATGACGCTAACATCAGGTTAGTGTTTAGTTTACGAATCATAAGAAGCTAAATTATACATACCCCTTTAGAGCACTGCGACCGCGGCTACCAATGACAACAAGGGTAGGGCTGATGAGATCAATTACCTCGGTAATCAAATGGCGAGGGTTCTTGCAGTGCAACACTTCAACAATGACTCGAACTTGAAGTTTTGTTTTGCGCAACAAACGAAGGACTCTGGTAGTCATATCCTGAATGGCGTGGTGTCTCTCTGCAGCGGCCTTATTGCCATCACCACGCATCGATGGCGAAGGTGAGGTTCCTGGCGTGCCACCAGATCCAGCACGCAAATGCTTGCGTTGAAAGTCAGTGACTGGGCTAATAGGTGCAGGTGTTGTTTTTGAGTTGGCAACCGTGTTGATTGCTGCAGCCTGCTCCCTCATCGCCTTGGGATCGTCGGGCACATGGTTGTTGTCAGTCACAATGCCAGTCTCCTCATCGACACAGTAGATAGCAATCAAAGTATCACCGTCACGCAGGACTGTTCCAATAGCCCATTCGAGCGCATGTGTTGACTCATCACTCAGGTCAGTCGCTACCAAGTACTTGCGTGGCCGTTGATGCTCCTCCTCCGCCGCCTGTGCAATCTTGTGATACTCTCCGCGATAAATGATACGAATGGAGCGGTGTGCCTCTGAGTTATCAAGGATATTTGTCATGGTAAACGAAAGCTTCTGGGCGCGCATAATGTCGTCCATGTCGGCTTCCTCGTCGGAGTCAATAAGTGACGGGTTGGCGGAGAGGGTATATTGGTCGTAGCTGGTATTGGGGTGAATGCCTGATCTTGTTGGCTTGAGGAGATCACCAGAGCTGTTTGTAATTTTGATTTCAGGTTCAAGCAATGAGCGATACTGATAACTCTGTTGTTGAGCAATTTTCGATCCTATAGTAGACGTTAGCAGTGTTACTCTCAAGATTCGGCCAGGCAAAATCTTACGTTCTTCATCTGCGGCTGCAAGAAGACTCAAAGTTTGCCTTGTGGTAGTGTTTGAACCGGAAGCCTCGTCTTTATCTCCAGTCGCGTCTGGATTCAGAGTTCGGGGTGCCTTCTTACGGCCACGATCCTCATCATCCGACGAGAAGGCATCCTCTTCGTCGCTAGACTCCAAGTGCTCTCCATCTGGACCCAGGTAGTCTTTAACTAATCTTGCACTTCCGCCTTCCTCGGCCTTCTTGCGTGACGGAAGCTGGGACAGACTGCCAGATGAAAATGCCAAGTTTGCATCCGACAAGCGGCGGTAAGCGCTGCTAATATCCACAACTTGACCATCATCCAGCATCGCCTTGTTAGGCCCAAGCCCGAGTTGCTGAGCTCCAAATGTAGCTGGTGATCTAGATCTACTGTTCCACCGGCCAGAAGGAGACTTTGACTGGTTGCCCAGGCGGCTGCCGTAGGACGACTTCCTACCACGATCACCAGGTAACTGTAGGTTGCTGAAATCTCCACTTCGAAGGGCCTCCGCAAGCGAGGAGGTAGCTGACGAACGTTTGACTGGTTGGGGTCTCTTGTTGACGTTTTGTGAACTTGATGAATGTGGCAAAATGCCTGAGAATTGATATCCAGAAACCACATCTGGGCCTTGCGATCGGCGAGGGCCAAAGTCTACAGGCCTGTACGCCGCGTCGGATTTGCTTCGAGGATGAAGCTGGGAGGTAGAAGCCGATGGGCCTTTGTAGAGCATGCTGTTGGAGAGAGTTGGAGAGGCAGGCTGCGACTTGCGGCCTTGGGAGCTGGAGCGTGCGTTGGACGGTCCTCCAACGTCGAGCATACTTCGAAGGTTCGAAAGCGGCGCAGGTTCAGGGGCGCTGTCTATATCCAGCATGCTTCTGACGGGCCGTTGCACTGCTGGTGGCGAGGCGTGTCGTTTTGACGTGGATGGTTCTTCATCAATGTCGAGCATACTGCGGACTGGAGATCGCGAGCTGGCTGCGTAAGGCGATGCAGCTCTGGCGGTGCTGCTCTGCTTATTCTCTAAGAGAGCCAGAACCTCTTGACGCTCCATGTCAAGCATGGCATCGATGCTCATTGGCAGGTGCTTGTTAGTGCCCGCCATGATGGGCAACGGTGTCGGCTCGGCTTTGGCAAACGGTGATGGGAAGTGAGGTATTCAAGAGCGCAGAGCGGATAGATAGCGGTTGTTAATGGCGAAAAAATGATTTGCTGTTATATTCTTTAGGGAGAGAAGCAGACTCTTGACTGAAGGTATTGTCGTTATTTTGCTGGAGGTGCAAATAAAACCCCAAAAAGCATCAGTGGTCTTTGGCCAGTCGATGCTGCTGCAATGTGGTGTGGCGACACCGCTCAGCCTATTCAGCACGGGTTTGACGGGGCGCGCGCAAGTAAGTAAGATAAAAACAGTTTATGTCAATGCTGGGATTATTGCTGAAGATCCGGGGGCCGCCAGAAATCTCGAGAGAGCTTGGAACCGCGAAAAGCGAGGTGTTTGCAGAGAGGGGAAGTCTCTTGGCTGTCGCTTCTGAAGACGGGAAGAACAAAGCTGGGGCAGCGAAAGTGGGGAGGGGGCGCTGAGGTCTCAAATGCAGCAGTAGGCTTTAGCTCTGCGCCTGCTGTAAAGCTAGCTGGCGCTGTTAGTGCGTCTCCCCCACTGGACTGGCCAGCAAACGCACTGCCCCCAAACCCCGCTCCAGCGTGTCGCTTTTAGTGGATTCCCTTTTTCGGCGTTGTCGAGCCTGTCACTGCACACCTGGCCTAATGGCAGCTTTCTGGTGTTGTTACATAAGGGGAAAAGAAAAACGACGGTGTCTTTGGCGGCCCCAAGAAGGGAAAAAACAAAGGATGACCAATGAGGCATTACTGCTGCTCGCTGCGATACACCCCGAATGATTTCGAAACCCTAAGGCACCAGCCTGCTGCCAACATCGCCACGTCTTGGCGGCCGCAAGTGCATGGTGGTACTGCCCAGGCTAGTCTCGCGTGGTTTGCTCAAGCCTCGACCCACCAAAGCGGAAGCCTAAACTAAACTTAATAGCGCCTTCGCCTTGCCGCGTCTGCCACCATGGCTGATGTATTGAGAGCTGAAGATTTCACGTGCCTTGTTGGCGGTTAGTTGACGGCTATGCTTGCACCTCAACATTAGGCTAGGTTGAAGGGGTCATGCAGCGTCGTCGCTCACTTCACATCACCGTCCATAATGTCTCTCTATTCAGTTACGCCATTTTTTTCAATAAACCCTGAACTCTGACGAGTCGCTGCGCCACGACTGTTAATCTTAAGATTTCTCTGGTGGCTCCTACTCCACAGGATAAGACAGTTCGACGTGATAACGATTTCTGATGGGGCAATGTTAATACATAGAGCATGCATGTCACCCATAGTTGTGAAGTAAGACAAGAGAGATACAGAGAAAACTTGGTAGATGCTATTGATACACTATCCCAATCGGATGCCCCTCTGCCGCTAATAAAAAACAGTAATGTACAGTGGGATATCGATCCATCCCCAGGCTCCTTAAATTTTGTCCTCCTCAGTTGACTTAGTTGCCCTTGCCCTTCTTCACTCTGATTTTCTTGCCCAAGTTGGCTCTGGCTGTTGTACCAACCTTGTGAACGAGCTTTCTCTTGTCCCAAACACCGGAACGGCCCTCAACAACGGCGATAATCTCTTCCGCAAGCTTAGTAGCAAACTGGTTGCGACCACTGCCCTTGGAAGGCTTCTTCTCCACGGCTTCCAGGATCCACATGAACGCGGTTCGTCGTCGCTGGCGAAGGTTGAGAGGGACAGGCATCTCCAGCGATCTACCACCACCGGCAGCGCCAGCAATGGACTTGACCTTCAACAGAGGGGCAACCGAGTCGATGGCTATCGTTATGTATAGGACCGGGTTAAGCGGGAGGTGAGCAGAAGGTGGTGTTCCAGGGAGTAGGGGGAATTTCGGGCTGAAAATTGGTGCTGGTGCCGTTCGCAGGTGGTTCATGACCAGGGCCATATTCTGTACGCTTTCTGTTAGACTTCTACTACGATTAAGAACAAAAATAGCAACTCAGGATAACGTACTCTTTGCGCAACGCTCAGCTTGCCATCGCGCATCACCAGACGGCTAAGCTGCTCCAGAACGGGGTGATAACGGGTCTTGAGCTTTGAGCCTTCGCCTAGCGGCAGCGCAGGCAAGGGGAATTTGTGACCTGGGTTTTGGAGACCGTTCTCGATAGTCGCCAGACTTTCCTCTTTGGCTAAAAGGGCTGCCGCCTCCTGCGCTGGCGGAATGGCGCCTCCGCGGTACAGCATCTCCTCTTGAGCGGCTGTCAGGCCGCCTTCCTGCTGGTTGGCAGATACTCGGCCACCGTAGAGTAATGTCTCGAGCATTTCATCGTCTATTCTGTCCTCTGGGATATCGTTTGCGATGGAGGATGTCGGGCCATTTGTTGCCGTTGGTGTCGTCTCGCTCGAGTAAAATCGAGAAACGGGGGCGGCGATGCGGCGCCCAAAAGTAGCCCTAGAGGCAGGCAAAGGCCGCAGGGCAAGGCTTCTGCAGGCGCCCCATATCCTTTGACTAGCAGCCATGATGGCGATTGTGAATTTGTAACCGTAATCCGTATGAGGCCGGCTCAATTGTGTCGCTCGCGTGCGCAATGGCGTGGTGGTTTGACAATGAAAATTATTGGATCCCCAAGTGCAGCTCCTTGAATACGCCGGATTAACGGCGCTCCGGACCCGGGTAGTAGCGACAAAAGCCAACTAACGTAATCCAGATTTTGTGGCCTTGGTCGCCAGCTGGCAGGATGTTAGAGCTGGTAAAGGTTAGAAAATGAAAATAATAAATCTAAAAATAATAATACCAACAGATGAGTATATTTTGTATTTATTTTGAAAATCGTTTATGATTTTTTTCTACTCTACATGGCAACCTGTACTATGTTTCGTGGTCCCGTCCCAATTTATCCATGTCCCAAATTTGCCCTCCTGTCAGTGAGCACCTGTCCCTATTTAACCCAGTTTGAACCCGCGCTGTTACCGTCCAACACCCCAAATGCTATGATGATGCTAATATGTGACCCGGAAACTCCTCTACCAGACATTCTATGTCTCCAAAACTCCTATTTAACAAAACCCAAATATCCAAATACAATATGTGTGCCCGGAAGCAGCTAGTTCTCCGCGCGACGGTTGACGCTGGCAGGAGAACACCATAGTGGCTAATCCCTTACCAAGGCGAGGCTGCAGCTCTGTTCGGTTGGCTGTTAAGCCAGTTGATTGCGCATTCTGCAGCATCTTCCTTCGCATTGTTCAGATTGTTACCGTCGTACCAGAATCGCGCCGCGTGTGTCTTGCCTTGCACTGTGACCTGGCTAGACCATGCCGTGCGGCCACCTACAAAGTTGGTGTTAGTTTGGCAAACGAGTAATGAAGAAATAGCAACTTTCACTTACCTCTGCGGTCTGAGAGTAATTGAAATACAGGGGGCGAAATTTGGGCATCACGGCAAAGGTCTGGGAAAAGAGTTAGGATCGAGACCTGGCGTCGAACTTAGGTGAGGGGGTATACCTTCTAAGCGTTCCTGCCATGACTTTGTAGCCGAAGTTGCCACTGATGATGAAGACACAGACATTGCGCAAGGACGAGTCAGGTCAGTGCTTTCTATTGCGTAACGAAACTGTCGCCACAAGAATCGACGGGTGTAGAAGACGGTTCGGAAGACGGTGCCGCTGCGTGTAAGATTAGACGGTCACAGCTGGCGCAAAACTTCGAGAAAGGAAGAGGTCGAGTGTATTTGTACAGGTAAGGAGATTCGCAAAGATATAAATGCTTTTCCAGTGTTTTTGCAAGCTTATCGAACTGCGTTTGCGTCGGTTTGATCGAATGACTGTTTGATGTGGCCGCCAGCTCTAGTACTACCAGGATACCCGGAGAGCTTCCAAAATCAACGGTTTTTAGTGTGACAAGGAGGAAAACGACGTTGAATCGAATTGCCAAATGTTTGTGTCTGGTTTGCTAGCAGAGACGGCCATGGGCGAAGCTTATGGATTATGCGATTCGGGGCAACAAGGTTAAGGAGGAGACATCAGGTGGTGGCTGCAGAACGAAGCAAAAGAAGAGGCAGTGGAAGCGTATGGGGCCGAACAAGGAATGGGAAGCATGCAAATGGCTAGTGTCATTGGCAGTTAGAGGCAAGGCAAATTGCGCAACGGTCCTTTTTGCGGCTATCTTTGCTTTTTCACCCTCCCCTGGGGCCTGGGGCGAAGGGGGCGTGTGAGATGCTAGCGGGTGGTGTGCAGCGAGCCTAGGCTGAGGCAGCGTCGATCAGCAAGAAGGATTTGATATTAGCCTGCATATCCTTGGAGACCAATGACAGTGAATTCCTGGCATGGGCTTGGGGGTTTACAGGCCGGCGCCTCCGCCATTGAAACGAACAAATTATTCGCTTGGTCCACCTATCACGAGCACAGCCGGAGCGAATGCGGGTATTGAGCCGGGCATCTCCTTAACCATGCAGGCTTGCATTTCTATTTCTAGAGAGGAATTACCAAGAGAAGGAAACGAGCCAGCACAGTCTGGTCAAAGATACTGCTGGACGCTGAACGAGAGCGGACCGGCGGGCCACCCAGCCCGTGGGCCCGGCGCTGTGGTTCGTCCGTTGCTCAACGTCCAGGCGGAACCAAGACTAAGACGGAGCACCCTCCGCCCAATGCCCCTATAAGGCAGGCACCCTTTTTTTTTACTAGAGCGAGTCCAGACACGAGGGCAAAAAAGGTCCCATAGCCCTCCTGTTGTACTCCGTCACGGCGGCGCCGCTAGACACGCCCACCTGGCGCGTGGGTCGGGGCTGGGCTTTCTCCAAGAAAAGGGTTCAAGGGCACATTCCGGATCTTGCAGACGACAATAGGCAGCTGAAAACCCATGGTTGATGCCACAATTTAGTGGGACTTGTTCCGGAGGGCTTTCATTCACGGCATTGGCATGCGGGCTACTCACTGCCTTGCGCCAGGCACGAGAGACATTGGCGGATCGGGACTTTTCCCCTTGCCTGCCAACGTCAAACGGCGAGAAAAGCTTGATGCGTCGAGACCCTTTTCAACAAGGGAGATGCTATCCAATCGGTGCGCGCCATAAGGTTACCGACGTGGTGATTAAGTGGCAGCAGGTGGTACGAGCTCTCGGATGACAGGGCTCGGGAGGGTGTGGTAGCGCAGGGGGGTTGATCCCGATCTCGACCGCGAACAATGGCCAGCGAAGCAGCCAGTGCAAGCCAAGATTAACAGGGCGTCACGCGGCGCACAAGCCAGCCAACCGCAGCACCTAAAGCCCGCGAGGCTGTCTCTGCGCCTCTGGTGGGTGGCTATCAGAGACGCAGGGCCCAGAGCGGCAATAGCCGTCAGTAAGAAAGAGCTTGCCTATGGGGGCCAGGAATGATGCAGCACATATGCAAAGCTCGGCCAGTTGTTCTCTCGGCTCCTCAATGTAGCGTAACTAGTCCTTGCACTGCATGCTTCTATTGATGATGACGGCCGCCGGGTGCGCGAGCCGCCGAACCATTGCCATGGCCAAATTCCGATTCCCAGATAGCAAAGGTTAAGTGGGCGACATGGATACTCACGAGTGCATCCCACACACCCACCACTATCAGTTTAACTCCGCATGCTAAGTGTAGTTAGTAACAGTAATGGTGGTGGTGGTGGAGCTTATTGGGGAATGGCGAGTCTCGGCGGTTTACCAAGCAAGCAAGCATCTATGACGCCGACACGCAACGAGAAATCCCCTGTATAATATACGGACAAAAATAGAAGGAGACACATATACACACATACATACACATGCGGATATGCAAGCCAAAGCGGAAACAACAAAAAAACGGAAAGCAAAAAGGTCAGACAGTGGCTTTCCCTCCCACAGCCGGCTGGTTTGCTTCCGAACAAAATAGATTGGAGGGGTGAATGAGGGAAGAAGCTAGCCAGGTAGCTATTCACAAGCTTGGGGCAATCTCCGCTGCGGCACCACTAACAAACGAGGGAAAAGAAGAATGGAAAAAAAATTAGGCACGCTGCTGCGCGATTCGCCAAGCTAGGCTGCGCCCCCATCATCGGCCGTTCCGTTGCTCGCTTCACTCTACCGTGCATTCGGCAATCTGGCTCAATAAGCGGAGCTGCCAGTCCCGAAATGACCTGATTTGGTAAAAACCCCCCTCACATGCTGCTTACTTTGTCGATTAGCTTTTTTTCCTAGAAACAACCTCACGCGGGACCTCAGCGATATCCGCGGCCATCCGAGTTGAAGAAGTTGCTAGCTTGCGGACGGCCTCCGACTTAGGGTTACCCATTGCTCCCGCCGGGATATATGCAGCTTTCCTGTGATCTGTTTGTCATTTGTCTGCAAGCAAGTGGGTTGCAACTAGCAAGTTTTTTTTATTCCTTCGGCCCCTTTGGCTGTCCCTCTTTTCTGGTTAGAAAATTGTAGCAGCACGAACTTCCTACAAAACGGGGCACTAGACAGCTGCTTGAACAAGGTGTGTATGCAAAAACTGGATATGTGTATTTACTATGTACAGGCCACTTATGCAGCAGTTCTGTTTCTTTTTTTATCTGGTCTCATCATTTCATATGCACACGTAGATCGCCCACATAGGCTTAGGCAAGCGTAAAGGCGTTGCTGGTGCCCTCAAATTTGGAGATACTGCCAATCAGCGGCTTCGAGTCACCATAGTACTTGAATCGGTAGGTGCCGGGCTGGGCATTGCCGTACGTCTCCCAAGTAACATCAACCTCACTGTAGCCGAGGACAAAGTTGGTGCGGCGCCATGTGTAAACAAGGAACCAGTCGGCATCATCCTTGACACGAGTCCACTTGTTGCCGTCTTGCTTCTCGACAGCAACAAAGGTGTCTTCCTGGCGCAGGTTGTTGCGAGGGTTGGCACCCTGGAAGGTAGCGGTAACGGCGTCACCAACCTTGTATGAGGCGTTGGGCTGTGTGAGAGTCTGGCCAAACGACTTGCCAATGGGCGCGCTGTCCTGAACAACTCCAGTGATGAAGGAGAGCATCTTGTCGCGGTTGTCGGGGGCCTTGAGGTCCTGCGAAGGCTTGTCTGTAGCATCGGGGTGCAAGTAGTGGAGGTTGCTGACGGTGAGGTTGATGTAGGCGTTGAGCTCGTTGCGGCCAAAGAGCGTGGAAGCACCCTCGTAGCGCTGGACATCGTATTCCTCAGGAGTAGCGCAGTAGTGAGAGTACGAGTTGGCAGGGCCACCCAGGATAGCAATTGGCTTGGTGTCAAGGAAAGATTCAGCGGCCTTGGCAACGGCGGCCTTCCATCGGTGACCGCTCATGGTTGTGGCTTCGCTGGGGCTGACAATGATGAGAAGCTGGCCGACGCGGAGAACCTGGATATCAACAATGTTGGGGGTCCAGGGGTATGGCTGGCTGATCTCGCCGACGTCGAGAAGGATAGGCTTGGGCTCTTGGCATTTCTTCTGCTCGGGAGAAGGCTCGCGGAGGAGGCCAGACACAACCTTCCAGACGGGGCTGGCGTTGGGCTTGCCGGAGTCGCCCTGAGTGAAGTCGAATGCACCAGGCCAATCAGAAGTACCAGCAGCAAAGGAGTAGCCAAGAGCAGCAGGGCAGGTCTGAGCAGGGGTTCCGTCAGGAAGAGTAAAGTTCCAGAAGCGCATGTCGTGGAAGAAGTGGAAGGCCTTGACGGATGATCCTACAACGGCGGTGCTAGAGGATCCCATGTTATCCATGATTCTCTTGGCACCGATGTACTGGCGACGGCCCATCTCGTGGCAGCTCTTGACACCGAGATCGAGAGCCTGGAACGCAGGACCACGGCCGTGGCAGGATTGAGATTTTCCGTCAGCGCACGTGCTGTTTTCCAGGCTGCACATTTGGCCAGAGCCGTCGTCGCAGTAGGCGCCGAGAACGTTGGGAGTGGTATCGCCGACACTGGCCTGGCTGAAACCAGCAACGAAGCCAGGAGCAGCATTGCTGTCGCCCTTCATCTGCTCCTCAAACATCCAGGCAGCGACACCTTTGTTGTCACCACTGGCGTGGGTGTTGTTGCCAAGCATAGAGGTACCGTGAACAGAGAACCAGGTAAAGACACCAATGTTTTTGTTGTCAGAGGCGCGCTGGAATCGGAGGAGGGACATGGTGGTGTCGGTCTCGCCAGGGTACTTGGCGCGCTCCTCCTCGGGGTTGTGCATGTAGGCCCAGAGCGAGCGGTTGATAGCACCATCAGTGACCTGGGTGGTACCAACATCAAGGTAACCCTCCTGGAGGTTCTGGTGGGCGCGCTTGATAGAAAGGACGACACCGTCAACAATGGCCTGATAGCTCTGCTTATCGTAGCCAAGCGACGTGATTTGGGGGAGAAGGTAGTTGAACCAAGCACCAGGGCCAGAGTGGCTGTGGGTACCGGTCAAGGCGATGTTGTTCGAGTTGTAAACGGCATATTCGCTGCCGAGGGCGGCAACACCATCGAGGACGCCATAGCGGACGGCAGTGTCACCAGACTGGGCATCGATGACGATGTAGACGAAGCGATCTTCGGGCTTGTTCTTGTCACCGACAATAAAGGCACGGCTGTAGAGGCGCTGGCGCAGGCCAGTTCCCTTTTGGTCGAGGTTGGCGTAACCAGCAAAGTTGATTTCGACAACAGGGCCGGTGATGTCAGCTTTGCCGACACCAATCAGGTACTTTTCGCGAGTATCTCTGGTTTGGAACTTGGACTTCCAGTCGTCAAAGGCACGCTTGCCCTCGGAAGACTCAGCAGGTCCCGCGATGGCTACAGCAGCGAAGAGGAAGAGAGCAAAGAAGGAGAAGAGAGATGCCAAGGATGGCATGCCAAACGTGGCGCGTCGTGATGTCACAGCTGCCATGTTGAACGGTGTTGGATTGCAGGTGAGGAGATCCAAGAGGCTGAAGTGGAATGGCTAGACGGCCGAGGGGCACATGTTGTTTTTATATGATGGCGACGAGCAGGGTGCCACGGCGGATGTCCGGTGCTACTTAGACGCTAAGCTCTTGCAACGGGAGATGGAGGATTGGAGAGGGTGCATTGAAAGAGGGGACGACGGCGTGTCAGTGGTGGAGCTGAAAGTCGATCTGGGGGGGGCGGCACTGTCTGCCCCGAGACTTGACATGTCAGGTGACGACGGGAGAGACGAAGAAAAGAGGGAAGCGTGAACAGTTCGTAGCTGTAGAGAGGAGCGGCCAGTTCGTCTCTTTCTTTTGTAAAATTGTTTATATAAAAATAAAAAGTATTTCGAATTATCTACAGTTCTACAAACTATGCCCCCCGTCGTCTAGTATGTCCCCATCCTTCAGCTAAAGTTACATCCCCAGTATAAAGGAGTGGCAGTACCGCCGGGCCCAAGCCGCAAAAGGCAACCATGCCCGGCGTAGGCGATGCGGCACAGGCCAGGTCCCAGTGGCCAGTAGGGGGGTAACCAGCCAATAGAGTCGCTGCGGCTGGCTTCTGTAGGGGCATTGGACCGCTGGAGATACGCTAGCAGCGCCGCCCCGCGTAAAAAAAAGATGCTGCCTCTCTCACCTATGGAAGAAATTCTTGATTTAGAACTGTCAGTCAATATTTGCCCCCTTCGCCCCCTGGGCTGCCTCTTTTTGCCTTTGTGTTGCTTTACTTTCTTTTCCTTTTCTTGTGTAGCCCGTGACTTGCAACACCGTAACATGGTCCCGTTTCAGCACGCAAACTCTATCCTACATCAGAGTACAGACCAAGCAACCAACTCTTTTTGACTTTTGGCCCTGAAGCAACAGCAGCATGACTGGTGGAGATCACCCGCCCGTTCCCCCTCCAAGCCAGCCCCAACTGTGGCTGCCCAGTGCATTGGCAATCCGATGTGGTATTGATGCGCTGCGCGGCAGTCGAGTTAGCCCGAACCCAGTTTCCACCGGACCATTAGGTGCAGCTTGCGTCCGGCGAGGCTCCTATAGCAAAGGCGTGTTATTGCCGTAGTGTGCGGAGGAGTGGTGCTGGCTGCAGTGCCGCATCATGCTTCTTCCAGTGTGTTTTTGTCGATGGTCGCTCTCGTTTGTTCTCTTTGTCAAAGCCCAACTGTCTTATTTGCGCTGAAAAAGGCACTTCTGATTCCGTTATAAAATTTGGACTCTGTCTGGAAACTGGTCGCGTGCAGAACACACACAATAGAGTTAAACATCCTCCAGCGGTGGTCCCATGAACGCCTCTGCTGACGCCCGCTAAACTAGGTACCCAGCGCCCCTCTGCGTCACCCGCTGCAACGTCCCCGCCCGTTTTGGTCACAGCACTAAACTAAACCAAGTTCTTCTTAACACGGGTGGCGCTCTACGTACAGGTTTGGTACAACTGTTGTAGGTACATACATATACACAACCAGTGCAAATGCCCTTTGCGGGAACGGATCCGATCGCTCCGGTACGAACCTCGGTCGAGCTCAGCAGGGTAAATTATGCAATGCAAGTCCTGGCTGCAGATACGCGGAACCCCCCATCCAACGCTTGCTCGTGAACGATATTGCGGAGTAAGGAATCTACATTTTGCACCAATCGCCTCTGTTGGCATTCACTCGATTGGCGACGCAGGATGTAACATTGGGCAGCGACGTGGCTTCTAAGAAAGTCAGAAACGTCCAATCTATTGATCAAGAAACGAAATACACCATACACCATACAGCCAAACGGCGCTGCTAGCGTCTCCAACTTGGGGAGACAATTGCTCCCGTTCTATCAGATAAAAGCAGTAAGGCATACACGGTCCAAACTAACAGTAATGTTGATAAATGTGATAGGTAATTGGATCGAATTCCGTGCATTCTACTGTCACAGTTACACCTGTATCCCTGAATGCTGCTAGTATTAGAGGCCGTGACTCGGCTACCAGCGCTTCCAGCTTTTTACTGCTATAGTCTTCGTCGCAGTAAAAACAATCAGGCAGACATCTTTCAGGTGTCCGAGTCAGCGTGTAATCTTCCCGTTTATGATCTACTTCACATGGAAATTCCACTTTGAGGGTCTGTAGCTGGGGGAAGCTCCCTGTAGCCACGTTTTGTCCAAGACCTATAACATCTTGAACGGCGCGGTACCTATCATGTAACTTGACAGTTAGACGTCTCACCGTCACCAGCAGCGTGTCTACTAAACATGTTGTCGGATGGTGTTCCTTGCCATCAAGCCAGTGCAAACAAAAGCAATGCTCGGTAAGATCCAGAAACACAAGGTTCGAGAATTCTCTCAGCACGGGCCCTATCGTGACTTTTGTCAAGTCTGGTTCTAGGAATATGAAGCTTGTAGCGATAGAAATGTCTCGAATTGTGTGTTGGCTGTGAGAAGAGACTGCAACAGGCGAGCGGGAGAGAATGGATTCGGCGTGATCCAAGCATCCAGATACGACATGGCGTGGAAGACAAAGCTTTCTATCCCTGACGTCTGTTCTACAATATGGTGCATGGCATCATAAGGAACAGGCAGCGTCCGGCCTGTGCAATAGCCGAGAAAATAGAGCTGCCGAAGCTTAGAGATCCCAGGCCATGACAGCTTGCCAACCGTAGTACAAGAATTCTCAAGCTCCCCTCGTGCGCCAATGAGAAGGAGTCGCTGTAGATTGGGCATGGCGTCTAATAAAAGGCTAATCTTTTCGAGCCCCAGACTCTTGGAAGTAATGCGGCAAGGCCATTCAATAGCCAGCGTCTTAAGGGACGGAAATTCGTTGCCCTGAACCCCGATACTTCCTGTCTTCTCGATTCGTCGTTGCATATACTGAAACGTAGGAGACTTGACAGCCTCAAACGTGGACGTAGAAATACGGAAGCAAAGGAATTGCAAACTCGGACATAGTGCCAAGAAACTAGACGTAATGAGATTGTCAATCTGGGCCACTTGCGCTGAACGCTCCACCCAAGATCCCTCAAACGGCTGTCCAAGGAAGCCATCGGTACCAAGATCACGAGGATCAACCACATCAAGAGCCTTCTCTATCTCAGCACATATCCCAGCCGCTTCTCTTAATTTTTCTTCGTACTCGTGTATGTATGAAATGCTAGGCGTGAAGCCGCCATCTTCTGAGTACATGTGATAAAAACCAGTATATACTCGGACACTGGCAGCGAGGTCTAGGCGGCGTAGAATCGTACGCAAGAATTTTGCCGGACGATGATTGTAAAAGAGTGGAACGACATGATATAAGATGGGCTGGGCGATGTCCCGAAGAACACGGCAAGATCTTGAAAGATTGCATAGATCTTCTTCATAGACGTAAAAACGTTGCATCTCGTAAAAGACGGGGGCACTGGGGGCACTCAAGGTACAGTCTGCGTAGGCGCAGTGCTCGCACAAGTCAGCGCAAATAGCGCGCTGGATTTCAATAGGCAAGCGTAGGAAAGGAAATGGCGCCTCCTCCTCATCCGCTTCTATAGACATGGTAGCAATAGTTCGGGCTTTTTTCCCCCAGAGTTTGTGGATTTGCGAAGAGGAAGCCGCGTTCAGGCACTGGACCAGGGGTGATGCATAAAGTGGCAAATGCACTGTACTCAATTAAACGAGGCTGTCAACCCAGAGACAGTAGCGACGATTTCTATAGTGTAAAATACAACAAAATAAAAAAAAACAAGATTTCATCTATAACATAAACAACAGCCCGTGCGTCACAAAAATCAGCAAAGCCGAGAAGGTGGCTTACAGCACTAGTCCCCCACGCACCTGTTCATCCTAGACTTATAACAACCCCGCAAACTGATAACTCGCCTCCCCTGTAAATAGCATGCGCAGTCGGGACAGGTGTGCTAGAACCTCTTAGAGCTTCTTTCCCTCGCCACTGAAGAAGGCAGGGTAATAGTGGTAGACAACGAGGCTGTCGATAACCAGGCCAAGGCCGACACCGTACAGAACGTTGCGGCGTGTCTTGGGAGAGAGGTTCTTCCAGCTCCAGCTCGAGGAGGAGTTGGGACCAACAGGCATAGGCTCCATAGGTGATGAAGCTCGGAGGGCCTTGGAGGTGGTAGAAAAGGTGGCCTTGGAGGCAGGGGTGATGAGACGGGTGAGGACGGTAGCAGACATGATTGAAATTAAAGAAGTGATTTGGTTTGAAACGTGTTTGAGTGGTCTGTTGATGACTTGATTGTTGTGATTGTGATGTGAATGATAAGAAGAAAAATATATCGTTTGGCTTGGATTCTCGTCTCTTTTAATCGCAGAGCATGTTCCCATCTATAACGAAGCGCCTAACAGTTTGGCGTTATGCTATGCGTTATGGTGGGGTCGGCCTCTCGCCAACCACAACGGGCAGTATGTCGTCATGTACAGGGTGGTCTAGAGAGTGTTGCAAAACGTAAAACTTTTTGGGTATATTCATATAAAGATATAATACAAATTATGTATAGGCGTAATTCTTTTCGATATTGTTTATCCTTGTTTAACCACGGCTGGTCGTTACTGCTTCCGGCGATTAATGGTCAACGGCTTAAACGGCTTCCTCAGCTTATCCATAGTTGGCGCAGGGCCCATAGCCGCTGGCCGACGAACGCCCACTCCAGGCTTTAAGCTTTGAAAGGTTGTCGTATGATAGCTAGTTGCTTGGATCACGGGTGGTGCTGGCGGTGCTGGAGGCGAGCTCGGCAGTCGTTGTGGGGAGCTGGAAAAGTTGGCATAGTGCTTCACAGGATGTTCTCGAGCCAGAGACATGCTGTTTGCCTGGGCCACAGGTTGGCCATTAGCCAATCTGTGGTCTTTGAGAGCATTATGAATGGTCGGTGGCTTATAACCACGGCTGAATTGAGGCTGGACGTGCTGTGGTTGGCTGTACTGAGGCTGGTAGTACTGGCTCTGGTTATGCCGTGGGAGATGCTGGTGTGTTGCTGATGGGGCAGGCAACGATGCATTGGTATTGTATATAGTTGGCTGGGGATGTGCATCCGTTCCATTATCATAGCTGTTCTCCTTTGTAAAGAACCCTCGAATCGTTTGCTGGCCTACACCTCTTCGCGCGGCAGCTTTCTGTTCCTGCTTCTGCGCGGCCTCCTGCTTTGCCACGCGCTCTGCCTCAGCCGTCAATGCGGTTTGATGCACACCAGCCGACATGAATCCAGGCATTACCGACGGCATAGTGAAGTTTGCAGCATTTTGCATCGTCGATCGTTGGCCGCTGATCAATGATCTCTTTTCGCCCTTTTGATCTCCTAACCCGCCGTCCATCGCCTTCCTCTTAGATGGCCTTTGCCATGTCTCATACCCGCCAGATTTAGAGTCTGTCGGATGAATAGGCACCCGGTCATCTTCCGTAGCAAATAGTTCCGGAAGTCCTTCGAAAATGGCCTCTTCCGAGGGCGCAGTTCGACCGAGGATTTTGGCAGCATCTTCTATGACCTTTCTATTAAAAGACGGACCTTTGTTTGCTAACGAGGTGTCGGCAAATGGTGCCACAAATGGTGAAAGTTCGACGTTGCCGTTGCCTTGAGATCCCATAAGAGGATAGCTGAGGTATAAAAATGCCTTTGCTCTAGTCATGGCGACATAAAGCAGTCGCCGTTCTTCATCATGATCTTCTGATCTCGAGTGCGGAATCGAGCCGTCATATACTGCGGGGATGAATACAACAGGCCACTCAAGGCCTTTGGCTGCATGAATCGTTGATATTGTCACAACTGAGGATGAGTCGGCATTTGCATCGTCTTTTTGTGCGTCAGATGCCAATGCAATATTGGCCAAAAACTTTCCAAGGATGTCGACATCGGTGTTCTGCTCAAGGTCCTCAATATCAGGGAGATCGCCTTCGTCTAGCTTCTCAAAGTCCCGCACAAAGTCTGTAGCTAGGTTCACAAACTCCTGTACGTTGAGCCATCGTTGTTCATGGTCATCGGGGTGCTCTTGTTTTAAGAAGCTCTCGAAATTCAAAAGATTGATGAGCTGGCTGATGAGCTCGACCAATGGCCCTGGTCCATCACCTTTGACTCCAGCTCTACTCTGTAACGTCGTAATGATCCGCAGAAATTCGCCACTAATCTTCTTTTCTATTGCTGGTCGAATGTTGGTTGTAGCGCGTCGTTCGTTGTAGCAATGTTTGGTGATAAGAGACCAGAGACTCAGTTTCCCCAGTTCCGCCTCATCAAGCAAGGATTTGATTGTCTTCTCTCCGACGCCGCGGCGTGGAACGTTTATAATTCTAGCAAGAACATCATTGTTATGTGGTTGGTGTACGACACGCAAATAGTCCACCAAGTGCTTGATCTCCTTTCGCTCATAGAACTTGTGGCCTCCAATCATTCGATATTGAACGCCGGCCTTGCCCAGCGCCGATTCAACATTTCGAGACAGAAAGGCCGAACGGACCAAGATAGCAATATCCTTGTTCTGTATCATTCCACCAGTCATTTTCACCACCCGTTGAATCTCATCCACTATCCATTCGCCTTCACCAGCACCATATTGCAGCGTGCGCATGACAGGGGTAGTACCCTTGGCGTGAACTGGGAGCAGAACCTTTTGGTAGCGAGCCTTGTCCTGTTGAATAACGTCAAGCGATGCAGCGAGAATGGCTTGGGAAGATCTGTAGTTCTCTTCGAGAGATACTCCGTCCGTCTCGGGGTAGTCTTTCAACAGACGGTGGAGGTTTTGGATTTCCGCTGACCGCCATCCATAAATACTCTGATCCGGGTCCCCTACAATAGTGATGCGTTCCTTCGCTTGTGCAAGGAGTTTCATTAGCTGGTATTGAATGCCGTTTGTGTCTTGGTATTCGTCGATGAGTACCGCTTCGACATTGTTAACACAGGTCGGATGGCTTCGCAGAAGTTCAACACATTTTATAAGGAGGTCGTCGTAGTCGAGCAAATTGGACCGTTCCAGCTGTTCTTGGTAATCGTTGTAAATCGTTGTAAGGGTGCTGAATTGGGGGTTCTTTTTGTCCTCTGGCCTAGGAGCTATAGAAAGACCTTTAGACTTTCTCTTGCTTATCCAGGAGCGAGCGTACGATGCATCTATTGACACCTTAAGTCTTTTGCATATTCTCGTGAGGATGGCTTTGGAATCTGTGTCATCGGCGATGCCAAATTTAGGATCAAGGCCTATGCGTTTCCCGTAGCTTACGAGATAGCGTCGAGCAATTGAATGGAACGTGCCCAGAACTAGTTTCTTCTGGCACTCTTCTCCAAGAGCTCTACCAACACGCTCACGCATTTCGCGGGCGGCTTTGACCGTGAAAGTGGCAATGATCACATTGGATGGCGAGTAGCCTGCTTCACGAATAAGCCAGACGACTCGTGACGTGAGGGTGTGTGTTTTGCCACTTCCTGGACCAGCCAAGATAGCAACAGTCTTCGCAGTCGAAGTGACAGCCTCATATTGAGCCTTGTTCAAGGAGCTTAGAACAGAAGAGACATGCTCCGGAGGTTCTTGCGGGGCGCTTTCGGGCATGATGAGGGCGTATAGAAAACAATTTGTTACTCATTGATCCATTTGACGGCGAGTTAAGTATCCCAACACGTCAATTTGCGCATCCAAGGCCGGCTGTTGAATCTCTCCACGATCTCTTACAGAAAATTACCAGGGACGCGTTCGCGGAACCTTGCAATCGCGACATCACGTGAGCACTTGGAATCATCATGCAGGGTAGGATGTCCCTCGGAATGATTTTTACGTTTTTTCATAGTAACTTTTCATACTGTGATACTTCAGGGTCCTATTGAAAATTTTCATTGGGTAATTTTTCATCCCAAGAGGCGGCAATCGATTCTGTAACGGATTGTATCTGTAACACATCTGAAGCAGGGCGGCTATACTTTAGTGGTCGAGAAGGATTGGGACGGGTCTAGAAGCTACAGCCAGGTGTCAGTGTGCCAGTTTCTATCTATATGTAGAGAAAATAAAAAATGATTTTTTTTTTAAAAAAAGGATGGAATATGATAATACAGTAAGCATATATGAAATACAGAAAACAGACTACTTAATACAAAGACAAGTAGCTGTACACAAGTTGTTGAGCTGGACAACTATACAGATGAGTGTTAGTCTGCTGTCCGGATGGCTTCTCGCAACGGTCAACAACAACTGCCGAACAGGGATCAAATCACACAACGTTAATGTGATATGCACCCTGAGACACCGCAATAAATCCCCCGATTCGAACGGTCTTTCCCCCCCGCAGGCACACAATTTCTTCACACCAGACTCTGTTGTACTCAGGTTGTAAGAAGAGGGGGGGTTGCACTGTAGCAGGGGGCTGTTAGTGAGCGGGGAGGCGCTGGTTAGTGATGCAAGCCTCGCCCCGCCGACAAGCTTCAGCAGCCAATCAGTGGTGCTCTTCAACGTCGCACGCCTGAAGCCCGGCGCTTAATGTCTCGAGCCAGCCAACCAGAAGCCCAAGCAGCACTGGCACCACCCACGGCACCCACTTGTGCCCGTCCTGCGTCACCCAATCACAGCCAGCCTACTCCCTCCATCCCAATCACCAAGTCGTCGAGTTGGGCGCTAACTCTTGCACAATGCCATCCATCATTACCCGCTATATACCAGTTTGTGCCTCACGCTGGCCGGCTACCATGTCACCTCCTCTTAAGCTATGTTTCGCACTTCATATCCAGGAGGTTTCATCACACCGCGATCAACTCCTTAAAGGGATTGTCTCGTCCCCATACTCGCCAACTTTGTCCTGATCATGCCTTTTACCCTTAACGGACCTATATTTACTCTTCTGTTGACCGCGTCTCTCTTTGGATCCTTTGGATTTTGCGGTTCTATAGCAGACGATCTTTACCACAACTACTTTGACCCGGCGCCTGCTCCCGAAGACGGCCCTGCTTTTTCGAGAGGTTCTCTGCGAGACACCAGATATCTTCCTATTCAAATCGCAGGCATCGTCTCTGCTTACGCCGTGAGCTTGATTATTGTTGCACTGACGCTGCTGGCGCTGTCTGGGAAGCGCCGCGCACACTTGACTGCAACCGACGAAGACGAAGTCGACCTTGAAGAATACCAGCTCTCGCAGCACTTTAGCAGCCCCTCAGAATTCCCGATAGAAAAATTCGGCCAGCCCGGCATCCCCAACTTTTCCCTAAAGTCGCCCTTACAGCAAGAGTTTGGCGCTGCCACCTCGTTTGAACTGCCGAATCAACAGATCGTACCAAGCAACGCACCAGGAATCAACCCACACGTCGATCAGTCGCTGGTCGAAGAAACCAAAGAAATGTCGCAAAAGCAGTTGGAAGAAATGTATAAACATGTCATGGAGCATGAGGAGGCAAAGGAACAGGGCATCGTTCTAGAGAGCCCTGTTTACGCCACGACAAGCCGATTCTCCTCTGCAAACCAGAGCCATCTCTCTGCGGTGAGCTCCAAGCGCGAAAAGACGAAGCCGGCCAATCTCGATCTTACACAGCCTGTGGAAGCCAAGCCAGCATCCAAGACATCATCCTTCCTTTCGGCACTGCGATCACCGAAGAAGAAGAACATTAAGGCTCTTCAGATCTCGTCTCCTATCATGACACCTCAGACAAGCGTGTTCCCACACCAAGAATATCAGGAGACGAACCCGCTATCTCCTCGCCATTACAACCCTAGCCTTCGATCGTCTGATCAAGGCTCTATTGCTGACAGCCAGCAGAATGCTGTCGGAGTTGCTTTGCCCATGACGCCGGACATGTCCCCAGAATCTGTACAAAGCATCGATGAGCGCCTTGGCAACCAGCCACTGTCACAACTGAATGTGAACAACAGCCGAACTGCATCACAAGTTCCTTCAGAATATGAACCTCCATCAGCAACCTCTCAACACTCGCAGGCAGCTCTTGTTGGACTCCCAGCATCGCCAAAGCCTGGAGCCACATTCAACATTCTGCCGGCATCTCCCAGACCAGGTGCTACGTTTGCACCTCTTCCATTATCGCCTAAGCCTGGGGCTACCTTTCAACGCCCCAACGCACCATCTGCGGTTCGCACTGGTGGCACCCTGCCACTACGCGCGTACGAGCCTGCCTTGGCTTCGCCCACTACCATTGCCCAGACTACAAAGCAGACCGTCTTTGAGCGTCGCGGCCCTCTATCTCCTGGCGGTGGTCCGCTGACAGCAAATGCTGTGCCCTATTCCCCTTACCAGCCGTTCACGCCATGCATGCCCATCACACCGTCTCTGGTTACCAAAGAAGACAGGAAACGAATGAAGAGGATGGTTCCCAAGACACCCACGCTGCAAATGGTCCAGAGCTCAGACGAGATGTGGTAATGGTCTAATGAGGATCTCACCTGAGTTTTCAAGTTGGCATGATCTTCTCATTTTATCGTTTCTTGTATAGCTGGACGTCGTTTTGACTTTCGGCTGTAGCGCATAGATACCACCTTCGTTCCGCCAGCAGATCTGCTCGATGGACAGGTAAATCATCATGTCACCGTGATCGTACAAGTTTTAGTTTCTTTTTATGGGAGGCGGCATTAGTATACTTTCGGTTGGGAGCGGCTATTTTCAGTTGAGTCTCCGTTGTCTCCTATGTAGCATCATTTTTTTTTGTATTTTGGAGGTATGGAGAGAAGTTTCAGGAAGGCGGAAATCAGGCAGAAAGGCTCACTCTAGTTGAGCCGCAACCAATGACAATGCCCAATTAACAAAACAATACAGTCATACTTCCCAACAAGAGCGTTGTAATTTGCTCGGGGCCACCCCAATGGTGACACGCTGATCCAGTATCATTCGACCCAGCTTGGCAACACGGCGTCTTCCCATTGGCTTCCCTTTCAACCGACGGAAGGGTGTAGGTTTCCACTGGAAAAAAGGCTGTCACCCGGAAGCATCCGTGGGCGATCGCTGGACGACGTAAGTCTTGAGAAGGACCGTTTAGAATTGGTAGGATAAGGGAGCGACTCGTGCCATGACGGGCCGCCAAGCCTAAGCTAACGTAGGAAAAGGGCGCTGTCTGCTAAATACAGCGGCCACGACGCCTACAAAGTTTGCGCCGAGACGCTACCGGCTATCGGCGAGTCTTGGGAAAGCGAAAAGTTCAAAAGCCGCTGCGTCATAGGGACGACGAGAAAGAATAGGGCTGAGCAGGGAATCGATGCTCGGGGATAATCGCACGCGGTATTATTGGCTATTTTCTATTCTATTTTTCTTCTCCGTGACAAGGGCAGACAGAATTATGGGCGTGGACGGTACATCAGTAGTGGGCAAGGTGGTACTGTAGTGCGCCCGTAGCGCAGTGTGGTGTGTGCTGTGCGCCATCTACAGCACTGTAAAACCGCCCCTCTACAACGGTACAGGGGCTGGCAAAGCGAATGCGGGCGTCGCAGAGTAGCTATTATTCGCAGTTACGACTACGAAGGGCCCTTGGCATGAGTGGGGCAGGCGCAGTTCTTAGCGGCAGCCTTGATTCGGCAGAGCCACCGAAACGTTGTCAAAATCGTACGATTTTAGCATTGCGCCTCCACCCGTGCTCTCCGCCGGCTTGTCACTACCGTCGACGTTTTCCCACGCCCAGCTTTGTGTCCTTTGTCCTCCCTTCTCAGCTCTCTACTGTCGACAGCGGGGCCTAAGAATCATTCACAATCCTCGCCTGCACGCGCACTGATCGCTCTTGTCCGATTGCCGCGTCACAAGCCCATGAGTTAAGCTCTGTCCCCGGCCCTGAGCCCTCCACGCCACCATTGTTCCTCCGTTTCTGCCCTAGAGCTTGCTTGCCATTTGCCGCCGCTTAATTCTTTTCCGTTTATATATCCCCAACGGTTAATCCTGTCCGGTTTATTACCATCGCTACATCTTGCCACAAGCTCTACACCATCAAACATTGCTCATCTAGCTCACGCATGCACCAATAAACCTCGCGCCGAGACCACCTCGGCGTTAGCACCCTTCACCACCAATGACCGATTCCATTTCGCCAGAGGAGCTCGGCTTCGACGACTCCTCGCTGGCATTTATCAACACAGAGACTATTGATCCAGGAACCTTGTCAGATCCTGCTACCTCTGGAGACGACTCCTCGCAGCCTATGTTTGGCGCAGCAGCTGGCTGGGATTTACCCCAAGCACCAGCTTTTGATGCCTACGATGTCGACGCTACGATAGCAACGACATCCATGGCGAACGAGGCCCTGCTGACCTCAACATGGCAGTTCCCAGCGTTTCCAGAACTCGCCGGTATGGCGTCCGGACTCGACGTCAACGCCGCCTTTGATGCGGCAAACGTACCGGAATCCCTCAGAGCCTCCCAAATTCCTCTCGAGAAGCGCCGAGAACCAACACCCTTGACAGCTGAAGCGCAAGAAAGGCTCCGAAACATTGCCATGCCACCAAACCTACGCTACAAGTCCCCTAAATCAACGCCTAGTCCTACGTCGGGCAAGACCGGTCAAACGTCATCGCCAAACTCTACGGACGAGATAAAAAAGGCTTCCAGGAAGCGCAAGGTCTCCAGTGAACCGGAGGATGATGATGATATTGAGGATGACGACAAGCCCATCAAGAAAACCGCCCACAACATGATTGAGAAGCGGTACAGAAACAACATCAACGACAAGATTGCTGCCCTCAGAGACAGTGTACCGAGTCTTCGCATCATGTCGAAGAGTGCCAAAGGCGAGGACACCTCACAAGATCGCGAAGAGCTCCATGGCCTTACCCCAGCACACAAGCTGAACAAAGCAACGGTTCGTCCTAGTAGTAAACAGCATATGCGGGGTGAAACTAACAAATCTATAGGTCCTGAGCAAAGCTACAGAATATATTCAGCACCTCGAGAAGCGAAACTGTCGATTGCAAGAGGAAAATAATGCTATGCAGGCTAGAATAACCGCCTTCGAAAAACTCTTTATGGCTGGCGCGATGAATGGATCCATCAGCTCAGTACCCCAACCACCTCAGCCCATTCCATACGCCGTGGACGGGTCTCAACGGCTCCTACGATCACCAGTTTCTGATGGTAGCAATGAGAGGCCAGTAGGGATGATTCAGGTACCGGAAGACATGCGACGCATCCTCGCGGCACAGATGGCTGCTGGCCAGCAACCATACCCTGTCCCTTCACAGCCCTACCAAGATGAACCACAGATGATTAGCCAACAACAAATCCAGCAACACCCAGTACCGCAACACCAAGGAGTGTGGGCGAATACAGCACCTTATTTTGGGAAGCTTATGGTTGGCTCCCTTGCCGGGCTTATGATTCTTGAGGCTATCCGTGAAGATGAACAGAGCACTGAAACTCCAGAAGGACGAGGACTGTTTGCAATCCCCATGCAGCTTGTTCGCACCACAAGCAAGACCTTTAATTTCAACATTGTTGCATTTCACACTCCCGTTTCTATCAAGATGCTCCTCTTCCTTGGTCTGTTCCTTTGGGTATTCATTCCGTCGCTGTTTCGACCTACGAAGAAGGATGAAGATAAGTGCACGTCTTCTCTAGAAGCCGGATCTTCACCCGCCTCATCAATTCACGTTCGCCGACAAGCATGGTTGACATCCGTTCAAACTGTCTGGGTCCCTCGCCATAACTTCTTCCTCGAGGCTGCTGCGCTCATTGCCAAGACTATTAAGCTGAGTCTGAGAAACCTAATAGGACCGGGTGGGTACCAGGCTCTTACCGGATTTACCGAAGAACAAGAAGTTGCCCGAGTCAAGGCTTGGTCAATTGCATTGGATTCTCAGTTGGCGGGCGGAGACGTAGAGATTTGCAAGAGCCGCTTGGTGCTTACACTTCTCGCATCTGGTACTCTTCCAGATACGCCCATTCGCTTGATGCTTAAAGCTCTGCATATTCGTGTCTTGCTCTGGGAAATTAACCGATCCCCTCTACAATTCGGGCTTGCCAATGTTATTGCCTGCAAACTTGCCCGTACGCAATGGAACGGCGCACGACGTTTGAACCAGATGCTGAAGCAGCTGCGAGATGACCCAGAGATCTCTCACGAAGACGAACTCCCCGATCATCTTGCCGTGCTGGCTGAGCTTGAGTGCGACGAAGTTCTCAGCAAAGCCGTCATTCAACGAGCACACAACCTAGCCTTTAATAGACACACTGATCATTTGATTGAATCCGTCATTGACGGCATGGACTCCGTCGTCAGCGATGTCTACATTAGCTCACCTATGGATGCGGTGGCAGCCTGGTGGTCTATGGAAAATGTGCATCGAATCTTGTCAGACCATTTAAATGGAAACGTTACTCCACCGGATGCCGTTGACGCCGAGCTTGAACTCGCGATCCTGGCTACGCCGGTCGGCTCCATTGCCATGCTTCGAGCCTCCCTTGCCCGCGCCATCCTAGTCAGCAAGAATCGCGGGGGAAACATCGCTTCTGCCATCCAGGCGCTAGGAACAGAACAAATTGAGAGCCCGTTTAGCGAATCTAGGCTAATCATTGGGTCTGGTGCACATGCGTCCAACAAGAAGCTCCTGCTGCCGCTTCAATGCTCAGTCACAATGGCCCACCTGTCACGTTCTGACCATTCCGTTTCGATGCATGCGAATCGCCTGCAAATCATTCGAAGCCTTGCCAGTCTGGAATCGAAAGCATCCATGAGCTTGCTTGGATTCGCAGCTGTGATTATGCTTGTTGAACGGGCGATGGCATGCATTCAGGACTCGGACGAGGAGTTCGCCAATGAAAAAGCTATTCTCGAAGCTCTTTCCAACAGCCTTCGCAACTGGATGACTGGTAAATACGGCATCCATGCTGGTCTTGAGAACGAGATTCGCGAGAAAGCCATCTCTCGTTGCATGGCAGCCAGCAAAGGACTGGCAACCACGACGCTTGACGCGGGCTATGTCAGTATGAGTGAAGAGGAGGAAGTCAAGTGCTAGTTAACGGTACAGACGTGAACTTGGGTTGTATCATACATTGGAACTTTTGTCTCTTTGTTTTATTTTGGGTCGTCACTCCCCCATTATCCTTTATCTCTTGTTTTCTTTGGCGCCAGAGGTGTTAGCGGTATGGACCGGGCATTAGGGGTTAAAATGCTATATATATCCTTGAACATCTCATCATGTACGATAGAATCATTTGCAAAATTATACCATTCGACTCAAAAATAAATGGCGCTGTCATGTGAAGCTGTATGGTTGACTTGCTATAAAATACAGTCACAGGCACGCGTAGATCGTCTTGGTCTTTACTCAATCTATGCATCATGATAGCTAACATATTAAGACTGTTCAAAGTAAGTCCAGAATTCGTCTCCAAGACTCGACGCATTGATATCAGCCATTAGGCTGGAGTCAAAGATGTTAACACCCTCGTCTAGCGTATCCGAACAAAAGTCTAGCGGCGCTGTGCTAGTCGGGTTCGCAGAGCTTGTGGTTGCGAACACTACACCATGTTGTATCATTTGATTCACTGGAGTAAGGTGGATAGAGCTGAGTGGAGAGAGAAACTCAGTAGTAACACCTAGTTCGACCGTTGAAGACGAGCGCTCTTGTGCTAGAACCGCTGTTGTAGACGCGCTATAGTCCAAGAGGCTCCAGACGATAGAAACCTGAACCGACTATTCCATCTCCTCGGTAGCTGGAACTCTTGGTGCACTCCTGTCTGCAGTGCTTGTCAACATTCCCATCTTGGGTAGACGACGCTCAATGGCCATGATGGCTGTCGGGGCTGCCGCTTTTGCCGGTGCTTTTACGTCTGTGCGCACTGAAGATGCTAATCTAACCTTCTCTAGCTTATTAGGCTTCTTCCAAAATGCCTTTTACGGCATCCTCTACTCGTACGTAGGCCAACTTCAACCCTGCATTAACGCTGTTACGCTAATGAGATGAACGACGGTAGATACACCCCGGAGGTCATGCCCACTGCCCATCGAAGCACTGGCTGTGGATTAACGTTGGAAGAAGGGCGTATCGCCTCATTGTCCTCGCCTTTTATTGCAACCTTCGCCAACCTCAACATGGGCACTCCAATTTGGGTCTGTCTCGGCCTCTATGTGGTTATTGCTGCGGTGGCTTTGTCTCTGCCCTTTGAACCCAAGCGCTTCTCAGTGGATGACCAACCTTGAATAGAGCAATGATATCGGCGAGGATGTAGCTTCTAAAATAGCTCAAGCTCACAGGCGAGCGTTTCACTTCGTACTATGCTATAAGTTACTTGAAGTAATTGTCTTGAGAGCCTGCTACTACAACAGCATCTCTACTCTTTGCTAAGAATCAGTCTACGCAATAAACCCAAATCATGCACACTAGCAGTAACACTGCTCTAAATTTCTTATGAAAAAAACTCTCTAGCAAAATATTTGCCATCCAACAGTCCTTTGAGCATTTACTATATGGCGTGTTTGGCGATGAGTGGTGACGAACCCCACCACCGTACCCCACGTCGTTTAGCACCACCAGCCACTAACTTAGCTCCCCCTCCATCCTACTCAACGTCTTCCCTACCAAATAACCATACCTCTCACCTAATCATGGCCGCATCAGCCGCAGCCGCGGCTCCCTTTAGCTTTCCGCGCGAATACAGCTTCCCTCCCTTCTTTACTCGCCAAACAAATCTTACCACACACCACGCCCAGCTGACAAAATGGAGCGCCTTGGTCCTCGCCTACGCTCGCCACCACAAGATGTTCCGCCTCTCACTGTCCTCGGCTGCGGAAACGGACCTATTCCACAATAAAGCCATTAACAGACGCCTACAGCCGGCTGATATCCGCGACGTGTTTGACTTTATGCGCAAGGAAGGCAGGGCAGACTATGTCAGCGAAGGCGCGCAGGATGTCGTCTTTATCTTCTGGAAGACGATTGATGAGTGGGCGGCTGTCGTGGAGGCATTTGTTGACCAGACGGCGCATAAGGGTAGTATTTTGACACTATATGAGCTCTCAGAGGGCGATGCGACTCTTGGAACAGGTATGTTTGCCGGCAGAGGGTATAGAAGTGAGGTACAAGCAAGGGCTAACTTTGTGCGTGTGTGTAGATCTTCACGGTATCGATGCTGAGATTCTCCGCAAAGCCCTTAATGTGCTTGTCAAACGGGGCAAGGCACAGATCTTTGGACAAGAGGACTCGCTTGGTGTCAAGTTCTTCTGAAATATTGACTATCAAAAACTATTCAAGATCCCTAAAAGAGGGCACGACTACTACCTGCAACTATGGCAGGCTGACCACCGAATCCCGCACCAGACGTCACACTTACTGCATACAGCGGTATATATTTGCTTTCACATAATTAACACGAAGACCCCAGCTTATTCCTGAGCGGCAGATAGAAACTTTTCGTCAAAACGGACCTGTTGCGCCATGGCGACATCTAGCAGCCAGTCTGGCGTGACGATGCGTGGCTCCATGTTGCCCTTTCTCGCCATGTCCTCAAACTTGGGCCACAACTTGCGTTCCTCAGGGCTAGCACCGCTCAAGAGATAGACAGGCTCAGGTGGCGCATGTCCGTCTTCCTCAGCTGTCGTGGGTTTGATGGTGGTGCCGCTGCGCGCGCGGTAAATCTTGAAGATCGCACCATTGGCCTCGGCAATGGCCCGATAGCTGTCGGAGCCGTTGCGGATGCTTTCCGCGCAGTATACAGGGACGCCCTGTAGGAGCTTGCCGCGGTTGGCTTTGGCCCGTGCGACAGATGTGACGAGTTTGAAGTTGTACTTGGACTCGGCCTCCTTGTCCTTGAGGAGGAATTTTTCCACGTCGGGCACCTTGCTTGTCTCGAGAATCTTGTCGATAAACGTGGACGAAATGACTTGCGGTCCGCGAGCTAGGGCACACAGAAACTTGACCGTTCGCACAATATGCGGAGCTGCGAGGTAGTCACAGGGTGACCCTTCTTGAACAATCAATATACCAAGTTCTCGCAACTTTTTCTACGTGAATGTATTAGTGAATGCTGCTGCTTCCGTGTTCGTTTGTGAATGTAATCAAACGACTTACTCTGTCTTGGCCCTCCTTTGATACGTCTCCGACCCAACGTGTGAAGCCAGTCAAGACTACTCTTGTCTCAACGTCTGGAAGTGAAACCCGTGATCGCTTGGCTGACCGCTTGGAACCCTCATCATCGTCATCTTCAACATCTTGCTCCTTGGCAGCCTCCTTCTCCTGTTTCGCAGCGCGCTCTTTTTCCACCTGATCAGCGGCTCTTTTGCCACCCCAAGGCGCTGCCGACTTGCCATGACGCTTCTTCTCCTTCTCGTACAGCTCAATATCTGGCGCAATGTTCTGCAGTAAATCTCTCGCCTTGGCTTTCGCACTGCGACCTCCAGTAGAGATCACGCTTGTCGGCTCTTCTTTTGCCCTCTTTGGTCGGATTGGTGTTTCATAAGTCTTTGATTTTCTCGCCGGCTTCTTTGCTTCGTTTTCGTCGTGAACCATTGTCACATCCTCGTCACTTACTGGAGAGACAGCCTGCGCAGGCTCCTCCTCCTCCTCGGGGGCAGTATTTTGATTGGTCTTGTCTACCGCAGCTTCTAGAACCTTTCTCTTCTTTTTAGCTTGCGGTGACGGGCTAGGTTCCCCTGGATAGAAAACACTGCGAAGTGTGCTCTCGTCAAGGAACGTTTGGCCAATGATCTCGCCCAGATTCGTTCTCGGCGGGAAGTGTGTATATTTCTTAATGGTCATCGGCTTAATCTCGCACTTAGCGTAGCTTTCCTCAATCCACAAGTGGTTTATCACTGCCACTCCCCATTCCGGTGCCGCTTTGCATTTTTCACTCGAGTCGCGTGCTGTGATCAAGTGTGTGTTATCTGCCTTCATCGTTTTTGTGAACTCTGCTCCACAAGCCTTGATGAGGTTCTCTAGATATATTCTTGCCTCGCCGCCATAGTTGGACACTGTGATTTTGAGACCCTTGAATCCGTCGATTCCATTTCTGGGAACTGGATAATGCAGGAGACGACGCAGTGGCGAAGTCCATTCGTTATGCACAATCAAGTAGAAGAGCCATGCGAGGTTTCCTACATCGCGACCAGCTTGTGCAGCTTTAACATAGTCGGAGCCGTCACGATATTGGCCAATGTACATGTCGCAGTTTTCGACATCGCGGACCAACCTGCCACCGCCGTTGATGATGATGTCCTGGACAACAGCTGCCAGTCTCGGTGTAATATTCAGGTCATCTGAGAGAAGGATTTTGTGGTGTTCAAATACAGTAGCCGGGGCTCTAGCAACTTCAGAGTCTGGCGGAAGCGGTAACCACTTGGGATTTGCGGACGTGGCTCCGTCGAGGTTCGTTGAGTCGGGAATGTCGAGGGCGTCGTCGGCAGATTTGCGCAAAATTTCAGGGTCTGGGAGAACGTATGGTGTCTCATCAATTCTCTTGCCTAGACGGAAACAGTCATCGAACCTGCAACGCGTTAGCCTCTTCGAATTTACAACCGTCGATGAGGGGCTCACCAGTGAGGCAACACTACTTTGCCCTTCCACCCCTTTGACTTCGCAATCTGGACTCTCTGGGAGTCCATCGATAGAGCACATATGTGGGTTGTCAGTCTGTTGACGTCTTTTGTCTCTTGGCCTCCCATTGCCATGGTTGCACCGATAATGCTTTCTTTGTCCGTAATGGGCAAGTCGGCGCAAGAAACGATTACTTGAGAGAATATCATGCGGGGATCCGGGGAGAAGGGGCGAGCTTGGGCGAGCTTGTTGCGGGCAACTGATGCACTGATCCAACCCATAGTTACAACCGGGATCATCATGCCCTGGGACTCGTCATATTGCTGGAAGTCAATCGTGTTGGATATCAGATGGGTGACTTTTTCAAGGGCCAGCGTTCCGTCGCGGCGAGGATCTAGGACAGTGGCGCCTTGCTTCTCAACAATGGCACTCATCTAACAAAGCGAACCTAAATGTTAGATCTCCGTCCTTGTGTAGTGTATCGCGTTGGATTATACATGTAACGTACGTCGCTAATGTGCTTTGGCGTTAGCGAGTTGCTAGGCACAAATGCCATATAGCACTCGCCAAAAAGGCCTTCTTCTGCCATGATGAAAGGCTCGCGGTTAAACGGTGTTTCTACAGTTTAACTGTCGGGTTGGGCAGTTGACAGCATGGACAGCAATTCACATAGGACCGCGAGTCGCACTGGCCGTGGTGTTTGCTCGCCATGGACGCGTAGAGTGGACCGCGACGCGAAGAAGGCAGGTGGTCACCTGACCCGTACAACAGGCAGCGCCTGCGACGCTCAAGTCTATTGTGCACTTAATTATACGATTCCTTTGGAGATAAGAAATAATCTTTTGTAAAATAATTCTATTATTTAATGCTTCCGATTATGCGCCGTTGAATCCACAGACTAATGCAAACCTGCGCCCGACAAATGCCCTCAGAATGGACATGTGTTTGATGATCCCATATAAACAAATTATACAATAACAGGCAACGCCAGTGCTCTAAAAGAAATCTTTTCTAGCCGTAGAAATGTTTCCAGGGCTTAGCAATTATTGGTTGCCAATGCAGGCAAGAGCAACAGCGGCTCCAGTCAGCGAACTCTCCTTTGCAGGCACCAGCTCGATGCTTCTCGCCTTGGTAGATTCGTTGCCCTGAAGCAATTCCTTAATGTAGCGTTGGCAGCCATCGAGGTATCCAGGATAGTTTTCGATGACGCTACCGTTGAAGGCCACAGTTGTCTTCTCAAGTTCAATATCGGCTTCAACAGCCTTGCGCAGCTCTGAGGTGCTATCGAGAGTGGCGAGGAACTCGGCCTCAGCCTCTAAGCGGACACTCCAGAGTGTGTAGACGCAAGAAGCGACTAGAGCACTGGATCGGACGGAGACAAACGAGGAGATGGACTTGATGGCCTGGAGATCGGCAGAGGTAGGAGTGTGAGGAGATGGGTGGCGTTCAGCAAAAAGTTGAATGGCTTCAGCAAGGTCGGAGGAAGTATCACTGGAAAGAAAGTTAGCAAAATGCCGATGGCGCTAGAGTGGTTGTCAACTTACGCTTCGATCATTGAGATGGTGTCTGTACCAAGAGTGTAGTTGGTTTCCAAAGAAGCGGGGAGAATACCGCCCAGGAGGCCACAAGTCTCAATAGCCTCGATCATGACAAGGCGGACGATTTCGCCAAGGTACATGCCGCTGACCATGTGCTCAAGCGGCTGGAAATCAGGTCGGGGGTGTTGCTCAAGAAGCTGAGCATCCCATCGAGTGACAGGGAGGATGCCGGTTCCAAACATACCCAGCTCTGTGTTGACAATGACGTGCTTGGCTTCATCAAACCATCCCTCAGGACGGATACCAAACTTGTCCAAGCCCATAGTGTCAACCGGAAGGTAGGCGGCAATGTTGACGCCTGTGCCAAGGATTAGACCGAAGCGAGTGGAAGGGTGTGAGTAGGCACGCGACAAAAGACAAGCGCTAGAATCGTTTAAGATGGCTTGCAGCTGCACGTTGATGCCCTTGGCGGCGCAGGCGCTGTTGACAATATCGGCGAGATCCTTGCCAACAAGGCCAGAATCAGCCAAAAATCCCTTGCCCATGGCTTGCAATGTGCCACTGCCAAGTGAGGTTTGCCTATGGAATGGGTTAGTAACGATCGATTTCACTGGAGTTGTACAATGATGGAACTTACTCAATAGGAAAGCTCCATGCGAGCGCAGCAGGGATAACCTTGTCCGACGTTGGCTGCTTTAGGCCAGCAGCAAGGGTCTCACCAATCTTGGTTGCCATCCAGTAGAAAAACTCCATGCCCTCGAGGTCCTTGATGTCTTTGCCAATGCGGAAGTTACGCATGCTGAGAATCTCAGTCTGCTTGGACTCTTCCACGTCACGGCCTCGCAATTCCACCAAGGCGACTCGCAAAGTTGAACCGCCGACGTCGAGAGCGACAAACTGACCGGCCTCCTCGCCCAATGGGAGCTGGTGGCTGTAAGACGGCAGCATGCACTGCTTGTTGGTTCTCAAGCCCTCAATAAATTGTGTTCTGAGGTTTGCAGAGAGCTGGACGAGGCCCTCGCCGCTAATGGGACCGAGCAAAGCAGCTTCAGCATCCTTCAAGAAGTCCTGTAGGCTCTTGCGCTTCTGACCAACGATTTCACCATTGACAGTAGCGTTGGGCATCAGGGGAGATACCCAGTACGCAAGAATAGCCTGTATCAGCGACTTGCCCCGAAGGAGGCTCTTGACTATGGCGTTGACGAATGCTTTCCGAAAGGTAGACATGGCAGAAACGAGCGGCTGCATGGCACGTAACGGAAGACGGGGTGCAACGGGGGTGGCCCGGGAGTTATAAAGATGTGATCAGAGATGTGGAGGCTGTTGGCTGGATCTGAGCCAACGGAAGAAATGTTTGAATCAAGTTAGACGGGCCGAAGCATGTGGTAACGTCCAAAGTAGTAGCGCCTATGCAGGGACTAATGCGCTGTCGTTGTCGCAACACACTTGCAGAGAAAGTAAGCCGGGCCGTTTACCGATCCAGAGTTGCGACCAACCAAGACGAATCTGCGTTACTAGCGCGTATGTATAGGATGGAACCAGACCGAGAAGCTTGTGACGATGCCGTCTCGGTGAAATATGAAGCAGGCAGGGCGGTTACGGTAGGTGAAGGGAGCTAGGAGCCAGACGAGGGTGCAGATGAGGGTGCAGACGAGGGCGACGTTTGGTTGCTGTGGAGGGGGTGAAGTAGGGTTCGTATAGCGGCACGCAAGCGCGCATGTAGCAACAGCAGCAAGTGAGGAACGGCTGGATCTGGTGGCCAAGGATGGGGGACGTAACCAAGGAGGCGGGTTAAAAGAAAGTGAAAATAGAGACTTTGTTTCGGGGGGGCCAAGGAGAGTTGCGTGCTGCTGCTCCCCCATACCCTGCCCGCACTATGGCGCTGCAGGAGGCTCCAACGTCACAACGAGATGGGAGCGGATCCCCTACCACCTAGATGGACCCGTAGATTTTTTTTTTCTGCTCAGTGTGTCTCGTGTGGTGCTCTAGGCGTGGGGGGGTAGCATTTCGGCGCTGATGGGTGGATGGTAGCAGTGGTATTCTTAGCACACCCACACCGCGGCTGGGGGCCCTGCACGCGAGCGCCAGGCCCATACAAAGAGAGCCTGACTCTGCGAGTATGGGACGGAAATGGCGTTTGAGTCCGGCTTTGGTGGCATGAATTCGTCGGCAAGGCGCTGGCCCTGCCGCGTCGGGCGGGGGATTGTCGCCTGGGAAAGAGGTCACTGAAGGCTCGTTGGTGGAAACAGATGACATGTTCCAATGAAGCCTGATTTGGCATGAACGCTGCGCTGTTGTGCACAGGACTGTGCCCGGCAATGGTACCACGTATTCACCCAAAGCTGTGGCCGCAGCGGGTGCCTTTCACCATCTAAAGTTAGCCGCGATGCAGGCCGATGGTTGCAGAACATCGCCGTGGCGGGCGAGCATCAAGCTGCGGATGCGCTGGCTCGCTATCACCGCGGCGGAACATTGCGCAACTATGATTTACCCTTCCATCAGCGTAATTGTATTATTCTCCAGGGATGATGGATGCTGGTTATCTCGGGTGCTGGACGCATGGTCCACACAGCCAGCAGCCTTGAGCAAAGAGAAGGAAAAAAGAGAGCGTGAGTGAAGAAGCTGGGGAGTGGCGCTGTAACGTTGCGGTGGGGCCGGCTTGTTGGACCGTGGCGCCTTCGGTTGCTTCTGTCGCGCTTCCAAAACAGCGGGGACGCAGCACTGGGCTACAGCGCATTTGAGGCGCCTCACAGCGGTCCGTGGGGGCCGGGGACTCCCCTAAAAGACGCCGCTGGAGGCGCTGTACCTGGCTGACGATGGTTTCAAAACACACTGCTGGCACCAGTAGATAACCTTATAATCGGATGGATATTGCGTCTTAATTAGCCAGCCATCATAGTGTGCCAATTTGAGCAGATATATGCCAAGCCAACACGTCAAACAAGGTGCCCTATGCAATAATAGGCGCCTGCTATCAAACTGCCTTTGTGCTGTCAACATCTCTCGGCTGTCGGAGATTGACCAGATAACACTGACGATGACTGTAATGGCCAATTGTCCTGAGAGCAACGTATGCCGCTCGGCTCCCCCCTAGTCTTGTTCTATTCGTGTCTCAGGGCACGTTGGAGTAATACGCATTGTCCGTTCCACTTCCCCCTCCATAGGTTGTGTCGGGGAAGAGAAACCGAGCTAAGACTGGTGAACAAAACAGACAGCGCCTAAGAAAGGCCGAAGTAATAGAGCAAGACGGCCAGGGCAGGCTCAGCTGGTTGATACGAGGCTGCTGACGAGGGCATCATTGGCACTATGATTGGCCCTGTATATTATGCGTCGGGATGCTAATCTCGGCGGTACTAACAGATGGGCTGTGTGCACGCAACAGCGCGTGTGTTGTGTGCGTCAGGTACAGTTCAGTGCTTAATTCTGACGCTGCGGGTGGTGCCTGAGCCAGTGGCCGGGTGCAGAGTGGATGTATTTTTCCGCGAAACAGAAGCCTCCGTCCACATTTCGCATTGGCTGGATGCACCGGCGGTATTTGCGCATGGGGAATGCGGGAATGACGTTGGCGAGTTTGCCATTGTAGCGTTTGGAGGGGGACGCTTTGGGTGACGTTCCATCCACCAAGTAAGCCCACCCGGCGCTGGTAGCGCTTCTCCCCACTTGGCTCTTAGTGAGAGACAGGAGAGACGAAGATGGAGTTGTCACCTGGTAGCAGCAGCAGGCATGGGAGAAAGTTTTTGGGCGGGGTCTGTCGCTTGTTGGGAAAATTAAAGGGAAAAAGTGAAGAGTAAGTGTGTGTGTCTTGATTTGGCTGCTCGGTGTTCAGTGAAGTGAAATTGATTGCTTGGCGCCTTATTGGTGCATCGACGGAAACGTTTTGCTTCTGTACAGCCTTTTCTCTGCTTGTGCAACAGTTTTAACTTTTAGGGAATACGGCGAATTGCAGGCGTCGCCTTCAGCACCCGCCCACCCGCAACAGGCAGTGTGCTCCAGTGGAGAAGAACACTCTCACTCTGTGTGCAGCGGATGCAGTTGCAACGGCAAGGCTCCTCTAGCAAGTTCCCCACAGTGCCGTAGCGGTCCTCTGCTCGCCGTGCGACGGTTTCTTTTACCCCAATTTTTGGAGCTGCCAAGGTCCCAGCTCCGGGTCCTGTTCCGTCACCTTTTTCCTCTTTGCTTCCCTCGCTCTTCCATTCTCCTCCCCCTCCGCCTTTGGTCTTCTTTTTTTCTTCCTCTTCATCCTTCTTCATCTTCACCAGACTCTTTTCTTTCCAACTCTTCTCTGCAGAATCTCCTTTTCTCTTCTGCATCTCTTCTTTCATACACTACTCCCCTCCCCCACCTCACTTTTACACACACACACACCAACCTACGTCATGAGATTGATCATTCGTGACGACGCTGACGCGACCAGCGCCTACGTCGCCAACTACATCATTGACCGCATCAAGGCTTTTAACCCTACTCCCCAGAACCCCTTTGTTCTTGGTCTTCCCACCGGTTCCAGTCCTCTAGGTGTTTACAAGTACCTTGTCCAAATGTACAAGGCTGGCGAGGTAAGAAAGCTGCCCCTCTGTCACCCGACGAACCGTGCACAAAACGCTCGCTTGTAAAGAGAGAGTGTGCAGTCAGGTCAACTCGTGACATTCTTGAATTGCTCAAATGCTAACCTGAATTGCTTCATTCTAGATTTCTTTTGAAAATGTCGTCACTTTCAACATGGACGAGTACGTCGGTATTCCTCGCGACCACAAGGAGTCGTACCACTCTTTCATGTGGAACAACTTCTTCTCTCACGTAAACGTCCACCCTTCCAACGTTCACATCCTCGATGGTAACGCTCAGAGCCTTGAGGCCGAGTGCGTCGCTTACGAGGACGCCATCAAGGCTGTTGGTGGTATCGATCTGTTCCTTGCCGGTATCGGTGAGGATGGCCACATTGCCTTCAACGAGCCCGGCTCCTCGCTTGCCAGTCGTACCCGTGTCAAGACGCTTGCCTACGACACCATTCTTGCCAACTCGCGCTTCTTCGACAATGACATCAACAAGGTCCCCCGCATGGCCCTCACCGTCGGTGTCCAGACCGTCTTGGAGGCTCGCGAAGTTGTCGTCATCATTCTTGGCCAGCGCAAGTCTCTTGCCCTCCAGCGCTGCATTGAGCAGGGTGTCAACCACATGTGGACTCTGTCTTCTCTCCAGCTGCACCCTCACCCCATGATTGTCGTCGATGAGGACGCCACCCTCGAGCTCCAGGTCAAGACTGTCAAGGTAAGCCCACAATCTGCCACTCCAATTCTGCATCCTGTTCTCATTTGCTAACACGACCAAACAGTACTTCAAGAGTATCGAAAAGGTTGCCCGCGAGGCTGGTTTCGAGCAGATCCTTCCCTCCAAGGCCCGCACTGGTAACGCCCCCACGATCAAGACTCGCATCGACGCTGTCGACTCTCCTACCATCCACGCTCCTCAGCCCACCACCTCGCAGCTCCTCCGCGCTACTCCTGCCACGGAGTACCCTATTCGATCTGTCTCCCCCGAGCTTGTCCCGGACCGCATGGCTTCTCGCATCCCCGAGCCTTCTCTCAACCAAAGGCTCACACCCAAGCTCAACGAATAAGAGCCGTTGTAACGCCTAAGAAAAGAGTATGTTGCAGCGGCACCGCCTAGGCTGAGCAGTGCCTCAATTCACGCTACGATTGACCCTTTGCTCCTTGTCGGCCTCGGTGTGCCCATTCTTTGTTGGCTTTCGCGAGGAACCCAACACAAAGCCCCTTCTACTTGCTAGTTTCGGCTATTACGCGGTCCATGTCTTCTTCACTTCTTCACCTTTTATACCATAAAAAACGTTGTATTTCAGTAGAGCTCCTTTTTTGATACATAAATTAAAATCATCTTTTTACGTATTGTCACTGGCTGTGCTATGCTAAAGCTCACGTGTGGATGTTGGGGTGGATGTCAACAGACTCGGATTTGTTTTGTAATATGTATTTGAAAGAAAAGGGCTATATCCATCCCACTGTTCACACACCGTTCAAAAACTCCATGCAAAATCCTCAACCTGGCAAATTTAGCGCCAAGCGCAATACAACAAAAAAAGAAGAAAGAAAGCGCCGTCAAGCCGCGGGGAACAATGTAAACTGTGCATGCCGATGCCGGCGGCGGCCACTGAACTACCGGACTGGTTTATGTAACGGGGGGTATAATGATACAACTGTTGTGCCGTTGCGTTAAAAGGCTTGGGCTGAATTTTCCTTATTTTTGTTTTTCCCTTTTTTCACTCTGCCGCAAAATATCGCTTTGATTTGCCTTGCGCCTTCTGTGCCTTGGCCTCGGGGTTGATGGCTGTGTGGTGGACCACATGAGGGCGATAGACGGCATCGACGGGCGGCATCCAATCGTCAACGGTGAGCGGGAAGTATTCGTACAGCGGGTCAACCTCATCAATCGGGCTGCTGACTAGATTCTGTCCTACGGCGGGGTGAGACTTGCCGAGCTGGGGGCTCTGCAGCTCGGCGCTCGATCGATTCGGACTTCGTTCGTCCTCAGACAACGATAGGTTGATCGGAGCGCCCGTGTTTTGGCGTGACACAGAGCCGCGCTGCGATTGATTTGTGGGAAGAGCAATCTTGGTTGCCTGGGCTTGCTCCCATGCAGGTACAGGTGGTTTTGCGCTGCTCGGTGACATGGCTACTCGCTTGGACGGATGCGGGCTCTGGTTTGGCTGCGAGATTGGCTGCGGTGTTGCCCAATCGGATGAAACCTGTTGTGTAGCATTAGCATTCATGCATGGTCTGGTGAGTTGCAGGTGAGTAGTACATACCGCTACGTTATTCCCTGAAATGGACGGAAATCGCTGCATGGCAGCCTGCAGCGCCTCTCGTTCTTGCTTGAGGCTCCCCGCATCGGAGCTCATAGTGTTCTTCCTTTCGGCGCGTTTATTGTCTGCCGTCAATGGGACGTCCTTTCTGCTATCAAAATTTCGGGGACTGCGTCCTCGAACGATGACCGGGCCAGACTGAATTTCGGCAATTTTGATGTATTCGCCGGTTTTTGTCTTTCCGGAAAGACTGATTTGGACAACATAGTGCTGCTGAAGACCCTTTCTGCGGCCATTGTTGGCTGTGGCGTGTTTGAATTGTAGCCGTTTCCAAGAGACGCCGATGGAGACTCGGTTAGCGTCCAACTCTTGTCCGCTTGTCAGATCCAAGTTGACACTGGGTGGTGCTCCGGCGATTTTATTCTCCTCGCCATTCTGTGGATTTGAGCTCTTCCATGGTATCGATATGATTTCTGTCGCCTTTCCTTCAATGGACTCCAATGCCGAAATTGACGCAGAGAGCTCAGTAATGGGAATTTGGCGGCCTTGTTCGTCAACAATATTTGAAATAGATCTTGGTAGAGTCAGCTGGCCAGAGCATTGCCATAGATTTCGGCGGTAGCAGGTCAGTTCTAGCGGACGACCGGCAGTTTCACCGCCAAAGACATCTTCGGCGACAAAGAACATGCCGTAGAGTTCAGCCGTCATGTTGATATCTACAAACTTGCCATTCTCATCTGCGACAGAAGCAGTGATGGTAGGATCAGAAAATCCAAGGAGCTTGTTATCCAGCTCCTGTGGCGATGATTCTTCGTTGAGCGTATCTTGGTTCTGGACAGGCTCGTAGCTTCTAGCTGAGTAGGAGAAGGGGTCTTCGAAGGTAGGCGCAAAGTGCTCAAAGTCGTACGCAGGTGTAAATGGCATGGCCTGCAAGCCACTGGTATCACTATTTTCACATTTGTTGATTAGCGCACGATCGACGACTTTGGTTCCGATGCTGTTTGCTGGCGGGCGGCGGAGCGGCGAGAATCCGTCCGCATGCACGCACGCCGGGGCAGCAACGGCATTGGCGGGTGCGCTTACATTAAAGCATCGTCAAACGTCAAGTTCTGGTCAAAGGTGTCCATGGACATGCCCTGGGGGCCTTGGTGACCCAAGTTGATGCCATTGTTGTTTGCCGCACCAGCGGACAAGGCCGGGATAGAGTTGTAGGCGGCCATGACGCTGGCCCAGAGAGGCTGCGACGGGGTTGAATTTGTTGCTCACGCTTGCGGACCGAGAGGCGGGCTATCGCAGAGGCGCGCGGAGATAGGGGGCGGGCGAAGCAAAATCGACCTGCGATATTGCGCCGACGCAGAGAGATGCCGTTAGATGGGGTGTTGAGGGAGCGGCGGGTGCTGGTTCGCGGGGAAGGAGATGGTGAAGATGAAAGGAAGCGTAGACCAGAAGCAGAGTAGTGCCGAGGACCGGTGCAGTACCTAACTTGGACAGCACAGCAACCTGCAACAGCGGGCAGAAAACAGTGTGGAGAGGCCTAGAGAGCAGAGAAAAAAACTGGTCTGTGGGGGGAAGACAAGGGAAAGACTGGGGCAAGTATACCCCAGTGCACCCACCTTTTGGCACCAAAGAGGCCCAGGCTAATGCGCCTGCGTCTGCAAGCGCCTACAAGTACAGTACAGGGCCACCGCACCGCTACCAAGGGAATTATAGGCGTGCAGGGGGCGCTGTCCCAGGCGGGTCACACGCCACCACGGCCTAAATAAGGAGGGACAGGAGGGCAAAACGGGCACTGGCAGCGGGAGGCTACGTTGGGCCTGGGCGCTGTCAGCGGGAGCCCAGTGCATTACTGTCACCACTGTACTGTACCCGGGGTGGGAGGATGTGACGCCCATCTGCCATCGACGGGGAACCAACAGCAGCCACGCAATGGGTGTATCGGGCGCTGGTTTCTGTCATTTTAGCAAATCATGGATGGCGGCGCCTATCTCTTCATCCTTGGTTCTTCCCTGCTGGCTTGCTGCTACTTGTACCGCCGGCCCTTATCGCTGGCTGGCTGGCCGGCTAGATGACTGTCCGGCTGGAACTAGTCAGTCGTTCTGTCCCCCAACATCGTGGGTACTTTTGCGCGCACTGCCGTTTTGTAAAGGCTGGCTGGCTGGCTGCCCTCCTCTTTTGCTGGCAATCTACGCTTTAACGGCATTCTGGCCCCGTGGCTGACCTTGAGGCGGGGGATTTTAAGCAAGATGCCAGGGGCCATTACTCGTTAGTTCTAGCCCAGCCTAGCCTCTGGCGCAGGCGACAGGCTGGCAGGTTCCGTGGCGTCTAGTCAGCGCTGTTTCTTGCATCTTGGCTCTCTGGACGCGATATGCCGAGTCTTTTCCCAAGAGCCTGGATAAGCATGACAAGTTGCACATGTAATCAATCGTCGTTATGCGACCACGGGAATCTACGATGCCGCTTCATTTAAAGGCATAGAAGCCTGACAATAAGCCGGGCACAGTGTCGTGGTTTCGACAGAATCAAACACAGTGTGATAAGCATCCCCTGTAAAATACCCCAGATTCCCTCCACACCCACCGCCCGCAGAGTTTCAGCAGGCTGCAGCGCCCTCTCTCTGCTGGGTTTGCCCGCAATTACCTCCAACGCCACCAAATGCAGCACGTTTCTCTCCCCCGCTCTTCAGCGTGTACCCGTGAACCGGCGCATGGAGATTCTAGAACGAGGCAAGATCCGGAGTGTGGTACTATAGGCTTACTTGGCGCCATAATGTCTCTTGACGCAGTTGTCACGGGTTCCTCGGATGATCAAGTTGGTCTCAGTGGGAAAGATCACGAAACGCCTTTTGATTGGTATTTTCTCCCGAGGAGTCTAAGTGTGGTGTATACTAAATAGAAAGACCCAAAAACACACAGAATGTAAATGCTAACGCCGCTGTGGCTCCGCGCCATGTACAGTGTCTACCGTAAGCCGTAGTAATAGTTAACCGGCCGCCTTGGTCAGGCTTCTCTAAGCAGCCTGTCCCTCCTGGAACACGCGCGTACCGAATTTCCATACTTCATCCAAAACAAGCTGGCTTCGGCCGTCGGCCGTTTGCTTATCAGTGAAGATGATGAGATCGGCATCGGCTCCAGCCTCCAACGTGCCCTTGACTCCCTTGACTCCCATCATGGCCGCTGGGGTGGCAGTAACAGCCTTGAGAGCCGCAGGTATATCTTCGCCAGACCATTCGAGGAAGTTGTTTACACATTCGAGAAGAGTAATGGAGCTATAAATCAATCGAGTTAGCCATCTGGGGTCGCATAGTTTCATAGAAGAGAATAAAGCTTACCTTCCGGCAATGGTATCCGAATCCTCCAACAGCAATTTCGAGCCCTTCTTGACAATATTGCAGACAGTTTCACCGTTGGTCCACGGGTACGCACCATCGGGAAGACCAACCAAGTGCATGGCATCCGTCACCAGGATGAAACCCTCCGGATGGGCGTTGTAGGCAATCTTGACAGTGGTAGGGTGCAGATGGATACCGTCAGAAATGATGCCGTAGTAGGGTCTGGGCAAGCTCTCGGCTTCTCCCAAAACGCCAAAGATTCCGGGGTTGCGGTGGTGCAAAGGGCGCATAGCGTTGAACAAATGCGTAATCATGGTGGCGCCCTGGGCAACAGCTTCGGACGCATCCTCGTATGTGGCCTCGGAGTGGCCAATTGAGTACACAATGTTGCGCTTGGTCAAATCGGGAATGAGTTTCGACATGTTGCCGCGCTCGGGAGCAGCCGTGATCATACGGACGGGAATAACATCGCCCTCGTTTTGCGGTGTCAAGTTTGCAGCTCCATAGCACTTTTCCAGATCCTCAAACGTATGCGCCTCAATGAGAACGTCGACGTTATGAACGCCGTTCTTGGTGGGGTTCAGGAACGGGCCTTCGCAGTGAGCACCGAGTGATTCGGCACCGTCTTCAGCTTTGTGAGAGTGGCCAGATGGGCCGAGGTAGGGAAGAGCCTGTAATAGTGTTTATTAGCATTGGCATGTCTATGTCAATAGAAGCACGTAAAGACTTACAGCTTGGTAGAGCTCAGGACGTTGACTTGTAATAGTAGGAACATAGGATGTGACACCAGTCTGCACCATGAGCTTGTTGACTTCCTTGAGCTGCTTGCCATACTGCGACATGTCGTCGAGCAAGGTAGAAAAGTTGAAACCAAAGGCGCCATTGAGCTGGCACTCAATCATGCCAGGAGAGATGATGCGACCGCCAAGGTCAATGGTCTCTTCCGGCAGGACTAATTGATCAAAGAAGCACGCCTGGCTGTCCACAATCTTTCCTGTTTCGGAGCTGACCCAAAGGTCAGCCTTGACAAGCTTGTCACCTCGCAGGAGGCGACAGTTTGTGAATTTCGTCAAGCCATTTTTAGGCTGCTCGGAGGCGACGGCGATGGGCATCTTGGCGCAGTCGTCTACAAGTGAAGGTTGTGATGACAAGAGGAAGAAGTATGATGAAAGGAAGGGGTGAGGAGCAAAAGAAAAGAGAAGAAAAGAATGGGAAGAGGTCTAGGTAGGCGCCTTCTCCAAAATACGGGAAAAGCTACGTTGAAACGGCTCGCAACACGACTTTTGGACGACACATGGGCAGGTAATAGGTCCGCTGAGTCCACCGGGGGCCCCTCCATGCCAGTGACGACACACACCCGGGCCCCTCATGGTTACGGAGCGGTGGTAACAACGGGAAGCGCAAAAGTTGGAGAAGCCCAAAAAAAAGTCTGATCGTTACTTGCAGCGACGGTACCATCTGTGTTTGGCCGGTGGAGCCTGCAGCCAGCCGGTAGGGCGGAGGCAAGCGCGGTAGGCCCGGGTTTGGGTGGTGGACGCCGGCGATGACGACGGAGTTTCCGGTTTGAGTAATGCAACGGTTTGTTCTTTTGCTGGTGAGATATTTCTTTTTTTGTGTTTTAAGATAATGGCTGGGGTGATATTTGCCTCTGCTGGATAACAACAACCTTGTTGGATGGCGGCATGGTGACGTTGGACGGACTGGAGTCGTTATGCCCCAAGCCTGCTTTTGGTGCTTTACCACCTATAGCACCCGTACAGCACTGAAGTGCAGGAAAGGCTATTACTGTACCGCATTTGCATGATAGAGTAATTCCTTTAATTTATCAAGGCCAGCACGGCTCTGTTTGGCTCTACGCTTTCTATTTTGACACTGTATGCGCCAATCTCAGTCATTACATTTAATATCATTTTGCATATTAATATATTACTCTTGGTCCCCAGGCATACCTTGGCTGCGGTCTCTGTCCCCCATCCCGCCTCCCACACTGAGCCCAGTCGCCCCCAGGGCATGTAACGTTGAATTCGCCGAGCGCAGCCAAAACCCAGGTGCTGCCCGCCCACTGTAGCCACCAGCCCTTGGGTCCACTGGAGGCTTTTGGCCCACAGCGCTCTTCCAGCTACCAGTTGTGCCAGGTGTGCCAGGTGCCAGCTCTTCGAGAAGAAACGCCGGCTTTAGCCGACAATCTACCGGCCCTCACCAAACATCTCCAGCACCACCACAGCCAAAGGCGGAGAGCCGCACACCAAGCCCAACCACCCTTCTCCGCACTGAGCTGAGCTGACTGGCCTTAGCGCTGGTCTGCCGAAACGACAATCTCTCCGAGCCCGCGATTTCGACACATTACCGTTTCACTCCGAGGCTAACGCTCACACGTCGCCAGGCACCACCACAACCAAGAGCATTGCGACCTGTCACGCCAATGACAGTGTCTCACTTGTCTGGATCATGGCCAATTCAAACTCTAATAATCTCGTCGATATAAGCGATTTAGACCCACTATGGCAGAATCTTGAGTGGTACGTGATACCTCGATGCACATCATCCCCAACTGCCTCTTCTGGCATCAGGCTCTAATCCACATCGAGGATATGGGGCGTTGGTGCATATCACTTTCATCATGCGACAATGAATGTGTCTGGCTATCGACAATGTGCTAATTTCTTTGCAGGGCCATTGGCCAAACCCTCATCATGGGTTGGGATGGCACAGAAGTGACACCACAGATTAGAAGCCTTATTGAGGATCACCATCTCGGCTCCATCATTTTGACTGCCAAAAATCTCAAATGTATGTGTCTATGATACTCTTATTGTGATGCATCTTTGATCGCTAACTGGCTACTGCTGCAGCCGCTCAACACACGGCTGAACTTTGTAAAGAATTACAAATGATCGCCAAAAATGCCGGTCATCCTCATCCCCTTCTCATCGCCTTGGACCAGGAAAACGGCGGAGTCAACAGTCTCTTTGATGAAGACTATGTTTGCCAATTCCCAAGTGCCATGGGAATCGCTGCTATTGGCAGTTCAGAGCTTGCATATGAGATTGCAAAGGCAACAGCGACAGAAATCTCAGCTTGCGGCGTAAACCTTATGCTCGGCCCGGTTCTCGACGTGCTCAACAACGCTAGATACCAACCGTTGGGTGTTCGAGCAACCGGAGACGATCCACAGGAGGTCTCCCAGTATGGACTGGCTGCCCTCAGCGGTATTCGTGATGCTGGCATGGCGTCTTGCGGAAAGCACTTCCCCTCTTGGGGCAACCTTGATTTCCTCGGCTCTAATCTCGACGTTCCAATCATCACACAGACATTGGAAGAATTAAGTCTAAGCGCTTTAGTCCCATTCCGAAACGCAGTTGCTTCTGGCAAGCTAGACGCCATGTTCGTCGGCGGCTGCGGTATCTCTAATCCTTCTATGCAAGTCAGCCATGCTTGTCTCTCCGACCAAGTCGTCGACGACCTGTTGCGCAATGACTTGGGGTTCAAGGGTGTTGCTATATCGGAATGTCTGGAAATGGAAGCTCTCAGCCACGATATCGGTGTGCAAAACGGCGTCGTCATGGCTATTGAGGCTGGCTGCGATCTTATCCTGTTATGCCGAGCATACGAGGTCCAGCTAGAGGCTCTCAAGGGCCTCAAGCTTGGTCTTGATAACGGAATTATTTCGCAAGAGCGCATCTTGACATCTGTTAAGAGAGTCTTGCAGCTAAAGGCTTCGTGCACATCATGGAGCAAAGCGCTGAACCCACCAGGTGTGCCATTGCTTTCGCAACTGCATCCATCACATCTGGCCCTTTCACGACAAGCTTATGACCAGTCAATTACGGTATTCCGCGATAAAGAAAAGTTACTGCCGCTGTCTGCTTCCATGCATCCTGGCGAAGAGCTGCTCTTACTGACGCCCTTGGTTAAACCATTGCCAGCATCCGCCATGACGAAAAGTTTGGAAGAGGGCAAAGGTCAGGGAAGCGGACACGCGCGTTGGCTTAATCGTGGAGACAACAGGAGTGCTATTATGAGTGGTGAAGGCGTTTTCCGAGAGTTTGGCAAAACTCTTGCAAGATATAGAAACGAAAAGCTTCTCCATACTAGCTACACGGCTAACGGCGTGAGACCAGGTAAGTGTCTTGATTATTGACTCAAATACATATGCTAACATGTTGCAGTACACGAGAACTTGATCAACAGAGCGTCCTGCATCATCATCGTAACTGCCGACGCGAACCGCAACCTCTATCAGTCGGGCTTTACCAAGCACGTAGATATGATGTGTTCCTTGCTGAGAAGCCGTGGCCAGAAGAAGCAACTTATCGTTGTCTCTGTCAGCTCACCATATGACTTTGCCATGGATAAATCCATCGGCACTTATATCTGCACCTTTGACTTTACCGAAGATGCTATGTCGGCGTTGGTACGTGTTCTTGTTGGAGAGATTACACCTATTGGCACACTGCCAGGTACTTTGAGAAAGAGCAAGAAGGTTGTCAAGTCGCGGCAGAACTGGCTTGTTGAGGAGTTTGACCGCGACCGCGATAGCACCGGCCTTAAGGATCTAATTCATGCCGTTTACCGGGCCAGCGCGCCGGATCTCGCTTTTCTCGGTGGCACGACTCCATCATCGTTTGAACTTTTCAACCCCAACATCAAGGAATCGCATTTCGTCGTTCGCAACAGCAGCACACAAGCATTGTACGGATTTGTCGCTACATATGTTACAGGGAGCGTTGGAATTATTGGTGCTCTTTTTGTCGACCCTGGAAAGCGAAGCGTCTCCATCGGGCGTTCGTTGCAGCGACGCGCACTGAAGAGCTTCTCTCAACACCGGGGACTGAAAAAGGTACAAGTCGGTGCGTCATTCCCTGGCGTGTTCTTGGGCATTCCCCTTGGCAAAGAAGGAAACACAGTCAAGGAGTGGTTTAGCAATAGCGGCTGGGACACGCAGTTCCCTCGCCGCCTGACCAATCTAATTATCCAGGATGTTAGCAGCTGGAGCGCACCCGAGGGACTGCTCCCCAGTATCCAACGCGCCAACATCAGCTTTGATCTCATCCATGGTCTGGAGAATGGTGAAAGTGTTCTTAGCCATGTTCGTTCGCACGGAAACCCTGAAGTCTTGGTTCTCTATCGATATGCCCTGGCAGAGAGCAAGACTTGTGGCATCGTGCGAGCCAAGGATAACGCAGGAAATGTCATTGGAACTGTTATTATTTGCCGACCAAGCAGCCCTCTGGGTGCGTATATCCCGGGGATCCAGTCTCGTAACAAGGACGTTGCTGGCATTGTTGCACCCATTATCCCACCGAACCCGCAGGCTGTTCTAGTCCTACAGGGACTGGCTCTAATGAGCGTTCGTCAAAACAAGACGCACAAGGCGTCGAAGACTGTTCTCAGCTGGGTAAGCCACCCTTTTCTTTTGTTTATAGACACTATGCTAACCAGATTTGTAGGCTGTTGACGATACTTATGAGCCACTTGTTGCTATGGGCTTTGAAGTCCTGCAAGCCTTTGAAGAAATTACCAATTCTGCTGATATGTGAGCGCTACTGGCCTTCGATTCTATATCTCCCAGCTCTAATCTAACTTTTTACTAGTCTGCAAGCATAGAGCATGGCGCAGCTGTGCGTGTATATGGGAAACTTTGTACAAACTGGCGCATTCTTGGGCAGGGTCCTCGTCATTTATTATATTTTCCTGGTGTTTTATGTTTCCAATAACTTCTCTTTGTTCTCCCCCGAGTTACTATATATCCCAAAATATGATTATCAATTTTTCTTGTACTTTTCTTTAGAGTTTTATATAAGCTATGTAACAGACTTAAATGCTACGGCCGTCTAAACCTCGGCCACCGTCCTGGTGACAGTGGGAGCCGGCGTCGGCGAAGGTTAGAGCCGGGCCGCGCGCTGTGATTGGCCACCGACACATCATAAGCGGGCACCCACTGGCGACGCACCAGGGAGGAGGAGGCAGACAGCTTCGTCCCGCTTGCTGCTGGCGCTTCCGCTTTTCACTGCTTCTTTTCCGGCTTAGCCAATTCTGCCACTGCACCAAACACCACAACACTGCCGGTGACGACGAGAGCGACTGGCACGCGAACCAAATGCCCTTCCTGACTGCGAATTTATAACCAGAACCACTGCTGACAGCTGTCCTGTACCGCTGCGTGCACACCAAGCTTGCTGCTTTCCAATCCGCCGACGGCTTCTGCTGGCGATTTCCGCAGCTGCGACGACGGCCTCTCTGCCCACCAGCCGCCCACCATGGCGACGCAGCAGATCCTCTTCGCCGAGACCATTTCCGGCATGAAGAAGGCCTTCAAAAGACGAGCATATGGTACGTTTCACTCGCCGCATTGGGCGTGGTTCTCTGCGCGCGCGACCGCCCTGACGATGTTGGCACTAACGCGGTCGCTTCGCCGGCTACAGAATCAGACTCCGACTCCGAAATCGACCACTTCTCGAATCGAGGCCATAAATTAAAGAAGCGTGCCCGCTTCGCACGAAAGGGTCAACTTATCCCGGCGACGGGTCCTAGTGCCTACAAGGAGGCAAGTCTTTTTTGTGTGGCTGCCCACAGCGACCGCCTGCTAACCAGCCCCCAACAGGAGCTCGAGTACGCCGGTGTTCGACGATCGATTATTTACAAGAACCCGCCGCTCATCGACGATGACGGATACGAGGTTGAGAGCGGCGATGAAGCAGAGCGCGTGGAGGAGGCTGCCATTACCGCTGCCCAGCTCAACCCCTACGCTACCCTCCGGCTAGAGCGTGAGTGTTGGACACGCCATACGAGTTGCAAAAATCACTAATTTTGGTTTGATTAGACATTCTTGCGCCATTGACGGCATCGACCGATCTCCCTTCACACCCAATCTACTCGAAGCCCTTTACGTCGAAAACACTGACAGAGCTGGTCCACCAAAGCTGTGGCATCATGCGAAAAGAGAACCAATCGCTGTGGGAAGTCCGCCATCTGTGGACGGCTCTCTATGGCGACAATACCTGGCTTCCGTGTGAAGCAATGATCGGATCGGAAGATGCAGAGTTGTATACAAAAGACCATGTGGCCGCCCATCTGCTGAGTCTGGCCAACGCTGAGGCCTCCTCGACGGGCCAGGTAAACGGCGAGGCATCCGACAAGCCCGACGCCAAAGATGAGGATGTTTCTATGGCTGAGGCGACGGAAGACAAGCCTGCCGTCGACGCTACCAGCAATCAGGAAGCATCGAAAGCTGACAAGGCGGACGGGGCCGCCGACGCCGAGCAAAATGCTGCCGACAACAACGAAGACGATAAGGATGAGTCGAACTTTGTTCATCCCATGTTTCTGCCGCCGACAGGAGCCAAGCCCGATCGAGACCTCGGGCTTCCCGAAAAGGAGGCCGACGATGTGCGAATGCTCATAGCGCTGTACGTGCAGAAGCAGGAGGAGGTTTGCCGAGGGACAGAGCGACTACACGAGGGACTGCTGCGAGCAGAGCGTCTTCGAGCCGAAGTTCTACACTGGTCCAAGGCAGAGGCCCACTGCGGCCCCAACCGCGATATGTCTGATGGCGAGGACTGGTACGATAAGGAGGAATGGGGTCTAGTGGAGGATCTCAAGAAGGGCCACGATGAGGAAGAGGAGGATACAACAACACAAGGCAAAACGAGACGCGCCAGAAGGTAGCTGCTGCTTGTGCCGTCCACATTATGCATGCATCCAAAAAGGGTGGTGGTACTTGTTTCGTCTCTTGCTACTGGTGGCATTTTGTTTAGTGTACAGCTGCGGAGGGAGGGGTTAACGACATTTACGATTTTCTACTGTTATTATATACCTGCCTAAATGCAATTTTATTTTTCTTCACCTTTGTGTTCTGTACAGATGTTATTTTCATGTCCATTGCTCTTATTTGTTGAGCAGCAAGGTGTACAATCACATGGAAAATGGCAATTGGCGGCTTTAAATTTTGTAGGTGACGTTTTTGTTTACTCCAGCACCTTCTTTCCAGGGGTTAGGTACCGCAGCTCCTCTCTCCCCCAACAAGGGCGGGGCGGGCGGACGTGCCCTGGGGTACAGCGGTACAGCGCACGTTAAACGGCTGGCGCGTTGCGATGGCCGCCCTTGGCAACAGTGCAGTTCTTCCTCCACTTTGCATCTGGTTTAAGGACAGCTCTCAACAGATTTGCGCGATTCAATTACGCCAGTCTAGGCAAAAAAGCACGTGAAAGTCCTGATTGACCTGCGGTTAAATACAATTTGGAGATCCCTTTTTATTCGCTTTTGTTTTACCACGCGCTTTAGTACCCTTCTGACACAACAAAGCAACGATGGCTGCTACCTTTGTAACAGACTTGGCCAAGTATGTCGACTTGGACCAGGAGAGTCTCTGGAGTGCGTGCCATCCGTCGATAACGAAGATTAACACATAATCATTCGATTTAGGACTAACAGGCATTTTACAGTTTCCGCCGGTGCCATTGCCTTTAACCCGCTCTTTTGGAAGTGAGTATTGTCAAACTTGTCCTGCTCCATCCATGACCTATGCGCGCAAATTCTAACCTGGCTTCTTTTCTCTCTCTGCAGCATTGTCGCCCGTCAAGGTACGAAACAATCGATAGCGATTTAACCGGAAACGATGCTAACACAGATACACCCGCGCGTATAGAATACCACAACAAGATCTTGACGAAGCTGTTTGGCGGTAACCGATATGTCGGCTGCTACGCGCTCGCCGCGGCCATTTTTGGTCTAGGCTTGTTCCGCGATTTCCTTTACAAGGCAGCCCTTGCGGACCAACCGGTTCATCCTGAGCTCGATACGGAAACTGTCAAGCTGGCGTCCTACGCCCTGTTTGCGGTGGGCAACTTGCTTGTCGTATCCTCGACTATTAGACTAGGCATCACGGGAACTTTCCTGGGCGACTACTTTGGCATCCTGCTGGACGAGATGGTCACTGGCTTCCCGTTCAACGTGACAAGCTCACCCATGTACACGGGCTCGACAATGAGCTTCCTGGGCGTCGCGCTGTACTATGGAAAGCCTGCGGGTATTGCGCTGACGCTCTGGGTGTACGTGGTGTACCAGCTTGCCTTGGGCTTTGAGGATCCGTTCACGGCCGCGATCTACGCCAAGCGCGAGCGGGAGAGGGCAGCTGGCAAGAAGCAAAAATAAAAGAGAGAGATGGAATAAGAGATGGCGATCTGGTGCCTTTTTTGGGCGGTGTTCTGATGATTGAGCAGCAAGTGGCGTGAGAGTCGGTGTATACTTGTAGCTAGGTGCTCGGTTTAGACGGTGGCGTGAACTCGGTAGACATAAACAAAATATCCAATGCAGAATGATCGGCTAGCGAGATTGGAGTGACATTCATCCGTATGCAATTGTGAGCAAGTAAATATCATCCGTGAAGTGGATTATCGTAGCACCTTGAGAGTTGCAACTGGTGTTGTTTGCTTTGCCGACGATGGCGCAACAACCGTTGGATGATGATGATGTGCGGCTCAAGGACTGCTGCCCGGCCCGGGTCCAAGCGCCATAGTATTTTGCACCGAGCATATTTGAGGCTCACTGTCAATGTAATGGAATCATCGTAAAAAGTCCATGCTAACTAGTTTCTTGTGCCGGCTCACGCGACGAACTCTTTAGCAGGGTTGTAACTGTAAAGGGTAGGCGAGGCAGGCTGGCCATCCGACTTCTTCCGCACAATGTCTTGCAGCGGACCACTTAAGGGCGCTGGCTGGAGAACTTGGGACCCGCCCGCAGCAGTGCACTACGGAGCAGCGTCCGTCACCCGTTGAAGCCCCCGCCGCCCCGAGTGCCGGGTGGATAGAACGGGGCGGTGCAACTGAGAAAAAACCCTGGGTTCTAGAACGAGGCTCTGAATGAAAGTGGCAGCGAGCGAGGTCATCTGGCAAGTTATTGGTGGAAAAGGGTTCTTTTTTCATTTTTGGGCTGCCGCGTGCCGGTGAGTTGCTTCATCTGGATACATCTTTGGGATATGGACGGCGGCGTAAGGCCGTGTTGTACGTATGTACGGTGATGTGATGCGATGTGATCCCATTGAACTGCGTTTCGGCGTCATGGCATCCCGGGGGCCTCGTATCGCCAATCTAGTGGTCTAGTTTTATTGTGGCCATTGTTTGCTTTCTGTTGGTGGTCTTTATCAAGGACGCCTTGCCCACTGAACTATTTCGTGGGCTGAATGCAGAAATTCGATATTCTGACTTGGACAGGCCCAGCGCATTACGCATCCCGCCCAGCCGCAGGCCCCATCTATTCACTATTCTAGGATTCACAGTTGTTGAATATTATCATTCTGTCTTGGAAATTATCTTCTTTTCCTCTGTTTTATGCATCATTACCCGTCTCTTTGCATTGCAGTGACGGACAGTGACAGATCCCATCTATAACTCTACACTGCACTATAAGCCGTCTTCAGTGGTAAGGATCTTCTCTCCTCCACTGTTGCTGCCCTACTGCTCATCCTTTCCGCCCACTAAAGCGTTCCTCCGCCGCCGTCGGCAGAGATCGGGAGCATCCCCCCGCAAACACCATGAGTCCACTAAATTATTAGCAAGGGCCCTTCATTTTTTAGCGCCTGCCTGCGCCCAAGCAGCATCCGCTTCAGGCAGTCCAGGCCCGCTTCCTTCTCTTCAGCGCCCCTGTAGCAGCCAGCCGCGCCAGTAACGCAACCGTAGCTGTTGAAGGAAAAAAAGAACTTTTTCTTTCTTTCCTTTACTTAGGCCCCCACGCCCACGCCGCAAAAAGAAAAAAGTCGCCCATCTCCAACTGCATCTGCAACAGTAGCGGCTACTACCACTACTACAACGTTTTTTCACTAGCTGCACCAGCTGAAAAACTTCGCAAACCGCCCTCAACCTGCAGCCAGGCGCTTCTGCTTACGGGCAGACTTACTCATTCGCTCGCTATTTCTCCCAATTTCGCTACGGCCCATCTGCTCGGACCACCAATCACGCCGAACGTCCATCGTGCCCCGCCAACAGAGATCCTCCTTGGCTGCAAAACTGCATCTGCATCCTGCACAAGAGTGCCCCCCCGGGCTTTGGTATATGAATAGGCCGTCCTCTCGCTGCTGCTACACACTCTTTTGAAATCTTGTTTATATTTTTCTTTTTTTTGGGACGTGGCTGCTACAAAAATGTCTTCTTCCTCCAACACAAAGCCCACAGCGGCTGGCACTCGCAGTAGCAGAAGCGCAATCTTGGGATCGGAAGCCACTCCCGATGCCCAGACCTCCGCTGCCAAGGATGCCTCCGATGTCCTGCTTATGCCTGTGTCTTCAAACAGTGAGTCTACTGTTGGCAGCTCACACCCGCGCGGCGTGGATCCTTCCCAATTGTCATCGCGGTTGACTGTGACCAAGCTGGTCGGCGCAAAGTTGAATGGCATCGCCAAGTTCTTTAAGACGTATGCCAAGTTTGTTGGGCCCGGTTTCATGATTGCCGTTGCGTACAGTAAGTAATCATCCCGGAGCTGGTTGCTCATACATACTTGAAGCCAACTCGTGCTAACGAGAGACCCTTCTTAGTTGATCCTGGCAACTATGCTACCGACATTAGTGCTGGTGCCACGTACCAATACAAGCTGCTCTTCATCGTACTGCTCAGTAACATCTTTGCCATTCTGCTCCAGAGTCTTGCTATTCAGCTTGGCTCCGTCACCGGCATGGACCTTTCGTCCGCTTGCCGCGCCTATCTCCCACGCTGGCTCAACTATACTCTGTACGCTTTGTCCGAGATTGCCATTATCGCGACCGATCTTGCAGAGGTACGGCATCATGTCCACGACAATACTCCTTTATACACTATTGATTCTAATTGTTTATAGGTTATCGGTACTGCTATTGCGATAAACCTCTTGATCCCCCAAATCCCTCTGGTGGCTGGTGTCGCCATCTCTATTGTCGACGTCATGTTCATCCTCATCTTTTATAGACCAGACGGCAACATGCGAGGCCTACGAACCTTTGAATTCGGCGTCTGCTTGCTAGTCCTCGGTGTCGTCATCTGCTTCTGCATCCAGCTCTCTCTTATCAAGGATACCAACGTCGGCGATGTCTTCCGCGGCTACGTCCCGTCGAGCGCCTTAATCGAATCCAAGGGGTAAGCAGTACTTTTCTCTAGCGTCCTACCTTGTTATGCTAACCAGTCAATCAGATTGTACCAAGCCTGCGGTATTCTCGGCGCTACAGTCATGCCTCACAGTCTCTTCCTGGGTTCCGGCATTGTCCAGCCCCGTCTTCGCGAGTACGATGCCAAGCGCGGCCTGCTCCCCGAGGAGCCTTCCTCTTCGGCGTCTTCCACCATGGACGAGTTTGACAAGGTCGTCTACCGACCATCCCACGCAGCTATTAAACATTCCCTCAAGTACTCCATCACCGAGCTTGCCATTTCGCTTTTCACGTTCGCCTTGTTTGTCAACTCGGCCATTCTCATTGTCGCCGGTGCCTCGCTGTACCAAAACGAAGAAGCCCTGGATGCTGACATCTTTGGCATCCACGACTTGCTTTCGCAGAGCATCTCGCCTGCGGCTGGAACCATCTTTGCCCTTGCCTTGCTCTTGTCTGGTGTCTCGGCTGGTATTGTCTGCACAATTGCCGGCCAGATGGTCAGTGAAGGCGCCTTGAGATGGCGAGTCAAGCCTTGGCTGCGACGTCTCTTGACACGTTCCATTAGCATTATCCCCTCGCTCATTATTGCTGGCGCCATTGGCCGCGAGGGTCTCAACACTGCCCTGACAGCATCGCAGGTCGTGCTAAGCAGTGTCTTGCCCTTCATCACTCTGCCCTTGATCTACTTTACCAGCCGCAGCAAGTACATGACTGTCTTGCCTGGCATGGCCAGACTGCAGCATGAAGATGCCTCTAGATCCAGTGTACAGTCTGCACTGTCGCCTGATGGCATTGACATGTCCCTCCCGTGGTGGCTCGTCATCATCTCCGGCCTCGTCTGGCTTGTGATTGTCGTCATGAACGTTGCCAACCTTGTGCTTCTCGGTCTTGGAAATTCTTGAGCGACTTTTCCTCTTTTTGCTTACTTTTTGGATGCGATGCATGATTACAGGCGTTTAAAATCATCATTTATAGACATTACATGCGGTGACGGACTAGACAAGATTGTGTTTTCCATTAGATATACTATCACGACCTCCCTTTTCTGGTTTTCTTTCATTATCTAGTATATTTCTTTTTTTATTTACTCTTCGTATAATCACGAATATACATACAATTTTTATCAATTCACTATCATTTGCTACATTTACTTATGAGTCGCTACAAGCGGCTATCGTGCTAATGTAGCTGGCCGCTAACGGACCTACGTCACTGGACTTGGACCCCACACTGGTGCCCGCCCCCGCGTTGTCAGCTTCCAACGACTCTGTTCCGCAACCGCGAGGGATGGTATTCTGATCTTTGCGGGCATTGTTTCCCACGGCTATCTTTCTTAGTGAACACATATACAAACTGCACAACCGTCTGCCTTGAGCTTTCTCTTTCCTCCATTCTCTCCAACCATTCACACCCAGCTTCATCTATCTGTCACTGCGAGCTAGGCGTGCGTCACCACCAAACGGCCGCAGCAGCGCAACTTCTGCCTCCATTGTCTATTTGAAACAAGCGTTGCCATTTTCATTCTCCTTTTCTAATCCTCAGCGCCGTATGCAGCTTACAATACTTCAAATATCCAGTATCGTCTCCAACTGCTGCCATCATGTTCTCACAAGTAAAGAACCCTTTCCCTCGATGGCTCGTGGCTCCAGCTAACATACTTATGTCTCTAGAAAAAGCCCTTCTCGGCCGTCACTGTCACCATCGAAAACCTTACTTCCGAATCTTACCAGGAGGACGACTTCAGCGGCATTCCCGAGCTCGTAGAAGTCATTGGCCTCCAAGCCTCTGGTCCCACCGAAGCAGCCCGCGCCATCCGCAAGAAACTCAAGTACGGAAACGTGCATCGCCAGATCCGTGCGCTGATTCTTCTCGACGGGCTTATCCAGAATGCTGGGCCTCGCTTTCAGCGCGCCTTTGCCGACGAACCGCTTCTCGAGCGACTGCGTGTCTGCGGTACATCGGATCTCTCTGATCCACAGGTGAAAAACAAATGTCGCGAGCTGTTCCGAGGCTGGGCTACGTATGCAAGCACACCCGGCCTAGAGAGGATTGCTAGGCTTCATAAGGTACGTATGCTGAGTTTGGTAATTATGTGGTGCAGGATATGCTAATTGGTATGCGCAGGAACTGCCCAAGCGAAAAGTGGCCATGACGCAGGCCCGGTCCAAAGTCGTCCAAGAAACCGAGAACCCATTTGGCGATGACGAGGAAGAAGAAGCTGCGCGCGAGGCAGAAGAGAGACGCAAAGCCCAAGCAGCAGCTGGACCGTCGACTCAGGCTCAGCCATTGCAGTTTGGACGGTCACCGGGCATGGTGGACATGTCCAGCTCCAAGGATAAGAAGAAGAAGAAGGACAAGGACAAGAAGAGCGGCAAGGGCAAGAGGTTTAATCTCGAGGCCGAGCAGGAGCAGATGAAGTCTGTTATTGCTGAGGCGTCCATGGCATCGACGAATCTTGTGAATGCGCTGCAGAGCATCAATCGAGAAAAGGAGCGGATATCTGACAACCAGGCGGTGATTCGCAACTTCGAGGCTTGCAAACAGCTCCGAAGACGAGTTCTACGCTACGTAAGCTGCTAAGACTCTACAATTGGCAACGACACAGGATTACTAACCTGCCCTTCTTACTTAGATTCACCACGTCGAGCATGAGCAATGGCTTGGCGGCCTCTTACACGCCAACGACGAGCTTGTACACGCCCTCATGACTTACGAGCAGCTTGATCATGCATTCGATGCTGACAGTGACTCGGACGATGAGATTGCAGAGCAGGCCCATCTCTATCGCAGTACGTTTTGTCCCCGTTGTGTCTTAATTCTCCGAACATCTCCTATCTATCCGCAGTCTCCGTGGAATAACGCTAACCAATTCTCGTCTCACCGCAGTGGTTGCCCAACGAGGAAAAGAAGAACAGGCTGCTAAGGCCGCCGAGGTGCCGCCGACGAGGCCCCCTCGGCCGACGCAGCCTGCCGACCTGGAAAGCGAGTCTGAGGAGGAAGACGAGGAGGATGAGAACGACCCGTTTGCAGATAGGAACGTAATCAGCACGCCTGGCGTGGAGCAAGGAGAGCCCAAGTGGCACTGAGTGCAGGCCAGCGCGGGTACAGACGAGAGCGCCAACCGCCCTCATGGTCACGAGATACATATGCATTGCATCATCCAGGTCCAGATCCCAGGAACCCTGCGTAGATAGATGATGATAGGTCAAGCCAGGTCCGCATGTACATATACAACATACAAAATCCCCGTTCTGGCCCTGTGTACCGCGCGTCGGAAGGCGTACCCACGAGATGGGATCGTGCTCCGGGTAAATTGACGGCTCAAGATGTGAGTTTGTCTTTGCTGAAGAGACAGATGCCGCTGTTCCTGCTTCACTAGTACGCAGTTGTGATGCACACTCCCCCTACCTTTTGCCAATTAGGCAGGCCCGAAACAAGGTAGGACCAAGCTGTGCGAATGCCGCAGGTTGGGAATGGATGATAGCCAACGGTATGTTGCACGCTAGTCTAGCGCGTACTGCGCTCCCTCTCCTAAGGAAGTCGGCCGCTCATCCAGCGCATCACCATATAACGCTAGACATGGGATCGAGACGTAGCCGGAAAATTTAGTACCAGCTCTCGGGCATATTCCTAGAGCCAAGGTGCAACTCATCACAGTCATTTGGAGCCAAGTTGAGCAGCCACGTGGGCTGCCGCACCCACGATACACAAGTTTAGCCAAGGCCGCTACTGCGAGTGTAGTCTGATGTGGCATGGGGAAGTTTGATCGACGTGGGGAAGCGATTCTATTCGCGGCTTTCCACAGCCTTGTGGTCTGGTGGACGGAAAATTATGTTCGCCTGTTCCGCCGCAACCACCCCAGCTATTTGCGTCATACGTATAAGCGCCAGCAATCGACAGTGAGAGTCTAAAACGAGTCATCGAAAGGGGGGATAAATCAGCAAGCGATTAGAAAGTCAAAAAAAGTAACCACAAGTCCTGGCCGGTCAAGGCATAGTGCTGATTTGGATGGCTTTCCAAAGACACACCCTCCAGGCAGCAGCATTTCGACCTATTGTTTGCTTAGGGTTGTTGTACACCAGGTGAGACACCGCACTGTACGCGAGAATCATGTCCACCAACTGCGTCGGGCGCTGGTGGCGTGAGGGGTCCCTCCCTCTTCCCATTGAACATTTCTCTGATGTGTGTATGTCTGGGATTGCTCCAAGAATGGGAACATTTTCCCTGTTCATCATAATGCCCTGATTTGGCTGGGCTGTGTAAAGGGGCGGTTGTGGCGCTCAGGACCACGGGCGAACCGTTCAACTCGTCTACCCTTGAGACGCCATCGGCCCTATTTACTTGACACAGAGTTTTTCGTCTGATAAGAAACAAGGAGGAGGAGAGGGCGTTTTGTGCGCGGTTAGCAAGGCTGGGCGTTGCGCTCTGCAAGCCACCGCCATCTCTTCGCACTGCCCGTAGGGTAGGCAACAGCCAAAATAACAATCTGACAGGAGGACAGGTTCAAGCAAATGTTGCATGAAGTGACGCCTCAAATGGAGCCCATCGGTAGCGAAAAGAGGATCCTACAAGGGATATTTGCAAGACGATTCGTGGGTGCCTAACATAATTGCCGATGATTCCTTGAAAGGGGATCGAGGCGAGCGATCTTCGGCGATGCCATGCCACGCCGCTTGGGCTCTGCTTGCGATACCGGAAGCAAGTGTTTTCGTTGACCGACTGGAGATTTGAGGCTCGAATCCGTAACACTAGCTGCATTGGGGCGACGCGCGTTGCATTTCGCGCTGGCCGAAGCGTCGTGATGTCGCAAGCCGCGCTTCAAGAAGAAAGAGGCTGGAGACGATTGCGGTGCGCGCATCCATGCGCAGTTTGTCTGCCTGTCGCCAATCCAATCAGTACGGTCAGTTACAAAACTGTTGGGGAGAAGAGCTAAGGCGGAAAACTTTGCAACCCAGGGAACAGGACCGGGAATGGCATCGCCCAATGTAGCATTGTATCTTCCCGTGCGGCTCCCCAATCCCGATCTCCGGTTGTCGTCGTGTTAGTGTGGCTGAGTTTAAGCGCGCCCCAGAAGAAATTGACCCAGTGCCCTCATTGGCACACACCCACGAGTACTTGTTGCTATCACGATCAAAACGTAATGCAATAACATGATCGATATTACCACCGGTGCTAGGATTGGAATCGGTACCAGCGGTGCGATGCGCGCTGACCACGGGCACTAATTTTTGACTCTATTTGTGGCGCCTTGTCGCTCAACTTCCATGCCAATCAATGGACGGTACATATGCAAACTCAACATCATCATCGGCGAGTTATGTAGAAATATTGCTTCTTCATTAGAACACAGTCCAATTCATCGCTGGTGAGGAGATGCGAGCCGGCTACTTTCTTTTCGTAAAATCCTCCGCTTCCCAAGCTCCGGATGTCGGTAGCGGACGACAAGGCGGTCCGATATGAGACCCAACGGTCAAACTAATCCGCCGAATCGCAGTTCGAAACCTACCGATCCTGCATTGATTCACATCGGTAGAGAAAGCATCCGCGGAGAAAGAAAGAAGTAATAAAATGACAACCGAGTAAGAGAGGGTGAAAGTATTACGATGTGCGGTGATTTAGCTGGAGGTGTATGGTAGGATGCACTCATCGCACACGCCCATTCATTCAGGGCTGGATCGAGCAACAACCAGACGAGACAGCCATGAAGCATGGACGACACGCTTTCTATCTCACCGAACCCCTGTGTCGTATCCCGGCCGGCAAGACTCCACCGATCGTTCAGACAGAGGCTCTATTGCCCAAATAGTAACGGCTCAAAGCCATCCGAGAAGTTGAGGAGCGTTTGTATGGGTTCTTTCAATGCCCACGCGTTGCGTCTCCACAGGCAAAGTCTGATGGATGCTGGCGTCTTATTGTCATGGCGCCGCTGGAGTGGGCTGCTGCAACACACTCCACCACCCTGCTGCTGTCGAGGTTTGTTACGAATTACTAGACTTGACGCGCGGCATCCCTGGCGACGATGCAGCAGTGCCGTGCATGTCTGGTGCAATACGACGTGCTTCCAATGCTGCTGCTCTGCATGGGTTTGCAACGGTGGACCACCTCGTCTTAGTCTAGCGCACCCACTCGGCTAGCCAACTTGCCGCGACGTCAGTACTGACCACCAACGCCATCGGGTTCCCGCCTGGCGAACGCTCTAGACAAGGCTGGCCGGATGGTATTGTCCCGACTGAGGCTCTTTTGATCCTCCTTACAGCTGGTGTCGATGCGAGGTGAGGAGTGCAATATTACACGCCCTCGTTCACGAAATGGCGGCTCCGGAACTGGTGGAAGCCGTTGAAGAGGCATGCGCCATGTCAGATTCGTTGCCATTCGTTACTAGCGGACAGTGCCCGTCTTTGCCACCAGGCCTGGCAGCAGTATCATTTGAGAGACAGACCGGTTATTATAGAGCGGGATGAGTGTTGCTTTGGGGGTTCGTCGTGCATCCAATGTAACCAAAGATTCAATAGTGCACCCTTGGCAATCAAGGCTGTGCGTGCGTAAAGCCTGATGGCTGGCAGAGTGTGGGGAAGGATTTCCATTCTTGCCTGCTCTAATGCAGCACCTCTTATTGTAAACTTGCCACTACAGCGAACCAGTGGGATCAACGGCGGTGGAGAGAATCATAATGATCAACAGTGATTGACGCCTGCTGCTGGCTGTCCAATGCGAGATTCAGTGTGATACTCATTTGGGACGATGGCGGCGGCGCAAGATACCTTGACTCGCTGGCCTATCCAAATTGTCGACTGGTGGCTTGTGGTACCGCCGGACTGCTTTATCCCGAGCAATCCACATATGCCTCGAAGCGGTATATCCCAACGGTCGAAATTACAGGTTAAAAAAAGAAAAAGGCTGGTTCGAAAAATGCAGGTCGATTGCGAGTTCTATTGAGTCAAGGTCGGTGGTGATCCACTCGGGCCGTCGCATCCCCGAGCTCGCAGGGGAAGCAGGGGGATCTTTGTCCACAAGTTGGTGTCGCGTGCCGTTGGTGATCGCTGCGAGCCCCTGGCGATGAGAGTATTGGCTGACAATGCTGCTGCTAATTACTCGGTGAGGGTCACGGCGAAGCTTGTGATTGCGATACCTCGGTAAGGAAGACAATGTTTAAATTATTGCCAAGATCTTACATGAGGCGTTCCGTGTACTCGTCTGATGGCCGTCTTTGGTGAGCCAGCCAGAGATTACCGAATGGCGGGGACCGCTACGAAGGTTTTGGCCTTGGTGCTGACAGTGGTTGGCGCTAATGCTCGCCAAGTGGGAATGTGATCAACCATCATCTGGAGTCAGTGGGCCACAAGGTCTGCTCTGCTGTGCCGCTCCTACAGCAAGGAACCACGCTATCGATTCTTTAATTTGTACCGCCTTTGACGAGGGCGTCTGGCTGGGGCGAGCGAGCTGTCAAGAGACCTTTGCGTCCTGTCTGGTGTTTCTGATGTGAGCATGTTGCTTGTTGATGGATGACTATTAGCTGCACGCAGGGTCCAGCGTCTTGACGGCAGGCAGTCGAGTCGAGACCTGGGCTAAGCTAAGATTGATTGTTAGAAGCACTAGTACTAGTAGTAGCGAAGTCTAAGATGACAGGTTCCGCTCGGAACCAGATGAACCGACATCAGCGTAAGGTGGCCACATTTGCACGCTCATTCTATTCTACACAGCGCTTTGGTTGACGTGGGTCTCCTGAAACGCGTACCAGAGCAATGAAAGGAGGATTGTCCAGAACTCGCCCAGTATCGGTCAGGTCATGCTGTGCGGCAGGGCTTGAGGCTGATTGAGCATTGGACATGTCGAGAAAAGCCACGCAGCGGTGCAACTGGGGTCGCCTGGCAGAGGGGGACGAGGGGAACGTGTGGCGGGCTGGTGAGGGGTCAAATGCAGCCTGCACGCACGGGCATCGAGAGCCAGGAGTCTGTTGTTGGAGAAGTGCCTCGTGCTGTAGTAAAACAGTAGTTGAGTTGATGGTGCTGCTGCAGGTCCAGCCGCTAAAGGACGTGGCTTTTTTTTTCTACTGTACAGCGTTGGCTTTTAGTGGAGGTGCCTGGGTGGAGAGGGGGGCGAGGGGGGGAGTGCCGTCAACGAGCGACGAACACCACACAGTGCAAAAAAGAGGATTGCAGGTAAATGAGGCGTCTTCCAAATTGGGTTCCAGAAACCTGTCAATGGCGGCTAGGCTAGTTTGGGAACCCCGACTCGCATGAGGCCGATCGGGCCTCTCCACCCGACGAACAAGCAAACAAACCCATGCGTTGTTGGTACTGTACTGTACGAAGAGAGGCTAGGGCACTGCAACGCTGTCTCTGTCTGTCTACGTACCTGCCGTCTGGCGCTCTACAGTACGCTAGGTGCAGTGCCGTACGCACTGTACCAACCAAATAGACATTCTTCTGCCCTGCTTTTAACTCATTAGCCATGCTCGCTAGAACGCTAAACTAGGCAATCTTAAACGAATCACCGGTTGAAGAGCCGGAGAGTACGGAGCCAAGACTTCATCTACGTAGCGGGTCAGCACGGTGAGAATCCGAAGACGGGAAGCTGATGGGCGATCTAGAGATACGCCGTGGTGAGAAGCCAGACTCTGTTGAGCAGAATCACGACAACAGTCTCAGATAACAAAGCAAACACGAACCTGCAGCAACAGATGCAGCAAGACGAAAAAAGAGATAATGATCCTGGTAGCCTGTCCCCAGTAATAACCAGCCCTTCGGTTTTCCGCCGACTATGCACCGACACTTTGCTAGAAACAGAACCTGCAGTGGGCCAGCGTCACGGTACCTTGTTCCAGGGCTGTCTTTGAAACATGGCCCAATGTCGGCGTCATTTCTGCTGGGCCCTGTCCAATGGGCAACACTAGTGCCGACCACTTTTTTGACGCTATTCTCGCCTTCTCTGTAGGTGTACAACGCCTCTTGCGCTATTCCTGCAATCGCATGGTCCTACCGCCGTAACATGCCGTGTCGTTCCTAGCCTGTCTTCCCCCTTCATCGACGCGGCTTGACAACGTCAACTGTCATGGCGAGTCAAGCACCGCGCGCCTGCAGCGTGAGCATACTGCAAAGGAAGCAGTTACAAAACGACAGAGAGTAAGAAATATAATACGGAAAGGTATCGGAAAGGCCCTCAGCCGCCGGAAATGATCGAACCCGACTTGGCCGGTTAGGGCAGACTGCTTGTTGTAGCGGAACGCCGCCTAGTCAGCAAATGAACCCAAGCCCCCCCAAACGGGCAGCCTTGGGGAGGTTCTGTTTTGGAGTTACATTAGGCTAGCTAGGCGGGACACCGTCATTACCGATACAGTACCGAAACAAAATCTCCAAACGCTCAGACTGAGCAGCGTCATGATCAACCATTTCGTGCGGCTTGCATATTCGCTCAGCCACCCAATGTGAGGAGCGCCATGCAAGGGGACCAGACAGTGAAGAAAAAAAACGCCGCGTCTACCCAGCTGCGGTGGTATGCAGTATATGGCCGATTCCCCACGGCGCATTGACGTTTTTATCTATTGCCGTGCGTCTACAGCAGTATTAGCAGGCGCAGCAGAACCAGCATCAGTGAAAGTGACAGTCAGGTCGACGCAGCCACGGCTTGTCGCCCTGCCATGGGCTACGGCACTTTGACAGGACGCCTCGTCTCGTAATGTCCTGAGACGTTGACCGAGTAGGTTAAATGTTCGTAGTTGGTTGGCACGAGATGCAGGAAACCAATGGGCTCGTTTGCCAAATGAGCAATTTCCTGTTCCATGAAAAACGCATCTTAACGGCCATGAGGGTCTACATCATGCATGAACGCACGCAGCCAGCCAAGCTATTGCAATATGCGCTGGCTTGGAGGACTACTGCAACAAAAACTCGCCAGACAGCCGTGTCTGGCCTCGTTTTGGGCAGATGAGGCGTGGAGCTGGACCAAGCCATTGCCAAACCCACAGACGTAGGACCGTATGAATGACCGAAATAGGACCTAGCTGTTTTTTCTTTATTTTCGTTGATGCCAATTTGCCACCACTTCCAGCTTAGCGCCCAGTACCGGTGGTAATCCATGCCAGGGCCGTGATGTCAAGGGCATTAGCGCTTCCCGCTGTCATGGCATTGGACCCGATGCGCAGCGTGTTGCGGGTGGGAGGCATGACCACCATGCGTCCTGTGACGACAAACTCTGCCTGGATCGACCAAATGCGATGGGCTGTGTGTTTCGTGAAACAAAAATGCAACAGCCAGACAGCGGCAGGCATCGATACCCGTTGCAAAGGCAATAGCCGTTTGTCTGCCTATTGGACCTTGCCGTCTATGCTGGACTCGCCGCAGAACGCCGGCGAGCAACATTACTATAAAATAGCAACCAGCAGGGTCATGTATCGAATACAACAGCACAGCCTGTCCAGGGCGGCGTCTTTAGACCTTGGGGTGACAGCCGCCACTTAGAAAACGTGTAAATTGGAGCCAGAAGCCCTAGCAGCAAGAGGAAGTAGGCAAATGGGACAGTGGGGAAACGTGGAGCAGCAGCAGCCAGACCAGCGGGCCAGCCGCCCAATACTTTGCATGCAAGAAGTACAGTAGTCGATAGCAGGAGGAGGAATAAGAGGGCCACAGCAGAGCCTAATGGATTGAGAATTGTGATTGGGCTTGGACATCGTTCTACTAGATGAAGCTAGCCTGCTGACCAAAAAAAAAACACATAATTATTTAGCAAGGAAAAAAAAGAGGGCATTTGGGAGATAGGGATGAGATGAGAATGAGAATAACGATAGAGGGCCCCGTCAGCCAGAGCCACAATTTTTTAGCAGTGTGTACCTGATGCTATAGTGTAGTAACGTTGGCTAGAGGTGTACCATAGTGTACATTACAGGACATGCTACTGGACGGACAGCGTCCTGCACTACGTTGTAGAGGGCATCTTACAGTGGACACTACGTACTGTGGTGTACTGTACTGTGGTACGGTGCCCGGTGGCCGTGCCCCCCGTACCTGCTTGCCTGCCCCTGGCGTCCCCCAGCACCTTGTGCAGCAGCAGTAACCCAGTGTGAAGATGGTGGTGTGGGTGGGTGGATTGGTGCCTGTTTTTTTTTTTCCCTTGCGCCCCGTCAGAAAGTAGAAACCCGATCTTAGTAGAGTGGAGACCCATGGCTCCGCTTCTCTTTTTCCCTTTCCCTCTGGCTAGTGTGGGCGGGGTGCGCGGCTGCACCGTATGGTCGGTGGTGGTGTGCTGTGTGTTGTACCTGCACCTGCTCCAACTGTAGCAGAGAAGTGGAGCAGGCTTTCTCCAGCGGCCGCTGGGGACTGTGTGCGCCACGCCTCAAGTGACGAAAGCCACCACCAGTGCAGTACAGTGTGCGCACGCATGGCAACGCCGTTACCCGTCGTCATCCATCAACGCCTGCATGGACTCCGGATTCTCCCTTGTCTGTCTGCTCGGGCAACTTCATTTTTTTCGTTTGCTTTTTGGGCTCCTTATCTTTCGCCGTGGTCTCACCGATGATGGATCAGATCTATTCGGGCCATTGTTGTCCCAGGCTTGGCCACCCCGTCAGCGGGCATGCCCATCATCATCCTCAGCAAGTAGCAGTAGTTCCACCACCACACACATTGTAGTAGACGGACGACACCCGCTGCGAGCCGCTACCACCAAAGCAACCATCAACTTTGTATCTGACAGACAGACAGACTAGACTGGACTGACTGACAACCCCAAACCAAAAGCGTCGTTGCTCGCCTTTTTGCCTCTTGTGCTTGCTGCAACGCACGCCCCCTTTTGGGCTTTTTTTTGGGGAAGCATGGCATGGCCTGGCTATTTTGCATGTAATTCTGGCAAGGCTGCTTCTTGTATTATATTAATGGATTCCAATCCCCCGGGACCTGCATCCCACGACGCCCAGCTTCCTTGACACACCACCACTATCTGTGAACTTGACACCAATCAAAGCATCCTTACCAGATATCGAGACAGTTTTTGTTCTCCATCTATTTATTTTTGTTACCATCAACCGCAACGGCTACAGTTTGGAGACCTCCTCTACCAGCAACCGCAACTCACTCCGTTTGAGTTGACCCTCTCCCATCGATATATCGGCGCACAGAGCATCTCATCGCTGCCAACCCCTCTTTCTGGATAACCTCCGTTCTCCTCCGCTTTCCATCGTGATCGATTCAGCAACGACCAAGAAAAAAAAACGGGTATGTAGGCCCACGATGTCGAGCTTCCTGTTTTTGTTATAGTTTTCTTTCCTATCTGTTCGACCTGCGTCTTTATCTCCCGTCCCTGTCTGCCCGGCTTACATCCAAGGGATCCCATCCATGCCGCCGGCGATGTCTGGGCTATTTTTACACACCAACAAACACATCATACCACACCACACCACCCTTTTTCCTTTCCGTTTCTTTGCCTGCACGACTCGCCTTCCCGCCCTTTTCCGCCCCTGGCATGTGCCCCTCCTCCCCCAAAATAGGGGAAACACAAGTGTGTGTGTCTCGCTGGCGCCGGCGCAGAAGCACGACAGAAGGGAAATGGAATGAAATGGCATGAACAAGGCAAACGGGCTTCTCCAATGCCTTGGGGCTACGCTGGGCGCCGTTTTCTGCTGGTCCCGCCGACGCCACACCCTTTCAGTCTGCTCCAATTTTACTCTTCACAAGCTTCTAGCGCTGTTCCTTTGGGCGCTGCCGAGTGGCTATCGCCAACGCCAGCACGCTACGCTACCTAACACATCGCGCCGGTTGAGTTTCCCTATTTTAGCCAGTGGCCGAAGACCTGGGAGCGAGCGACAGCCGAAACAGCAGCATGTGCTTGATGCTAGTGATTCGTTGAGCCATTGGCGCCGGAGATTGCCTGTCTTGTTCTGTTTTTGGTACCTTTGCGTTCTTATCTTTCTTCTGATGAGTGGTGGGCCAAATCCAAAGTAAGAGCAGCGTCTTATTTTTTTTCTGCTCCCCTTCGTTCCAGAGCAAGATGCTTTGGAAATACAAGCAAAGAGAAAAAAAAAAGGCAATCGGACACACCCCTGACCGCTCCAAGGTTGGCTGTTGTGTGCCCACACCCCCCCGGGGCGCAGCGATGATAGTGCACGGTGCAGGACACAGTGCCTGTCGCTCTGCTCGTGTTGCAAATAAGCACAGTCTCTGCGGTTGCTTTTACTGCTGCTTTTGGGGGGGTGTGGCCCCAGAAACCAAGGTGGCCGCGCCTTGGCCCCAGCCCAGGGTTGCTATACTTTCTACAGCAGGCAAGCCGCCAGCCTAGCGGTTGTACTGCTGCTGTACTGCAGTGCCTTCCCCTTCCCGCAAGGAGTGGCCGAACGCTACAGTATGGCTGCCCTGAATGAAAGATTTTCTACTATTCCGTTTCCAGGCCGTCGTCTACACATCTTACCCATCTTCCCATTTTTCTTTCTTTTTTTGCCTTTTCTTATTTCTCTTATCTCTGCATATCAGCCCGGCAGAGTTTTCATTCGTCTCATCAATGCATCTTTAATTCAACACGTTGGCGGTCGCGACTAACCCAAGTTCCAGCCTTGCTGCCTACGCTCTTCGGCCATCCCGCGCCCACCACGTCGACGTCTACTAAACTTCATCACCACCTCGCACTCGCCGCCGTGCTGCTCCCTTTGCACAAAAGTGCGCAATCCCGCCTCGGATTTCGCTTTGCATAACTTTCCTAGTCTTGGAAAGCTTGCAATCGTGATTCCCGCCTTACAGATCGGCCCGTCTAATAAGAGTCGAGTCCCGTCGCCCTCTTGTTTACCGATCCACCTTTGGCCTGCGCATCGCATCGCACGTCCTCCTCCTCCCTCACCTACTACTACCTCGACCACCTCGACCCGGGCTCTTTGACCCTGCTCTGCCCTTGCCGGCCGCTTCGCCTCGTCGACTCTTCGTGCAAAGGGCCTCTACGCGCCCAAGCCTCGATACCCTCCCATCGACGGTCACGCATCCCCCGCCTCCCAGAGCCGCGCTGTGACGAAACCCACCTCTAGTCGCCTTGAGCTCTAGCTGCCCCCTGCGTACGTCCGGACCGCGCCACGCACAAAACGATAGGTCTGGGGTAAAGCTCAACAGGTTTTATCTCTTCGGCCTTAATTTCCCTCTCTGTCAAACTCCAACCTCGTTCCGCCGGGTTGTGTGTATGCAATTGCGTCTCGCCACCATCGGCATCGCCACGATCAACATCGACAACAACAACAAACCCTAGTCGATATATCCCTTCCCTATCCCCTCCCTTCCTCCTATACGTTCTCTCCCCAGGCGATACGACATCGATTCAACCTGGCAGACGCCACGTTTTAACGGGTAAGCACTCCCTCCTACCTACCTAGCTTAGCTTCATATGGGTTCGGTGTCCAGGATTTGCAACTGGGGCGGTCATGAGTCTGTGTTGCATGCCATTCCTCTTGGGGTAATGCACGGCTTGTGGTGGAGTTGAGAGCGCGGGCCAAAGAACGGCCCAATCCCAACTTTGCATGCAACAACACCAGCCTACCCCTCCTCAGTTGCCTTGGTACTCGGCCCAGCCCTCTCATATTATCGTGTTCGCACTCAAGATGGTTATCCGTGCAGAGACCTGACCCGCCCTTTTAGTTGTCGACCTCTTGCCCTCCTCGTCTCAATTCGAGCATCCTCTAATTGTATCCATCGTTTCTGGTAAGTGGTCTCTAAAAAAGGGAAAATCCAATCCATCAGCCCATCCATCCAGCTGATGTTGTGGTGGCGTGGCGAACCGCCTTTTTCAACCCCTCTAACCTGGTCCTGCAGATAGAATATTGCCATGAGTACCGCCATTGCGGAGCCTATGGACATTACGAACGTGCTGAATAATAGACTCGGCGCTATGGTCCATCACCAACACTTTGCAACATACAACGATCCTCATCAGCTCTCCTTCATCAAGCCAGAACCCACCATGGACAGATCACAGCCCCCTCATGGCTCAGATCATGGCTACGGCCAGCCCCAGGGTATGCCTAGATCATATCAGACTCACGCTGCCCTGCAAAACTCCATGCACATTCCCAGCAGCATGGCAAACAGCAACTACATCACCTCCTTCCCTGATATGCCTGGCATGATGTCGAATATGCCCATGTCCCACATGCCTCAGCACGTGGATCAACATCAGCAATCTCAGCAGCACCAGCAGCATCAACAGATGGATAAGGGCGGCGAGCCAGCCAAGCCGTATTCGTGCAGCAACTGCTCCAAGCGCTTTGCTAGACGGAGCGACTTGTCAAGACACGGTATGTGATTGCAATAAAGTACAAAGACCAAAAAAAGCCGAGATTGCTAACAATTTGAGTTGCAGAACGCATCCACACGGGCATTAGACCCCATTCATGCGATTTCCCTGGCTGTGACAAGCAGTTCATCCAAAGATCAGCTCTTACCGTGCACAAGCGCGTTCACACAGGCGAGAAGCCTCATTCGTGTGAAGTCTGTGCAAAGGCATTTGGTGACAGCAGCTCGCTTGCTCGCCATCGCCGCACTCACACCGGCAGCCGTCCTTACAAGTGCCCGTACGCCTCGTGTCAAAAGACGTTTACGAGAAAGACAACTCTCACCAGACATCAAAACCACCACACGGGCACCATTGAAGAAGACACGGCAACAACAGCTGCGGCACTGGCAGCCGCTGGCCTCAAGCCTGCTGGACAATCACGGTCTGAGCCGGATCAAATGTCGAGCCACGGCTCACCGCTGTCGACACCATCCCCTGGGAACCGCACAACATCCATGTCTCCCGGTATGGATATGCCCAACGGCCTCCAGCGCCATGGCAGCGACTTCCAGTATCTCCAGCAAGCAGGCACTCTGCCGCCGCATCTGCGCGTAGGTAGCCCGTCGTCGACGACTTCCAGCGGATACGCACCCACCAACATGCGCCCAACATCGCATCCTACTGGCTACGGCCCGCCACCTATCCTCGAGCCCAGCGTGGAGCACAGCCAGCCCGGCAGCGGCAGCGTCTCGGGCAGCCCGCACATGAGCAGCGTCGGATGGCAGTCGCCCTCGCAGGTCACATCTCCCTCGCAGAATGCCGCGGGCTATGTGTATCCTGATCCTGCGTCGTATCCTCCCAACGCGGCCGCCATGGGCGATATGTACTACGCTGGTGCACAGCAGATGCGTCGCCCGCAGAGCACCGAGCCCGGCATGGTGCACATGGCTTAGAGAGTGTTGCTTTTTCACTTTGCTAAAACTCGGCTGCGTTTGGACCCGGACTTGGTGTCTCTCTGCGAGATACTGGGATCGGGACCTACATCTAGGAGTCTTAGTCGCTGTCTGTGGACTTTTGTCAGGGATAGAGGAAAATCGAATCTGATACCCCCTCTCCTATGTTGACTGCATTTATTGTTTTTGCTGCTTCCTACTAGCAACTGACAAAAAACCCACGACAAAAAGCCGGCGAGTTGTCCATCTTCTGGACAATGGCCGCTTTTACACTGACGGCCTTGAACTTTGGGGTTTCTCAAAGTTTCTGCACTCCTCTGTTGCATTGTTTGTTTCCTTTGTCTAAGAATCGAGAGCTATATAGACTGGATTGGTTGGTTTCATCCATGCGGCTGCTTGGGACAAATACACGTCTTTTTCCTTCGTTCTTCTTGACTGCTGTATGAGTGGTGGTTGTGCTGTGTCTGCGGCCAGGGAGTGTAAAATCATGGGATTTATTGTGTGGAAAAACGCAGCACTTTTGGTGTTTGCTTTTGGCGAACTTTTTTCCTTATCTTTGTGTGTGTGTGTTTGTATTTTATGTATGCTTGGTAACGAATGTCATTTGCTATTTTGAATTGATACGCGGGCCAGTATGATGAACAGTATTGGGCCATCCTATTCCTCTTGAACTATGGTTTACAGGATTCATGTTTTCTGGTGATTATGCAAGAACAGCCCATTATGGTATATTGATATCTATATAACACCTAATGTATGTGTAGCTATACTTTTGAATTGGATCGTGATATATCAAACGCAAACGGTTCTCCGCTAATCAAGAGATCTGACAGGCTAATTTAATCGTGTTTACGGGGTACTAATGATACTGTTCTCCTATGTCTCCGAAGGGGCCTGCCTGCTTACATGCATGTGCTAGCATCTCATTCAGATCGTGTAATCGCAAAGCAATGGCCACCTTTGGAACCTATATCAAACCGGAGATATATCCCCGCGGAGCAATAAGGTGGTCTGGATTCGGGGTAGCACAAGTTGCGGGTACATTCCGTCTTGATTACATTACAAAGCAAAAAATAAAGAGAAAACGGCTTTTACACTGGTGACAGACGCCATGCCAGCCACGGGAGCGGCCGCGCGTGCCTTTGACGGAACTTACTCATTTTTGACGGGATGGCCCTGTGGCTGGGGAATTCCCATTTAGGCGGCACATGTCGCAATTCGTCAAAACAGTCTCGAAAATGTCCGCTATTTGGGAAGACGGGTCTTGAGACAAACGGGCGTTGATGTTTCGCTTCACCTGCCGTCTCGACGCCGCGCGCACCAGCAAGCACGTGGAACTGCTACAATTTACAGGGAGGATTAGCTTCGCTCTCCAACGGCCGCCGCCGCATGGTGGGGGAGGGACCGGCCCTCTCAGCTGCTTTTCCGTCTGGAGTCTAGATGTCCAGCAAGCCAATCCGCCGTATCGTGCATCTCGAGGCTGCCGCGGAGGAATCATCACCATCGCCATCGTCATCCCATACGCAGTCCTTACCGGTTTTGGGATCTTTAGCGCCAACGGCCGTTGCGCACCAAAAAAAAATGTGCAAGCAAGTAGGGCCGTCCTAGACATCCAAGCAAGACGCGCTAATAGTGGGTGCTGGGCTAGCGTGGGGTCGGTTCTCTTTTTTTTTTTTACTTTCTCTTCGCATTTGGAAGGACTCGAATTTCCTAAATGGGATCGGAATCGACAGCTTCCGAATCTTCCCACTGGCACTAGTGTACAGTTGAGAGATTGGACCTTGTGTCTTTGTCCGGTGGCGGCCGCGCTGCGTTACATTGGCTGTTATGTGCGCTGGGCAAACACGCTGTGGGGGAATAAGTAATCACTATGACGGTGAGTTTTTAGAGGGTGCTATGCACAGCCAGCAGCAGCAGGCCCTGTCGTCATTGGGACAAACAGGGATATGTTTTCTATACATCATGGCTTTCAGACAGGCAAGCCCGTTCGGGATGCAGAGCCGCTGTCGGTAAGACGGAGGGATGTTCAGGGTCTCGTCCCATGGTTGCGAGCGCGTTTGCTGGCCGTTCGTCTGGCTGGTATGGAGAAGGGAGGATGATTCGTCAAAAGGTGGCTAGGGGGAGCCAACGGTTTCGACGGCGCCGTGTCGCAGGATTATGGAGACTTTGTTACTATTCAGTTGCTGATCAGCGCTGGAGCTGCTGTGTGCCGCATAGTGGGTGGGACAGGGTAATTGCTCGCAACAGAGGTAGGTAGACACACACGCTCTGGGCTCCTTGACTTCGCAAGCATCGACAAATACGATGCGAGGCAAGCGATAGCCGACGGGTTGGAGGTTTGTATGTGTCGTGCTTTTGGTCACCTCTACCGTCCCACCCTCTCTCGCCTGCACCGCTAGTAGCTGACTACAGTCTACCAGATGCCAAGCAAGGAACAAGGAACGAGCAATACACTTAGAGATGCATGCCACACGGTTCTTGTCTCTCTTGAAGTCAACGGGCTGGCGAGGGTGGCTGTTGGCTGTGGTCATCAAGCCGAGGCATCAAAGCCACTTTGCTCATAACGGCCCACTAGAAGAATGCATTCGTTATTGCAGTGGTTCGGGATGGTGGACCGTTGTGGTGATGAGTTGGCAGATCCGGCTGATTAGGTTGACTTTGCTTTGCGTGCGTACAAGGCAATGATTTGCCCGCCTCACCTGCATGGGGGTTCTAGATGTGCTGTGTGAAAGCACCTCCGACAGCCGCTGCTACTCTGAGGCACAAGAGCATACATGGGATGGGACGGGTTTGGGTAACTGCCGACGACTGCTGAGAAAAACTATTGATTCCATCCAACCAACTAGATGGGGGGCTTGTCTAGCCTAGCGATTCATTCGCCTGCCCGTCTCGGACCGGGCAGGAACCTGCGACGGCCCGCAAACGAATGCAAGCTTGCCCCCCGTTGATCATTAGCACAAGACAAACAGGCTGGCGTGTACTACGAGTAATAGTACAAGAGCCAAAAAATGACCAGTAACAGCGGCGTTTTCATCATTGGAGTCTCGAGCATCAAGACGAGCCCCAGTGGGCGTTGAGCTAGTGCCGCACCAAGTGGCTCATTCGACGCCGTCATGGAGCCCCCAGCGGACCTCTGCATTGCACAGCAGCCTTGTAGTGAGTTATGCAGGCAAATGGCTTGCTGCCATAGCGCAATTCTTCGTTAATCTACCACTAATAGAGCCCGGATCGAGGAGCGGGCGTATTCGTGAGCAGGGGGCGGGCTGAAGCGGCGTTGTCTCGCCGTGTTGGGATGGAAAGAGGAGCAATTGGGGGGCTGTTTTCTCTTATGTCGACAGATTATACCGTTAGCTTTTCCAATAGGCTGTGCCTGACGAAGCGTTTTATCGTGGCGTGACTAGGCAGAGCGACGGAAGGATTGACTAGTACCGTATTCCGTAGCCATTTGGAATGGCGCTAGAGCTGAAGAGGGCTATAGTACATTATTGCCGTCGGTCATAATTGATTGGGATATTCTCTTCTTAGCGTCACTCTGCCTCCCAGTCCTGAGGGATGTCTTTTTTCGTCTCTGCCTCGCCCTCTCTTTCACTGGTGGAAGCTAGAAGTTAGCGTCGCGGAGGATGGAGAGGGCAGTCATGGCTAGTCCCAAGAAAGCAGGTGAGGATCCATGATGGGAAAGCTTGCATCAACCGGCGGCGTCGCATTGCACGCTGACCAGGCCCATGCTGGTACGGTGCTGGCGGGTGCTGCTGGTGAAAATGGAGGAGTCAAGGGCAGGGAGCGGCCGACTTTGGTATCGGAGCCGAGTGCTACTGCTACAGTGGATCGAATAGCGCTAGAGCTTCCACTGTATTTTGGTTTCCACCTTTTGCAGGTCCAGGGCGCACAGGAGCAGCGGGAATAAGGCGGCCCCGGTTGCGTCGTTTCCAAAAAGGAGTGCCCAATGGACAATGGCCCCAGAGTAAAAAGAAGAAAAAAAAAAAAACAAGAGTAAAAATGAGAGATGCTCCTCAGTTGGTAGCCATAGTTCGAACCCTAGTGTTTAAGCCGAGATGGTGCCTGGTAGAAGAGACGACGGCTTAAGAATGGACTTGGCTGCGGTTTTCGCTGGTTTTACTGGCTACTGTATGTGTGCTGGCGCCGTAAATTACTGTAGCGGTTGCTTGTGAGTGGGCGCTATGCTGTATGCTGTCCTGCGCTGTACTTGCTGGCAAACACACATATAACTTTGGCTGGATGATTACTGATTACTCCGCCTCCACGCCTCCCCCAAGAGGAAACCTTGTTAGCCATGTCTCAAGGGCCCTGTAAAATTGATTGCCCTCCTCCGAGAGTGGTGGTGGTGGGCTGCTGCATGGCGCATATGCTAGATCCCGTCAGTGGCCGAACCTTTTTTTCTTTTACTTCTCGGCGTACTTTCACCCACCTGCCGCATCCAGCACCTTGCCGGCGCACCCACACACCCGCCTAGCGGCCCCTCTCTCCGTCCCCTGTGGTCTGCTGCAATGACGGTATTATTCCATGGCCAGCAGCCAGCCCTGAAGGAGGAACAGAAAAGAACAAAAAACAAATGCACGCTATTTTCAGCACGACATCAGGTACACTAAGGACTGGCGTTTTATTACTTGCTGCATTGCTACTACTACCACTGTTAGTACTGCTGTCGGTACTGCTGCTACTGCTCATCACTGCGCAGCCGGCCCGGCATCGTCACTAACGAACGAGAGACAGTGACATTTTGGCCCTACCCTTCCGCTGACTTAGCGGCCTGGGCTGGCACTGGCCCGCATATTTTGGGTTGGGTACAGTAAACATACCACTCACTGTAAATGCCCACTGAATCCCTCCATGCCCGAGTAATGATGGCCGCTAACGCAAGCTAGTTCGGCCCCCATTCTGCGTTTAACTCGTCCTCGTACTGGCCGTATCGTAAACATTTAGCCCCATTTACCATGAATTATGTCTTGGAAAATAAATGCCCTTTTCTTTTTTTTTCTGGTTGAAAATGTCTCTTCGGAATATTTGCCTGTCTCTTTTCCGCGCCCACTGACACTCGCTGAAAAAGCTGTCGTCAGTGGCCCTGCTGGGCCTGCTTGTCCACCAACCCCAACCCCTCCTGGAAGACTGCCCTAGAAACTTGCTTCCAGTGGACTGCCGCTGCTGCTGCAAGATCCATCCCACTCGCTTTCGGTCAAGTGTCCCCCCCCTCCCCACCGCCGCCTGCCGCCCACGCAATCGGTGCAGCAGCAGCACCACACAGGGCCCGCCTGCGATTTGAAGAGTAATCAACTAAATAAGCTCCGCCCGCCCACTGACAAGACTCCACGTCCCGCTGCCCCAAAGGAACCGGTCTTCTCTTAGTTCGTTTTTTTCCCGCGCAGATTTTCTTCCAATCGTCCTTTTCATCTTCTTCTCTCCTCTTTCTACTTTGAACGGAATATACGCTTCGACGGTGCTCATCTTGGAATCCATTGCCTGTGTCTTCGCCATATACCCTCCAGCCTCTTCTCTTATACCCACGACGCATCCGGATACCAGCAGATACCAACATCCACTAGACGAAACTAAACAACAACAGCAATAGTCAAACCGAAGCAACTGTCCTCCTGGAACCTAGATTCGCCAAAACAAACAGCCTGCCTCTCTGCCTGGAGTAACCACACGCCTCTCATCAGCGTCAGGCCCTCTGCGATGCTGGCATTTGCGAACCACCACCAATAGAGACTGCCGCCTACGTACACCTGCAGAATACAGGCGACCCCCCATCCACCTATACAACACCCTCCACGTTCCTACGACTTCACCAGCTGAATCTGACCGCTCTGACCAAGGCTGAGTTGTCTTACACGCTCAGTGCTGCTCGCCATGATGGCGCCCATCGTCAAGTCTCGGGTCCTTATCCCGATGGAGATCTACGCCGACTTTGTATGTCCGTGGTGCTTTATAACAAAACGAGCCCTAGAAAAGGTCATGGCCAAGTTTACATCTAAACACCCCGAAGTCGAGTTCGAAGTCACCTGGCGGCCGTACTATGTAACCGCCATGTTTACAGGAAGTATGTATTTATCTGCCCTTGCTCCAAAGCAGTAGACAGCCGTTGCTATACTTCTCCTTCTTTTTACTCTTCTTTGCTAACAGTAGACTCTCCTTCACAGAGGTTAACCGCCGCGACTTCGTACTCAAGGCCCTCGGCAGCCAATCCGAGGCCGACGCACTTATGGAGCGCATCCAAGGCGCCGCCGACGAACAAGGCATGTCGATTACCTGGAACGGCAACTTTGGCCCGATGCAAAACGCCCACAAGCTCGTTGCCCTCGCACTGCGGCGCCACGGTGTGGCCGTTCAGGCCCGCGTGGTAGAGCGCCTCTTCCACGACCAGTTTGTCCTCGGCAAGGACATCTTCGACGACGACTGGCTTGTCACAGTGGGCCGCGAGGCCGCCGGGCTGGACGAGGACGATGTGCGATTAGAGCTTGCCGACCAGGACGCCGGCAAGCGCTTAGACCGCGAGGTCGACCAGGCCCGCGAGATTAAGGGCATCGATGCCGTCCCGCACGTTATTGTCCTCGACCGCTTCAAGGTCGGCGGGTACCAGGAGAAAGAGGTCTACGAAGACTTGTTCAACAAGATCTTCATGGAACGCATATTATAACCTATACCCCATTTTCTTTTTATTGTTTTTTCGTTTCTTACTGCTGGTTCTCGCCTGGTCGGACGGGTTAGAGGAAGGTAGACGACTTATGTTATACATCATCTTGGGCGGATAGCTTTGTCATTTTTTTTGGATTTTGTTTATTTGGGTGGCTGTTACTCCCGTGTTCGGCATTATTATACGAGTTGGTGGTATTTTTGTTATTTTTTGCAACTGTTTCTTCTACTGTGCTGGTTCGTTCTGGCACCAATACCCTTTTGTTCTTCATCTTTAACAATATACTACTTTTACAAGTACAAATGTGATCTGGGCCTATAAGTGCACATGTAATTCCTCACCTTTAGAGAATACATAACAAGAAGCCACGGGAGAATAATGAATACACAACGAAAACGTCCTTGTATTTGGTATAAATATGTATTGATCCTGATAACGCTTCAAACAGACTTCTATCCGTATCCTGCATCCGTTGATTTTGCCTAGATATTCCGAAACGCCGTAAAAATAAAACCCCGATGAAAAAAGAAAGAAAAAAACAATGCTGTTATGATGTACATTCTGCCACGGTTCTGAAGTGGCGTTTCTTCGCCTCTGTCTTGTGCACAAGAACGATGGGCACGAGGGCGGGTAGTTGTTCTTGTGTAGTATGGTACTGATGCCCCTCAACGACGAAGACCACTAAAGTCTTGCATGAGATGAGCCATGTGCACGTTAGTAACCTTGCCGATGCGCTTGCCAGAGCGCTTCTTCTGCGTCTTGGGTTTACCACCCGCACCATCCTTGGCTTTGCGCGGGTCGTCACTGGTTGGTTTCTGGCCAACGTTGGTAAGCTTGCGATGCATATCATCCAGACTAGGAATCTGCACTCGCTGCCACATATTCTGAAACTCTGGCTCGACGCTGTGGAACAGAGATGGGTCGTCGGCCCAGACATAGCGCGGGAGGTTGTCCTTCTTAGTGCGCACAACCAAGATGCGGTGCTCGTTCTCAACTTCGGTCAACGTATCCTCGCAATCTGGCCAGCCGTCCTTCAAGTCGCGCACAGCAACGCCTGATGCGTCCGTCTTACGCTGCAAGTGAGCCAACAGGGTCACGCCATCGTGCACGCCAGGGATGATGGGCCGGTGCTTGTACGTGCCCGTTTGCCACGTCTGCTCCGTCAGATTGCCATCTGGTCTCCATTCCACGCGCGGGTGTCCCCTCAAGCCCTCAGCAAGCTGTTTCTTGTGTTCCTCTGACTGCGAAAGCAGACTCAGGTGGCCAATGATGTCGGCCAGCGTCTTGGTGACGCCCTTTTTGCCTTTGAGGTAGTCGACCGCAAATGTCATGTTCGTCTTGACCTCCGCGCCGTATCCTGTCAACTGCGGCTGGGAGAAGGGGATATCGGGACCGGCATCTCGCTTTCGTTTCGCTCCTCGCGGTGTTCCGCCGTCCGAAACCTGTGACAGAGCTGGAGATCCGGGCGTGAGCGCTGCGGCGGCTTTGGCGAGGGTGGCGCCCTTGATGGACGATGGGTTCGATAATTTCGAGGCGGCGGACGCCAGCGTCCCCTTGAATGCCGAAGACTGCTTTTCCAAATACGACGACATTGTGTGTGTATGGGGACGACCTGGGTTGGCAGATAATGGGAGATGGAAACGAAGAGAGGTTGATGGAGAGGCTGTGGTCTGCGCCTAAATGCACAAAAGTTGGGGTGGGGCCTGCGACACTGTGTCTATTGGTTTCCTGGTGGCAGAGCGACTCGACTGTACGTAAATACATGAGCCCCAAACTTAACAACACAAATTGCGAAAGAAGTTTAGGAAGATAGATTTGTAAAACCCTAGATAATATTAATTTCTAGCCTCTATGGACTGTATTTATAGTCGTTTGGGGTTTTGCGGTGTAGGGAACAACTCTCTGAATCACGCATGCAAGTAAGCTTCTTCAACGAAAAGTATTAAAAGTATATTGTATCGGGTACCCAAAGAGGCATACAAACCGATGCCTCTTGGCTCAGTCAAACCCAATATCTAGTATGTATGCATTATTTTCTATTGTCATGCGCGACGGGCTGCATCCAGGCCCCCGGATTGAGTCGTAAGCATGGCACGGCATAAGCCGACCCGTCTTTCCATCGCTTTTTTGGTCCCATCAACGCCCTCTATTGCTCCAAATGTCTTCTATCCCATCTTGTATGTCTGCTTGTAGACCAGTCGCGGTGCATTTAGAGGCTGGTCTGCTGCGTCTGGAGGTACTGGTATCCGGCGTAGCCGACAAGACCACCAATGAGGACGATGGCGTACAGGCCGATACCGAGACCGGTAGAGTCGGCGTTGTTGCTAGAGCTAGCAGTGGGGGTGCTGAGCTTGGGCTTGGGGTCGCCCTCCTAAACGAGTAGAGTGTGGTTAGCTAGGCTGTATGCGACCTCCTGCAAAGGCGAAACTTACTCTGCGCTTCAGGTTGCCAACGAAGAGCTTGTCCAAGGTCTCGCGAGCCTCGTCACTGTGGCCGACATCCTCGAAAGCCTCGGTGGCGTCCTGGCCACCGACGTCAAGAACGACCTCCTCACCACCGCTAGAAAAAAACATGTATGTCAGCAACCAACTCGGCTGAAGTATGAAAGGGGGGTGGGTGTGGTTGCACAAGCGCATCCAGGCCGGGACTTACGGGTGCTCGTCGATGAACTGGGTGCAGTCGTAGACCTTGTCGTGGATGACAACGTAGACGTCCTTCTTGGTGTTGTGCTCAGCAACGTCCTGGTAGGTGAACTCCTTGATGGGGGTGGCCATTGTGTCGGTGTTTTTGTTAGAACTTTCGCTCGGCTATGGTGTTTTCAACGGGGGGGTGCGGATGCGGATAGAAGACAAAGCGATTCTAAATGTCACAGATTAGCGAGATTGGTTCTTTTGCGCCTTAAACATGCGCGGCAACGTACAATTGCAATGGCTGGTGGTGATGGATGTAGAAGGATGAAAAAGACGGGGGACGAGTGGATGTGGAATGACTGGCATTTTCACAAGGAGATTACTGCAGTCAATTTTTGGGGAGCGGCTCTCCCCCCCAGCAGCACCCGCTGTAAAGTGCCGCTGGCAACTGCTGTTCAGGGCCCTTCAGCGGCCCCAACAACCAGCCAACAGGGGCAGCCGCCCGGCTCCGCGTATCGCTATTGGCCTGGTGGCATGTCTTTGACCCGCTCCACGCTACCGCAGCCAATAGCAACGCCATTATTACGCTGCGTCGTCGCCCATCGCACGGAAACCCGGCGGAATACAGTCATGCTCTCGTCCTGCCACGTGACCGGATAAGGAAGCGTTTACCGACGACGGATGCCGTGGAAGCACCTCGAATTCCGACTTGTTTGCGTATGACACGTTTCTTGCATATGCGCTATTAGACTAACAAATCGGAAAAGCCGCTGGTAGATTCGGCCGCTTAAAATGCGAAAAATGTTCTATGCTTGCTTCCTTTCCTTCCTCTATCGCTTAGAGCTGCCACCACCAATGTCTTGACCTAGGCGGTAGCTGGTGACCTTGTCCCACTCAATCTTCTGTCTCGTCACCGGCAGCTGTCGTCGCAAGCCCTTGAAAGCACCCTCGCTCAAGCCAACAAAGCCCTTGTTCAGCTCGTCTTGGTACTTCTTCTCCGTGATGGAAATCTCCTTGGCGATGCCGGCGCCAGAACCGGAGGGGATGGCAGCAGCAACAGCCTTGTTAGTCAACATACGGACGTTACCGTCCTCGTAGTAGTGTACGTCGACCTTGATCGAGCCTTCGAGCTTTCCCGTCGAAGGGTCATATGTATATACAGATCGCCAGCGGCCGTTCCTATGAGCCATTATTAGTCGTGAATCACGGGGAGGTAGAGACGGCGCCTTACCAGAAATTGTTGGGGCTGTACTTGTTGGCCACGATGATGACGGCAATCTTGGAGTCTGATTCAATCGGGTAAGCACCAAATGCTGCGTTGGGGAAATGTTCTGCGATGTATGTTGCCAAGCTCTTCAGCGTTGCCTTGCTGTCCGTTGAATGAAGAGGTTAGCCAAGCATCTTGTAATCTCCTGTTCGACACTTACACAAGATCTGCCTGTGCACCTTCGATAACGTGACTCTGCACGGAGCTAGCTTTCTGCAAAAGCATGTCAGCATTGTATTCTTGGTCTCGGCCAGCAAGGGTAGCCGCATACTTGTGTTGTGTGGTTGAACTGGAAGCTGGAGGAACTCTCCACGTCGTAGTAACGGCCGTCGCCGAGAGAGTTGTGTGCGCTAATCAAGACCTATAATACTTGAAAGTTAAATTCTGTATCATTCAAGTCTAAGGATGGAGCCACCTACTGCCTGGCTGCTACCAGGAAGCTTGACTGTCACTAGCTGTTCCTCATTGTACTTTTCGAACGCAGGGGCAAGCTCATCGATCAGGCCGGGGGAGGATTCGGTCAATGACTTGATATCTGTCAATATTGGTTAGTAGGCCTATCGTAGAGGCGCACCAATGGTGTCAAAATACCAGCAACGACATCGGCAAGCTATCAGGAGTGTCGGTTAGTAAGGCGGCGTAGACGGTGACGTGACCATGGACCTACCTCTCCTGGAGGGGCGCCCTCAACAAAGGCAGCCACTGTTTCAAGCTGCGACATTATTTTGTGTATAAATTTCAATCAAATTATCCGCAAAACTGTGTCAATCGGTGGACGGTAAGCCGGTGCTATCAAGACAACCAAACGTCGGAGGAGCTTGGAAGCCGCGTGTTTTGGAGGTGGAGGCAGCACGAGGCGGGGCTGAGGGGCAGCAGCTGTGCTTTATCTCTGCCTCCAGGTTTCATCCCCCTACAAATCGCCAAGCTGATTTAGGCATCATCAATTGTGTAGCGAAATTATGCCAGTAAATGTCCTTAAAAATGCCAAAAAGCTGGTTACGGATACAAATCATTTTCCACTTATTTAAATCACGTTCACCATTGACATATTTTCCGTCTCCATGCACTGGGGAAGTCATCCATTCGAAACGCAAAGCGACCTTATATTAAACCAGTTAAAATAGTGGTGTTACATACTTCGAACAAAACACAAAATTCTAGGTTTCTTATCTACAATGTCAAAACAGTGGTGCTACCGCGTATGGTAGGTCATTGACCAGTCAACATCGCTAAGGCTACAGTCCACAAACCAACTTACAGAGCCAAGGCCGCGACACCAGCGAGAAGGGCGACAACATTGCCACCAGCTGCAAGGGCATTGGCACCGCCAGTAGGAGGAACGACAACAGGTACACTGGTGCTAGCGGGCTGGGAGCCGGAGTGGGAAGCGGCGCCAGTGGCGGAAGACGGGCCCTTGCTGGTGACCGGGGCAGAGCTGCTGCTAACAACAGCAGAGGAAGCAGAAACCACAGAAGATGCAGCCGATGAAGAGGCGGGGGCAGCCGAGGTAGAGGGTCTAACAATCGTGCTCCTATTGTTTGATAAGGTTAGGCTATGCTCAACTGGTTGAGTCCATCATGGGATCGTCACTTACACAGGCGAACCATCGCACGGCTGGAGGGTGACCTTCTTAGTCGTGGCATCGTAGACGGCACACATGCCCTTGTTGTAATCTTGACACTCAAGGTTGAAGGTTCCAAGAACACCGTTTTCAACATCGCAGCGAGTGTTGGGGTCGTTGATGCAAGCAGTGATAGCGTCCATTGTCTTGGATGGAACAGGGCAGAAGCAGTCCTTGAAGCCGGGACCACCCTCATCGCCAGGGCAGCTTGCCTCGACAGGGTTGATGCAAGCATAGCAGGAATCACTCAGAGGCTGAATGCAAAACTGGTCGTGCTGCTCACCACAGTACAAGGGGAAGTCCTTGTCCCAGGCAATGCCAACAGAGGCAAGGGAAAGAGCGAGGAAAGCGTAGGTCATCATCTTGACAAAAGGCTCAAAAGGGCAAATTTTGCTGAAAGAGTGAATTGGGGAAATGAATTGGAGCGAATGGAAGTTGGGTAATGGTTGGAAAAGAGGGGTCTGTCAATTGGACGGCGCGATTCACCTTTATATGCACGTTCGTTGGCTCCCTCTGGACTATTTTGCCGCCGTCTATGACAACTGTAGTCAAGATACAGCCCTTTAGGACCCTCTGCATCGCCCCGGACACTAAGACCCATCTTGGAATGTCGTAACTGATATCGTGAGGCTGAATCAAAGCTGCATGCGCGTGGCTTTCGAGCAAAGGCTCGCACCCCCTGCAGAATGTAGCCCTCACACCCATCGAATGGAAGAAATTGGTGGGTCTAACGGGGGACAGGCTCCGTTTCTAAGGCTAATTCATTTGAATTATCTTACACCGGCAAGAGATGGTGTGGAATTGGTAGCGGCAGCACCGATCGTCGGCGCCAGCCTGTCGCTGTAAGTTGCAACTTCAGCAATGGCAACGGCTACAATTCGAGATCTAATGTGAATCTTTTGTCACTAGCAGTATACTATAAAGGCTTGATTCTTACAAGATACATGTTAATACTAGGGCTACTCTGACAATTCAAGTGCATCGCCAAGGCACACCCACATCGGGCCTTTGTGAAGCCTCCACGCCGCCATTACATGGGGTCGCTAAGAATAGATGGTAGTTACCGGGCAAAAGCCTCATACAGCTAGCCCAACGGACGCCATATTAGGATTAGGTGGGTTGTACCCTGCCTCCGGTACCATCGGTGGTCTCGGTAATTGCAGTGGCATCAGTTAAGAAGGAAAGCAGCCTTGTAAGGCGTGTCGGGCGCCTGTGTCTGTTCTAGACTGAACCCACCACATTACTCCGTTGACCTAAACAACGCCACGTTCTTTCAGGTAAATCAGAGCTCGCATAGACCGATTGGGGGTCACCAAAGGCTAATGAAACCAATCCGGTCGGTTTTTTTTATTTGTAAGGACTGTGTGGTCGGTTACATTGTGCTTGATCTTTGCCTAAAATCTGGCGACAGGACGGAGGCATCTGGCGCTAACCTACAGGGTCAACGATGAAGGCTACAATCCAACAATTCGCTCACAGTGATCTATTCTCTTTTATTTAATTTTTTTGGTCAATTGGGTGCATTGTGCAAGACGTCTCTAATATTTATATACAGGAATTTAGCACCGTTGATGATGTACTTTTTCTTTTTTCCGTCTCCAGCGTTTAGTACTTGAGGCTCTTCTTCATAGCATCGTATATTCCTACACAACATTGTTAGCAAAATTGTTCGGCACTCAAAAATGGACAAAAATAAAAGCCTAAAGGCAACAATACTTACTGGTAACGTCGGGCAGGTGAACCTTCTCAAAGATGAGAGGGTTATGGACGTTCCAACCAGCGACACGGCGGACGGGTGCCTCGAGGCGGTTAAAGGTGTCGGGGTTCTCCTGGATAGCTGCGGCAACTTCGGCACCAATACCAGCAGTAACGTATGATTCGTGGACAACAATGACACGGCCAGTCTTCTTGACACTCTCAAATACGGTTTCCTTGTCCCAAGGGTGAACGGTACGCAAGTCAATAAGCTCTACAGAGACACCACCCAAGTCGCGCTCAAGGTGCTTAATTGCCTCCATGCAGTTGTAAAGAGGCTGGCCGTAAGAAATAACGGTGACGTCCTTGCCCTCCTTGAGGATTTCGGCCTTGGACAGCGGCAGCTCGTAGGCTCCAACGGGGACCTGCTCGACGGCAGCACGGTAAAGAATCTTGGGCTCCATGAAGATGCAAGGATCGTTGCTACGGATAGCAGCAAGCAGCAGACCCTTTGCCTGAGCGGGCGAGCGAGGCATAATTACACGCAGGCCAGGAACGTGGGTGAACAAGCTTTCGGGGGACTGAGAATGGTAGAGAGCACCGTGGCCAACACCACCACAGGGCATACGGATTGTGAGGCCACCGGCGCTGCGGCCGTTGCTGCCGTCACGGTATCTAAGCTTGGCAGCTTCGTTGACGATTTGATCAAAGGCAGGGTAGACGTAATCAGCAAACTGAATCTCAGCCACGGGCCGCATGCCCTCTGCAGCAAGACCAATACCAAATCCAGCAATACCCTGCTCGGTGAGGGGCGTGTTGAACACACGGTCGGCACCGTATGTCTCGGCGAGCTTCATGGTGCATCGGAAGACACCGCCAAAGGCAACATCTTCGCCAAAGATGACGACCGACTCGTCCTCAGCCAAGGCAAGGCCCATGGCATCGTTGATGGCCTGGAACATGTTGAGCTTCTTGGTGGCGCCGTTACGGATGTCTGCTGGGAGCTCCGAGCTACGCAGAGCAGCCTCAGAGGTCTGGGCAAGGAGAGGAGTTGTGGAGTAGTCGATTGGGAGGTTCATCTTTGCATTTGGGGCATGCAGCGAGTAGCATCGTGCGGCGTGCACCGGGATGGACACGGCGGTTCTGGCAGCAGGAGCCGCGAGGGCTCTGCGCATGTGTCGGACGGCCTGGCGCTGCATAATGTCGACAATTAGCTGGATTCAAAAGAAATTCACAGCACGAAACGGATTATGGGAAAAAGACGAAAAAGTGAAATGCTGGCGGCCCTTCCCCCGGATTTTTGGTCGGCTTGTCGTTGAAAGAGGCCCGGCTCAGTGCGGGTTCGGCTTCCAGCGGCCTGTCGCGGGGTTGGCCTGGGCGGGCGACAGCCAAAACGTTGAGCCGGGGTGATAAGATTGTTGCCCCGCCAACACACATTGAGCCGCCAAGTAAAGCCTAAACAGGATTATGGGCTGATTTGACACACACGTGCGAGCAACGCTGCCATGGAATGACAGTTGGACTAAGACATTAAATTAATTACGACGTTGACCATCAAGAACGCGAAGACGAAAAAAAGGCCTCACAAAAATAAGGACACTCCGATTTTTATTTCTACAGATGCATTCCATAGGCAGCTGCTTGATCTAGAAACACACCCGATCTTAACGATGGCTCCGAAAGGAGAGACATCGCGACCATCTAACCGCCGACATCGACAAAAGCCAGGAGAGTCATCAAGGCGGCGAGACAAGGAGCGCGACAAGGACCGAGAGGAACAACGACGTAAATTGAAAGCGAGAAGAGCGGCGACCGAATCTGGCGAAAGCAGCAGAAATGAGGGCAGCTCCCATTCGCTGTCGAGCAATGCGCTGGCGCAATTAAACAAAGAAAATACAAAGAAGAAGAAACGACATGGCGACCACCGCAGGCCTTCATATCGTATGGTGCCACAAGAACAAGAACGCGAGATCCCGAGACCGAGAAAGCAGCCGAAGAGGAAGAAGAAGCGAGTTGTGAGCGGCGCAATTATGGAGGAAGGCCGTGCTAGGGGCCATGATCGGAACTGGAGCGAAGACAGCTACGATAAAGATGCATATTATCCACCGTCGAAAAAGAAGACAAAGTGGTCGAAGAAGAAGATTTGTATGTGCATTGGATAAAAAGGAGATGATTTAACTGACTAACTCTGCAATATAGTGCTATTGGCAGGTGGCAGCTTTGTCGTGCTACTGATTATCATCATTGTCGCCGTGGTGGTAAGCCAGAAGAATAAAGGCGACGGTAACAATAGTAATTCACAGTCCTCGACATTAAACGACATTAACCCCGATTCGATTCCGTCGAAATGGAAGAATACATATCTGGATCCGTGGACCTGGCAGACGACGACAAATTTCAACGTCACATTTACCGACGAAATGGTGGGAGATCTGCCAGTCATGGGACTCTTTTCGAAATGGGACGATTCAGCCAAAGCAAACGATAAAGTCCCAGCGCTTAATGAAGACTGGGGGCCGTATACGCAACGCCCGGCCCGTGGTGTCAACTTGGGAGGCTGGCTGTCGCTCGAACCTTTTATAACACCGTCATTATTCAACTACGACTCTCAACAGGGCATCATTGACGAATGGACCTTGACGAAGCAACTAGGTGCTTCCGCTCAGCAAACTCTGGAGAAGCATTACGCTAGTTTTATTACAGAAGACACATTCAAAGCCATCCAGGCTGCGGGGCTCGATCACATTCGCATCCCCTTTTCATACTGGGCGGTTGAAATCTACGACGGTGACCCCTACGTCTTCCGTACGTCTTGGCGATATCTGCTTCGTGCTATTGAATGGGCCCGCAAATACGGACTCCGTGTAAATCTAGATTTGCACGCCTTGCCTGGCAGTCAAAACGGATGGAACCACAGCGGCCGACAGGGAGCTATCCAGTGGCTAAACGGAACGAATGGGCAAATAAATGCTCAACGATCACTCGACATCCACGACCGACTTTCCAAGTTCTTCGCCCAGGACCGATATAAGAATATTATTACGCATTACGGAGTAGCCAACGAGCCGCGCATGACATTTCTACAGGTGTCTGACGTGCTGTCATGGACGCTTAACGTGTACAAGACGGTGCGTAAAAACGGTATGAAGGCACTAGTGGTCTTTGGCGATGGCTTTATGGGTCTTGGTAATTGGCAGGGCAAACTGAGTGGATACAACGACCTTGTGCTGGATGTGCACCAGTACGTCATTTTTAACAAGAACCTGATTGACTTTACACATCAAGACAAAGTCAAGTATGCGTGCAACGACTGGTCTAAGCAAGCACTCGAGTCGCTAGATACCAGTACGGGCTACGGACCGACAATCTTTGCAGAGTGGTCGCAGGCCGATACAGATTGCGCCAAGTATCTTACCAACGTGGGCACCGGCAACCGCTGGGAGGGCACGTACAATGTTGCTGATAAGGGCGATGCTGTGACGTCGCCCGGATGTCCGACCAAGGACAGCAAGTGTTCGTGTTCCAATGCGAATGCGGACCCAAGCAAGTGGAGCGCCGAGTACAAGAACTTTCTAAAGATGTTTGCCGAGGCGCAGATGCACAGCTTCGAGAAGGGTTGGGGGTGGTGGTATTGGACGTGGAAGACGGAGTCGGCGCCGCAGTGGTCGTACGAGAGCGGACTCAAGGCGGGAATATTGCCTGCGAAAGCCTACGACCGAGATTTTGATTGCAGCGGTGCGATTCCAGACTTTGCAGCCAACGGACTGCCTGAATACTATTAAGTGTGGAGGCCATAGCGGCTGATCCTGTACCACCAAAGAAGAGGAGGCACATATATATCGTATGTATGAGTTGGTTTTGCATTGTGTGATGTTACGTTTTGCTCTTCTTTGCTTTTTAGCCAGCGAGCATATTGGAATTTGCAACATTGGTATATATATAGAGAGAGATGACTGTATAGATGGAGGTGGGACACGGGTTATTAACTAGGCTGTACATGGGTGATGGATAATTCTACTGTATATACATCTTTTGGAATAAAGACGTCGAGTCTATAAACTCTCATTGATACCCTGGATTTCATATTTGATTTGTAGAACATTAGGGATGCTGCATATCGTGGAATTCCGGAGCTGCCTTTCTGTCCCCGAAGGTACTTTTTTTCGTGGCTGTTATTCCCGGGCCATTACCAGTCGGCGATGGCTCGGAGATAGCCCGCCCAGTCAGCAGCCCTTCCAGCCTCGACGACAATAAGCCGTGTTTGCTAATCCAATTTCACACAATGCTCCCTGCAGAAAGGCGCATATGACGACAACTTGCGTCGGGTTACCGTGCCGTGTGCTTCGGGCCATTCGGGTCACCACTCGGGCTGGATGCTATGGGCAAGGGCTCGGCGATCACGGCGGCGATGTCAAAGGGACGACGCCTCTGATTTCTGCTGACGATAGCAAAAACGAGGGAATTAGATACCGTCGAACCATATGATTGATCCTACCTGTCGGACTCGTGTTTTTGCAGATAGAAATGCATGTTTATTAATAATTATAAGACCGCTTTGTAATCGGTGACTCTTCGTTGTTTTCTACACAACCCACAATCTCGCGTTTCGCGCTAATGTAGCCCCTCCGGGAGTAAGATGCCGGGTGCCCAAGCCGTCCCGTCATCCCCCGGGGCAAAGGGTAAGAGATTGAAAAAGTGGTCGTCGCCAGTTCATTTCGTGCTGTTGTCGCTCCTGACAAGTACTGCTTTCGTATATATAGACGATTGACAGGATACTTATTTTCTTGACCGGAAAACACCCAATTGCTTTACTAGCATACGAAACTGCATAGCTCAACACACTCACACACACACATGGAGCGAGACGCAGAAAAGGCGTCCATCCACGGCGAGGGCAGCACCGACAGCTCGCCACAAACAGCGCTCGACTCACCGCGAGCATCGCTAGGCCGGACGCGGTCCCAGAATGGATACGGCGTCGACAATGAGCAGCCAGCGCTGGCGACCAAAAACGCGCCGGCTGGCGGCGCAAAGGACGAGGACCCCTTTGAGGTCGGGTGGGATGACGGCGACAAAGACCCCCTGTGTCCGCGAAGCTTTGGTAAAGCTCGCAAGTGGCTGATTACCTTTATTCTCTGCTTTGGCAGCTTCACAGTGTAAGTGGTCATGGTGTATGGTGTGACTGAAGAAACCGTGCTAACGGGGGTGGTATTGCAGAACCAACACGAGTTCCATCTACACGTCGACATATGAGCAGATGGAGGCCGAGTTTCACAATGCGAGAATCATATCGACGCTGGGTCTGTCGACGTTTGTGCTGGGCATTTCGCTTGGCCCGATGATGTTGGGCCCGATGAGCGAGTTCTACGGCCGCCGCCCCATCTACCTCGTCACTTGGCTCATGTTTCTCATCTGGTTGATCCCGTCGGCCGCAGCACCCAACATTGCCACGATTGTCGTGACGCGCTTCTTTTGCGGCTTTGCTGGAAGTGCCTTCTTGGCCGTCTCGGGCGGTACCGTGGGCGATCTCTTTGCTCGCCACGAGCTCCAGGCGCCGATGGCCATGTACACAGCAGCGCCGTTCTTTGGCCCTACCATGGGACCGCTGGTGGGAGGCTTCATCAACTACAATATCAACTGGCGCTGGACATACTATGTCCTTATCATCACTAGCTTTGTGCTCTACATTGCCATCATCTTCTTCGTACCCGAGACATACCGTAAGTCCACTGTCACAGCCAGCTTAGATGCTTCGAACGCTAACTCATTGATTCTAGATCCGATTCTTCTGCGAAACAAGGCTCGCGAGCGTCGCAAGGCTACTGGTGATGACCGCTGGAAGGCACCGACAGAAAAGGTGTCCAAATCGGTCCTCAAGGCACTGTCAATGTCGCTGATGCGCCCGTTTGAGCTCCTCTTCTTTGAACCCATGTGTCTCAACCTCTGCATTCTCTCTGCCCTGCTCTTGGGCATTCTTTACCTCTTCTTTGGAGCGTTCCCTGCTGTATTTGGCAACGTATACGGCTTCAACCTCTGGCAGATTGGTCTGTCCTTTGTCGGCATCGGCGTCGGCATGCTCATTGGTATCTCGTCGGATCCTGTTTGGCAGCGCGTTCGCACAGGGCTAGTACAGAAACTTGAGCAGGAAACGGGTATCCCAGGTGCAAGTGAGCCAGAATTTCGCTTGCCCCCCGCCATTCTCGGAGCTGTTTGTGCGCCAGTCGGCCTCTTCATCTTTGCATGGACCTGCTTCCCCTGGGTGCACTGGATCGCACCTATGATTGGCACGGTTGTTTTCGGCGTTGGGTAAGGAAACCTTCTCGAACGCTTTTCCAGGACGTATTGATACTAACATGGTTGTAGTATTCTGTTTGTATTTGCAGGCATTTTCACGTTCTTGGTGGATGCTTATCCCACATATGCTGCCAGTGCGCTGGCGGCCAATGCATTTGTTCGATGTCTTTTTGCTGGTATGTTACCTCGTATATGCACGAATGCTAAAGGAGAGGCTAACGGATCTTTTTTTTTGTACAGCTGCATTTCCACTGTTTGGGGCTCAAATGTACGAAAAGCTTGGTCACCATTGGGCGACGTCGCTCCTTGGATTCCTGCTGCTTCTCATGATGCCCTTCCCGTACATATTCTACAAGATGGGTAAGAAGATTCGAAGCACGAGTCGCTATGCAAAGTCGTAGTTCTGTGGTTCGGGCGGTCTGCATACATACTAGGCGTATATATCCATGCTATTAAGCAAAATTAATTGACTCTTTTTTTTTCGGTCGTCTTGTATCACACATCCTCTGTAGATGAGCGTGCCTGTCGCCCAAATGAACCTTCACCAACAGCATCACACGACATACAGCCCAATGTGCAAGTCGACAACAAGGGGGGAATACTCGGCCGGGGTTTTCTTTTCGACTGCAGGCGCATGCTTCGGCAGGGACCAGCGTATGCATGTCGTAGCACCAACACCACCACCATAACGCTCAAGCGCCCGAACCAGGGGACAGGGTTGAACTCGTGTCGTGCTGTGCTGTGATTCGTACGCCTCGTCACCGTTTTGGTGCTGCACACTACTGAAATTACTAGCAACTCAACGGATTCGATTCGATTCACTCGGCATCAAGATAGGGTCATGGTATGCTCGTGTTCAGCATCGGCGACAAAGCACGCTGCTGCTCCTTCTACCAGGCCAAGCGTAGTATTTTGCGCGTCATTCTCTGCATCGACAGGGTTCCAGGGTGAACGGGATTGAGGCTCCAGTATGCATGCGAGCACGCCACCATCCAACACTACTGGGTTCAGAGCGCTAAGTTCCGTGAAGGCTCGCGTCCGCTTGGCCGAGGACGACGAGGACGTGTGCTTTTTCTACGGCGTTGCTAAAAAGGAGGAGAGAACCGAGAGTCTACTGGCAGGTGTCTAGCCTATAAAGTAAATTGTTTCCAGATGCTCTATCGTACTTTGAGTCGCTGACCTTGTGTCCTTGTTTAGAAACAAAGGCTCAGCTACAGTGAAGGGAAGGAAAAAATCCAGTTGTGGCGTGTGACTTGCGCACCGGCTGAAACAGGCAGCCCGCTAAAAACGGTCTGCTACAGCACTGGTTCGCTTACCGTACGAGCGCTGTGGGCGGAGCAGCTATTTTAGAGGAGCCAAGGCTGGAGGCTGGGGTTGGCTAGTGGGCGGGTTTCCCCGCACTGGGAAAAAGAGGCAGAGGAAGCACAGGCGGACGAGGAAAAAAAAAGAGGCTTTTGTGTATGTTTTGGCGGTTGACAGGCTGCGTGATGATGTCTGGCGAGTGGTGAGCTATTGCCATGAGATGCATTGGTGTATTCGCAAACTGCAATCCTCCCTGTCGCAGTCACATTGGCGCAGCAATTGTTTTTCCAAAAGTCCTATTCTGATCTACGGCGTACAGCGCTGTACCCTACGTTGGTACGTAAAAACGCCGTGTCGGGGCCCTGCCCACTAATTTCGTCGCTGAAATTGGAGCCGTTTTAGCACACTACTGCGCCGACTGCAGCACTGGCACCACCCATTAGCGGCTGGCTGGGCGCCACTCACTCATTAAGCTGGAGCAGCCAGCCGCTGGGCACCGTCGCCGGCTTCAGCTGCCCCCACAAACTTGGGGCTGTCCAGCGAATAGTTGGCTTGCCATTTCTCCTCTGCTGCAGCGACCACCACTACCACCAACAGCACCTGCCACTACCACTGTTGCTCTGTCGTTCTAAACCCTCAATCTTCCATTTTTCCCGCTTTCAACTCCCCCAAAACGCACCTCCCACCGCCCGCCCGCACTCCTTCGCTGCACCCGCATCGCATTATTTAGCTCCCTCGATAGCTCTGACTACTTCTTTATTTTTTGCATTTTTCTCCGCCCAGTCACCGCGCTGCGCTGCGCTCTTCTGCACCTCGGCCCTCCAGGTCCATTTGTTGCTTGCTGTTGATTTTTTGCCGGTCACATGCCTACCTTTGCGCGACCCTCGTCGACGACGACATCAACAACCGCCTACTAGGAAAATTTAGACAATTGCACGACGCTACCGATCCTTATTCTCCGAACCGACACCCAATTCCCCGTCTGTCTGGTGTCAATGCTTCCCGTTGCGGCTCGTCGGTCACGGCTACTTGCATCTTGCGCCTAAATCGCTAGGCGACCAACATTCGCGCGTCTCGGCAACTCGTCCGCCGCCCTCGGCCCCAACTACACCTCCGCTAGCAACATCAATGCTCCTGTAGCTTGCTGCGGTCTCTCTATTGCGTATTTGACAGCCGTTGAACGCGTCACACGAGCTTCCTTTAGCCCACCCCGCCTTCTGTTGGGAACGGTGCACGAGCTGACCCTCGTCCTACTCCAACCCGGACGCCAGACCAAGTACTTTGCTACCACGCTCTTCCTCTGCTTCACCTTGGGATCTGCTGCCGCACGCCTGCGACATATCGGGCGATCACCGTTCCGTCGTTTCTCACCGTAACCACCACCTCCGCACTCGTCCGTGTAAGCCACTGCGGGGCTTTTCCCGAGACTGCTTCTCAACGGGTGCACGGCGTCTTGCTTCTACCCAGTCTCGCAACGTTGTCTGCTACACTTGTGCGACGCTGCTTGCCCAGTCCCATTTCAACCGACATCTACTGACCACGGCCAACCCTCCATCCGGTTGCAAGGTTCCCACCCCCGAGGTGTAGCCCACCCCCGCGCCGCTGTTACTGCTCCCCGCTAGCCCAGGGCTGCTCTTATATAAGATTGACCGAGAATGCCTGACGATATCGATCCTCGCAATGCCGAGTCTTCGGACCCCATGTCCGATATCGAAGACGACACGGAAAACGTGCATCTTGACGACGACAAGATGGATACCACGACAGACAGTGTTGGCGAGGTCAAGAAAAAGTATGATCCCAAGGATCCCTCAAGACCGAGAAGAAAAAAGGCAAGACGCGCTTGCTTTGCCTGCCAGAGAGCCCATCTCACCTGCGGTACGTGTTTCCTATCCCATTGGTAACCTCGGCTAGTGCCTAATTTTGTATTACAGGAGATGAACGACCCTGCCAACGGTGCATTAAGCGTGGCCTAGCAGAAGCCTGTCAAGACGGCGTGCGTAAAAAGGCAAAATATCTTCACGATGCTCCGGCTGAAGCCCTACGACCTGTCTTGGGCCCGACGTTCAACCCCGCGCCTACTCGGCCGAATGGCCAGAGACAAAACTCTACACAGTCAGAAGGCTCCGCATCGACATCAAGCAGAAGCTTCTTGCCACAGGGCCCGACTGGCCCATATCCGGTATACACTGCTGGCGGACAAATGCCAGTTGGCATGTCGGATAACATGGCGTTTAACACGCGCGCATCGCCTGTGTCGCAGCAGTTCCCGGTGAACCAAGCAACCTCGCAGGCACAGATGAGCCCCATGATTGGCGGAAACCCCATGGATTTCAACGCCCTCTTTGACCCCAGCAACCCAGCGCTGTACAATTTTGACCTGGAAGGACTCAACTTTGGCTCGCAATATGCAGGATGGGAGTTTGGCATTCTGAATAAGATGGCGTTGGGTGCCGACGGACCGTCAAGAGAAAACTCGATATCGCAGGCCACGGATGGTGGCTTCCCGAATATCTTCAACAACGGAAATGGAGCATATGACGGTATGATCGGTGATCTCTCCGGCGTAGACGCAAACATGTACCGCCAGGGCAACTTGCAACATGGTCTGCCTCATGCTTATGCTATTGCTGCGGCCCCGACAAGCCTGGCAAGCCCAAGCACTGAGTCTACGACCAGCCCGAAGCCAATGCTGGGGCCAAACGGATCTCCCAAGGCCACCACCAACATGCCACCGGCATCTCCCATGGCGCGCATGAAGGCCAAGCCTGACAAGATTGCCCAAATCCTGGGTAAAAGACAGCGTGATTCAGCCGCCATTTATGCCAGCGTCAAAGAGCCATATCCTTACACAACAGGGTTCCACAACATGATTTCCGTTCTCAAGGATCGTCTGCCGCTGAACAAGCTGATTAAGATTGCTCGCTACCTGGGCGAGATTCGACCCTCGTTTATTGCCTGCACAAAGGACTTGACAAGGGAGGATCTCGTCTTTATGGAAAAGTGCTTCCAGCGCACGCTGGTAGAGTTCAACGACTTTTTGCAACACTGCTGCGCGCCAACCATTGTTTGCCGACGTTCAGGCGAAGTGGCTGCTGTGAATAAAGAGTTTACAGCGCTCACCGGCTGGACCAAGGAAGTTTTGCTCGGCAAGGAGCCCAACCAAAACGTCTACTCACGTGCTGTGTCTGCAGATACAGGCGACGACACCGACGGCACGAGGACGGGCACATCCACGCCTCGATCCAGAGGAGGCAATGCCAACGGCGGTGATCCGAACCATCCCGTCTTCTTGGCGGAGCTTCTTGACGACGACAGCGTTGTCGACTTTTACCACGACTTTGCGCAGCTTGCGTTTGAAGACAGTCGTGGCAAGTCGCAGCGCAGCTGTCGTCTCATGAAGTACCGCAGCCAGGACGACTCGTCGAGTAAAGAGCTGCCGAATCAGCAGGCCCAGAGGGCTGGCATTCTCAGCAACCGTGTCACTAAGATTGACAGTGAGCACGGCATTTCCAAGATTGAGAAGAATGGCAAGGTGGACTGCACGTATTGCTGGACAATCAAGCGTGACGTTTTCGATATCCCCATGATGATTATTATAAATGTAAGTTGGCCCTTCTACAACGCCAATCTTATTGGCGCATGGTTTACTAACAACTCGTTCTAGTTCTTGCCCCGATATAACCCCAACCAAAACACAGAGCCGCATCTCCTTGCCGTCTAGGAGTAGACACTTGCGGCTTCTCTTTCTTCTTTTTCGGTATATACATGGACCGTCTTGTTTCTTTTCTGTTGTACAGGGCTGGATTTTGCGCCATCGGTGTGGCAATTGGAGTTTGGATTTGGTTGGACAATGATTTTGTTTTCCTTTTATGTGTGCTGTTCTTTTATGGGACAAAGATATGGGAAGAGGATACGATACCCTTTCGGTAGTGAAACAAGCAATTGTATTCATGGACTTTTTCTAAACCCCTCCCGTTTTGGTGAAAACTTGCTCTATGTAAATGCGATTTCCTCGGGCCCCGTGAATGGGATCTAAACCGAGACAGAAAAGACAGTGCGCCGCTCCAAATGACAGAAAGATTTCCAAATAGCCTCGTTTTTACAGAGCCTTAGTGAGCCACTCTGCACCAGCAAGCTTGTCGTGCTTCCAGTTGTCACGGGCAAGACTCTTCTTGGAGACCTCGCAGTCAAAGTTGATATCCTCAATCAGCGCCTCGAGGCTCTTGTAGTCCTTCTCCTCGCGGATGAAGCCCAAGATCAGCAGGCGCATATGGGAGTCGTAGAAGTCAGCACCAAACTTATGCAGAACGTGCACTTCCGCACTGCGCACCGTGTTCTTGTAGAAGGGGTTGTAGCCAATCGACATAACCATAGGGAAGACGAGGAAGCCGTCGGTCGAGCCAGCGCGGTCGGGGTGGTCGGCAGGCAGGGCGATCGAGGCGTAGCCGAAGTACACGCCAGACGTAATATCGGAGATCCAGGGTGTTACATCAGCCTCGACGGGCAGGTTAGCAGTAGGGATGCCGAGCTGGAGCCGAAGATGTGTTGTTAGTTTGCGTGTGCATGGGGCATAGACAGAGCACATACCTCCTTGGAACCGCGGCCAAAGCCGGAAATAACCTTGCCCTCCATCTGTCTGGGGAACGGGGTCTCAGGACCGGCATCCTGGCCGACAATCTCGGGTCTAGAGGACATTGTTGAGGCGGTCTCGTGAGGGGTGGTGGGATGAGTCAAAAAATGTGTCCGGCGGCGCGGGGGCGAGGTGCAACGTTGCGGGAGCCGGAAGCGAGCTTCTATGATGGCGATGTTGGGTTACGTAGTAAATCCTGGGGGCGATGGAGAGAGAAGAAGAAGAGAAGATGGGCGCGGACTGTGTGTTTTGGGTGGAAGAAATGAAAGCTGGGCTGACGAGCAACTTCCATGTGCGTTCGGTGCGTGGGGCTGTGACGGCTCCGCGCGGAGTTTTGGTGGATATGTGCTGATTGCCTGTTCCGCTCCGGAGCCGGAAGCGCGCGAGGCTGATTAAATGAGCCCAAGTAACGAGATGAGAAAGAAAAAGAGGGCAAATTAAAGGTGGGATGTATATTCGTAAACTAAAATTGGTATCACTAAGAATTAGAAAAGAAGAGAGCTTCGACAATGAAGCCCCGGTCACGATTAACCCCCCCCAATCTCGTATGTGTCTTGTGCTCAATAGCCAGTCTCTCGAGCATCTGCGCACTACTCTTTAAGCAGCCGTGTTGGTGGCAGCAACAGGAGCGTCAACCCACTCCGTCTTGCCCATGCGCACAATATCGCTGCCCTCAATCACCCAGAACTTGCTCGGGGCCTTGCCCTCGTCCGCGAGCTGAGCAGCACGAATGGCAGCTTTGGCAATGACATCGGCTTCCTGGCCAATGGCATTCTGCGCACCAGCACTGAGCTTGCCAACACCATGAACAATGCTCTGGAGAAGACCCTCTGCAGCACGCTTCTCCTCGCGGTCACCCAGGATCATGCCGGGCTTGATGATGATGCCGTGGTCAAAGTCCTGCTCCTTGATGGCATCCTCGACGCCGTTCTTCATCTTGGCGTAGGGTGACAAGCTGCCAGGGAAGCCGCGGGTGCCGCCGCTGGAAATAAAGACAAATGTCTTTGCACCAGCCTCCTTGGCAGCCTTGACAAGCTCGACATTGAGGTCGTGGTCAATCTTCCACTGATTGGCAATGCCACCGGCCGCAGCGCGCGTCGTGCCCAGGGCAGAAAAAACAACGGCCGAGGTGGGCGAGAGGCCCTTGAGCGCAGGCGCCCATTTTGTAGTGTCGGCGTCGATGATGGCGTTGAGCGAGGGCGAGGTCGCCTTGGGGGCGCGGCGGGTGATGGTGTTGACGGGTTTGTAGATGTCGGCGGCGAGGAGCGTCGAGAGAATGTGCGAGCCGACGAGGCCGGTCGAGCCGATGATGGTGCTGGAAGAGGTTGCCATTTTTTTTTTTCAATGTAGATAGATGTTGAAAGATGAAAGAGGGGAGAGGTTTTGCAAGTCGATCGGGAAGTAAGTAGTTTGCAGCGGAGCGGACGGACTTCTGGGAGCTCTGTCGCAGGGCAACGCTGCGGCAACCTGATGTGCCGAGCCGTGTGCTAGCGCCGCTGTAATTTTGGCCCCCACAGCGCACAGACAGGCGGTTCTACAGTGGCTCCTCCAGGCCTGCAACACGCACTCGTCACTTTTTTTTCTGGAGGCGTTGGCTTGCTTGCGACAACGCTTTCTGCCTACCCACCACAAGCTACATCACCCGCCATCATCCGCATCTTGTATATTTCCCCTGACGCTGGTAGATACGCTATAGCAGCAGGCTTCTTTACTACTATTCCAATTGATTTTGATTTGAGAGCGCTGCTACCATGGCCACACAGTACGAGAGTACGTTGGAGTTACCCCGCCAAGTCGCCGATAGCATCAGCTAACAGTGATATTCTAGTCGAGCACAATGTGCAGTTTGCCGAGGGACGCCGTGCCGGCCGCCGAGTGGACATGGCATCCTTCTTCGCCCTGCTGAACCAGCTTGCCGAGCCATCAGGCACCGACTCTCCCCAGAACAACCCCCACGCCGTCCCTACGCCGGTCGACTCGGCCGCCCTCTTCCGCATGCTCCAAGACCAGCTTCTTACGCTTCACAACACTTCACCTACTGCCGACAACCGATCCTTCCTGGAAGAGCTCATCTCGTCGCTGGATGCCGATATCCAGGACCCTCCCAAGACCATCCAAGGTGTTACACAGGAGTTTGTCGACTCGCTGGACCGCGTAAATCGCAAGACACTGCACGAAGACGATGACTGCGCCATCTGCAAGGTGCCGTACCTCGAAGACGAATACTGCTTGGTTGTTGAGCTTCCGTGCCAGGGCCGCCACCAGTACGACTTGGAGTGTGTTGGTCCGTGGCTGCGAAGCAAGGGAACGTGTCCCATGTGTCGCCAGGAGATGAACAAGAAGAAGGAAATACCCGTGGTGGAAGATGACGATGAGGAAGATGGTGATATGATGTACGCATAGACAGGACAAATGACGACGATGACGACAAATGTATATATTATATGGAGAGCGTGGAGTTGTGGAGTTGGTGAGAGCAAGTTGTCATGGAGCGCTTCGTACGAGATTTTAAAACTTCCTTTTGATGATTGTCTAATGAACAAATCTGAATACATTATAAAGCGATGCTTACGCTTTCTATCCATTTCCCAAGGGCTTATAACTATCCAGACTACCAGTGACGGCTTACGCCTCATGCTTGGTCATTTGAGCGGCAGCCGCATCAGCCTTGGCTTTGACGTCGGCGGTAACCTCAGCAGATAGCTCAGCCAGTCTGGTCTTCCAAAACTGCCATCGCTCTGTGGTGTTGCCGGTCTGGCCCTTAAGAAGACTGCCAGAGGAGAGCATCTTGGCCTCCATCTCATCGGGCTTGACGCCCTGGGCAGCCTCGGTGTGCATGACCTTGCCGGCGTGGGTGAGCCACTCACTGGCGGTAGATAGGTGCATATTCTTAGCCTCGGCCGTCTTGAGGGGCTCTTCGAGACCAGCACGGAGCTCCCAGATGCCAAAGTTCATCCACGACTGAAGCTTTGCGCCGAGGAGGCGGGCTGCAAATGAGTTGAGAGAAATCCATTCCTGGATCTTGGTCTTGTCGTCGTCAGATCCATCAAACTTGACGTCGACTATGTATCCGTTAGTAAGAATTTGTGGACTATAGGACCTGAATGGGGTACGTACTGTTCCATGCCTCGCGCATGCAGGGGCCAAAGAGGGCGAGATCGTCCCACATGACAGCCTTTTGGCCCCAAATCTCGACAGAGTCACTCTTCTTTGCCTTGAGCTTGGCAATCACGTCGACGAGATGCGCCTGGCGCACATCAGAGGCAGGGATCTTCTTGGCCACCTGGATGGTAATGGTCCAGAGCTTCCAGAGGAAGTCCTCAGCATCGCCACCAGACATCTTCTGCTGGTAGTAGAGCCTCTCAATGTCGTTGGCGGTCTTTTGGGCGGATTCGGTCGTGGGGGCGGTCTCCTTGAGAGAGGTTTCGAGCAGAGTAGCAATCTTGGTGTCGAGGTCGGAGTTTTCGGCAGCAGCTGCTGCTGCAGGTGGTGCTTGAGAAGCCATCGTGCCGGCGGTTATGGAATTGGTGAGGATGCAAGGGTGTCGGTTGGAGGAGGAGGCGGCTCTTTTAACGATGGTGGCGGGGGATGTGAGTTTAGTATGCGCTGTTGCTATGGCGGGGTAGCTGTTTGCAGAGTGTCGTGGTGCTAGTGTAGCGCTACAAAGACAATGGCGGGCAGAGAATCGGGGGACTGGGCGCAGTGCAGCAGCTAACTGGGCCATAAAATAATAGAGGTGTGTTTATGTAGAAGAGTGAATTGATAAAATTAGTGACGGACAAAAAAGGAATTCCTTGCCACAGAAACTTGGAGAAATGGGAATCACAGTACGTCACCCACCTAAAAAGTCCAGCTGTACATGCACCAAGCAACACCAGAATCAAGGTTAAGCGGGAGCCAATGCGGGGCCGGCGAGTTGCTGTACGCCAATCACGCCCAGAGGCGCAGCCATGCCACCTGTCCCCACCTGTAAAAGACCCTCTAGAACGTGGGTTTTAGCGGCGGGGCTGTGTAGATGTACTCACTCCATTGCACTAACAAACCGTCATTCGCTTGACCACGTCACAACCTACCAAATCAGGAACTATACAATGGCTAGCGACTCACAATATGTTCTTTACGATATTCCCACCAAGGACCCTGTTCGGTGCTGGTCCTGGAATGTCTGGAAGTCTCGCTTTGTTCTCAATTTCAAGGGCCTAGATTATGTCACCGAATGGGTAAGCAATACCCGGAACATCAGCAACACCATGCACAAGGTAACAATGGCAATGGATCATCTATTAACTCTGAGATGGCAGACGGAATACCCCGAGATTCGAACAAAACTTCAAGAATAGTGAGATTTGTAGCTGCACCTACCTGAGAGCGATACTGACACAGTCTAGCTTCCCGGGCAAGGAAGAATTCACCGTGCCTACTGTACGACTACCGAATGGCGAATACATCATGGACTCGATGGCCATTGCGGCAAGAATCGAAAAGGACCATCCTGAACCGTCCTTGCATCTCGATTACCCGCATTTAGATCGCTACATCTCCAACCTCAAGGAGGCTCTCATCCCACTCCAGCCCATCTACATCCACGCAGTTGCCCACCGTCTGCTTACAGAAAAGAGTCTTCCGTTCTTCCTGGAGACTAGAGCAGAGGACCTGGGTATGTCTCTGGATGAGTTCCATGAGCAAGGCAAAGCGAATGCGTGGAAAGACTCAGTCTCTGGATTGACCAAAATGAAGGATATGCTGCTTGAAGAAAAAGACGGCCCATTTTTCATGGGAGCCACGGTGAGCTACGTCGACTTTCTATGGGCAGGCGTCCTTCTCTTCTACAAAGCGCTTGGTGACGATATTTACGCCGAGTTTCTCAAGGCGAGCGGTGATGGGGGCAAAACATTCACGGAACTCTTGGAGGCAGTCAAGCCATGGTCAGGCCGTGCATCAGGCTAAACTTCAATGTACGTATATATTAAAGATATCATTTCACCTCCAATTTCTATGCAATAGACATCTTCATACCTCCGTTGGCGCAGACAACGCTTCCAGTTGTCCAGCCTGCTTCCTTGGAGCAAAGCATGTCAATGGTGCCGGCAATCTCGCATGTGAAACCTGGTCTCTGACCACCCATGCCTTCGCGCACCGTCTTGTCGAATCTTTCCGCGTCATCACCTGCCATGGCCAAGACACTTTCCTCACCGTCGTACTTTGCTAGTGGTGCAGCATCGACATATGGTTGATTGATATCCCAGAACTTCTTTCCAGCGATGGCATACATGTCAGTCCATGCTGGTCCAGGGTTGATAGCGTTGACAGTCGCGCGCTCAGCGAGCTCTCGGCTCCATGTACGAGTCATAGCCTCCAAGGCGGCCTTGCTGCCAGCATAGACCGACTGTCCTTGGTAGCCAATAGACGATGAGACACTAGAGACATTGACAATGCGGCCTGAGCGGTCATGGGGGAGATATGGGGCGACAGCCTGTGTAAGTAGCAAAGGGGCAAGGACGTTGATGTCATATACGCGATTGAATTCATACGCTGTGATGGGTCCCTGGCTTTCGTCGTTCATGGTCTGATTGGAGGCGACACCTGCATTGTTGATGAGAATGTCAATCTGGAATTGGCCTGATGGATTGTAAGATGAGTAGAACTTCTTGGCAGCATCGATAACCACGGGTGCCGAGTCAGATGCGTTGGCTAGATCAGCCTGAACAGCACCACAGTGGATGTTGTCCTTGGTGCTGAGCTCCTTGGAGAGCTGATCGACAAGGCGTTGGGAGGAGGCAGATGTATAGACAATCAAAACGTTGCATCCTTTGGCAGCCAATGCTCGAACCACAGCTTCTCCGATTCCTATTCAGTAATTGATTAGCTTCATGAATATAGCTTTATACAGTATGGGGTGAGGGCGATGCAAACCTCGTGAGCCGCCAGTCACAATTCCGAGCTTGCCGTCGTATGGTCGAGAAGTTGCCATGTTGCTCAAAATGGGAATATTAATGTTTTGCGTGATATAAAAAAAAAAGAGTTTAAATGGCAAGAGAAGAATGGTTTGTTTCGTCTCATACGGTCTGCTGGTGTATTAATACCCTAATGGCGAAGCCGATCGCGGGGTCGAGCTACCCCACACAGCTAAAAAGTACTATAAGCGCGCCAATGATATTGAAGAACAAACAGGCTGTAAGAGTAAGAAAGGTACAGAACTTCTTTATTGCTAGCTTGTCTATGAAACATGAAACCAATAAAAACCAAAATATGCCCCGGAGTATCCAATATTTTCTTTACGTCCAGCCACCGTCAACACGGATGCACTGGTTCGTCATACCGGAGCTGTCATCGGCGCCCAACCATAGTGCAGCCCGAGCAATCTCCGCAGGCACAATGAGTCTCTTGAGAGCCTGCGCGCCCAGCACCTTTTCCTTGTACACAGGGGTCATGACCTTAGCAAGTTCCCTCTCTGTAGCTGTGGATCCAGGCATGATGCTGTTGCAGCGGATACCCTGGGGTCCGAATTCGTGGGCAATGGTTCTTGTCAAGCCGACAATGGCAGATTTGGTGGTCGTGTAGCCAGGAATGCCCGTAGCGGGAATGGCCCAGTTGATGGTGCCAATGTTGATAATGGACGAATTGAGAATGTCCTTTGCAGCTGCGAGTAGGCCGGGAAGCAATGACTGGATAAGGAAGAACTGCGGCGTCAGGTTGGTGTTGACATCGCGGGCCCAGGACTCCGGTGTCACTTCCATGGTAGGCTTGGTCGACGTATTGCAGGCGTTGTTGATTAGGACATGAATCTTGGGGAAGGCTTCGAGAATCTTGGCGGCAGTAGGCTGCAACGCCTCCCTTGTCTGGGAGACATCGCATTCGTAGAAGATGGGAGCATGGGCAACACCAGCTTCCACGAGTCTCTTGACGAGGTCATTGCCCTTTTCGACAGCGATATCCAGAAAGAGGACCTGGCAGCCCTGGAGAGCAAAGTTTTCAACCATGGATGCACCAATGCCTTGACTTCCACCCGTGATGACCACTACACGGTCCTTAAGACTTGGGTAGTTGGCGTATTGTGATTGAGACATGGTGGGCGGACGAAATAGCTGTACGATGCGCTGTGTTTGTGGTGAGATGGAAAGCAGCTAGACTTGGCTCTCAGCCCGGATTTAAATAGAGGGGAAATTCTCCTCCAACAGCCAGGAAAGCAAGGTGAAGACAGAGTGACGATGAACGTGTGCTCGTGAAACGTTGCGCCTTTCGAGCAACACGACTGGCTGGTGCCCCCCGCGCGGGGTCCAAAGGCTGAAGGGACACGGCGTGCCAGATGGCAGCCAGTTTTTCACTTTTACGCAACCATCCGGAGGTGCAATGGCTGCGTGATGCACCGGAAAATCTTGTACACTGTACCAGATTTCCATTACTGTCTGTAAGAAATTAAAAAGAAGCAACGTCTCGCTGCAACTTAGCTACATACACGTTTACTCATCAAACGCTCAGCCTGGTGACGTTGCTTGACGGGCATGTCACGCGGACCCGAGTGTCTGCAACCGGGTGGAAAATCCCCGAGTGGCTGATGTATATTACTTTTTTTCGATTTCTTCATCCGACGCATGTATTGGCATCAAATTACAGCGTGTACCGGCGTGGACTGAGGCTGTTGTAACGCCCCGACAGTGGCAGGCTATCCTCTTTGGGCACATAGGTAGCGCTGCTGTGAACGCCAGCATTACAGCTCTTAGGGCCGCGCAGCCTCGTCAAAAAGCGAACATTTTCTGTACAAGGCTGGACTTTGACCGTGCAAAGCCATCATCGCACAGCATATCCCATCGCCATGACACCGCCGGTTCACCGGCGGAAGCGCTGGAGTGCAAAGACCAAAACCGGGTGCTCAACTTGCAGGTAAGACTCTACTCTCATACTCACGCTTTAGCAGAGCTGTGCCGCTTAACTACAAGCTAGGATAAGACGCATAAGGTGTGATGAATCTAAGCCAAATTGCCAAAACGCACCAAGACCGGGAGAGAATGCCCAGGCCACACCGCCGCTCCTCCTGAAAGGCGGTACAGAATGCTCCTTGCTGCGCCGCCTCTGATCCCAGAAAATGTTGCGCTGCCCCTGGAGCAGGTCAATACGATGAAGGATGTACAGCTGCTGCTTGGAATCTTGCCCAAGATTCTAGCCAATGCGGTGCCCGATGATCACTGGTCCATTAGAGCCAGCATGCGTACTACGACTGCAATGTACATTGCAGTTCTACCCAGCCGCGCTGGTGAAAATGTCGCCCTGGACGCGGCTATCCAATGTCTCGCTGGTACCGCTCGTTCGTACTACACCAAAGCGATTTTACTCCGGTCGAATGAGAGAGAGGCATTAGAGGATCCCCGTGTGATGCTGAGACACCATAGTAACTCGTTGAATTGCCTGCGTCAGGCAATACACGACCCAGTCCAGGCTGTAGCTGTTGAGACGTTGTGCGCCACGGCGCTTCTATCTTGTTTTGAAGTATGCCCCATGTTCAGGTCTAGCCATAATATTGGAAGAATCACTGACTTCTGCATAGTCCTTTTTCTCGGACGGTACAGATGAAAATCAGCTACACCACCAGAACGGTATTGAGGAGCTCATGAAACATCGTCAAACTCACCGGTTTACAACATCATTTGATCTCGATCTCGTGGAAGGTCAAGCTGGATACATTGTAAGATCACATTTTGACTCAATCTTGAGAAAAGGAGATCAGAAGAACAACAAAACTGATTAGCCCTCTGGGTTCTCAAAGCATTCTTTACCAGCACCAGTAGTTTTATCGGCCAAGGCCGCTGGCTGGCTGTTCTTGAAGCCGTGGCGGCGTCGACTACCAATACCCGTATCGAGAAATTCTTCCCAAAAATTTGCATGGAATTCTTCATCAAATCTGCCCCAATCTTAGAAACACTAGTTCAGACAACAGCCCTCATGGTACGGGGCAATCTATCCTCGACAGAAGCGCTCCAAACGAGACGCCAACTCCTGGATGGCCTAGGCGAGACTTTGCCGATATTTCTGGCATGGCAGAGAGACACTAAAACAGCCGTAGCACTTTTAATTAAAGCTATAGAGGACGGCAACGAAGGACCAGAAGCGCGGATTTTCAATATCACGCTTTTGCCTGGTGTATACAAGGCTGTGGAGATTATCCACAACCGATTACAAGTCGCTCTTGGAGGCGCGGATGTGTATCTTATGGAGATGAGTTCCAGGGATGCGTCTTTGCTATTTCTACAAAATCTCAAGGAAAGAGGCCCAGCTTCAGCAGGATTGCTGGAAGTCAACATGGTTAAATCTATACCAGGTACATCATCGGACTGGATGGCACACGCGGCGTCACGGCATGGCATGGAGGCGAAACCCCCGATCCCTTTATTGGAAAAGACGTTTATTTACGCTGGCTTTCGGCCATGGGTGTTACCTATCCTACAGCATAGCATTACCAGTTTCTCTGATTCCAAGATATCACACGTAAAACATAGGGAAATCAATACGGATCTGAGAGGCCAGGCAAGTTGCATTACCGGTAAAGGAGAAAAGTCAAGATCAGTCGCAGCGTGTATATCTAAAACCGCGCTCATACACCCGTTTATTGTTTTATTTTAGACGATGGATTAAATCTCTACTGCGAAAATAGAACAGCGACCGGAGCATCGATGAAGTGGATTTTGTCGCAACTTTTATTGAGGTAGTTATAACATCTAACTTGAAACTGTCGCAACTGTCCGCTAACAGGATATGAATACAGATGTTTGAAGGCAAATACACCACCATGGGTAGCCGTTCGACATTGCACCCACGGGTTGTTCGAGGCCAGCTGAATCGTAACTTATGTAAGCTTTATAAACATCTTTTCTGATGTCATCTGGCATAAAACTAATAGAGAATACTTCACAGGGGTGGTTATGCAGGATATCCAAGAGGAGATTCGCGATGCTTTTGACGACGCCTTTCCACCATGCGACGGTAAGCGCCATCTATGTTGTACTAACCTATACCAAGCCGAATTCTAAGACGAGACTTTTAGATTGGACAGAAGTGGATGTGGTGGATCGCATCACACAAGTTGTCGCCAGAGTATCGAGTCGCATGTTTGGTGGCAGAACACTCAGCACGAACCGCGAATGGGTGCAGTCGTCCATCAATTTCGCCACAGACGGCTTAATTGGAGCCCAAGCACTGAAGAAATATCCAGAATTTCTCAAACCTCTAGTAGCGAAGTTTATGCCAGCAATTAGTCGGATCAAAGAGCATTACGCCGCAGCTGAACGAGCCGCTATCCCGCTTCTCAAGGAGCGCGAGGCCAATGGCCAAACAGCCGATGATCTGTTATACTGGATGAATGACGACGCCAAAGGATCAGAGAAAGATCCAGCATTTCTGGCCGGCATCTTGCTCAAGGTTAGCTTTGCGGCTATTCATACAAGCGCGGCTGCCCGCTCTCAGTTATTGTATGATCTTTGTTCTATGCCTGAATATATTGAGCCCCTCCGCCAGGAGATTCAAGAAAGCCTAGACAGCAATGGGCAACTAGATCGCCAGGGTTTCCAGAGCCTTTCGAAGCTCGACAGTATCATGAAGGAGAGTCAGCGTTTCAACCCGCTTCTGCTTAGTGAGTTTGGCAACGAGTCATCATTAATATTGCGAAATACTAACTCAATTTCCCAGTTACTTTTGAGCGTGTTGTAACGAAGGACTATTCTCTGTCTGACGGGTTAACTATCCCGGCTAACACTACGATTGGTATTCCTACGCATGCAGTATCAATGGACCCGGAAATTTATCCAGAGCCTGAGAAGTTCAAAGGGTTTCGATTCCACGACATAAACAAGGCCAAAGAGACGGCGGGCTTGAAGGAGTCGTCTGGGCCATCAGTGGCATACGCTGCTGCGCATCCTGGTAGCATGGCATTTGGGTATGGCCGACATGCGTGCCCTGGTCGGTTCTTTGCGTCGGCGGAAATCAAGGCTATAATGGTCTATCTTCTGGTGAATTATGATTTTAAGTTTCCAGAAGACCGTCCCCAGCGCCCACCCAGCTTGCTCTTTGAGACACAGAACCTGCCTAATGCTGGTGGCAGAATTATGTTTAAGCGCCGTAAAATGGAATAGATGTCGGTAGTAGACTATTATAATTTTTGACTTTAATTAAGAAAAGAAGAGTGTAAATATGTTTGATTCTCAGATAATTGTTATAAATTGAATGTAAAATATGTAAACTATATAGTGTAAATGTAATCAGCGATGATTATATGCCAATGATATGCACTGATATGCAAAATGTAGAACGCCATGATCATATAGTCTAACCTTGGACGAGTCCCTGAATCCACCACTCGCAACGCTTTGCATACAGCTTATCCTTTTCAAGAGGCTTGATGCTTGTCGAATTCAGATTTTCCAGTGTCAGATCGTGTGCTGGGGGGAACGATGGCAGATCAGCACATCCACTGCGCTCAGCGTCGGGCTGACCTTTGACTGCAAAGTTAGTCATGTAGGTCTGAAGATATTTGGCCATTGTAGTGTTGATATGCGATCCTGAGGAATGCCAATCGTAGAAGATGTACTCCAAGTCTTCGCCATGTACACCGGGAGGCACGGAGAACTGGTAGGCATAGCTGTGGCCGAGTCTTTGGGCAGCCAAGTTCACACTATACGCGCTGCAAACGATGAGAGCATCGCCAAATGTCTGAGCCAGTCGACCAACATTGTCTTTGTAGCCATAGCGGCCAGAGAAGTCTGCGGGATACAGCTCCTTGGTAACTGTGGTCATTCCGTCATCAGAGAGTTCAGGAAAGAGGGAAGCCAGATATTCTTCATACTTAGTGGACGATTTAACAAACGGCGACGCAAATATTTCGCCCTCCTTTGAATTAAAGCTTGGCATCATGGAAATACTGTCGGTATCTGACCACTGAGAAATAACTTTTGGGGGATATGCAGAGAAATCGTCATCTCTAACAGGACCTATAGGTAAAGATGGTGTCAGCCAGTTTTGTACATCAAAAGATCCCTCAGAGCTATATAAGGACAAAAAGCTTACCAAAGGCAAAGGTACCATAGGGGCGAGCATTGCCAACAGCAACACCATTGACAACGCGCAAGTCCTCACTAGACATGCCCTTCAGAGATGCGGGGGAGGAGACATTAGCTGCTTTCAGGACACGGCCCAGGGTCTCGGTCTGTTGCTCTTGGGCCTGGTAGGCCACAAACGGACTCTGGGGAATGGCCTTGGAGAAGAGGGACGCCCACGGGACATCACCCGCCCCCAGATGGTATAATATGGAGCCGCCACCGGCAGACTCACCCGTTACGGTGATAGAGTTTGCGTTGCCGCCAAAGTGGTGAATATACTTTTGTACCCACTGTAAGGCAAGCCTTTGATCCAGTAGCCCGAGATTATGTGGGATCCCGTCTCCCGCGGCACCGGCAAGGAATCCCTAGGGTTATTCCCGTTAGCTGCTGTCTCACCCGATTCCTTTCGGTGTGGTACTTACGAAAAGGCCAAGGCGATAGTTGATGGACACGTAGACCAAATCGATGCCGTTTCTCGCAGCGGCCTCCAGGAATCCAATACCTGGGCCATTGTATGTCTTGGATCCCACGACGAAGCCTCCGCCGTGGATATTCACCAGCACAGCAACATTACTGGCCTTGTTGGAGAGGACGCTCTTGGGCGCCAGAATGTCTAAGACCAGGCAATCTTCGGTCTCACCCTTCCCAGCCGCGGGCACATCGTCTGGTGTTATGGTTGGAATGTCCGTTCTATTGCCGATTGACTGTCCCACGAGCTCAAACCAGCCTGGAGTTGCCTGGAAACACTGGATGGGATATGGACCTGCAGTCTGAGTCGTGCGGTTCTTCCCAGGCATCTCGGGGCGCTTGAAGCGGCGTGATCCAAGAGGCGGCGCGGCGTAGTGAACATTGGTGAAGTTGCAGTAATGGACGTTGCCACTCGTCTAGACGGTGATTTATTAGCGGATATTGTGCTTGAAATAGGATGTAATTGATTGTTTTAGAGGTTTCACCCACGTATTCAGACCCCTCATGAAGGGTGTACCCGAGATCAACAACATCGCAAGGTGACGACGCGGCTCCCACACGAACGGCACATAGCCAGGCCAGAGTCACTTTGAATTGCATAGCTGTAACAATTAACCAACAAGTTGATAACTTCCAATGGTATTTTTTGTAGCTCACGCGACAAGATGCAAAAACAGAATACTTTTGAGGGTTTAATCCAGACAAGGTTGCAAAGGCGGGGGATCCAACGGCAAGGCTGCATTAGGCAATACCGGTGAAAAGGAGAACCCTGGTCGGCGATATTTGAAAAGCCCGAATCGGGAAATTCATACGGCGGTTTATAAAGAATAATAATACTTTGAAATCATGATATTGAGGAACAAAAAGCAGATCCTAATACAGGCAAAAAGGGGCGTGTGCAAGCCAAGTACATACATGCCGGACGAGACAACTGCCTTACTATCGACCAGCATGACTTCGCCCAAGGCTGACTTTGCTGCAAATCGGCACTATTTCCTCTCTCGAAACTTTATTGGCTCCTTAGCTGCCATTGGCCTCGCAAGCATGGCGGCCATTGGTGGCTTCTCACTCATAGCGCCTGTGCTGGGCAACATTGACGCATCCATTGGCCCAGATCAGAGCATTGTCTGGGTTTCACTGTCAAACAATCTGACGCAGGCCATCGGACTGACTATTGCCGGGCGTCTTTCGGATATATTTGGTCGCTGGTACTTTCAGATTGGTGGTGCCTTGCTAGCGCTCGTTGGATGTATACTAGCCGTGACGGCAGTAAATGTGCGAATGCTAATCGGCGCTAATGTGCTCATTGGTATTGGATCCGCAACACAGGTGTCGTTTCCCTATCTAATTGCGGAACTTGTTCCCGTTAGACAGGGATCCTTTGCGTCCGCGTACATTTACGTGCTGTTGGTGCCCATGTCGGCTCTTGCGCCAAACATTGCTACGGTCCTCGCCACGCGCACAAGTGTTGGTTGGAGATGCTGCTATTACTTGCTCGTTGCTATCAATGCGCTGGCATTGGTATGCTGGGTTCTCTTTTATCGCCTGCCTACATGGGATGATTTGGTGGAAAGTGCTGGTAGTGCTTCGACGAAAGCGAAGAAGGCGCAGATGCTAAAGAATATCGATTATGGCGGCCTCATATTTCTCTCCAGCGGTCTTTTGCTGTTTCTTATGGGAATCTCGTGGGGAGGCTCCGTTTACGCGTGGAACTCAGCAGCTGTGCTTTCCACAATTATATTGGGTGCCGTGGCGCTTGTCTGCTTCGTCTTCTATGAGCGTCGACTATCCAGATCCGTGGCTCTGGTTCCGATGCACTGCTTTCCAATGGGCCTTGGATTGCCGTCGGTTTGACGCTTGCCATGGCCACCAGTATGTACTATGCCTTTAACATTGTCTTTCCCAACTAGGTTGCCGTCCTCTATGCAGACCATAGTCTCGAGGTCCAAGGTTGGGTCAAGTGTGTTATTGGTGCACCGCCTCTATTTGGTCAAATTACTGCTAGTATATTTGCCACCCGAATTGGCAAGTTGAAGTACCAGCTTATCATTGCTGCTATCGTGGGCGCCGCGTTTTACGCAGGTAAGTTGTATAACAGGACTATTTTGTATCATTGTTACTAACTAATGTGCAAAAAGCGAATGCAAGTGTGACTCCAAACAACGAAATTCAGGTCATTATCTTGCTATGCATTGGTGGATTTGCGCTTGGATGGGTAGATGCTGTCTGCCTCGTCGCTCTCTCCATCACACTTGAAGATCAGAAAGAAATAGGAACTGGTGTAAGTGTTGCTAGTTCGTTACGAACAATCATCACAACCACCTCGGCTACTATATTTACTGCCATACTCTTTTGGCGCCTAGCGTCGACGATCCCGGCCATTGTTCCTCCCGCGTTGGTCGAGGCTGGACTTCCCGCACACTATGTAGACCAGTGTGTATACTTGCTTCAGCACAACCAAACGCGACTTGCTGAAGTGGAAGGTGTCTCTGCTAGTGTCATTGCTACTGGGCTGGATGCATTTAAACTGGCTAACTCACAGGCATATTCAACAGTGTATCTCGCAACTATTGCATTCAGTGGGGTAGGCATCATATGCAGCTTCATGACGCCCAGCATGGAGTCGTATCTAACCGACGATGTTGCCAGGAGGCTAAGACAATGTTTTGCCTATCGTACAAATAATGTCACCTGATATTATATATATTTATTATAGCAAATAGCAAATATTTTACTTATATATATCATTATCCTGTTAGGTTCTATTCTTGTTGGCATGACTTGCATTTAATGAGCGACATATGGATTGTTCTCTGGGGTCTATAAATTGTGCTACGGTACATAAACAGCCTAATGATAAAAAAAAGGTTCAAAGTTTTCAGAAGAAAGTTATGTAGCTTTATCAAATCTAAATACACGGTAAATCTAACCAAGTATAAAAAAATAATTTTCGGTACCCAGACTACACTATGTCGTCCACAGTGGTTTTGCTGGACGACTTCACCAAATCGCCTAATATTTGGACAAAGTCTTGACGAAGGTTCTCAACTTCCTCAGCTGCAATCTGTTCCGTATCATACTGTATCATCAAATGAACAATTCCATCTTTATCAGCAACGTCAAGCTCACCAGAGGCAGTTCTCGGCTGCGTAGACGCAATCTGCCACGACTCTGTATCGATTACCATGTCCCAAAGTATAATAATAGACGAATCAAACCAGTATGAGTCACCATATGTCTTTTTAACAATCTCTGTCAGCTCTGGATAGCTCCATTGCCACTGGTTGGCTAGTCGGAATGTCTTGTGAAGCGACGCTATGGTGTCCTGCACTGTTTGTTGTCTGTCAAGTCTGAATATTAATGGACACCGGCCATTTGTCGGTCCATGCATCGATTTAATATCAGGGAAGTCTACATCGCGCCCTGAAACACTAATCTTGGCTCCGACAGTGGTGGATTGGGTGCGCAAGGAGAGGAGCAAGGCCCATGCGGTGTAGATAAGAACGGCAGCCGATGTCCAGAATAGCCGTGATGGCGACGAGCATTTCTAAGCTCATAGATGTAAGCAGAGGTACGCGGTCTCCCGGCCCAAAGCCTTGCTTTCGTAGTGCAAGAGCCGTTTTAAGAGAGGCATTCCGTAACTGGCCATACGTTATCAACGCACCATGCCATTCGGCAGCAATACTGTTTGGGGTTTCCAAGGCATGCTTATCAATCAGATCAACTACCGTAATCGGAAGAGCTGCCGTAGTAGGTGCCATGGTAATAGTTGCTTGCTGAGGGGGGATTGTCTTATTCAAGGCTGGGAAATGACTGTTTGGGAATGCAGAGGCTTTAGAGAGAAGCTACAATATCTACTTGAAATACGCACTTACTATGCCAACATCTTTAAATAGACGAAACATCTTGACTATTTTGCTCAGTAGCCAGGTGTGATGCCATGCGGTGCATTAGCGCCGACAACCAAGCTCGGGCAATACAAATAGAGCGCTACCCGGCCGCAACCTTACCCGTTCGGCTACATACCATTCCGCGCTAATCAGGATTCCTCTGGACAACAATTGACTTAATGAAAGCATGATCCAGATATCCGTAAAATGCGATCAAGTGTGCAACATCGCCGCTTCTTCCATGATGAAGTCGACGAACTGGGAGACGTGCCAAAGCGGCGCCACCTTGTCTTGTACGCCCAGTATTACGGTTGTCAAGATCGAATCCAACCGGCTATTCAAGTCTCATATGATTCTCGCTAGCGTTCTAGCCGTCCTCAATAAGCACCATTGTTTCATTGAGCTGCTGTCGACGAGCGAGATACACTTTTCAACTGCTATTCGATTATCACGGAGCCAGCAACATACGTTATTACGCACAAAGGATATTTTACAGCCATATGGTGATATTACTTATTTGCTCGAAATGGCTATGGTTGTTCTCACTGGATTTGACGCAACTAAAATCGCCCATGTTGCTGGGCGCATGCTCTCAGTACTGCAGGAAAACGCCATTCCTGTTGAAATGACGTCTTTAGGTACTTGTCGTCATACCACCACCACAATAGAGAAAGCTATTGTATTAACCATACAAACAGGTGTTGGGGACGATAGAATATGTTGCGTTATCCATGCCAGCGACAAAGCAAGGGCTATAGGCCTTCTGCACAATCATTTGTAATGCATAAACAGGTGCCTACCTGTATATATGCGAGAGCCTGCATGCGCTGTAGATGAAGACAAGCGCAACAATTAGAGTTTTTTTTACTTATTATGGGATCATCTAGATAATATTCGGCATTTGGAAGTTTCATAAGTTTTAGTTTAAAAATACTGCATTTGAATTTAAATTCATGCTGGAAACATACAGTCTTTTATTATTGTGATGGTATTCCAACGAGACTAGGAGCCAAAGTTGGCCGCATCTAGACACCCCGAACAATACTGTTATTTAACAATATCTAAAAATTAATATATATGCATACGTATAATATAATAGGCAAATTAATTACAATCAAACACAACCACAAGTTGAAAAACACCACCACGGATAGTTCACCATGACAACATTAACAATAGACTTTGATGTCATCCCCAATCTCGCGGGCAAGCGTGTCATTATCACCGGCGCGTCATCAGGTATTGGGCTAGCAGCTGCAACGATATTCCAACAGAAAGGTGCATGGGTGCTCAATCTCGATACGAACCCGCCACTGGAGGGAACTGCCGCTGGCATCGAATATCGTAAATGCGATGTTAGCAACTGGAAAAGTCTGAAAGAGGCCTTTGCCTATGCTGGTACTGTCGATATTGCCGTTTCCAATGCGGGTATCTCAGAGACTACTGACTTTGTGGCGGAAGCATTCGACGGCGACTTTGAAACTCTCCAGGAACTAGAATATCGCGTGCTTGATGTCAACCTGCGGGCTGTTATCAACTTTACACGATTGGCTCTGAATCATTTCCATAATAGGAAATATCCTGGTAGCATCGTCATTACATCCAGCGCCACCGCATATGCTCCAGAGCAATCACTCCCAGTATACAGCGCGTCCAAGTTGGCCGTAGGATTGCCCTTCCCTTATTCACAATGAATTTCATAGCAACAATATCCTTTTGGATATGCTAACTACTGCTACAGCTAATCGGCTTTATCCGTGCATTGAGATCCTCTATTCGCCTTCAGGGCATCACCATCAACGCTGTCGCTCCTGCAGCCACCATCACCAACTTATTACCACCGCATCTGGCGGCTCCCATTATTGCCGCTGGTCTGCCTATCAGCACTGCCGAGTTTGTGGGATTGGCTCTAGTTTATTCGGCTACCGCAAATCAGAGTGGAATTGTCGAATTGTACGGGAAGGATGCGCCAGAGCTTCTCACGGCGGAATCCAGATGGCATGGTCAAACCATATTGACATTAGGACACAAATACACTGAGCTGGACGGCCCTATTGCTTCGCTGCGGCCACAATGGTTTGGGGACGAAAATACTACGCTTACTGGTCTACAGCAAGCGTCTACTGATTTCCGTACCGGTGCAGCGCTGTTGTAATATTTTGATGTAATATTTAGTGGCATCTCGGCGAAGCCCAAAGTAGATTAGCTTGGCCACCAGAGCACTCAACTTACCACGCTGTCCTAGAGGGGCTTGACATAGTAGTTATGGGCAAATATTATATAGTTACAACAATAAAAAGAGTATCCTTATACAATACATAATGATATAGAGATCAAGGTTATAAATTATTATATCGTTCTGTTGTTGTTCTGTAGGCCTACCGAAGTGTACGTAGTTAACATGACTGGGTAAGAGCGCCAGCACAATCCCAACGCCATAACTTACTCGATCGCTGTCGTATTGGGGAAATCCCGAAATTGTGGCTATGGAAGGATTATTAGCGGCTTTTAATTATACAATAAGCGAAGAGTTACTTGAAAACTACACCGTAAGCAGGGCAAGATCCGAGCGGGGGCTACTGTTGGCTAATGTAGTATGCAGTTGGTGGCTTTTCGTGGGAGCCTCGCCCTTCGTCCATTCTACATCATCATTCAAATTTTGGTATCCAGCGGCGTTCAAATCCCAGTAAATATCATCCGAAAACAGAATGGAGTCTCCCAGCGTGATAATTGACAGCACAACCCGTATAGAACCACAAAAGGCAAAAGTCTCTGCGCGAAGCATACCACTATCTATTCTAGATGCAACAACTGCCAACTTTGCTCTTACCAGTGCCGTCTGGGTATTTAATGCGCCAACTCACCCCAAGACAGAAGGCTTTGACTTGAAGACACATCTCATTGATAGCCTTCCAGCTACACTGGACGCTTATCCTCATTGGGCTGGCCGGATAAGAGCTATCCAGACACTTCACGGGGATGAATCAGACGAGACCGCCTCGTTTCCTGCTCACGCTCGTCGCTATGGCCGCATATATGCAATATTTGGCGACGATCAAGACCCTGGTGTTGATGTAACGAGTGCCTCAAGTACAGCAACTGCCAATGAGCTTCACCCTCCGAACAGAACAAAAGCAGGCGTTCCCTGGAAAGGGCAAAGCACAGGGCTCTACCGCTTTGTTTCTTCAGCAAGCATCGCGGACGCCTTCCATCCTGACGCTCGGAACGATGACAATCTTCTCAAGCCGGTCATGGCAATCCAAATCACCGAACTGGCATGCGGTGGTTTTGTTCTGGCTGCTAAGATTTCTCATCCCTTGGCTGATATCACAGCCTTGGTGTCCTTTGTCAAAGATTGGACTGTGGTGAGCCGCGCGAGGCTAGATGGGCTGGAGGACCCGGTGGCATTATTACCTGTGTTTAATCCTTTACAGTTAGACACCCTAGCGGCTGGTGATATCAACGCAGATACGTCTGACCCAGAAATCATACAACGCGCTATCAACTTGCCTCTGCATCGATATGATTGGTGGCTGCCGGCCGCAGACTGTCCCTGGCCAACGTCTGTGCCCGAGCCATTCCGCAACACCGACTTGACTGTTGGCGCGGGCGTCAAGATGCCATGGTCAGAGTGGGATACCAGTGCACCTGTATCTCATTATGTCGTTCATTTTAGTCAAGCCCAAGTTGAGTTGCTCACAAACACAATCAACCTGAACAGCTCACAACGACTAAGCCAGCATGATGCAGTTCTTGCCCATGTGTGGTCATGCATTGCTCGTGCGCGTAACTTGGATCGAGATACCGGTCCTATTCACTGTGATCTCGTATACGGTGTCCGGCCAGCTTTTGGACTTCCAACCAACTTTATCGGATCTCCAGTCATTATGATCAACATTGAGCTACCTGGGTCCCAAGTGGCAGGCGGTGGCGATAGAAGCATAGAGTTGAGCCATCTCGGTCCAATTGCGACGTGTATTCGAAACACATTGAGTGAGGTTGCAAAGGCTAAGAGTATCGCGGCATATCTGCACACCGCCGCTTTTGAGGCCGCACCTCAGCGTCTTTGGCAAGCCTTTCTCGGCAGGCGTCATATTCTGGTTACAACTTGGGCCAGATCCGGCATCTACAGTATAGACTTTGGTTTGGGATCCTCCGTATGCTGCGCTGATGGAATTATCCCTGATATGGACGGAACGATCCTGATCAAGGAGGCTCCTCCAAAGGCTCACGGTTCCGACGTTGCCTCTTCATCGTGGACAGCGCATGGAGTAGATATATCTATTCGCATACAGGATGAAGATATGAAGCGTTTGCTTCAAGATCCACTCTTATATCCTACGCAGAGCGAGAGTGAGCAGATCTGATAGTGGGCAAGTGCCCAAAATAAATTCATAGATGTGTGCGTTTAGTAATTAAATTAACGGTCGAAACGACTGTTCACCATCTTATAGATATTGATTAGACATGTACATAGAGAAAGTAATATTCGAATTATTGAATTATTATAAATTCATATTTTATTTGTTTTGTAATTGTCTACCGTTGCATGTGTTGACAACATGCTCTGGATTTTGCACCTCAAGGGTCAAGGGTAGCGGATCGTTGTATATCCAAGGCGTCACCATCCAAGTCATTTTATATTTGAATTGACTTGCAAAATGAGGAAATGCAGGTAATAACATAATAAAATATATAAAAGGAGTTACAATTCCACCGGTATCTACACTTTCTTAGTCCCATCTCTTGGTTCCTCACCATCTATCGCTTGAAAGGCTTTTTCAAACTGACCCAACACATCCTCGATGTCCTCGACTCCCACCGACAAGCGGATTAAGTCCTATAGTTTATTATCAAATACGACGCACTATGACATACAATTTACGGCATACCTCGGAAATGCCTGCGTTTAGGCGGTCTTCTTCAGACATGATAGAATGTGTCGAGCTCCAGGGACGTGTCGCCATTGTTTTGCAGTCACCAATGCTGCACAATATGTTAGCCCCGTGTGAGCCTTTTTCATATGTTACCTACTTTGTCATATTGGATACGAGGGTAAGAGAATCTATAAAACTCTCGCTTGCCTTCAAACCACCCTGTAGGCCAAATGACAGCACGCCACCATAGCCACGACGAAGATATTTGTTAGCTCTCGAGTGATAGGGATCAGTTTCGAGACCTAAAATCGTAAGCATGATGAAAGATGTATTTTGGGATTTAAACAACACAACATACCTGGATAAGATACCCAGGCGATATGAGGGCTTGCCGCTAGAGCAGTTGCGATCTGGAACGCGTTTGATGCGATTCGCTCGCATCTCAAGCTGGGTGTTTCAATTCCAATGAGTAGCTGATGAGCGGCAAAGGGATTCATAACAGAACCGATTTTCATGACACCTTCTATTCTCAGTGCCATGGCAAAAGCGAAATTGCCGAATGCAGAAGAATACGAGGCACTGATGGGACCTTCAGACTTTGTGGTCAGCACTCGATACTTGTCCTTGGATGCCTCCCAGTCAAATTTCCCAGAATCAACGACGACACCACCTAGTGTTGTTCCATGACCTCCAAGCCACTTAGTAGCAGAATGGATGACGATGTCTGCTCCATGCTGAATGACTGGGCACCAGAAACCTCCCGCTCCAAATGTTTTGTCCACCTGAGGCGGGTATTGGCGAGGATGAAAACAAGTGATGGAAGGCCACGTTGACCATAAGGCTTACTACTAAGGGGATACCATAGCTGTGAGCAATCTGTGCAATACCAGACAAGTCTGGAATACTGATTTTGGGATTACCAACGGTTTCAACGTAGCACAAGCGTGGTTTATCGTTGATAAGCTTACGGAAGCATTCCGCATCGTCGTCGTGGACCCATTGCACCATGATACCAAGACGTGGTAGAAGAGACTTGAAGAGACTGTAGGTACCTCCATACAGACTCGTGGAAGATACGATATTCTCGCCTGTGCCAACCAAACAGAGGATTGTTTGGAAGATGGCTGACTGGCCCGACAAACAGCCGACTACTGCCGAGCCACCTTCCAAGCTAGCTACTCGCTTTTCTAGCACCTCAACCGTTGGCTTTGAACAGGGTAGTAGTATTAGCAAAAATGGTTGATTTACAAGACGATGGAAGAGATAGATTTAGATACATACATTGGAAATACGCGAATAGACGTAGCCGTCCTCTTCGTTGTTACACACTCTGCGAGCATGGCTGCTACTAGTAAAGACGTACGACTTGAGAGGCTCGTTAGAAAAGTGTTTATAATATTTAGCATCAACTGCTAAATACATACTGCAGTAGCGTAGATTGGAACACCTCGTGCTTTGGTTGTTGGATCTGGCGTTGCCCCGGCATGGATTTGTCGAGTATTGAAACCGAGCTGAGACTCCTTATCGACGTCTATGTGGAAAGTATCAAACATCTTGCATAGAGTATAATGTCTTTGATTATTCTGAATGTATGTATTTCTTGTACTCTTGATTGCGCAGGTATCGCACGTTACCTTTATCTACTCCAACGTCCTGTACAGATCAAATTAGGTAACTCCGGGACTAGTTCGAGGTCCAGCTAGAGTAGCCGAGATTATGATATTCCTAGATTTGTTATAAACTTTTTCATGGTTTTTAATATTTCTTTTCAATATTTACTATACTGCTTCCTCATCTCAACGAGCTATCTTGGCGGCATCATAGACGTTGTCAGCCGCGATTTCCTAATTGAGATTACAGCGGATTCTATGTACTAAAAGCCACTTATGGAAGTCCCGACGCTTCCCTGGCTTCGTTTTAAAGTCGAATTTATCATAGTGATTTCATTTTAATAGCGGCAATACCTACGAGAAGATATTTAAATTTCGCAGCCTACTAATCTGCAGAGATAACGTGACAAAAGCAACTCAACTAAGTCACTGACGTCGGAAGACCGATATTCACGATGCTGCCTCTATTTTTATTTCTGGTAGGTCAATATTCCAATAAACGCAAAAGTTATATCGTAACAAGATTAGTATGTCATTATAATAGTAAACTAATCTCTTTTTACAGGGAGGCATAGGCTGCGCCATCTGTTTCAAGATTGTGAAATGGGCTACACACCCACTGAGCCGTTTCCCAGGCCCTTGGTCAGCGTCCTTCAGCAACGTAAGTGCTACTTGCTTGTAAAAGGGCCGTTTAAGATTGTCTAACAAGCCCGTATAGGTTCTTTATTCTCACAACTTTATAAGCGGCCGCCAACCACATCGTCAACTAGAGTTGCGTGAAACACAATCCATCCAGTTTTGTAGTTTATTTTGCAATCAGGAACAACCAACTGTATCAGTACAACTGATTCACGATCTTGGCATCAGATGACGCAAGTAAGACGCACAGAGTAGTATTGTCCATAGATAGCGATTCGAGAAGTAGGGTTTTGTAAAGTGCCATTCGGCAATTCCAAATAAGGCGACGCCGACCATCTTGCGAGCCGGGCCGGATCATGCTCAATCCATTTTCTACGGATTGGCGCCGAGGTTTGCAAGTTACCATCGCAGTATATAACTTGGTGCTCTGTAATAGAAATAGATTCTGTATCAATCACTCTCAAAGCTACTCAAAAGATTTAGAATCACAATTTAACCACCAATATGGCCCCATCTGCTACTATCCCCAACACGACTTCTCTTGAAACTCAGATGGTTAAAGATGTCAAAATAAAATCGTCTGCTGCCTTTGTTACAATAAACGCCACTCAAGCGCCTCCTTCTAAATGGACTTACAAATATCACCCCCTGGAAGCCCAGATCACCGAGGACGTGGATGGTTACTTTCTCAAACACTGGAAGTTTGGTACAGAGAAGGATAAGAAGAAGTTTGTTGCAGCGGGCTTTCCTAGAGTCACTTGTCTGTATTTCCCACTGGCCAAAGATGATCGCATCAAGTATGCAAGCAAGCTTTTGACTATTCTGTTCTTAATCGATGGTACGTTACACTATGTTGGAAAGCTACCAACTATTGCGTTGCTAACGGATCTTCTGCCCCAGAGATCCTTGAAGACATGTCCTTTGATGAAGGTTCCGCATACAACGAAAGATTGATGCCTCTGGCTCGGGGTATCGGTCTTCCCAACCGCGACGACCCAGCTGAATGGATTATGTACGACTTGTGGGCTACAATGCGAGCCAAAGATCTTGAGCTGGCCAACGGTATTCTAGAGCCTACGTTTGAGTTCATGCGAGCCCAGACTGATAAAGCACGCCTGAGTATTCGCGAAATGGGCGAGTACCTGGACTACCGCGAGCGCGATGTTGGCAAAGCGTGAGTATCTAATTTCTCTAACAAACAGTTGATTATGACTACTGACATAAGACAGGTTGCTATGTGCGCTAGGTCGATTTTGCATGGATATCCCACTTTCCCAGAAGAGCTGGCCGCCGTTCACCGTATTGAGCAAAACTGTGCAAAGCACTTGTCTGTACTCAACGACATCATGAGCTGGGAGAAGGAATATGCTGCTTACCTCACAGGACATCCTGAGGGCTCTGCGATTTGCTCAGCTGTTCAGGTGCTTGCGAATGCCACTTCGCTTCCATTCGGCTCATGTACGCGAATTCTTTGGGTCATGTGCCGGGAGTGGGAGGCAGAGCACAATGATTTGGTAGCAAAGGTGCAAGCCGAGACTCCCAATGGCTTAAGCGAGAGGCTTAAACTATATATCAAAGGATTGGAGTACCAGATGAGTGGAAACGAGCACTGGAGTCTTGCGACTTTGCGCTACAACTCGCCTTCTAACCCTGTCGAGATGTAAATAGAGGACCGCGTTTTTATAGATTTCTTAGTTTATTTGCGTTTGAAAATATACTTTGCTTTGGCATTTAGTTGTTAGTAGACAGTGACTTGGGTTATCTTATGCTAGAAATGTAAACCATAGGACATTCACCTTCCACCACAACTGGCTGTTATTATACTCCATTGCAGAATACTATTACTAGATATATCATAATTGTTATACATATTTAAATTAATTGTTAATACAGAAGTAGCACCATTTCACGGATATTAAGGACAAGCTAGGTAAAGATGAACTTGGGGAGTAACCGACGGCACTATAGCAACGAGTCAATCCCATCCAGGTCGTTTACTAATAAATGATTAAATGATTACTATTCCTAGTTGCTCCCTTCAATTTTCTATGATTATTTTAATTTAATCGCGAAATATTCCAATCGTGTAGTGCGTCCGGTGACGTTTCTGTAATGATCCGTCTTGTTGCCGGTATTGCCTATTTGGGCGCCGACCGAGGAAAGCAACTCGCGAGATACTTATACTACCATTAATCGCGCTGTGTATATTTCAAAGCGTTTCAATTCATTAATTGTCTATAAATATACATAAAATATTCTAAAATGCCATTTATCGACCCAATTACAGCCGCATTGGGCCCTACGCTGGCCCAACTGAAACCCACCGATGTCATCGTTGGTGTAGTCACAGTGTTAGGTATACATACTACAAGACGACAAAATGGCAGCTGATCAATTACAGGCTATGCTTTATATACCAGTATCAGCAGCATATAATCTCTACTTTCATTCGTTGGCTGGTTTTCCGGGACCATTTCTAGCGCGGTCTGGTTTGGTATAGACAGTCCGCAACTCCGCCTGTTGACTGAGAACTAACAGGGGCAGATTTGGCGGTTCTATCAATCACAGCGCGGACAATTGCACTTGACTATCCAGGAACTTCATGCGAAATATGGTTCGTAACAACATAGTAAGTCCCCTTGTGATGGAAAAGAAATCACTGACAGTAAGCAGGGCCGGTGGTTCGAATTTCGCCAAATGAGTTGTACTTTTCTACCGTGGAGTCGTGGAAAGCGATCTACGGCCACCGCACGAATGGAGCACCAACTCCTATTAAAAGCGACTTCTACGATATCTACGGCGCTGGGTTTGGTTCACTGTGTATTGGAAGCGAACGAGACCCTCACAAACATGGCAAGATGCGTAAGATGCTGTCTGCTGCCTTTGCAACCAAGTCGTTAGTGGACCAAGAGTACATCATCTCCGGTGCTGTCGACGACTTTGTACGGGCCATGGAGACGGCTGGATCCAAGGCCCAAGGAATCAATCTTACGAAATGGTTCGAAATGATTGCTTTTGATGTACTCGGTGAAATGGCTTTTGGATAATCGTTCAACAGTGTCAAATCAGGTCAGTGATCAGCATCCAGGGTTCTGTTTACAATCCCAGCTAATAGTGCGATCCCTATAGGAGAACCACACTCTTGGTCTGAAATCATTGTCAGCCATCTCTATTTTATCACTCTGATCGACAATCTCCGTCGACTTCCGTTTGTCGCAGCAATCACAAAGCTCCTGTTCCCCTCCACGGTAGCGATTCAGAATCAAAACTCGCAATATGCTCGACAGAAAGTCGCCGAGTATGTAACTCCAGGTACCAAGCATGAACTACGTCAAAGAAGCTGACAAGTGTGTGCCACTGCAGACGCCTCGAAAAGCAAAACATCACGCAAAGACTTTCTTTCCACCATTGTCGGTAACTACAAGCAGGGTTATGTGTCTCGTGAGGAGATGACAGCACACGTTTCCACATTGACGTGAGTTAGCAGACTTGGCACGGGTCATTGGAGAGGAATGCTGACGTCTTGACGACTATGATCTAGTATTGCTGGTGGTGAAACGACGGCTACCAGTCTGGCGGCGATCATGTACTATCTGCTCAAGTACCCCGACACGATGGTTCAGCTGCAACACGAACTGCGGCAGACGTTTGCACGCCACGAGGACATTGACGCATCCAAGGCAAGACAGATCCCATACCTGCAGGCTGTCATCAATGAAGGGCTCCGCATATACGCTCCAGGGTCAGGCGGCTTTCCAAGGACGTCGCCCGGCATGATGATTGGCAAGTACTGGGTTCCCCAAGGCGCCGAAGTCGCCACGCATGCGTGGACTTTGACGCACAGCGAAGACTACTTTGCCGAGCCTTACGTTTTCAAGCCCGAGCGGTGGCTGGATCCTCTTAGCACTGACATTAAGACTGCAAGCCAGCCCTTTTCGATGGGCCCTCGCGGCTGCCTTGGACAAAAGTAAGTACATGCTGCATATGTCGTGTTTGTCTTTGGGCTGAATGGTGCGCTAATGGGGTTGCTTCACATAGTTTTGCGTACATGGAGATGAATCTGATCCTAGCCAAGCTGCTATGGAAATGCAATGCCGAAATACTTGATCCTGGCCTGGATTGGGCCAAGCAGAGTCGTCTTCACGTCATGTGGTGGAAACCTGACCTCATGGTGCGCTTCCATCCACGAGCTGAGCAGTAACCTACAGTAGTTTTGCCACCGTGCTGTGATTAGCTTCAGTAGTTAATAGCACTCTTACTATATCAATTTATATTCCAGCCATGGAAGAAGTCTGGTGCATTTGCATGTACTCAGTCGACCCTTTTATGGCAAATTAGCCATCAAGTGTGGCTGACCAATAGCGGGAGTTTGCCGGTGCGCTAAGCGAATGGCAGTGACTGGTGCTGGTATATTGTGGCGGCCGTGTTTCAAATTGATAGAACCAGCGAGATTCTCAGCCACGGGGATTGTCCGCCCATGCAGTTCTGTTTGCTTGTTGTCTCCCAGTGGCTCTTTGTGCTCTCTTGGGCTGACCCGATCCGTGCCAACGCTGTCATTGTTTGCACATCGCAGCAGCCAAAAATAATCAGGCTCAACAACTGGACTTGGGCGCATATTAGCGCCGCCATGTGATGACAAGCCCATAGAAAGTCGTCGTCACACATACGCCCGTTCACACTGAGGCGCTGTCGGGATCGCTGCGCGGAACACGTGGGCATGCAGAGAAGGTGTGGAGAAGACACCAACGCATTGTTCTGGAAGGCAAATGCCGGTGCTTGTCAATGCATACCATGCAAGCAGCAACCACGCGAGAGTTGGAACTCTATCCTCATCTGCGCATCCATGACACAGCGATACGGTTCGTCTCACGCTTACGGACAGATGAGGACTAGTGAGCATCACTCTGCATCTCAGCTGAGACTCGCAAACCCCACAGCGCAAATCATGCCCGATTCCCACTAGGTACCTTAGTCTGAAAGCGTTTTAGCCCCGTCCAGCACGTTGTGTGATTCACTTCGTCCCATAGTGCCCGACGACGACGACGTGGGAGAAGACAAGTCAACGTAGACCCGCGTATATTCCAAAACACTGTCAAAGGAAGGCGCTGTCGATCATCGTAGCATGTTCAGGCTAGCATGTCCGCAGCGCAGGATGGCTGGAATGACAGCTCGGCCGCCAAGTTGCCGCTCCTAGTTTCGTCTTTTTTGTATTTTCCTTCCTTTTTCTATGCGACCCCTTTTGATTCCCGGCAGGATGAGAGTAGGCGGCTAGGAACACAAAACACGGACTTCGCCTTGAGGTTCTGCCTAGCAAACGAATTGCGAAGCCTAGCAGCCAGCAGGGGGTCACGCATGGTAGGAAGCAAACCCTTGACATGACATCCAAGGAATGACAAAAAATAGAGGCTCTTGCCAAAGCGTGCTAACCATGCAAGATATCACCATGCCGTCTAACGCCGTGGCTTCCTGGGCCACTGGATGGCGCCTGTGGACCGGCGAATATATGCATCGTGGTCAGCGCTACTGGTACGCTCCGGCAACCCCGAGTCGGCCGCTGAATAGCCCCCCGCCGCCAGGGTTAGTCCCAATAGTGGGAACGCCAATACGGATCTCATTCAGCCCCTTTCTACCACATGGCCTAGTGGCCAGCGACGGGTGAGGAAGCCGACTTGTCGTGCCCGCTGAAAATGACAGGATCATGAAGCGAGACGGACCGGGGCCCGTCCACTATTGAGTTCTGGGGGCAGCGGGTATTCACACAAGGACAGGCGGTCCAGCACCCAAGGGACTCGGGCCACCGTCACCGTCACTTGTAACTGGTGGATAACTATTGGATGTGATGTGATGAGATGGATGGATGGATGTAGAAGGCGTTTTGCATAACTGGCATATAGAGCCTATGTTGCCGACGTCGGCCCATTGAGTTGTGCTCCATTGCCTCCAAGAGCCTCCCGTCACAAACGACTCGCCTCCTGGATGTGGCGCTGATGGGCGTTGGGAGCGAACCTTCTACCGCCCTCAGCTAGTAGGAAGAAAGCTTCTTACTGGCCGAGAAGGAAAGGATCGAACCAAAGCAGCGCCCGCAGGCCTGGCACACAACTCGGCTCTCGCCGAACAAACATGTATTTGTCCGCGCACTGGTTGCTTTTTCTGGGGACGGAGCAGTTGATTTCTGGATAAGGCCGGCCCCAGCGATGCCTCTCTCCGGCGTTACCACCGTCGTTTCCGTCGACAAAGGTAGCAGCAGGCGGAGTGCTGTCAACAATAGAACGATCAAAGGCGTAAGCAATGGTGAGTTGGATGGGGCACAGCGTCAATGTTGAAGGGCAATTTTGGTTGGTGGACGCCGTGGAGCCCCGGGTGGTTCGATGCATCGTGCCCACAAGCTACTACTAGTCTTGAGGTAGCGTATTATTGCGAAGCAGCCGCCGCAACCCACCGACGATATTGTTTTGTATTTTTTTTTCCTTCTTAAATTTGGAGACCAGAGCCGGGAGAGCTAGCGGGCGGTGGGCTGGTTTAGCATTGGAAACAGGTGGCTCCGCCCGTAGCATAGCGGATGCCACGAGGTGCCAACGCCCAATTTCTCCGTTGGGTCTAGGGCTGAGACAGAGACAGTTAGTTGGTGGTTGAAGAGTATTAGTGCTGCTGGCGCCCGCATTTAGTGTGTTTGTGGTTGTGTGGTTGTGTGTGTGTGCTGGTGTTTGCTTTTGCTGCCAGTGCCGGAGCACGCGGTGGTAACCAAGAGAAGCAAAATAGCCTTGCAGATTTCGAAACAGGGGCGTTATGTGCTGGGAGCTTGGCCACCTCCACCTGCTGAATGGGGACGTGAGCAGCAGCACATGCACCAGCAGCCAACCAACCAACCAAGCACCGGCCAACAGCATATGCAACATGGCGTCTCTGCTTGGGCTGGAATTTGCGGGCAGCTTTGTTTAGCCAATGAAACTATTGCAGAAAAAGCAGTGTATTATTGTATCTTACTGTTTCTCTATTTTTTTGGTCTTGCCCCAGTTGATTGCACTCGTCTGCTACAGGGGAGTGACTGTGTTCAACGGCTGTGGCGCCATATCGTATCCCCCAAACCAGCTAACAAACACAAAAATATTAGCACGCAAAGATCACAGTCATACGATTGGGTTCCCAGATATCCACGCTAATCATTTCCTCTTCGGCCATGAATTATCCATACACATGCCCGCATCTGTTTTCCCAAAAGAAAAAGAGAATATTCGTATGCGCGCGCACGCACTGGCACCAGTTGGCGGTGACCAATAGCCCATTCTCAGCCGCGCCCCCTTGCCACGCTATCGCCAGTGCATGTCTGCGTGGTTCCAGGGGGGTGTGGTCCCCTTTTAGCGGGCAACCGTAATGCACACGCGAAATGACCCAGCCCGCAAGCGGACCGACCGTTTCCATCGGCTGGGCGCCTCCGCCCAGACGGTCCCCTACCGCCCAGCACCGTAAGTGTCCTGTAGCGGCAATGGCGAGCCGCTAAAAGTAAGCCGCTGGCGCTCTCGCCAGCCTCTACTGGGCGCTGCACTCACTGCACGATACCTCTCTTGCGTTTTTCTCTCGGCGTAGGCGCCCACCACGCAGCCGCAGTACTTGTACCACTGGGTCTGCTATCTCAGCTGGCATTTTTCCCATCCTCATTTTCTTTTTCACTTTTGCCCCAGTCCCCTCTCCCCCTCACGACATTGCTTTTGCTCGTCATCCGCTGCAAGAGCAAAATAAAAAACAAATCATCACGCACACGCTTCCTTTGGACACCTACACGCTCTGGTCGCCTCGCTTACCTCCCACGGCCTCCATCACAGCCTGGCAACCCTCTCTCTCGCCGCATCCCCTTTTAGTCTCCTGAGCTCGCCGCACCACCCCCAGAGCCACCGCATCTCTCGCATCGCTTCAACTCGCGCGATTCTTTTCGGCCGCGCTTCTACAATCCGACGATACTCTGCCCGACGATTCACCAATTTCCAATCCTTCTTAACGCCGCTCTGCTGCGATAGAGCCCCTATAAGTTCCGGCAATCGCCGCCCGCTCGATAGTGAAGCAGGTCCCCTCAAGCATGACCAGCTGCCGCCTACCAACCCGCTAAATAGTCGACTGTATATTACCTCGTTGGTCCAATTACTTTCACAATGGGCAATGGGCAAGGAAAACCCGTCACACTCGACGGCGCAGGTTAGTGAACGCCTCTTCTTCATCGCTCGCTGCACCCAAGCCCAATTCCCGGCAGTCGCAGCCATGCTTCCCACGTGTCATGCGCGTGGCAATTTAACCTGAGCCTCGATGCACGTCGGCCGCAGCGCCGCCATGGCTAAACGGCACTTGCTGGCGACCGGTGATTACAGGAAGCGGCAAATGCACAATAGGAAAAGAAAATAATTAGAGCATCAGCGTACTGTTTCAAAACTTCGAATTCTAACCAGCATGTTTCATCTTTAGTCAACCTCAACCACTTCCGCCTCTTGAGAGTAGTAGGTCGTGGTGCCTTTGGCAAAGTGCGCATCGTCGAGCGCAAAGACACAGGACTCTCATTTGCCTTAAAATATATCCGCAAGGATGAAGGTTAGCTACTCTGATACACATGCCTCTGAAAGATGCCGCAAAACTAACCACGGTGGTGCGCTAGTTGTTAAATCCGAAAGTGTGCGAAATATCATCAGAGAACGCCGCATGCTCGAGCACGTCAACCACCCGTTCATATGTAACTTACGCTACAGTTTCCAAGACATCGAGTATATGTACCTCATTGTTGATCTGATGAGCGGTGGTGACTTGCGTTTCCACATCTCGCGGAAAACCTTCACCGAGGAGGCTGTTCGATTCTGGATCGCCGAGCTTGGCTGCGCCCTCCGCTATATCCACGGCCAAAATATTATTCACAGAGATGTCAAGCCTGACAATGTGCTTCTCGACGCTGAAGGCCACGTTCACTTGACTGATTTCGTAAGCCATGTTTCACAGTCCCAAAGTTGTCTCGCAATATTTCTAACTCTCAAAGAATGTCGCATCCGATATCGTCTCCGGACGAATGCTCTCTAGTAAATCGGGTACACTTGCATATCTTGCCCCCGAAGTCTATGCAGGCCGCGGGTACGATTGCCGTGCGGATTGGTGGTCGCTAGGTGTTCTCTTCTATGAGTGCATCTACAATAAGCGACCGTTTGATGGCAACAGCGAGTCGACTCTAAGCCAACAAATCCAGCACCAACTCCCGAAATATCCCGTAACACAGCCTCCCGTCTCCATGACATGTTTATACGCCATTGGCTCGGCTCTTGAGCGCAACCCAAAGAACCGTCTGGGCTCCACCTGGGAGAGTTTCATCTACAATGATTTCTTCAGCGAGATTGATTTTGACCTTTTGGAAAAGAAGATGATTGAACCAATCTTTGTCCCATCATCTGAAAAGACAAATTTCGACGCAACCTACGACCTGGAGGAACTGCTCTTGGAAGAAGCGCCGCTAGAAGCTCGTGCGAGACGCCAAAAGCCCCGTGAGCGCCTAAAGGAGGACGCCACCAAGCAAGAAATCCGTGAGGATGAGCTTTACCGCATGATTGAGCGCGACTTCCGACCATTTGACTACACCATTGCCGCCTACGCCAAGTATGTTACTATGTTACGTATCCCAGTGTCTGATGAACTCTCACTAACGTTGAATCCACGCAGAATTCAAGAAGACAATGTAGACATTACTACACGTTCTACAGCATCGAATGGTTCCGGCAAACGTTCGGCAGAACCCATCGCTCACGCCGTTACAACAGACGAGGTTGATACTAGCCCCCGAGCCATCACTACGGACGTGGCAACGCCCGCCCCTCCCAATGTCCCCGGTATGCACAGATCGTCCACCGAACCACGCCGCAGTGATGATACTCGCTTCAATGGTTCCATGCGTACCCCAACCTCACCACCACAATATGGCAACGGTTTCAGCGCCCCCAAGCACCGTGCCGTTACTGCCAATGGCGGTAGAGTGACAAGCCCAACTGGTGGCATGCAGGTGACCCTTGACTCCGGAGGCAGCTGGTCTGACCTCGCCCGCCGCGACTCTACCTTGCCTAAGGATGCCAACACATCGCCTGGTAGCAAGGCTGAAGCCTCTAGTGGCATGTTTGGCTTCCTAAAGGGCAAGAAGGGCAGAACCCATAGCCCCAAGCCCAAGGAGAGAGGTGTGCTTGGCAAAGAAGGCGCCAGAGTCGTTGTTGCATAAGAGAAGGTCTTTTTTCTTACGATATTCCTTTCTATCTCTTTCTCACTCTCAACACCATCATCATCATGATACCAATCATTTTTTGTCATTTGCACATTTCAGCGCGTACTTCAAGATTTGCCTTTCATCTCTGCATTTACATTCTCCTCCCTCCTACCAATCATGTTGATCCGATACAGCCCAGCTGGCTCATTTCTCTAACGACGAATATGCGGGCTCTTTTTGTGTGTTTTTCTTCTCTATTTCTCTCATCTTCATGTCATTTTCTTCAAACTGTTTCATAACACATTTACGGGCGTAAGTCGCTCATGGCTAGATACGTGGGTTCCGGGCCGGTTAGGGCTTTATAGACATAATAACACAGGGCGCTACGTGTCCCGTCATTTTACTCTCATAAACATGTGTGTATAAGGAAAAGATGAGTGCTTGTTAAAAAGTGACTATAGTAACCAAGCGTCAAAATATAAAGAAAAAAATGGTACATTGTCGGTTACTCTAAAAAAAGAAGCATCCAATTTGAAAAAAAAAAACGAATTCTCGCTCCAACCTATTCGGCGTCATGGACTGCCATATCAACAGTGTTTCCGCCTCTGTCTGCATAAAATCAAAAACCTCATCTTCTTTATTGTGATGATAAATAAAATAAAACGCCCGCCATTCTCTCGCCAGAGTGTATCCTTTGGAGGTTTCCCACCACTAGGTCGTATGATCAAAGATTCCCGCGTATATTCGCCGTTCCAATGTGTATTTGAGAAAAAGAAAAGTAACCAAATGTCCACAGCATGTCATAACCTGCATTCATGGACCGCTAAGTTCATATTCTGTACAAAGCGCTTCACGCATCGGTGGATTCGCGCTTGACCTCAATGCCGAGCTTGCTGGCAACACACTCTGTCGACGCATCTTTGCCCATGTACTTCTTCAAAATGGTGTCGAAATCTTGCTCCTTAACAACAGGCCCTTGTCCAGAGCACTTGGCCTTCTTTGTGAGCTCAGAGCAGAGACCATCGAGATCAAAGTCGCCGTTCTTAGCACTAGGGCAGTCTTGAAGACGTTCCCTAAAGCGAAACATGTTAGTTTGAGCTTCATGAGCCTCCTACTTAGGGTGACGTACCAAATGTCATTGCAGTTCTTTGCCTTTTCTCCAGTCTCCTCCGAGTTTTGCTTGGCGTCAATCTCGTCAATTAGGTTCTTCTTGTTGTTCACGGTTTGCACAGGGGCCATGTTGTACGGTGTGAAGAAATCAATGTCAACAGCGTCGTTGAAGAACTCGTCAAATGATGGGTTGGCCAGAATGTTGGCTTGAGGCTCACGATAGTCGCCAAACAGTTGAGGGTCAAACTGGCCACCATTCTGCTGAGACAGCCAGTCAAGTCCGACTGTGCTAGCATCGATATTTGAGAACTGTGTGAATGGCTGTTGGGCCGATGCAATAGAAGGCTGCTCCTCTCCAATAGTGCTCATTGTATCCAGAGGCTTGAAGCCCATAGGCGATTGTGTAAAGGGCTCAGGAGATGTGCCACAAGAGGAGCTGGGGCCGGCATTCGAGTTGGAGGATGCAGAGGGAGAGCTGGTAGCGCCGCTGAGGCTGAAGCCTGAGTCAAGGCTACCACGAGAACCACCTGTACCAGACGTTCCCATGGATGGGGTGAAGATGTTGGAAAATTGAGCCAAATCTTCCTTGAACTTGGCCGCCTTGGCAGCAGTTTGTGATGCTGGGGATGCCTTTGACTCGGCAATGGACTGGTTGGGGCTAGCAGCTTGGCCTGGGCTAATGGCCTGCGACGGAGAGCTCTTAGCAGGGGGTCCAGGGAGAGTGCCAAACTTGGGGAACTCGAATTGAAAGTTGACGTCATTCAAGCTGTTGGCAACAGCAGGGTTGAAGGCAGATGTATCTCTCTGGATCGTCTTGTTTTGAACAGCGAGAGCCATGCGCTGCTTGTACTGGGCAAGTTCTGTGTTCATCCTCTCTACCTGCGCGCGAAGCAGGCTGTTTTCGTGGTTGGCAGCCTCAGATGCCTTCTCAAGTTCTTCGACCTTGGTCTCAAGATCCTTGAGATGCTTTTCCTTTCGCTCTCTGAACGCCCGCTGAGCGGCACGATTTTGAGCCTTGCGTTTGGAGGTAGGTTCAGACGTAAGCGGCTTTCTGCCAGGCTTCTTGGGTACTTTCTCAGAGCCCTCGTGGCGCTTGGCATCGTTACCCGGGCTGTCTTCCTCGTCATCTGGATGATGTCTCTTCTCATTGACATCGCTATCTGCGGAATCAGATCGTGTGGCTGTGGGTCGTTCACCAATCAGCGTGTTATCTGCTGTGCTAGCAAATGAGAAATCGTAGCTGGAGTCGGCGAAGTCGTAGTCATAGTTGTCCAGAGCAGGGCTTTCGTTTGCGGCTCCGGCACCTTGTACAGGAGAGTTTCCAAATGAGCTAGGTGAAAGAGACAAGTTATTGCCTGCCGGGACGCCAGCAGCAGCCTGCTGATTATTGGCATTAAGCGCGGCAAAGAGAAGATTTTGCTGGTGCGGGGTCAAGAAGAAATTGTGAGGCAGGGCGCCTCCGTTGGTGTCGCTAGAGGCCATGTTTGGTGGTGTGTGGAGATGAGAGGATAAACGTCAAAAGCAAAGAAGATGAAAAAGCGATGGTTCACGCTTAACGCTATCCAGGGGATGAAGGCGATGTTGTCAGAAGTGTTTGGCGTCAAATACGCCCTTGCCGAAGCAGGATGGCTGAACGGCGGAGAAGAAGCACTGCCCTGGCGGCGGGGGTGGATATGTGTTCCCAATGTCAGAGGGCAACAGTCAATCCCTCAGAGAAAGAAAAAAACAGTGTCTGTAAATGTTGTTCCGTTGCGATTGGACGGGAGGCGAAAAACGGCTGTGTGATGTTGAAGGAACGTTTGAGGCGACTTTGGCCACGGTGGAAGAGTCAGGGTATCGTTTGGGGGGGTTGGACGGGGAATCCGCAGCGGCCGGCGAAGGTGGGCAGTGGAATTCTAGCGTGTTCTGATGGAAGGCTTAGCATGCATGGGCCTAACAGGAGGTACTTTCAGATGGTAGAGCCGCGGTTAAGACTGTCGGTACTTTGCGATGCGTGCAATAATTATTTCTGTTATTTTACAAAAAAATTTATTCTCCGTTGAGTCACCCCCATGTTCCAGCAGCCGGGCGCTCGCCGTGAACGCCTTTACTGCGAGGCTGGTTGCGGGCGATGGAATTTACCAGCACAAAAGTTGAATTTGTAAGCTGCTCGGCGCAAGCAGCCCCACCACAAAGATGCCGGGCCAATCCCAACGCTCCCCCAGCGGAAGAAGCCCCGTCTTTGTTGCCTGTCAGCAGACTAACCAGCCAATCATGCGACGTCTTCTCAGCCCACTCTGATTGCTTGTTCTCTGATTCCAAGCCTTACTGGACTGCCGGAAGCTTCCAACCGTTATTGTAGCGAGGATGCGCAGCACAGGACTGTCGCCGGAGATCAGGAACAGACGATGCATAGGAATGGAGCAAATCAAGGATAGATACTATCGAAAGCCACCTGTCAAGGGTGGTCGCTACTGACGTCAGAGCCATCGCCTTGTCTTGTCGTGATGTTAGTTGTAACAAAATGCTTATTCAACGTTTTTCATGTGTTGGGCTGTCGGCGAACGTGTTGTTATGTTAGTTATTATGTCAGTACTTCCTCCCAGTGTATCCCACGCTCTTGATGAGTACAATACCTTTACCCTTAATTTCCGACTCCAATTCCTATGTCAATGCTGTCCAAGTCTTGGGTACCATGCACACGCACATCCGCAGTGGAATGAATGGTGTACCTGGATGCTCTCTAAACAGTTGCAAGTCACATCTCGTATTATGGCGGTGCAGAGGAACATGTGGAATGCTAGCGCAACATCCCACCCCATCTACCCCACCACCCTGCACTAGCAGATCGATAGCCAGAAGCTTAGTTTTGCCCAACTCCAGCGCCAACCCCGGCAATTTACTCCAATTATGCTGTCGATCATAAATTCAGCGTCGTATGCATCTCTGACATCGTCCGTATCAAATTAGACCAATTGTATCTGTTGATTTGACGAATTTCGTACATGGACAGCTTGGATTGGATCAGTACATCTCAAAATAAAGGTATCATCGTGGTTGAAGGGATATCTCAGAATTGTATTAAGGTAGTAGTAGGTTGGCGAGTACACCGGCTACCAGTTTTGGCAGAGTGTATTCGATAACCAGCTCTGGTAATTTTGACAAACGCCGCGCTTTCCTTCCTCATTCCATCGTGTAATTCGGAGCTTCTTAGTGCTGGGCAGCCTCCTTGTGGACCTCAGCCTTGGCGTTGTGGCCAGACTCGTTGATGGCATCACCAACAGCATCCTTAGCGGCAGTGAGACTGGAGTTGTTTGTTAGCATTGGACTCGCAGATAAGTTGTGGGATTGGATAGAGCTTACCGGGTACCGACAGAGGCGTTAGAGTCCTTGGCAACCTCCTTGTTGGCCTCCTTGGAGACACCAGAGATAGCGCCCTGAACGGACTCAGCGACGTAGTTAACGGCCTGCTTAGCGGACTCCATTGTAAAGTTGGTTGGGTTTTTGGGGGGTTTGAAAAAAGAGTTAAGAGATTGTAGAGTGAATGTGGCTTGGATGAAGAGAAAAGATGAACGAACAGAGGTTGGGGATGAGGCGTATTATATAGACAGAAGAAAGCCAAAGTGTCCCACCTTGTGGCACATGTGAGAGGACCCTTACGCGGAACTCAGAGGGGGCTCAATTGCCCCTCCTCTACGTGAGGTCCCGGTGCAATTACACGATAGTCTTGCGTGGTGTTGGTCGAGACTTCCTTGATCTGCGCACTGCGGGGCAATACGTCATAGACTCTGTGGTAGAAGCCACGGTGTGGCTTACGCACCACACCCCGCCACACTAACTTTTCGGTCTTGTGCGAAGCGAATACCTGTTTTTGAGCATCAATTAATGAATCAAGAGAGTTACGTCACGCCATAAAGCATGTGAAGCCAAGTAGATGCAATTCCAGTAACCGAAAACTTTGTGGCTGTTGCTGGAGACCGAAGCTCGCCATGAAGCCATCAAAGACGCTACAAATCTGAATCCACTTGCAAGATCATGTGGCCTGGCGTGCGTACAACCAGTTGAACAACAGAATCCCCCAGAATATAGCAAAACGTCGATGAATACAGCTAATGTTCGATCTGCTCAATGCATTAGCCACACTGGACACATCGATAGGTACTCGTGCGGCTGCATCACTGATCCACTAGCCACATCGCTCGGCCCACTCCAGCGCCGTGCAACGCCCGTAGAGCAGATTAGAAAACGTCTCAGAACCGGTTTCTGCACCATATTTTGCGGTCCCCTCACCGCAGACCCGAATAGACCGTTCTGGACCCTTCATTTGAGACATGGGTAGGTGAACCGATAGTTACATTTAGGCCATTTCTTATCCGCATTGCTCGAATTCCTGCGCCACATCTTCTTTGCCGTGCATGGCTGTGGCTCGTTGCCGGTTTTAGACGTCTGATGAGGTATCCCCTCAGTTGCATATACTCGGCTACGGGGTTTTAAGGAGCCGGAGACAACTTCAAGCTGGCCTTGGATAAAGAAGGGTGCCTACAAAGACCCGCGCCTCTTGTCATTCTGGACAGGAGCGATGACCTCACCACCATGACGTCCTTTTGTAATGGCTGTGTTATTCTGAGATAGTGATTAGTATGATCTCGTTTCTGTCAATACACAGACCAGATGTCACTCAAATCGGTTTTATTTCAAGAGCTATATAAACCGATAGCTATGGAAGATTTTCGCAGGCGATAGCACATGTATAGAGACTCTTCTATTCAATGTACATAGGCAGCTGACGATATGCTCTATTATGTTGAAACGAATACCGGGTAGAAACAAGTGAAAATCTACAATTTCACACCTCACGTGTGAGATACAAAACTTCCGTATTAGAATATTAGTCTTCCAATTGACAGGGTCCGATCTCAGATCTTGTCAGAGCTTGTGTCTTGCTGTGGCTTAGCTGTGGCTCGACAGCCATCACGTGCGGTACCTTGTCGAACCCCGCGAGCTCACCGTTTGACCACCGACCACATCGATAGCTGTTCGAAAGCATAGTAGCGAACTATTAATCGGCTCCAGCTCTGTTTTTTGGCATCAGGATTTGACCATGGATTTGGCTACCTTCGATCATCTACAGGAAGGCGCTCTTCCCAGCGACCCTCAGAAATCAGAAGAAGCACAGTCATCTCTCAATAACGATATACAAGACGCCTACAAAGCATTCTCATCGAGCCCATGGGGTGCTAAAATCGGAGGCTTCTTTGGAAGTGTTGTCAAACAAGTGTGTATATTATTCTCCGATTTTCTTAACATTCTACTGACTTGTGTAGGGCGAGTCGGTATATAACCAGGCTTCCAAGGAGCTCGCGGAAGTAGGTGAAGACGCCACAAAAGGGTTCGCCGATCTTCGAGAATCTATTTTGAACCGCACACGTTCGCTGTCCGTCGCCGAAAACATCGGTGACGAAGCCGCCGGTGATGTTAAGGCAGACGGTAGCAAAGCTGTTTCGGGCGAGCCTTCAGCGGCCACAGAAAATGACTCCATACTGACGAGGCTACGAACCGGAGCAGCAAAACGATTAAAGGATTTACAACGGGCCGAAGATGCAGCTGATGAGGCACTTTTGAAGTTTGGAGGCAATGTGCGAGACTTCCTGCGGGATGCTATCACAGTTGCTGCGCCCGAGGGATCAGATGAGAGCAGTATTCTATTTGAGAGTAAGGATTCCGAAGGAAAGAGAGTCATCCATGCCTCTAGATTTGATGCGCAAATGCATGTCATCCATACATCTACCAAGGGACTTTTAGAAGAGCCGGCTGGCGAAGAATACACCAACTGGGCCAAGGACTTCGACGCGGAGAGCAAGACGGATGCCATCAGTTCCGACCTGGAAAAGTACCCCGAACTTCGAAGTACCATGGAGAAGCTTGTACCTGACCAAGTTCCTTACGCCGAATTCTGGACGAGATATTATTTCTTGAGACACGGGCTCGAAGCCGCGGAGCTGAGACGCCGCGAGCTTCTCAAAGGTTTGTGAAAGCTGCTTCTTAAAAGTGATATATTTAACTCTAACTTTCTTAAATAGCCGCCTCGGCCGAAGATGAGGTCGGTTGGGACTCTGACTCGGACGACGAAGCCGACGCTCCAAAGGGCGAGAAGACCAGCTCTGTTACGTCAAGCACCACCATCCATCCACCTGCTGCTAAGCTATCCAAGTCCACCAGTAGCAAGCAACCAACGGACACCAAATCCCAAGCAGATAGCGAGGCGAGCTACGATGTCGTTGGTGCCCAATCGGGACTCCAAAGCCAAGCAGCAACAAGCCCAAAAGAGGCTAAGAAGGACGAAGAGAGTGATGACGATTGGGAATGATACACTATTACCTTTGTTTGCACCCGTGTCGATTGGTGCGGTGAGTCGCTCGGCGTTAAGGTCGTTAATTTTGCTTTGATAATATGTATTCAAATCATTTTGGGTATCGAGATGGGTAGATGCGCCATTCGCGCACCACCATTCATTTTTTTTTATGTCGAAAGATCCCCTTCACCTCTTCTTGGTGACCATGGTAAATCCGTCTTCGTCAACTTGTGGTGCAGGCTTCTCCTTTCGTGTAGGCACCAAGGCCGGTGCTTCGTCCATGTTCACGTCATCATCATCATCGCTTTCAGCAGCGCTATCATCGGGCTCAGCATCGGTATCTTGGTCGGGATCCTCGGCCTTCTTGAAGAGTTGGTCGACCTTGCCCGTCTTGCTTGCGAACCGCTGCTGAAGTTCCTTGACTTCGGTGTATTCTCCGACTGTACATTGCATTCGGATGCGGATGATTTGCAGGGCCAGCTCGTAAGCAGAGTCATCGTCGACGTTGACATCAAACTCGTCCATCATCACTTGCAGCAGCACCGTCTCGACATCCTCCACATCGGCTTCTTGAGCACTTTTGGCGTTGGCATCGTCCGTAAATTCGGGAAATAGGTCGACAATGGCTCCCGTAAACCAGTCTCTCTTATCGGCCGAGTCGTCTCCTCCCCATTTGTTCTGTACCGACAGAGTAAGCGCCGGCCACAAGTTCATTGCACAGGCAACGCCTTGTTCGAAGTTTGATTGGCGGTCCGCTGTTGATATATTTTATTAGCAAATAATTTTTCAGTATAATTCTAACATATGTATTACCAGCTGGCGGCAAGTTTGCCAAATCTATCGTTGTGTCCATGTTGGTCTGTATTCTTGCATGTAAGGTGGGAAAAATTTCTCGACTTATGGCGGGGTGATATCCATCTGCACACACGACTTCGGGTACAAAATTTTTGGTGGTGTGCATGCGCAACGGTAGAGTGGCAGCGCACGGACCAGGCACCGCCGAGTTGGGGCCCAGAAAGGGATCTCGCTCTACAGAGTGGGGATGACATCATGAGCATCGGCAACTGCATCTGCAGACGACCCCGGATGCCGCAGTTTGTGTTGTATTAACCTCTAAATTTGTTCCTTGGATACATAAGAACCTGCCCTACTACGACTCAATGCCAAAACTCAATACCGCGACCGTATCTGCGGCCGTGACGCCTACAGTCTTGCTCACGCTCTTTTCGCATGTAAGGCCAATCTATTTCATCGCGTTTCTTAACCTATTTTGAGTTAACCAAATGCGCGAATCAAATAGTATTTGAACAGAAAGCCGCTCAAACAACGACCTACAGCTCACCTCTCATATGATGAGGGCCTGAATCTCGTTCGGTCGTTCCTTGAGTTCGCGTCCCAGCACACTGTGGAAGAGCTGCAGGCATTCACAGCACAATGGGTTCCTTCTCCTCAGTGGATCAAGATCGAAGCCATCAAAATAGATTATAAGCACTTGGATAGGTCAGCTGATATAATTCAACAAGAGCTTGGCGACGATGGCTTAGATCGCGTTGGCGGCCGCAAGTGGTGGCAGTGGCGGATTCCCAACAACCCTCTTGAGGCAGAGTGGGTTGAGATGAAGTCGGATGCAAATGAAAGAAAAAAACAAAATACGCCTTGTAACCGCGTCATGCTCTATATTCATGGCGGCGCATACTATTTCGGAAGCGTTGATGAACACAGGTACCAGATGCAACGCCATGCTCGAAAGCTTAAGGCACGCGTCCTGGCACCCAGGTATAGGTTGTCACCCCAGTTTCCATTCCCTTGTGGTCTTCAAGACTGCTTGGCTGCCTATCTGTTTCTTTTACAACACCAAGATCCGACAACAATCATACTGGCAGGTGACTCGGCGGGCGGTGGCATGGTATTGTCCATGCTCTGTCTGCTCAGGAACCAGGGCCTTCCTCTACCAGCTGGTGGTATTTTAATCAGTCCATGGGTTGACCTTACACACTCTTTCCCAAGCGTTTCTGACGTTGCACCAATGGACTATATACCACAGTGCGGCTTCCACCATAAACCGTCGCGAGCGTGGCCTCCTCCCAACGAGGAAGAGCTCGCTTCGTTGAATATTCAGTTATCAAGTTCGGAAGCCCCTACATCAGACACTGACCATATAAAGGTCATGGTTGATGGGGAAGAAATTACCATCAAGGAACAAATCCAGGTTCGTCATTTTAGTCTCTAACATTTCAGCGTCATCCTCTAATAATGGCAGATGTACACCACGAACGCTATGCTTCGCCACCCCCTGGTTAGCCCAGCTATGCAACCAACATTGGGTGGCCTTCCTCCGCTGCTTATTACAGTTGGCGGTGGCGAAATCCTCCGCGATGAGCAAATTTTCGTTGCCCATAAATGCGCCAATCCAGAAAAGTATGCACCACCAGAAAGCAGCCTGTCGCAGAAGGACAAAGACCTGCTCGCCAAGTTTAAGCCTACAGATGTCCAGCTACAGGTTTGGGATGACCTTTGTCATGTTACTCCCACCCTAAGCTTTACACGGCCTGCCAAGTATATGTATCGCTCCATTGCCCAATTCGGTGCATGGGCATTGGCGAGAGCTCAGAAGCGAGGAATCGAAATCATGGACGATGATCGGATTTCTGTCATTTCAAGTTCGAAATCCGAATCGGAACCTTCTAATGATGTTGAAGAATCGACAACTGATGCTCACCAACCTCCTCATAGCGAAGTATCAGAAAATATACATCACCGAGAAGTGGGCAAGGCGGGCGACCCATTGCCTGCGTTTGAAAACCATATGATTCGACAACAGGTTAGCCGCCATGGATCCATCAAACCCCTTGCACCGGAGACAGATCTACCTGGCTGCACCATGAATGTTAGCTTAATAGGCGTCATTAAAGAGCCCACGGCGAAAAAGTGGCTGGAGAAGAGACGCCTGTGGGATAAGAGATACTCCAGTGTAAGGGCTAAAGTGCTAAAACAAATAGTTAAGGAATCAAAAGCAGGCTGGGAAAGATTTGGCCCGGGTGAGCATCCACCGATATCTGCTTTAGCAAGCCGACGTACCAGAGGTTCCGTTTTGGTTGATGGTACACCAGCTAAGAAGAGCAGAAGTTTCGGACTATCGATTTGGTCGCTATGGGGTTCGAAGCACGACGAAGAAACCATTGAGAGAGAACACAAGGCTGATGACAGAGAAGCATTTCCCACTATCGGAGTGGAAAGCAGTACCAACGACCAGACCATTGATCCATCAGAACGGCAAGCCCGTCCTGATCAGCCGTTGGGTCGTAGTCGCTCGCGTACACGAACGGTGGTCGACGAACATCAGACTGAGGAAGATACACTGGATGAGAATACTCCAGTGGCACAACTATTAAGCCTGCGCAGACAAAAGGAAGAATCTGCGGGTGACCTCCTCAGCCCAGATTATGTTCCTGAGACAGGCGTGGCCGGTAAACGACCGTTCTTGGGGGGCATTGCGTTGCCGTTTAGCCTTGGCAAAGAGCCAGACACGGCTAGTATGGTCACATTAGATTCCAATATGGACCCCGAAGAGACCAGCGGCGGTCTACCTTCAAACGCTGTAGAGAGCGAAATCGCTACCGAACCTGCACTATCCCAGGCAGTGACGGAGAGAGTCGAACCCGACGCAGACATGGCTACAGATCACAAGAAACATGACAGCAGTGCAGAATTAGCTGTTGCAGCAAAGACTGCGTAATAATTTAATGTACAATAGATAGCGAGCGCACTCACTCTCCATAATAATATTTGAAATGCAAGTCCTAAGCTCCAGAATCTACCCATGGGAAGTGTGTTGGTACAAAAACGGGATATGTACAATCAACGGAGATGCCCGATACCCATCATCCGTAATGAACGAAAAAAAATGATTGCCTCTACGCGCCTAGTCGTAGTCGAGTCGACTCGTTATGTGATCAGCTCTGACGGTATTGGGTTTAGTCGACGCCGTTGTATCGCTTCCACTGCTCGACGTAGAAGTAGGGGTCTTGAGGGCCCTTCTCGAGTCCCTTGTAATCTCCGGGTTCGACTCGGATCTCGCGGGTTACAAACGGCGTAAGCTAGAGTTGCTGTGTTAAAAAATGTTGTCGTTGGACACAAGACTTTGCAGACAGCATACCTTGAAGTCTTTGAGGTTGGGGGGAACCGCGTAGGTGCGCACTTTTTCCCATTCGATAATGTAACCACCGTATTTTGTATGACGACCCATGGATCCAGTGCGATTTCCCTTGTAGAAGCCACGGCCAATATCCTTTGTCGTGACTTTGATGTGTCGGTAGCGACCGACGGAGAGTACTTGCGTCGGTCTCATCTTGGGCGCAGTCGGGTGATTTTATGTCGATGAGGGATTGGTGAGAATAATATAGACCAATTGCGATAGATCTCAGTGACCTTGTGGCGAGGTACAATGCAAATGGTGTCGTCGCGTGCGTAGAAAGAACTGATGCGGGTTGGGAGAACGCATCGTGGTAGCCTCCTTTCACATATTTTCGACAGGCGGCTCCCCATTTATTCCGCTCCGGCCATACACCGGCGTGGGTGGACCCAGCATCCCGCCAAAGCGACCCCCAGGCGGAGGTCCGACTTGCTGCCACCGACGCATTCAAATGATTTAATGAAGCCCGTTTCGATTTCTAAATTTGGAAAATGTTAATGTAAATATATCATCTTATGAAGAAGCTTTATGCTCCGGCAGATCAACCTTATAAGACCCATACGTGTCCTACAGAAGGTGCATTTCCCTCCGGTCTATACAGACGAGGGGCAGGGCGCTCACGCGAACCAGGACTCGGCATAACGATACAACGATTACGATTTGCGACACAGGAGCTTCGAATAAGGTAGCCGGGCTATAAAAAGATGGATGCTTACCCGGAAGGTAGCTTAGGCCATAATGTGCCTCTGCTTATTGCCTCCGGTCTTGCAGTGAAGCAACCGCTGCCTGAGCTGGACCAAGCTCTCAGAGACGATTCGACTCGATTAAAATCAAGTCTCCCTTGTCTGGATACCCGGGAAGCTGAGGTTCTTGTCGAATACTTCGATGCTATAGATACAAACGGAAAGTCTTGGGCGGCTGTATCGCGCGAGGAAATATACAGACTCCGCATAAAATGCTGCGAACGGGTAAGCAATCAGAGTGCATCACAACTTCCGTCTGGCTGCTAACAACTGTATAGAGCTTTTCATTTCCAATGCGCAAAGCTAGACTCCCGGAAGACGCCGATGAGGTCGACAAAGGAGCCATGTTACATTCGCCATTTTCGCCACTAAGTCCTGTATCTGAACTATATCCTGATGGATTGATAAATGAGCAATGGATCAACAAGCACCAGGACTTAGTCCCAGCGGTCTTCATGTGCTTTTACGCACTAACTACGGACCCTAACTCGGCGACACTAGAGGATAACAAGCTCAAAGCGGATATCAACCAGCTGAAGGCTGCCATTTCGGCAGCAGGTTACAAAACACGAATGGCGATCATCTTTCTTCAAACGGAAGGAGATGGAAGCTCTCCTCTTATCACAGATCATTTGCAAGAGCGTCTTGAGTCGATACGAAAAGGCACAGGCATGGATCCTAAGTCGATGTTCTACGTGGCCCCTCAGAAAACACCAGACGATCTCAAGTCGGTCGCGGATAGTATCCTGTCTAACCTTTACGGCACTGCTATTGAATACTACCGGGACCTTGGTCGTCATTCAAGGAAGAAGAGATCTCGTGGCGTGGCACCGCAACCTACAGTTCGACCCACATCAGGAACATCCCAGACTCTATCGCTCTCTGAATGGAATCTACGGTACGATTTCAAAACTGCGATATTGTCTGAATTCCGACAAGAATTGGAAGCAGCTCTACGCTCCTTCGAACAGACATATGACCAACTTCTTGGACCAGATATTTTAGACGTGATCCCAAACTGGAGCCGACGCTGGAACGAGGCCCGCCTACTCGCTGACATTATAACTATTCGATCTCTTCGACTGCACTTGTGGATGGGACAACCAAGCTTAGCTGTGAGACGCTGGCAATCCCACCGTGACAGAATTAGCGAATTAGTAGAGAGGCTAGGACGGGGTACAAATAATTATAGCTGGCAAGCCTGGGAAGCTCGGTGGGCTTTGGTCATGGCACAGCTTATCGAGAAAATCAAAGTGCCAGCGCTGGCTGCCTCCGCTACAACAATCTATTTACAACCGGAGAAGGCGGTTTTAGGCGAACGACTTCAGCCCTGGGAGTTGCTGCACCATACTGGGTATTGGTATCGAATAGCCGCTCGCCATCTCATTGCAAGGCGAAGGCTTGCGCAGTCACTCTCTGATGATGATCGTACTGCCCCCGTAGCTTCTGCAAAAGGCAACACGCCTCACGGAACAACCTATGACAATTATCTGTGCCCCCCACCATATGAGGAGAATCCGTTGGATGGAAGTGGTACAAATCATTCTGAACTCATCATTGATTGTTTATCGGCAGCAAAAAAACACTTTGAAAGTCGAAAGCAGCAGCGCATTGCCGCTGAGCTAGCATTAGAATGTGCTAAAGAAATGGCAGTGCTTGGCAATTGGCAAGATGTTTTGGCAACTCTTCGGCCACTGTGGGATGACATTCCTTTTCGCTCTGAGGAATGGATCATAATCACAGAACAGCTTTGCTGGATATTGCGCAAAGCTGCTATAGAGACTAACACTGTCGACCTACTGGTGGCCCTCGATTGGGAGCTTTTACACTCTAGTAAGATATAAATTCGCAAAGTCTTTGCTGCCTGCTAACGCGTTTAATAGAATTCTCAAAGAATCCACAATGGCATTATGACTTAAATAAGAGTCTTGATGGTTTGTTCCTTGAGTCCAGACCATCAGTAAGTTTGTCCGACGACTCTGCCACATCAGTCATTGCTGCGGACTTTGCATTCCGCACTAAGGAGGGTAAAGCTGGAGAGAGCTGCGTTGCACAACTTTCGCTAGTTTCGAACGCCGTCGTTGGTTCGTCTCCATTGGTTCTATCGAAGCTCAAGATCAATTTTGAAGGAAACCTGAACCCGATTCTATTGGAGCATGATGAAACCATCAAGCCTTCATCATCGGGTGAAAAGATGTCGTTTTTGGATGTCACGTTGGAAGAAGAGTTTGATGCACAGTCTGAGCATGAGCTGCCTTCACGACTTTCAGGGAAATCAAATTTGACCATAAACCCAGTCGAGAGGCTCCTATTCCAGATCAACATCCCACTTCGAGTTCCAGGTGACACTGAGGCTGAATCGGTAACCGTCTGGTACGAAAACAAGGCCTTCGATCTGGACTACACCCTCAAATTCCGAAGTACCGATGCCGCATTGGGCTGGTTTGTGCCCGGATCTGCAAAGCCCAAAAAGATTAGGAAAAGCTCTAGAGCTTTGCATATTCAACCCAGACCCCCGAAGATGGAGATTAAGCTTGCAAAGCCACTACGCCAGTTTTATGCCAACGAACGAATCCACCTTCAAATATTACTGCAAAATGAAGAAGAAGAAGGTGCACGGGTCAAGGCTGATCTTGACTTGCTGAGCAAGGCAGTGCCCTCATTCCAGATCCAATATAAGGGCAACACACACTCTTCTGTCCTCGAATCAGAGGAGGAAGGTAGTATTAACAGTGTCTCTCTTGACATGATCCCCAGCTCTGGCTCTCTAGAGTTTTCCGTTTTCATTGAACCTGCGGCTGCGCCAGTGCTGTACGAGATTCAGCTGCGCGCTGTGTACTATCTTGACTCTGATCCAGCCACACCCATCACACAAACATTCCCTCTCAACTTGAACCTTGTCAGCGCCTTTGAAGCAAACTACAATCTAGTTCCAAGACTGCATACAGAGCCATGGCCCAGTCTATTTGACCATGACGGCTTAGAAGACGAACTCGCGGATGAGGGCAGAAGACGGGCTAACGGCCTTTCGCAAAAGTGGTGTCTTTTGTGCCATTTCGCATCATTCGCACAAGTTGATCTGCGAATCATTGATACCGACATGCAGGTGACGTCTTGCATTGGAGGTGCACAAACACGCGTGTCCAAGATGTCAACACTGCCAGAGGGCGGTGTGGTAGTGGAACCTAAGAGCATGAATAACGCAGAATTTGATCTCGTGGTTCAGAAGCTGAGCCTGGATGATCGACAGCCTGTTTCTCTTGACCTTGCGTTCATCATAAACTGGAAACATGCGGATGCAAACGAAGATGACCCAGTCAACACTACCACCATGAATGTTGGCCAATATTTGGTCCTTGGAATCGAGCCTAGAGTTTTGGCTACCGTAACGCACCCACCGCTTGGCAAGCTTGCTCCTGTGCAGCTTGATATCACAGTGGAAAATCCTTCCAATCATATGCTTACATTCGGTCTTAGCATGGAGCCAAGCGACGAATTTGGCTTCTCAGGTGCAAAGCAGACCACCATTCACCTCGTTCCGTTGTCACGACGAACGGTTACATACCGGTTGCTGCCTCTGGTGCGTGGGACCTATATTCGACCGGGCCTGCATGTACGCGACAAATACTTCCAGAAGTTGCTGCGTATCATACCCACAGACGGAATGAAGATTGATAAGGACGGCCTATTGTTATGGATACCAGGCCCGAATGGTGAAGGGGAATCTGACGAGGTGCATCATGACGACGGTGAAGAAAGTAAATAGAACATCGTCTAACGAAAGTTATTATGAATCAAAGCTATCATTTACATTCTGTATGTGGCCCGTATTAACAATATGAAAGAATCATAGTCCCAACGCCTTGAATTTGCCCTCGGCTATGCCACGCGCAATAGCAGCCCGGCGTTGCTCTGCTCGCTCTCTTTGTTCCAAATCTTCCTCGCTTGGCTCCTCATTCTTGGTCTCCTTCTTGCGGCCCTTGATGGGTTTATTGGCAGCCTCGACAGCCTTCTGAATTCTCTGTGCTTCACGAGCAGCTTCCGCTTCTGACTTTTCTGCCGCTGCTTGGCAGCGACGAATGTCTCGCTTCTGTAAAACCCATGGCTTATCGAGAAGCTTCTGCTGCTGCTCTTCTCTCTGCCTCCAAAGTTTGAGCTCGTCAGTCGTAGAATGTACTAACTCCATCTTCTTAATATTGATCTGCAAGTCGTGAAACGTATGCAACCACCCTTTCACATCCACAATGGAACCTACGGTGACACCATCGGCTACGGAAGCCGTCCATGTCTGGTCTGCATATTGCTTGGTAGCTATAGGCTTGCCTGAGCCGTCAATCTTAAGAAGCGCTTCTATGGATGCATTGCTGCTGTCGTCTATGGTGTACGCTCTGTGGCCTTCGAAGGTGTCTATTGCAGAGACTATGCCCGTGATGCGGACCCAGCGAATCGGCAGTGTTTTGTAAAAGTAGAATCCTTCAGCTGTTACAAACATTAGTAACAAAATTACCACGGTAATTTAATCCATATTATGGCAGCCTACCTTCAAACTCGGGGTATCGTCGCAGAGCGCGGAGCTCACAGACCCTAAACCAGCACCAGACTTGGGACGTTGGCGCGAGATGGAAGCAGTAGCGAGGGTACAGCTGCTCTTTGTACAGGTCGCTCATGTCATGTACACTCGGCGCATTATCGGCTACCTTTGCACTCGTAAGAGCAATAGCAACTTTGGTTGCAGCCGGTGCTGTCGTTGGGTGCTGCGCGTGCAGATAAGTGTGTTGATGGTACGTCCAAACTTCACGGTGTTGGTACGCGAATGCCCCCGCTATGACAACTGCTGTCGACATGTAACAAGCTAGATGTGACACTCTACGTCAACCAAAGCACGAAATAATAATGTAAGAAAATTTCATTCTAAATTTAATGCCAACGCCATGATCCATAGTAGAAATGCAAAAGCTGTCAATGTCTCCCAAACGCCGAGTAAAGTCACCCGTAGTTACGCTTCTGTCAGTCAGCCTCTACGCCTTTCCCTTCTTGCTCTTCTTGCTGTTTTTCAACTTTGCAGCTGCAGCTTGGAAAGCCTCCTCGTCTGGTTCGTCATCCATGGCTCGCTTCTTTCCCTTCTTTCCCTTGTTCTCGGCGCCATACTTCTCAGCTAGGTGGTCGAGGAAGCCCTCAGAGCGGCTCTGTTGACGCTTCTGGATCAACGCAGCCAAGCTATCCTCAGAGCTCTTCTTGCTTTTCTTTTCCTTCTTATCGCCAAAAATCTCCTTGTGCACACCGAGCTCTTTGGCGTATTCCTCGGCCTCGACTGCTTCCGCTTTAGCGTTCTTGATACGAGCGGCCCGCTTGGCTTTGGTTTCCTTGGCATACGCAGGGAAGCCAGACACATCGTTTGCAGCGATTGCTGCATCGATAATCTTTCGGAATCGCTCGTCATCAACAGTGACGTCACTCAGAATAACGTGCTCGTAAAGCGCATCCATGTCTCCCTGGCATTGTTCATAGGCAACAAGCAAGTCATCTTTTTCCTCGTCGGAACCCTTGTATCGCTGGGCGAATTGTTCGATAGCGTTTGCAGAGATGGCGTCTTTGAATTGCTCGCGGTAATAGTCGCTCCAGTTAAAGCCCTCCGAGTCTACTATTGATTCGGATGTCGAGCCCGTTGTGTCGTACCGCTTGCGGCGTACTGGATCAGAGAGCACGGCGTATGCAAACGCAATCGATTGGAAAATCTCATGGGCTTTTTCTTTTTCGGCATCAGGGACCTTGTCTATAGAGAAACGACAGTATTAGTAGTAGATCCGCATGTGTTGTCAAGTTGACTTACCTGGATGGTTCTTCAATGCTGCCTTGCGATAGGCGCTCTTGACTTCGTCAGCTGTTGCGCTTCGCTCTAGACCGAGGACCTCATAAGGGTCAATTGTGGGAGGGTCAGCGTCGACGGGTTCATCGAATTCAGAGTCGGACATGTTGTTGGCTATGTTTCTGTTGTACTGTGAATTGATGGTGGGAAGAAGATGTAGTGTCACGGTCTATTATATAGAAAGGCTGCACCAAAATCGGCGCCCTATTGTTCTGCACTTAACGCGCTGGAACGCGTCCATAGGGTCGTGGTGGGGCACTCTGGCAGTGGAAGGCGCTGGGCGAGAGCCTGCGTGCGGAGTAGCGTGCAAAAGCTCACGCTGGCTTTTGGCTAACCACAGGGTAGCACGCACTAAAAACACTTCACTTCATGAGTTACGGGCAATCGTTGCTATTATTTTGTCTTTGAATAATTTATTTTAATTCAGAAGACATATTTTCAAGTTTAACAGATGGAGTCAGACGAGGATAGGCACCTGATTGCCATGCGGCATGCCTTGTCACTCGCAGAAAAGTCACCACCAAAACCATCCAACTTTCGAGTGGGAGCCATCATCGTTGACATCGCTACAAATGATATTGTCGCAGAGGGATATACACTAGAATGCCCTGGGAATACACACGCAGAGCAATGCTGCTTCACCAAGCTTGCCGAGAAACACAAGACGTCGGAGGCCAACCTGGCGTCTGCTATCACTCAGCCCCATGCACTCTACACCACCATGGAGCCGTGCTTCAAACGCCTCAGCGGCAATCTACCTTGCGTAGAACGCATTTTGCAGCAAAGTTCTTGGATTACGGAAGTATATGTGGGAGTCCTCGAACCAGAGACCTTTGTTGGGCCCAATCCCGGACGGAAGATGCTGGAAGACCACAATGTCAAAGTCACATTAGTACCCGGGCTTCAAGACAGAATATTACAAGTCGCAACTGCCGGACACAACCCTTCTCGAAAAAGCGGAACGGAAATACGGATCTAAAAGAATAAAATGCAACGAGAAAGAAGAGGCTAAGCAGAAGATGACCTGCAAAAAAATGACAGGCATTAGCACACGCTGTGCGCACCGTCTCCCACTGAGGTCACCTAATGCGATGAAATACAAATGGACTCCTAGTCGTCGTAAGAAACGATGAAGCTCAGAATAAAAGGAAGTGAACTCCGGCTGAATTAACTAGAATATTCAAGCAGCAGATATACTCTAGCCTGTCGCTAGGACAAGCTGCCAGTATGACCCACGGCCCAAACAGAGGATAAATGAAAATAAGACATTATTGAAGAAAAAGAGAAGAGCACAATTGTTTTATATCATGTCGAATCTTGGACCAAACAGAAGGTTAACAAAAGTGAATCCGTTTTGAGCGCATTGGCAGTCGCATTGTTACTTGGCTTTGCAGAGATCCGTCACAGAAAGTGCCATTTTTAAGATGCTCATCAATTTACCTTCACCGTACCTTCACAGCTAGTCGCCTTTGTCGTGTATACCACAGCGCAACCTCTAGAGTAATCCTCCAGCCGGAGTAGGATATACAGTCGGTTACTACAGTGTGCAAAATAATCCTAGAGGATATTCACTGCCGGCAATTACGTACATTTGCGGCTACCATTACGGCTGTCCACTGCGCTTCCTGCAGCATCCCACCACCCCCGTACCAGGGCAAACGCCGTCATTCTAGACCCTACCAATTGGACAGAAGCGGACACAGCAAACGGGCGTACATCTAAGGGAGCTGCAGATTCCCTGCCAGTGGACGTGCATATATAGTCCGCTTCCCCCGACACATCAACATGGCGGATCAAACAGAAAAGCAACGTCGGAGAGTTAGAAGCCGTGGTAGACCCCAAATTGAACAAAGAGATTCTCATTCTTCTGCCAAACGAAGCGGAAGTAATACTCAAAGCCGTCCTGGAAGAAAGGCAAACACTACTAGCTTTTTGGAGCCGGGTAGCCACGCCAACGAACAACATCAAAGGTGCCGCTATAGTCCCTCAAACACTGGTGATATAGCCGAAGATATGGATCGTGGCCGCTCCAATCGTGGTGGGCGAGGTAATTTTCGGCGTGGACGAGATGCAGATCACAGCTCGAGCCCCTATAGAGCAGATCGTGGTGGTGGTGAATCCAACCGTGGACGACGGGGAGGATACGAGCCCCAAACGTCCCGTGATGCCAGCACGTTGGGACACCGCGGGGATCGTGGTGGTGGTGACCGCGGCCGTGGAGGTTCTCGCGGTGGTGATCGAGGAGGCAGACGGGGCAGAGGAGGAGGACGTGGGAGAGGAGGACGTGGAGGCGCTCCCAGTGGCTCTGGGCGGGACATGGTCTTTACGTGAGTATCGTTACAGGTAGAAGTATGTTACCTATTGCTAACCTCTGATACAGGTCTGAAAAATTCTCTCCTATACCGGATTCCAGCATCACGGAGCTGGAAGACCGAATCATGGCACAGCAGAGTGCTACCACTGGCGGCCTTGTTTCTCAGATGAGCCAACTGAGGATTCAGAAAGGCAAAAAGGGCGGAAAGAACGTTTCTGCGAAACCTGAGGTAGATGAGCAGGCTGCCGTCTTCCCGGTTCGCCCTGCATATGGAACCAAAGGACGGGCCGTTGTTGTTTGGGCCAACTACTTTCAAATCCGAGCAAGTCAGGAGAGCAACTCTCTCTACAAATATGCCCTGTCGGTGACAGAGGCTGTTCAGAACAAGAGCGGACAGGTGGAAATGCAAGATGCGGTTGGCATGAAACGCCAACTCGCCATTGCAGCTACTATCCAAAACTTGGGAGGCGAAGCTGTTGTGGCAACTGAGTTCAAAGCCCAGCTGATATCAGCACATCTTCTTGATATAAAGCCCAATCCAATGGCTGTTCAGCTACCTAGTGTGTCGGAAGATCGCATCAGTGATACATTGTACGTCAAATTTTCCACTCCAACACCAGTGCCGTTTGGAAATTTGATAGACTATCTCACTTCTGGCGAGGTTGCTTCGGACGACAAAGTTTTCCCTCGGCATCCAGAGGCTATTGATGCCCTCAACATCATTTTGGGACATGGACCACGCTCTATGGTCGGTGATATATCTGTCGTTGGTCAAAATCGATTTTTCCCATTTAACTCCAACACGGTTGTTGCCAAATTTCAAAATACCATGCGGCCCCTTTTGGCTGCCAGAGGTCTATTTCAGTCGGCACGCATTGGCACCGGACGACTTTTGCTTAATACCAATGTTACACATGGCATCTTCAAAGTGGATGGCAAAATGGATGAATTGTTTCGCAAATTCGACATCAAGCAGGTGCGGAGAAGCGATAGTAGAGGCGTGAAGTCGCTTAAGACCTTTTCAAAGTTCTTGCCGAAGACAAAGGCTCATATTGTGTGTACGCTAGCGGATGGCAACATGACACGCATGACGAAGCCGCTTGGTGGAATTGTCTGTGCCTCAGAGCATAGAGACCAGTCCCGTGAGACACATGGGCTCAGATTTGCAGATGGAATGGAATATTGCGGTCCTGATCATGTCCAATTTTGGCTTAATGGGCCCGATGACACTGGTAAATACATCTCGGTCGGTGATTATTACAGAGGAAGTAAGTTGTCATACCACGCTTGGGAATGTTGTACGATGTTAACAATTTATAACAGAATATGGTTTTACTCTTAATTCTGACTTCCCGTTGTTGTATATTGGCAAGGGCGAAAAGATTAAGCTCTTCCCTGCTGAAGTCGTCTCCATCATTTCAGGACAATCAGTCAAAGCCAAGCTCACCATGGATGAAACGTCAGAAATGTTGAAGTTTGCCTGCCGCTCACCCTATGCAAACGCATTCTCTTTGACATCAGATGAAACACGCGCCACACTGTCGCATGATACCCAACTGCTGAAAACCTTGGGTATCTCTGTTGACAAATCGCTTCTTGCTATCAATGCGCGTGTGCTCAACGTACCGTACGTGTCTTACAGAAATTTGGATCGAAAGCAGGTTGAGATCCGTCCCCAGTTTGGTTCTTGGAACTTGAAATCACTCTATGTTGCCAATCCTGGTGAAAAGATCGAACGCTGGACCTGGATCAACCTCGTTGCATACGGTGGTTCCAAAGGTGTTGGACCGGATATACCAGAGAGGTTTGCTAAGTTCTTGAGCGATGGCATGGGTATTCGCATCAGCAAACAGCCCATCTACCCACGGGAGACCAGGATGACACGTGAGGAAGCTATGCACCCGAATGGCAAGCTAGCAAAATTCTTCGATTGGATGAAGTCCGAGCAGATTCAGCTTTGTGTTGTGATTTTGGCGCAAAAGGAATCCAGCGCCCTCTACAGCAATATCAAGATGTTGGGAGATTGCCAATACGGAATTCACACCAGCTGTGTAGTTGCGAATCAGTTTGGCAAAGCAGACCTGAGCTACTTTGCGAATGTTGGCCTCAAGATTAACCTGAAATTTGGAGGCATCAACCATGTTCTGAAAGAGAGTGTTGGATTGCTCAAGGGTGGTAAAACCATGATTGCTGGTTACGATGTCACGCATCCCACCCACATGGGACCGCGTACTGGCAAAGGAGCACTGCCTCCCAGTGTCGTTGGTCTTGTTGCGAGTATTGACTCTGGGTTTGGACAGTGGCCAGCGGTATCCTGGGAACAAGAATCAAAGCAGGAACTCCTTGGAGACGTTCTAGTATCCATGTTTGCCAGCCGTTTGGATCTGTGGCAAAAGCACAACGATGGTGCTCTACCAGAAAACATCATCTTCTTCCGCGATGGTGTATCCGAAGGACAATTTGCCCAAGTTATCTCTGAGGAGTTACCATTCCTTCGTGAAGCTTGTCGAAAGAAGTACGGTGGCGGAAAGCAGCCCAAACTCACTATTATAGTATCAGTGAAGCGGCACCAGACGCGTTTCTATCCGACCAAGGAAGACGAAATGTCCAGGTCTGGCAACATTCAAAACGGAACTGTGGTAGACCGTGGCATTACCCAGGCCCGCTACTGGGATTTCTTCCTCACTGCTCACGATGCCCTACAAGGCACGGCCCGTCCTGCACACTACACGGTGATCCTGGACGAGATCTTTGGGCCGACTTATGGAGCACAGGCAGCTAATGAGCTGGAGCGCCTAACTCATGACCTCTGCTATCTCTATGGTAGAGCTACCAAAGCGGTATCGATTTGTCCCCCTGCATACTATGCGGATATTGTATGCACCCGAGCCCGAGCCCACCGACCAGAGTTTTTTGACGGTGGTGACACTGAGACTGTAAGCTCTATTGATACGGCATCCATTAGCGGTCGAAACATTCATCCAGCGCTACGAGATTCCATGTATTACATTTAAAGTCTCAAAACATGTAAGAGCCGAGGAAATGGAAGAATTTGGAACGGGATTGCTTCAAAGAAAGTTGATTTGAATGAAACTGTTAGAATGGCAAGGTACAAGCATTGTAAGGGTTCAAATGGACAGAAGAGAAAAGGGATTACAACTTAGCTACCATATTGTGTGCTTTAATTGGAATTGACAAATATATACTGGTTTATAAACGATTCCAAGCGCATATGTACAGTGTATCTGGTCTATCTATAGTTTGCTTTGTCTTGTCTTACTGAAAAAGTCAAAGATATCCTGGCCCATGAATGACTTTACCTGCGCCGGCTGCTTTGCGAATTCTTGGAATTCCGTATCTTCTGCTTGCCACGACGGGAGGTGCTGCACGATCCAGGATGCTGCTGCGTCTGCACACAACTTTGGATTTTCCATGGGGATCAAGTGGCCGTACTCCTCGCCGACGACCTGCTTTACTTTGCCAACGGTAACACCGCCACTACCACCTATACCTGTGCCAGTATGGAAGACCTTTTTATTTCGTGATGCTCTGTTGCCAATATTCGATTGACCACCAAATATGTAGAGAACTGTCGGCCGCACGCGGGGCAGATGGTCCCAAGTGGTCGAGCTCTCCGGTCTATACACAGGCCAAGAGATCTGAGTCTGCGGGTGATTGGGGTCTGCGTCAGGAATCCGTCGTGGATCAATGATTTTGGAACCGTCGGCGTTGAATGCTTTGCTGGAGGATCGAACAAAGGTGCGGACTTCTTGGTGTTTGGAGGTTGTTAATGCAACCTTGCCGTCTTGTGTATCTGTCAGACCATATTCAAGCCAGAGCTGCAGAGCGCGGGGGTCCCAGGACTGGTAAAAGGCGTTCTTGCTAAATGACTTTTCGGCCTCCACTCTTGATGGCCAGGTGTCGCGACGAAACACGCTCATGGCGACAGGACTCCGCTTGTTTACGAGGGTTCCAGCGCTGGGTCCATTGATGACCTCAATGACAGGATCCAGCAGGATAATGGATGTGAAGAGTCGCGGGTTCATAAGCGATGTGTTGACGAGGGCGGCGCCGCCAAAGGAATGGCCTACGGCCACAAGAGGCTGTGGGAGGCGGAGGGCGCCGATGACTTGGTAGATGTCTCTTGAGTAGTCGAGCCAGCTGGCTAAACGAGGGATGGGTTAGCAATTGGGTGGAGTCTGGGATAATTTATTTTGTATAGCTTACGGTCGTTTCCGAGCTTGCCGCTGTTAAGCAGGCCGCTCTGTCCCTGCCACGCTGCGTCAATGGTGCAAATGGATCGGATGTGGACGCCGCCTTGCTTGAGTTGGTGGTAGAGGTCAGACCAGAGAGGCTCATACATTTCCTACGACGGACAGTTTTAGTAAATGAAGGGTAAATGGGGTTGGCGCACGCATTGGCGGTACCTTAGGGAAGCCATTGGCATGGGCGCCGATGACGGTGATGTCGCCCTTTTGCGGATGAGGATTGTCGATGGGAGTGTACTGCTTGACGTGCAGCGAGAGGATGTCTTCTTGCGAGTTGGCCGTCGCGCAGGCGTATTCGCGCATATGAGCTCCGTCGAGGATATGCTCCTGGATATGAAACGGAAACGCCATGGTTGTGTGGCTATGGGAGGTGAAGCTTGATGGATGGACGGATGGGTGATGCGGCGGCGGATAGTCTCTGGTGCGAGGAGTGCCGGAAGGGAATTATTTGGTGATAAAAATATACGTATAGAAAATGAGCCTTTCAAGAGCACTATGCAAAAGGAAATTAAAGCAATTGAAAAGAAAAGAAAGACATCAAAAATGGGTATACGAGATTCGGTGATGAAGGAGAAGTGGCGTTGGTGGGAATGCTGTTTAACCTCGGATGCATTTCCCAAGTCGGCTCCCACAGGCTGCATCAGGCTGCGTGGGGCGAGGCTGCCTTGTGGGTGGTGGGCGCTGAGTGGTTTGTGTTACAGCGGGTTCGTCCACTGTAGTGCAACCCACTAAAATTGAAGCGTGGGGGTTAGCCCGGCATTCTGGTTAGCGTGTGCAGCATCGTGAACCGTCACACCAGCATCACCACGGCTTCACCTTTCATCGTCATAGGTTTCAACACGTTTCTCACTCCCAGCTTGCTTCTAAAGAATCTCTTTGGTCAAAATACAATGGAGTAGAGCAATTACTATAGCCGATTAAAAGGCGCGGCTAATAAAATGCCAAAGATTGTGCTTATCGTCGGCGCTCCAAATGCATCTACTTTCACGCACGACTCTTTGATCAATACAACCTTTCATCCCGAGTTTACAAGTCTGTTGCATCTTGAGGGAGACCATGATAACAATACAGCGAGTAAAAGCGCCGGTATACCGCATGCTCTCTGGAGATCTCTGCCTCTTCACCACCAGCCACTGCATACTGGACTCTCGCCGATACATCACGATATACACACCCTGACACAGACAAACGAATTTCTTACAACTACCAATCTATCCTTTACTGAAGAGTCTGAAAACCCCGATAGCCAGATTGAAACGCAAGAAGAGCTCCTGACGCAGTTTTGTGAACAATCTCTTGCCATTCACAATTCGATATCCTCATCTCATCTCAACGCAGAGCCTAGCTTCCCTGACAGCCTTTCCACAGCCGCGACGCCACACTCGTCTTTCTATGGTACAATTCCACCACCGATTCCAAATGTTCCCGCGAATCTCTCCGACTTGGAAGATATTCCTGCGGCCCAGGACATTCTTGGCTACCACCCTCAAACCATTACTGTGAACCTCATTGCTGGCGTACTTTCAATCGCCCAGCCTCGTTCTGTCAAGACACGATGGGGAAATGAGCTATCTCTCATTGAAGTCTTGTTAGGCGATGAGACCAAGTCTGCATTCTCTGTCACTTTTTGGGTACCAACAGGTACTGCCTCGCAAAGCCAGGTAGGACAGCTCCGCCGGCAAGACGTCATTCTGTTGCAGAATGTTGGACTTCACGTATTCCGCAAGCGAGTCTACGGGCAAACTCTGCGGCGAGATATGACAAAGGTCGATCTACTATGGCGGCGAGATGGAAATAGCTACTATACGACAAAAAGTTTGAAAGCGGCCGCTCTCGCACACGGACCGAATGAACCCCAGATACAAAAGACAAAGAATGTCGTTGACTGGATGCTGCGATTTATTGGACCAGATCCCGTAGCAGTGAAGCGCCTTTCGCAGCGTGTATGGGATATGCCACCACCAGACACGCAATAAGTCACACCCAGTACTGTCGAGCAGTGGATTTAGATTGGAATTATGCAAGCCGGGGAAAGAATGTATTAAATACTGTATTAGCCTATATCCTAACTGAATGACACTTTTTATACATGGGTATCAAACAAGATCCCTCCGACGCCAGTGGCAACCTTTGTCCTTGTGTTTGACAGATTGGATTTCCTAAATCAGCGTTCCAAAGAATAGTAGGTTATAGCGACGGAGATTTAGTAGATCTTTCGTAGATCCCTCATATATGCGTTGAGCACGGTTGGGAGTACAAGCCCACGTCGCACGTCACCGATGTCCGATGCACCGCGGCTACGTGCATACCCGCCAGTGCCGCCAGTATAATACACGAGCCCCGACAGTAAGCCCCGACTCCTCGCACCAGCAGTTAAAGAGGATGTCAAAACGGTGATCGGCGGGATAGTGCCTCTTTATTAGAAGTGCCCTATTGATCTGTGGAATCATGGATACAACGCTACGCTTTGAGGCTGTTTCTGTTATCCTGTCGATACAACCTTGTGGGTTTGGGTGGCCACGAGTGGTCCGTATCGCAAATTCTTTTTATTCTACGCAAGAGTGAGAAACCTTCGTTTTCAACGTTTACAAGCGTCGATAAGGCTAATGGCTGTCATGCGTCCTTGACTTAGCACAATGCGTATTAAACTGGTGGGACTTGATGGCGGGAATAACGCCGCGCTCTCACCAGGTGCACCACATGGCAGGCACTGCCCGCTCTGAATGAAGCCGCCAACATCTGTCGTCCACCGTAGAAATCTTGCCTTTAGTCACAACCGCATTTCTTATTTTTCTCATTCACCTTGTAGCTTTCCTTCGCCCATCACCTGACCTGACTATTTTTATTGTTAATCGATTTGTATTTTCCAAGGTAAGAGCCTCATGTGCCCCGCAAGCTCTCCAGCCAGTATTGTGCGCTGGCAACTGAGACATGCTCCCCAAGAACGCTGGTGTGGAAAATGTCTTGGGCGATCAGGGCTGTCGTTGCTATGCTCCGGAATTTGCGAAGATTTCGTGCTGTCCACGCTTTGACGATCACTTGGTTTCCTCTCGTCATCTCATCTGGCTGGAATTGTATACAAAGGATGATGGAGAGCCGTCGTCTTGTCCACTCTCTTCGTCTCCTTCATCACTGTTGCGATTCGCAATGCTCCAGCTGGCTGTGCTGCGTCGTCCCTCATGCTCGTCCTCTCACTCGTGCTATGGCTAACGGTGGCAGCCCAAGTATACGCTAGGCTCCCTAGAACCCACCTGCATCTCCATCTGCATCGGCTCCCGCGCCAGCCCACGCAACCTCCAACCGCAGCCGAACTTACCGACCATAAAGTTCCCCTCAGACGACATATTGGCCTGCACGAAGACGGTGTGCCGCGATTCCCAAACAGCACAGACCCTGGTGACCCGGTTGTCTACGATATCCATCTTCCGGCGACTGTGACTGTGCAGACCAAGGTTCTGGAAACAGGCACAGTACATATACTCCCCACTCTGCCTCAGATCACACCGCAGCGAGGCCAATTCCACCGCAAGCTCAATCTCTTTGGGCGACCTACTCAAACACCATTGCTTCCCATCCCGGTATTGAGTCCTATAAACCAGCCTCTTCCACCATTGAAACCCCATCCGACACCTCATCATCCGCCAAGGCCGCCCACCATGCCTTCTAGCGACATCTTTGCGGACCCGATAGGCACCAAAGCCCCGCCTCCGTCTATCCCATCCAGACCTGACCATCCCGTGCCCAAGACTGGTCTTATTTCAAACAGCCCTTTGCAGACAAACAAGTTCTACTCTAATTTCTTTCTGGGTGACCGATTGGGCACCACTTACACTTTCCCATACTCAGTTGCCTTCAATGGCGGTCGTGCCCCGAGCCACAGCTGGGGCATTGCGTGCAACCATGTCAACGCTAGACAGCGCGTGTTTGGGCCAAACAAGTACAACAACTCTTCTTCGTACTACCTAAACCCTGTTGGTATTCAATCCATGGTTATTTCCGCAAAGGAATTAGGAAACTCTACGACCATGACCATGGACAGCATCACCGCCTTCTCAGCCCGAGTCAATCTTGCTCGCGATGCCACATCTCCTCCAGCCATTTCTTTCCCATTGGTGCAAGGCATGGCTTACATAACCGCTCAGTATAATGGTGCAACTCCAGTGCTTGAGACGGGTGTATTTTTCAAGAATATGACTCGAATCACCCGTCAGCCAAAGGAAAATGTTGCCAAATACGTGTTTGTACTGGAAGATAACTCAACTTGGCGTCTGTACGCCTGGCGGACAAGAGGCGATGATCTGGAATTGAAGGTGACTAACAACGGCCGGGCTGAGGCTCAAGGTCCCTTTTATGGTATACTGCAAATCGCCAAGGATCCCGTCACAGATGGCTCCGAAAAGCTCTTGGATGACGGAGCTGGTGTGTATCCCGAAACCGTGCAGGTAACAGGCACAGCCAGTGGTTCTGTTGGAACCTACACCTTCCACTTTCAAAGGGCTGGTCACCAAGAAGGAAATCTGTACATGTATGCTCTGCCTCACCATGTGGCGTCTTTCAGCGGTGAGACGACGCAGCGAGTTCAAAAGATGCAGCTCGACACAACCACAAAAGGATGCGCAACACTTGTCAAAGGCAATGAATGGACTATGGAAGAGCGCAATATGCCAGTCGAAATGGGTTTCAACCCTTGGCACCCTGGCCGTGGCTCCGTAGGAAACCTCTCTGATCACGCCAAACAAACTATCCGAGCAGCTGCTCAGAGGGAGCTACAACAGAACATGATTCAGCATTCGAACCTGGATTCCATGTACTTTAGTGGCAAGGTGATTTCTATATAAGCGGTGTACTGGTGGATGGGTTTGCTAACATTGTATTCATATAGGCACTGGCCAAGTATGCCACTATCTTGTATGTCGTCCATGAGATGCTTGGGGATAAAGATATGGCACGCGCTTCCCTTGGCCAGCTCAAGGCAGCATGGGATATATTTGCTTCCAACAGGCAAAAGTACCCACTTGTTTACGAATGTAGGTTTTGATTGCACTGTAACTTGTTCGACCTAGAGTTGTGACTAACCTTATCTAGCTTCATGGGGTGGCATTATTTCTTCAGCCATGTACATTACAGGCAACGATGCTAGCGACTTTGGTTCTGGATACTACAATGACCATCACTTTCACTACGGCTACTTTTTGTTAGCTGGTGCTATGATTGCGTACATGGACCCCGACTGGCTTCCGGCGAACAAGGATTATCTCTTTGCTCTGGCAAGAGATTTCGCAAACCCAAGCGCAAAGGATCCTCTCTTCCCCATGTTTCGATCTTGGGACTTTTACCATGGACACAGCTGGGCCCATGGCTTATATGCCTCTGCCGATGGTAAAGACCAAGAATCCAGCTCCGAGGACATGATGCAAGCGTTTGGCTTGAAGATGCTGGGCAAAGTCAGCGGTGACTCCAACATGGAGGCTCGGTAAGCATAGAAGATGTTTTACCTGGCATACTGGTAGACTAACTGTTGACCAATAGCGCCAACCTACAACTGGCAATCATGGCCCGAAGCATGCCCATGTACTACCTCTACGATTCGGACAATAAGGTGCAGCCTTCCCAGTTCATCAACAACAAGGCAGCAGGCATTCTATTTGAAAACAAGATTGATCATGCGACCTATTTCTCGGCTGAGCTCAAGTGCATCCAGGGTATCCATATGCTCCCGCTGCTTCCGTCATCGCCGTACATTCGACAGGCAAAATTTGTCCGGGAAGAATGGGAGGCATTTTTTGACGGAAGAATGGATGACATCCGGGACGGCTGGAAATCGGTCATTTACGGCAACTATGCGACGATTGAGCCGCAAAAGGCATGGGTGTACTTTACTTCGCCAACCTTTGATCCGGCTTGGTTGGATGGCGGAGCGTCGCTGACTTGGTACATGGCATACGCAGCTGGTAAGTTTTTATCCTTTTATTTTCACATTATACGCATCTGGTAAAATGGAAAGCTAATTTTTTGGGGCGCAGCAATGGCAAATTTGTAAAATGTACGGTGGCTGCAACGGGATATAAAACAGGTGACGGTGGAAACAGCGGGAGAGGGGCTATGCTATGCATTTCCATGACTAGACAATAGTAGAATGATAGACACACATAGACGTATAGAATGCTATAGTTGGGTGAGATTGGCAATAAGACACATTTCTATTTTACCGGGACTGTGTCATGCAGATGGAGCAGTGTAGACAAGGCCAAGACATTTGATGCGCTGAGGCTGTGATTGGGCCAAGAAGGCAGACGGAGGTTGAATTTAAGTAGCGTCTTGGCAGGCAGTGAATCTCTGCGAGGGTAGTGAGGCTGAGCTTTTGTCGATTTGCGATCTAGAAGCGTATTCAACGGCGACGGAGCCTGGCGCAGCGCTGTAGTATTTTTAAGGTTGAGTGTTTGGATGCAGCCGTTTGCGGGCGCTTAATTGGGACTATGTCACAGGAAAGTGTAAATTGGGCAGCAGGCAAAAATATTTTGTCATTTTGTTTTTGTGAGCGCCGATCAGCATGAAACTGGCTCATGGAAACACAATTTCTTGTTGTTTTTGTTACAGTGCAGGAGGAACCGGCGCCACGGTGACTATTTTTTGGGAGGCCTCCGCATGCGGCTCTGCAGTCGTTACGGTGCGGTGTGTTGCTGTGTAATTACCATAGGGAGAGAGGAATCCAGTGCTGTTTGCTGGTGTGGTGGCGCCCTTGTGGCTGGAAAAGCCTGGAGGGAGCCAGCTAAAGTGTACTTACAGCGGGTGTTCTTGGCGCTGTTTGTAGAAGAAACACGCGGGACAGGGGACGAAAGGGCGGGGCCGCTAGTGCAGCACCTGTGGATTGATGTACAGTGCAGTAGCTCCCTCCAGCAGCCCAACGCAACCACAGGCGCATGCAGCTAAGCTAGCCTCCTGTAACTATAGCAGAGCGCAGCACCACGCAACACCACGCAGCACAGGAGAGTCCCCTGCAGCGCGTGCTTTCTCCCAAACGAAGCCTTAGCGCTCTCCTCGTGTTCAGCGCATGTCCGGTTCCAGACCATCCGTCGTCATCGAAACTCCGGCCTTGGCACTCCTTGCTGCTTAAGCTTTTTTTTCTTCCGGTTGGCACCTGGCTGGCACCTGGCAAAAAACTAGCCAAACGGAAAACGAACTTTAAGCTGCCTCTCACCCCTCATTTTTTTTTCTCTTTCCTTGTTTCTTTAAGCTTACCTACAAAAAACATCCTCTCTTTGTTGTCTTATCCCGCGACATTGCCAGTGTATTCCCGACTCATACAGCACCAGCCACACGCACGGCCGCCATCACCGTCCATTTACCCGGTTCACTCCTCAAACAGGAAATTCGGTCATCCCTTGCGACGCCGCCTGTAACCCTGAGCTACTGCACCACCATTACCACCTAAATAGCTAGCTTCTACCGTCGCCTTTTTTTCTCCTTGCTAGCGTTTCGAGACGACGAACCCTTCCATACACCACTCGCCGACGTCCCGAACTCCCCTACCAAGTCATGAGCGAAACCACCCCATTGCTACGTGATAGCGCGCACGCTCACCACGCCAATGGCCATCATACGCGCCAGCACGGTGGCTCGACCACGTTCCAGTTTCTTGCCGACTCGAGCTACACGCCTGGTAGAGACAGCAGCAACATCCTCGTTCGCGCTGCCGCAGAGATTTGGCATGTTACCAAGGTCACCGTCCTCAGCAGTTCGTCTACCACCACCACCCTTAAAAGGCAAGCTTTGCTAACTTGACATAGGCTATGTAAACTTCCTCCTCGTCATGGTCCCGTTGGGCATCGTTGCTGGCAGACTCGGCTGGAGCTCCACCGCCGTCTTCACCATCAACTTCTTTGCCATTATCCCTCTTGCCGCTGTCCTCTCCTTTGCTACTGAGGAAATCTCCATTCCCCTTGGCGAAACCATGGGCGGCCTGCTCAATGCCACCTTTGGCAACGCCGTCGAGCTGATTGTCAGCATCGTTGCGCTCAAGGATGGCCAGATTGAGGTTGTCCAGGCATCCATGCTCGGATCGATTCTGTCCAACCTGCTCCTTGTCATGGGAATGTGCTTCTTCTTCGGTGGCCTTGTCCATCGCGGCCGCAACGGCGAGGGAACCGAGCAAGTGTTTTCTGCTGCCATTGCCCAGACTACTTGCTCTCTAATGACCCTGTCTTCAGCCTCCCTCATCATCCCCGCAGCTGTAAGTAGCTTCCTTTTATCGTCCTTGAAACAATGTGACTAATTTGCTTCTCTAGCTGTATGGTGTCCTCGACCAAAGTGGCTCCAAGGGCAAGGCTGAGAGCATCCTCACCCTGTCCCGTGGCACCGCCATCATCCTGCTGGTGCTCTACGCCATGTACCTCTTCTTCCAGCTTCGAACCCACAGCAACCTTTTTGATGCCGAGAGCCAGAACGAAGAGGGAGAGGAAGAGGAAGAGGAGCGCGAAGAGGCCCACATGGGCCCTCTCGCTGCCGGCGTTGTCTTGGTTGTTGTTACTGTTCTGGTTGCCATTTGCGCCGACTACCTCGTCGGCAGCATCGATGACATCGTCGAGCAGGTGCACATTAGCAAGGCATTCATCGGTCTGATTCTCATCCCCATTGTCGGAAACGCTGCCGAGCACGTCACCGCCGTTGTTGTTGCCGTCCGCGACAAGATGGACCTCGCCATGAATGTCGCCATTGGCTCCTCCATCCAGATTGCTCTCGGTGTCACTCCCTTCCTCGTTATTGTCGGCTGGATCATTGATCAGCCCATGACTCTCCGCTTCGAGACCTGTAAGTCTAATACTCTCGCTTTTCCTGTTGTACTGGTGCTAACCTCATTTCTACAGTCCAAACTGTTGCCTTTTCCGTCTCCGTCCTCGTCGTTACGTACGTCGTCCAAGACGGCAAGTCCAACTACCTCGAGGGCGCCATGTGCCTCGGTCTCTACGCCATCATTGCTGTCGCCTTCTACAGCACCCCCAGCGATGCCGTCGACGTCGGCGGTATTGGCCCCCACGTTGTTTCTGCCGCAAAGGCAGCCATTCAGTCATCATGACAATCTTTCTTTCTTTTACTTTCGTAACTTCTAGTGTCTTGGCGTTTCCTGGAGTTTACCGGTGGTCTTTTGTTTCCTTATTCTTTTTTGTATGAATAGTCGAAGTTGAAAACGAATATGTCACTGAACACAATATCCAAAATACCCACAAGGTTCAATACAATTCATTACCATAATTTCACATTTTCCGTATCCGTATTGAAGAAAATCGTCTTAGCACATGTATATTTTCTATATTCAAGATTAAATAAAAACGCAAAACAAAACTCCGATGCCATGACATGAAACTTTTATCATATTTACAACCACACACTTGTACTTTACCCATGCACGTAAAAACTCCCAATTTATCGAGAAGGCTTCGCCATTGCCGTAATGACACCCTGCTTGATAATAACCCGCGGCTTCGTGTTCTCCTGGAACGTCTCTTTGGTCATCCATTCAGAGCCCACAGGAAGACGCAGCGAGCGCTCATACTGCTCCACGGACTCGAACGGATGCGGCAGATGCGACGCCAGATAGGCGTCGTTCTTCTTGACGCGCTTCTCGCTGATAATCACCTTGTCGAGCTTGGCGTCCTTGCGGTCCTGCTTCTGCACGCCCTTGACCTTGGTCAGGAAGCGGCCTGTATGGCGCTTCTTCTCGCGGTTGCTGATGCCTTCGCCGACCCAGGAGCCCCAGCCGGGAATCGTGTTGTCGATGATCTGGTCGTCTTGCTCGTCGGCGAGTTCGGCTTTTTCACGCGCGAATTCCTCGTACACGTCGTCGCCGGCAAAGGCGCGCGCAATGAGAGATTGGTCCTTGATGGCCATGGGGTGGTTGATCTCGTCCTCGGAGTCAGAGTCGGAGTCGTCTTTGGTCTTGTTGGCTGTCTTAGTCTTGGGCTTAGCGCTGGGGTTGATGGCGTCTTCGAGGAGAATATTGGTGTTGAGGTCTACGGCCGTGGTGCGTGATGACTTGTTGGTCTTCTTGCGAGACTCGCCGCGCGACCAGGCGCCTGCAATCTCGTTGGTGGTTTCGGCGGGTGTGGACCAAGCGTTTGTGGGCTTTGCTGCGGTAGTCTTGGTCTTGATGATTACATCGTCGTCGTCGTCGACTGGTGCGTCTGCCATGTCGACATCGCGCTTTGACTGTCTTGAGGAAGTGTCCAGTGCGGGCGCGCGAATCTTGGCTTCGGCAGCCTTGCCGTACTGACGACGGCCGACTTCGCCCTTTTCCTCTTCGTCTGAGTCAACAGCCTGCTCGCCATCGAGGTCGCGACGGATCTCGTTGATGAGATCTGTGTTGGCCTTCTTACGAGCAGCCTCAGCCTTTTGCATAAACTTCATCTTCATCAACGCCGACTGGGGCTCGTCATCTTCCTGTTCAAGCTCGTCAAGTTGGCGGCGGAGGTCTTCGTCATCCTCATTGTCAGAGCCTGAACTGCTTGTATCGTCAGAATCAACTTCGCCAGTGTGACCCTCTTTGCGGCGGCGCAGCTCTTCATCCATGCGAGCCATCTCCGTGAGGCCAGTGCGGTAGTCTTCGTCCCAGACGGCGCGCTTGGCCTTGTTGCCGAGCTTAGCCCACTTGCTTTCACGATGGCGCTGGCCAACACGCTCAAGCGCACGACGGCGGTCTTGGTCTTGACGCTCCTGCTCAGAATCAATCTCGCCGGCGTCCTCAAGGGCTTCGCGCATGGCAGCATCGTCCCTCTCCTGCTCCTTTCTGTGTACTCGGTGGTATGCCTTGCTCTTAATCTTCTTAATGCGGCGCTGCTTCTTGGCTTCTCTAGCATTCAGTTCGCGCTGAAGACGTCGGCGGTTGATGATTTCTCGCTTCGAAAGCTCGTTGCCGTCTTCGTCGTACTCTACTTTTTGCTCTTTCTTCTTGGGTTCCATTGAAATGCCGCTTAGCTCCATGATGGACATGATAGTGGACTCGAGCTCGTTGGCAGGCTTCTCAGTGCTGAGCAGCTGGATCTCGTTCTTATCCATGCCAGCGGATGCCGAGTTCTCAGGCAACGGGAAGACGAGGTGCTCTGCGCGGCGGTTCTGCTTGACAGTATCCGTCCATCGCTCGAGAGTCTCATTCGTCTTGTCGTATGCTACTGTGCGATCCAGGCGGCCTTGTTCTCTCCTTGATAGCGGTACATCCAGCTTTTGGCCAGCACCAGGTCTCTTCTCTTTGTCCTCTTTGTTCATGAGCTTGACAGACTTCTTCATAAAGGCATCGTCAAGTCCGGAAAGACCAAGATCGCCTAGGCTAATCTTTTGCTTCGTTGTAGTCTTGGGCTTCGCATCCTTGGCGTCACCAGCGTAGTTGGAGATGACGCCCTCGAGCGCATCAATCTTATCGGGGTCGTCGTAGTCTTCATCGTCCTCATCCTCATCCTCCTCGCTGTCGTCTTCGTCGTCTTCATCTTCCGAATCGTCTTCGTCAGATCCTTCTTCGAGATCAGAGTCTGATTCCGCTTGTTGCTGGGGTTGCTCCTCTTCAGATTCTTCTTCAAATTGGTCGAGCGCTGTGGCCAGGTCAATCGCCTCTTCGCCTAGCGTTTCGCCTTCATCGTCGTTGGAATCATCCTCATCCTCGTCATCGTCCTCATCGCGCGACGGCTTCGACTTTGTGCCTCGGAAAGAGTAGCCCTGGAATCGCTCGTTGTCGCTCTCGCCAAAGGCATCGTCACTTTCAATCTCAGAGTCTTCGTCATCCTCGGCCATGCCACCTAGCTGCCACTCATTTCCCTCGCTATCGCTGCCAAATTCAGCATCATCGGTAGCGGGGCGAGCAGGGCGCTTGATTTTCTTTCTGCTAGGTCCGTCCTCATCTTCGTCGTCTTCGTCGTCCTCGTCCTCGTCGTCGCGAGCATGCTTTCTCTCGACTTCGGCATCGAGTTCTCTGGCTCTCGGGGTCTTGCGAATCTTGGTGGGATATTGTTTCTCAGCAATGCCGTACGCATCCAAAGCCTTCTTTTGCAACTTGGCTGTCGTCTTCTTTTGCGTTCTGGCTTTTGGGGCGGCAATGAGCGGCCGCCCGTGGGCTTGTCTTCCAGGCATTTTGTTTTGTACAAGCACACTATGTCCGTCTTTGCTTTGCGTGCCGGGTACACAAAGCAAGGCTGGTCCTGTGTTTTTTTTTAAAGGTGTACTTGGTTGGCTGGTATATTCAGAAAATTGCCTAACAGCTGCTACTAAGTAATTTTTCTGCCGCTTAAAATTTTGGCGGTGAGGTCCTCGCACCTGGTGGGCACTTGGTGGGGGCCGGCCTCTCCCCGTGCACCCCGAAGGCCGACCTATCAAAGCCACGCCATTTATAGCGGCCCTCGCCCATTTCGCGACGCTCTGTAAAACGCTTGGCCACTGCAACTTCTCAAGGGGCAATCGCCAAAACCGCCCAAGATGACGCCGCTGGGCTCTGTTTTCCGACGAATTGCGATCCGCGCACCGTCGCAATTCTTTGTCTGCAACCAATGCCTCCGTCCGCAGTCCCGAATTCTCAAAACCCTCCAGCAGGCGCGCCGCTACTCCGACAAGCCCGCCGCCGCAACAATCTCCAACATTGCTGAGCAAGCTGCTACAAAGGCCGCCACGTCCAATGCACAGGCTTTCAAGGGCTTCCCGAAAACTACATCCAAGGCCGTTGCCTACTGGCTGCTCGGCAGCGCTGCCAGTGTCTTTGGCATTGTCGTCTGGGGCGGCTTGACCAGACTCACAGAATCAGGGTACGCCCGCTGCTCGGCTCTCGGCCTCCACAGCAAGTTAGCTAACATTGTCCACTTAATAGATTGAGTATCACCGAATGGAAGCCCGTTACTGGATCGCTGCCTCCCCGATCTCAGGAGGACTGGGAATCCGAATTCGAAAAGTACCGAGCGTCGCCCGAGTTCAAGATCCTCAACCCCAACATGGACCTCGAAGAGTTCAAGAAGATTTACTTTATGGAATGGAGCCACCGTGTATGGGGCCGCTTCATTGGTGTCTCTTTTGTCCTCCCTACAATCTACTTTATTGCTCGCCGCCGCGTGACGCCCAAGATGGCGCTGAACCTCGTCGGCATCTCGGCCCTCATCGGCTTCCAAGGCTTCATTGGCTGGTGGATGGTCAAGTCTGGTCTCAAGGATGACCTCTTTGCACCTGGTTCTCATCCCCGTGTCTCCCAGTACCGTCTTACTGCTCACTTGGGCACCGCCTTTGTCTGCTACTCCTGGATGTTGCTGTCTGCCATTTCCATCCTGCGTGCCCGCCGCATGGCTCTGGACCCTAAAGCTGCGCTCAGCATCGTAGCCGCGTTAAGGAACCCTGCCATCAACGCCTTCCGCCGCTCTGCATTTGCCGTAGCAGCTCTAGTCTTTGTCACGGCCATGTCGGGCGCCCTGGTGGCTGGCTTAGACGCTGGCCTCATTTACAACGAATTCCCCAACATGGGTAAGGGACTCTTCCCCCCTGCCTCTGAGCTTTGGGACAAGTTTTACTCCCGCAAGGAGGACAAGTCGGATCTGTACTGGCGCAACGCTTTCGAAAACCCCAGCCATGTGCAAATGGACCACCGCATCCTCGCTGTTTCCACATTCTGTGCCATCCTTGCTCTCTTCGCCTACTCTCGTACTGGCAAGGTTGCCGCAGCGCTGCCAAAGAACGCAAAGAAGGGTGCCATGGGTTTGGTCCATCTGGTGTCTCTGCAGGTTGCACTGGGAATTTCCACTCTCATTTACATGGTTCCTATCCCTCTCGCGGCTGCTCATCAAGCCGGTAGCTTGGCAGTATTGACTGGAGCCCTTGTTCTGGCTCATCGTCTTCATGTTCCCAAGTCGACTGTCCGCGCACTGGAACAAAAGGTCAAGCAGCTCAACAAGTAATCACTGCTCAGACCAAAACAAGTTGTATCACTATGCCCATTCGGCAAATCATTCCTGTAACAATAGTTGTTCATTATACAAAAGCAATATCCACTCAAAATACATAGAGGCGCCAAACCCAGTACATGGCGCCGTGTTGATGCCAGTAATAGTGATGTTCACACCCTTCGTCCCGTGTCATGATACAAGCTACCAGGACTAATTACATTCGCCTCATTCTTCTAACCCCTAACTCGCCCAGTCACCGTATAAGATGGAGCGTTCATTATACAAAAAGAAATTACAATGTCGATATCGTGTTGTGGAAACATTATCATCGTGTTTCCCATAAAATGTCGTAAAGAAAAAAAAGATGTCGCTTTTTGCGTGTACGCCAGCAAATGCTAGCTTCATAGTGCGAGTGGTGGTCATTATGCATGACTAGATTGAACCTCGCCAGGAACCCTATTCCATGTACATGTTCATATCCTGCATTGGGTTGCCTTGCATGGCTAGATTCATGTTCGGCATAGATCGACTCATGGAAATGGAGGGATCTCCAATGACATTAGTGGTGTTGGGCATCATATAGTGTATATCGTGTGTTCCCTGTTGGAGAGGTCCACGCGCTCTCGGAACATTTAGTGAGTCTTGGTCTTGTATGGCCATCTGGGGGTGTCGAACTGGAGTTGTGTCCATCATAACGAAGCCGTCGTCATCCATTTCGGCATCGGCGTCTTGGTCACTGGGGTTCTCTGCCTCCCCGTCGGCGTCCTCAACCTCAGCGTCCTCCTCTTCCTCATCCTCTTCTTCCTCCTCTTCTTCCATTTCATTCTCATCTTCCTCTTCTTCTTCCGCAATAGAGGGTTCTGCAGTGCCCGTAACCGAGATGCTGTTTTCTTCGCTCAGCTGCTCACTGGTACTGGCTACCGAGCGTCGCTGTTGAGGCTGACTTTGAGATTGCTGTTCGTTGGAGGCTTCCGCCGCAGGTCGCTGGACGGCTGTCGATTTCGCTTTCTTGGCCCCTCGTGCTCGTTTTGATGTAGCAGTGGTGTTTTTCGGAGGGGCTTGGTTGCCGTCAGATGAGTCCAAGGGCCTTTGAGCCTTTAAGCCTCCAGCATTCGCCCTAGTTGTTATGATGACGTTCTTCCATCTGGAAATAACCTTGGTGACAATAGTGCTCAAATCCACATGTCTATCTTCAACATCATAGCCCAGTGTCTTGCGCGACTCTGTAGCTGAGGCAATGGCATAGTTCGCAAGTTCTCGATCGATAGGATACGTTGTTGGAGGGAGTAGCTTAAACTCGCGAGGCTGCTGCAGTCGGTTGAGCTGGTCAATCTGTGTCTTCAAGTTGTTAACCTCTTGTTGGAGGAGATGCCTCTCCTTCTTCAGCTTCTCGGCTTCAGTTTGTCGGCGTCCCACACTACGCGCTAGCTCTAGCACCCAGAGCTCGCTGCGTCGATGGGCAGGTAATTCCTGCCAAACGGTGAAGGCAGACTTGAGATGCTCTTTAACTTGTTTCTCCATAGCATCAGTTGCCTCCTCAGCTCTTTTCACAGCATCTCGTACATTGCCTATAGGGGCCGAAGCTTGTGGAGGATATGTGAGCTCTTCAGTAACATGAGTAGTCGCAATTGAGCAGGTGACCTTCCATTTCTTGAATTCTTCTGTAAAAAACGCGTCTAGTGCCCGGTGTTCACGTATTCCAGGGTATCCAACAGCCCATGATGTGGGTGTGGGGTGCTGAGTAGACGAGTAGAGGGTGGGTGGCGGCCTGAGACATTGCAGAGTCAAGGAAGGGAAGTCGAGCGACAAGGGGTCGAAGTCAAACGGGGTAGAGTTGTTGTCGAAATGTTGCCTAAATTTAGATACATGTTAGATGTCTCGCCCAATTGATCAGCTGCAAGGAAGGCCTGGTATATCACCACTTACTTGGCAGATCGCCATGAGCTTATGAACTCACGCAGGGCGAGTTCAGCGGCCCTTGCGGTATCCAGAGCATCGGCAAGCTTCTGCTTGGCGTCGAATTGGGCCTTTTGCATCATTTGTCTGCTGGCCGTTCGCTGTGCTGCTGGCCGCGACTTCGCATTACCAGCATCGGATGCTGGGGTCTCAGCTTCCCAGGGCGACTTGGGCGGTATATCGTTCATGACACCTGTTGCCTCCCATCGCGACGCAAAAGGAAACTTGCTCAATGTAGAATCGACGGCATATTGTCCATCTTTGGGAAGCGTCGACTTGGGAGGCTGTTCCGGTTCTTTTGTTGTCGGCGTGTCCTGGGGGACGGGGGCAGAGACGGAGGGGCGAGGGGTCCGAACCGGGGTGCTAACTTCTCGTTGAGGGGCACCCATTGAGGTGCGGACTTGTCGCCGGGTGATATTTCCTCGAAGTTTTCGAATAGATTCGACATCGTGGATGCCATCCGGTGCCTTGGGGTTCTTTTCTCGAATGTAAAGGTCGAGATGTCGGCCGAGCGACGACGATGTAAAGGCTTGGCCACAGTACGGGCAATTCTTGTCCTTTGTAGCACCGGATTTGGGCGTACTGATTTCAGACGCCTGGGAATTCTGGTCTTCCATCCTACACAAGAATCTTGTGGCCAGCTAATGGCGCGTGCCGATGGCGGAATGGCAGGGTAGGCAGCTGTATTCGTTGAATCAGGGCTCGGTGTTGGGGCCGTGTGTAGACGCTCCTTTACAGCACAGTCTGTCTTTAATAGGCTCGGAAACAAGACGCAGGCATTGAAGCAGGAGACGGGCTGCAGGTATGCGGCAATCGAACTGCAGAGGGTTATCGAATGAGCGTGGGGGAGAGCGGCAACGAGGGTTTGTGGAGGGGTGAGGCGGAACAAAGCGCTGGGCAAGGTACAGCTTATAGTGAGTGTGAGTTGCGGGAAACGGAGAGACGGGGAAAAGAGTGAGAGGCGTCTGGCAACGTCGAATTGAAGAGAAAGGAAACAAAAGGAGTAGAAGCAAAGATGCAAGCCGAAGGATGCGGACGACAAGCAGCTATTATTTTTTTGGCCCGCTGCCCTTCCCTTGCTGCTGGTACCTCCTGGCAATAGCCTCCGGTTCAGGGGTGGACCTCTCCAGGACCGTTCCTTTACAGGCGCTACGCTAGCCTGATCCCCGCTTCTGCGCACCGCCGACAACCAACACCCACTAAAAACCACTGCGCTAACACAGATGGTCGTGTGGTGGGATCGGCCAGGTCCCGACCGCTGGGAAACATTGCGTGCGGCGCTTGGACGGGCCACTACAAGTAACTTAACAGGAGTTCCATGCTCTTGCTACGAGGCCTGTCCTGTTTGCGGGAGCGTCATGCAGGTTTGATAATGGGCGGCCTGGCGCTGCAACAACAAGGACGGGCTAGCCACAGAGGCCGCAGATGCATCTCCGCCAACACAGAGCAGCGCCGTCATAGTTGAAGCCCGTTCAACACCAGCTTCCCCATTGGAAACCCACGGCAGGCTCCAATCAGGTCCACATGGGGCAGACCTCGCTCGTACCATGCACCACCCTTGCTACGGCGCGGTGGGTGGTGTCAGTCCGCTGCAGCTGTTGGACGCTGCCCCTTAGCTAGCGTAGCCCAGCAGTTGTTCTTCTTCCATTTAGCTCCGAGCAAGATCCAAGGGCCCTATTCGATGCTGTAGCACAAAAAGTGGCTCGGCGGTCGTAAAAACGGTATCGTCGCCGAGCCTCTGATCCAAACACGGTGCGACAGCAGCAGCAACAGTGGACGATAACGCGACCTATAAGCGCAACCTGCAGCGTACAATCTGCGGCCTGTCTCGGTGCTGGCAGCAGCAGCAGCAGCAACATCTCTGGAAGAAACAACTGAAGGTCATGAATGTACAGGACTGGGTCGCAGAAACTAGCGACCCCAAAGACAAACATGGGCAGAGGCTCAAAGCGGCGCTGTGGCTATCGGTGCAGCCTCGACACCAGCCTCATGGCGCCCAAGCTTTACGCTTAGCTGCTTCTTTGTGTAATTACCTCTGCATATACGTGCAGCTTCCTGCAGCACGACCGCAGCGATAGCCAGGGTTGGTAAAATACGGATCACCAAAGAGGAATCTTATTTGTCCAAGAAAAGGTGGTTTACCACTTGCTCAGAGTCAGTATTGATCCCCTTCGGGCATTACAGTCTCCCCAATTCGAACAGAGTGGCTGCCCTGTGGGCAGTGGGCATGATTGGTCCAGAATTGCGCTATACAGCCCCCGGTGCTATTATAAAAGCTAGGAGATATATAGCCAGTCTTTTGCCCCGATGCTCACACCAATCCTTTAACATGGCCGACCCGCCTGTAGCCGGCATAGCAAAGAAGGAAAACGGCAGTCGTTGAACCTCCTGACTTTCACCATGCTCCGTCTACGGTAGACTAGGCAGGGGAAGAAGCTTCGCGGCTTGACCCAATTCGGCTTACTCAGAGATAGTTCGCCGTCTTTTCGAGCCGGATTCAGCATTGCAGGCATATTCCAAGACTCGTCTGCTCGGATGGAGAATTCGCAGGCAGAAATCGGAGCTTGCTCAAGGGCGGTATCCATGTAGTTGATGACGAAGGTGAAACACGAGTAATTTCTTCATTGCTACGATACCGTAAACGGCTTCTCAGCAAAGAGCTTTTGATCCACATAGCCGCACAAGCCAATGCGACGCCAGGTACCAAAGCGTTTACAAGATCCCTGAAAGGAAGCCCGTCTAAAAGCGGGCTCTGTGCTGGAGCCCACCAACAAGCGCCGAGGTGAGCTGGCATCGTGCCCCTTAACATCTGCAGGAACGTGCATGCGATTTAATATTGCAAGTATGACGTGGAAAATATGCTAAAGGTAACGGCTCGCTTTCGGGAAATTTGCATTACAAATGTGTAAGCTCTAGCTTGTGTCCTGGTAGTAGCTGCTGTCGACCTAAGTTCTGGAAGCGAGCAAGAAGCCGGTGATGCGGTACTTGGTAGAGCTTGTCAGCCACAGCGATTCTCCACTGCTGTTTTTGGTAGGTATATTCATATATGTCTCAGTTCAACAGTGTATGCTCTTTGTCATGAGTCGTCGGTAATGCTTAGGCTGCATGAGATTGCCGAAAGATGACGGAGAGGTGGCACATCAGGTGATAAGAAGTAGCTGCACACTCGTTATGCCACAATCTCGGTAGCGTCTTTGGCAACATGCACTGATAGTTGGAACGCCTCAATTTATAACCTCGTATATGGATTCGATGCTGACCTGGTCCGTGGTGTCGGTATTGGCTCCTTTAAGTTGGTGGTTGTGGAGGGGAGCTTAGCGGAAAGCGGGCCAAGTACACCACGAAGCTAAACAGTATGCGATTGGTTAAATTTTATGACATTTTGCAGTGATGAAATAGGCATTGAAGGGGCTCTGAAAGTGAATACTCTTCTTTTGCTAATCTTTCATCGAAACCTGGCAGGCTGCAAACAGGCCGATTTGTTTACAGAGACGCAAGTAAAGCTGCGCCGGGCGGGTCACGTGGGCGACCTCACTTCACCATGACGTGACCAAACGCGCTTAGGCGAACGCTTCGCGCCAGCCCAACCTCACATGAAAAGTCACTGAGCATCCAAAGAATGCCTGCCTGTATGTGTTATCCTATGAGTGCAATGGTTTTAAATGATATTATTAGAGCGATTTCTAACTGTTCCGTAGCGTCGAATGATGACTCTGGCTCGGACGCCGAGAAGAGCATTGCTCAGCGTAGGTCTCAAGCCGAGAATGGATCAGAATCTAAGGGCAAGCAACGAGGCAGGCCCAAGCGTCAGTCTGCTGTAAAGCCTGCTACGCCGCCACCTGTGGAGGACGAAGAAGAGGAGGAAGGGGAAGGAGAAGGGGATGAGGACGATGAAGACATGGACGAGGATGTGTATGAAGACCATCAAGACCGCTCACTGAATACTGTGTTTGCTAACATATCACTAGGTTCATCGTCGAGAGTATCCTTGACCACATGGTGGACGAAGACGTAAGTGACTGGTTTGGAGATATAATTCACTTAGGAAAAGGAACGGGCTAACAGTGCGCGCAGAGAACCGTCAAGTTTAAAGTGAAGTGGGAGGGTTGGGACAATGAGGAGGATCTAACATGGGAGCCTGAGGAAAATCTATCGTGAGTATCAACACTTGGTGGCCAACGAGCTACGGCTAATTGGACTTGTCTAACAAACAGTGGTAGTGCGAACGAAGTTTTAGAGAAATATCTCGCCGGCATTGGAGGAATAGAAGCCATCATGAAACAGACCAAAGCTGTCAAGGGCAAGAAGCGAGGCCGTCCGTCGGCTGCAAAGAAGGACATTGAGGCATCACCACCTCCAGCAACCAAGCGCTCCCGTCGCGAGGCGCATCCTGCTGCATCCACACCGCCTGCTGCCGCCAAGAAGTGGATGCCGCCCACAGGCTCATGGGAAGACGAAATCGACACCATTGACGCACAGCAGGACACTGGCTCGGGTAAGCTCGTGGTCTACCTGACGTGGAAGAATGGCCAAAAGACGAGGCACGACACCAGTGTGATTTACAAAAAGTGCCCTCAAATGGTACGTCTGATGACTGACTCCCTGGTATCACCACTGCTAACATTGATGTGCAGATGCTAAGGTATTACGAACGACACATACGAGTGGTCCACGCCGAGGAATAGGTTTAAGCATGAGGTTAAGGGTTTAATACCAGGGCGTTGAGGGATATCATTTGTTTTCTTTCTTTGATTTACTGGACAAGTTTTGGGCTACGATTTTGTTCTTCCGAGCTAGCCAAGGCGACTTACTGGTTGCCACTATTGTATAAGTGATGGCACAAACGGGGAGGGGGAAGCAGGCGTATGCATGCATGATTGCGCTGCAGCGACACAATACATTGTAAATATACTCTAATCACAGCCTGTGATTCATGCATACAAATCTACCCATCTGCAAGACTAATACGCCCCTTATTTCTTATTTTCACTTGTTTTTCCTCATCGCTGCGCACGCCAGCCTTTTTCAGCCCAGCCCAGCAGGCGTTTTCCTGGTACCTGAAATCGTCCAGTGAGCCAATCACAGCGCCGCCCAACCACGTTTCCAGGAGGCTGGGGAAGAGCCCGGCGCCCCACCCCGCCAGGGGCCGAGAAAGCTTTTTAGTGGATCGCCACAGCGGTGCTTCCAGCGGTTCAGGGCCTGTTTTTAGCACCGCCAGTGCCTCGCGTCAGTGGGAAAGGGTCCCCTGCGCAGGCCGCGTCCCGACACCCAGCCTTGCGATTTTGCCCGCAGAAAAAAAAAGGTGGCGGGGCAACGCCTTTGTTTGTATATGAAGCTGTCACCGGCTGGTTTTCCCACCAAGCAGCCCATCTATCTGCATTCCATCCAAAAGACAAATCTATTCTCATTTTTCCATCGTCAAATAGTCTGCTATACTCTCTGCTTCCACACTAAGAGAATTTGCATTCCTGCTCAACGGCCGATCTAAGACAACCCTCGATCCGCTTCTAGTCGACCCCGCCGTCGCCCAAAACACCATCGCCAGAGGAACAGCACAGTCGAGTCTACACTGCTGCTATTGCTGCCACTGTATCTCTATTGGCAATTCTACATTAGACGGGTCCCATCTTTTCACCCCTCCCTCACACAACAACACATACACCGACATTCACCATGGGTATCCAAGGGAACCAAGTCATTGCCGTCATCATCATCGTCCTCTTTGTTGTACTGGCTGGCATCTCCTTCGGCATCTGGCATCTAGTACACATGGTCCGCGGCAGCTACGGCTCAACTACAAGCTCCAGCAGAAGCACCGGCACCACCGCCGAGATAGTAGATTGATCGGGTCGGCCGCGCACGCTTGCCTCCAAGCTCAGCTGTCTGGCGAGCCGCTCCGCAGAGAGCGGGCAAAGCACCGTGTGCCGACCCAATCTAGGCGACTATCTGCACTGTCGCCGTGCTATTTTGATTCGATGCATTTGAAGCGATTTCACACAATTTTCTTGTTTTATTACGACGGCAGATATAAAAAGCGGAGGAGGAAACAGCGCTGCTCATGGATGAGGGTGCATGTAATGCAATGACGACATTTTCAGCTGCATATGATTTTTAGCATTTATGCTTTCTTGCCCGGAGAGCATTGTACCCGGTTTGAGATATACTCTTGGGCCCCCTTGGCCATGATTCGATTGGAATTTTCATGTCACGAAAGACACGCAGAATGATTACATGGAGGAAGAAGCATGGTCGACATGCTCTGCTTTTGCACATAATGAGAAGGGAACATTTGGAGTTTATATAGAGGGTAATATATTTCACAATGTGTACATTTGTCACATTTGGCCACGCATATACTACAAGCTCGTCAACTTTGCTCGCGCACACTCTAGTCTTTTCATGGTTTATCTTGTCAGAAGGCATAGGCTACATCTAAGTAGCCTTCTGAAGCAGAGTGAATACTCTTACAGGCCAATGGGGATGGCAATAGTCTGGCCTGCACCGCCTGCACCGCCTGCGCCGCCTGCGCCGCCTGCACCACCAGCGTTGCCCAGAAGGGCAGTGAGCTGATCGATGATGGCTTGGGCATTGCCAGCGTTGGCTCCGTTAGCACCGTTGCCTGCGGCATTCTGTATTGAGTTAGCTTGCTGATAGCACTTGAAGTTGGAGGTTGTAGAAAGACTTACACCACCCTGGAGGCCAGCAATGAGGCCAAGGAGATCGTTGAGCTGCTGCTGCTGGTTGCCATTCTGGCCGTTCTGGCCATTTTGTCCCTTGTTGGCGTCCTTGTTACCGTTCTGGCCGTTTTGACCATTGTTATTGTTGTTTCCCTTGTTGGCATCCTTGTTACCGTTCTGACCCTCTTTGCCCTTGTTTGCGTCCTGACCATTGTTACCGTTTTGTCCTTTGTTGGCATCCTTGTTGGCATCAGCACCCTTCTTGCCCTCGTTGCCCTTGTTGGCATCTTTGTTGGCATCCTTGTTGGCGTCTTTGCCCTTGTTGGCATCTTTGTTGGCATCCTTGTTGGCGTCTTTGCCCTTGTTGGCATCTTTGTTGGCGTCCTTGTTGGCGTCTTTGCCCTTGTTGGCGTCCTTGTTGGCGTCCTTGTTGGCATCTTTGCCCTTGTTGGCGTCCTTGTTGGCATCTTTGCCCTTGTTGGCGTCCTTGTTTCCTTCTTGTCCCTTGTTGGCATCCTTATTGCCGTTCTGACCCTCCTTGCCCTTGTTGGCACCTTCGTTCTTATTGCCATTCTTGTTGCCATCGGCCGGGTTAGCAACCTCGGTGCCGTTACCACGCTGGCCACCGTTGACGTTTCCACCCTTGTTCTTGTCGCCCTTCTTTTCGCCATTCTTCTTCTCACCGTTCTTCTTCTCACCGTTCTTCTTCTCGCCTTCCTTACCCTTGTTCTTGCCGTCTTCCACAGCAGTGCCGTTGCCACGAGCAGGCACAGCGACGACGGGGACTTGGGCTCCAGGGTTGGCAACAGGAGTGCCGACTGCAGGAGCTTGAGAAGCGGGAAGTGCCACAAGAATAGCTTGTAATAAATGTTAGCTAAATTCTAAGAAGAACTTGTAAAAGTCCATATATACTAACCACGCTCAGCAACGTTCTTGTCAGTAGGCGCAGCCGCGACCAGCGCAGCAGACGCAAAAATCATAGCAACGGAAGCAGTGACCTTCATTTTGAATAGAAAGGATTGGTATAATGTAAAAGAAAACAAGGAATGAATAGAAAAGGAATATAACACAATTTGCTACAGACTGGCTGCGCTAAAGAAGAAAAGACAAGAAGAAGATGGTGTAAGTGGGTTGGAGAGAAAGGGAAGCATAACCAGATTGTGAGGATGCACTGAGCCGTCTTTATACAAAACAAGTTTTTACCTGACCAAGACGACAATCCCATATGCACCCACGTAAACTCAGTGTCTCCAGTAAAGAAGAACGCATATGGCATAAACCCAGCCTGCCCGTAGGAACCAGTCGGTTCCTGCATGCCCGGCGTCAGCCAGGAGGCGCGAAGATCAGACAAGGCAAGACAGGTTCCGAGATGCTGCCATTCGCCAGGCTTCCGCTTGTGCATAGTTTAAGCCTCCCCATAAGCTCAAAGTACGCATAAGGTTTGAGAAAACAAAGGCGAGACATGGCGAAGCCACGCAGGCCTGGATTGCGATCGGCTCGCTGGTGTCGGGATACCCGCCTTCCTAATCCAGCAGTTTAGATTGACATCATCCCAAAGGCAAAACACGAGTAAAACTGCAAGTCATCCGTTGCGTGTAGCCCTGCATCGGCGATATTTCCAAGGCCTGCTGCAACTTACATGCAGCAAAAGGGGCGGCCGTTGTTGCCTCGATCGCCCCTCCTCCGGACAAGGGCCGAAAAAAAGGAGGTGACACGGACCAGAAAAGTAAAGACGCAAGAAATATAGCCAAGACGCCGGAGTGCATAGAACTTTTCTCCGGGTTTCAATGCCCTCTTGCTACATGCGGCTTCGGAACAGGCCCAGAGCCGGTCGGCAGGGGACGCTGCTGCGACACGGGGCGTCTCACGGCGTCTCAAGTCCTCGCGGGAGGCGATGCGTTGCTGGGTTTGTGTGGACGAACGCAAAGATACGCTGGAAACACGGCGAGGAAAACAACAATTGCTTGCTGAGGGATGATCAGAGCGTTCTGTTTCGTCAGCACGTCTAGAACGTCCATCAGTGGGCATCGTGGGGTTTGATAGACAGACATACGAGAGACGATCAGTATTCGAATTGATGACGATAATATGAATATTTTTCAATAGGCTATAGGAATCAAATAGAGTTTTGTCTTTCAAGAAGAAAGAATCGCGGGTCTAGAACAAAGAAGCCACACGGCGTCTCTATCTGAGATGAATGCTCGCTAAGTAATGCAAGTCTACGTGCAAGGTCATTATAATTGGGACGTTGGGGAGCAAATCCGATGCCCACACGTCTTTTCAACAAAAGGAAAATAGAAAAATCAAAAACCCCGCGCAATTGAAACAGGCCACAACGCCGGCTACCCCAGCCAAATCCACTTTGTATGTAAGCTTTCTTTACCAGCTCATCAGGCCCTTGCAACGGTCAAAGCCGCCTCGTAGCTGCGACTCTGGTTTCACGACCTTGCCCTTGAGAATGGTGTAGCGGACCAAATTCTCACAGTCTTCGGGCTTAACACGCGCCAGCCAGATGCACTGCGCCGCACCGAGCTCGCCGTCTGTCTTTTCGCTGTGGTGGCCGTTTGTTCCATTGGTTCCATTGGTTCCATTCGTGGTCCCATTAGTGCCATTTGTGGCGTCTGCCTGCTCGACCGGATCATCATGGCCAAAGGCATTCGGCCGTCTGTATATCATGACATTGGCAGAGTACTTGTGGCCGCCGACATGGTCGATAAAGTAGATGCCCACGCCGCCGGGGCGGTTGTCGTGCATATCGCGGTCGAGACCAAGCGGCCGCAGATGGCGCTGCATTTCTTTTCGCAGCAGCGGCGCACTCTGGCCGCAGCGGGCGTCGCGAGTCTTTTGACTGCACAACAGGACAATGACTCTATGCGGGCAGCTCTCGGTTGTGATGTCGGGGATGCCAGGCACCGCGCTGGGCACCGAGGCCGGCAGCGTAAAGTTGGCGACGGGCGATGTATTTGTCGGCGCAACATTGACAATCTCAGAGACAAACTGCGCAGCATTCGACGGCTGGACATTGCGCACGAGTGTAAAGGCCGGGAGAAGCAGGACGGTCGTGGGCTCGGAGTAGTCGGTTGTGTCGTTGGGGGTGCACATGTTGGATGCGGAAATCTTCATCTTCTACACAAAGTCGTTAGTCGTCATCGCATACAAACGGCATCGCAGCACTTACTCCATTGGTAGGCTTGTCAGCGCGGTCCAAGGCCTCCATGACACTGCCCTTTTCATCGGCCGAGTCGCGCACCCAATCGGTCTTGCCCGTGGCAATCAGGACATGCGTGCTCCATTCCTTGACGTTTCCGTAGAGAATGTCGTCCTCCTCAATCTTGAAGCCCCGCGGATACTTGACAGAGCAGCCCTCGCAATCGTGCAGGCAGTCGTCGCCGTCCTTGGCCGGGTCCGTCTTGGTAAAGAGGCTGAGCATGGGCGTCGGGCCAGACTCATCGCCCTTGCCCAGGACCGACGACATGAGAGAGCGGAACGAGACGGCCATCTTCTGCTTGATGGGCACGTGTGTCGGGACGTGTTGCTGCTTGTTGGCGGACGGAGCCATGGCTGCTGGGGGACTTTCGTGATTATAAATGACTTGCAAATGGGGACACAGTAATTTGCCAACAGAGCTGCGGAGCCTGTTTTCCGTTCCGAAGTACCGGCAGACGAGGGCGGCTACTGACGAAAAACTGTTGAAAAGTGGCACCACCTGGATGGCGGGCGGCTTATCAGATCCTTTTTTTTGGTGGGCGACAGGCACACACTGCAGGCGGGGTGGGCGGTCGAAGCACTGTAAATTGTAGCGCTACGGGACTTTGTTACAGCGGTTGGGGCGGCGGCGGTGGAGTTAAGAAAAAGATGTTTTTTGGAGAAGAAGAATCGTATGGACGCAGCGACCGGTCAGGTATTTATTTATTTTTGTGCATCTTAACCCTTTCCCTTCGGCTCCGAGGACGTCGTTCGACCAACTGCACCCAATAGCACACACGTTATTATTTCAACGCGCGTCATCACGGCCATGTTGAACGACGGCCCGTCGACAGCAGCAACGTCAGCCCCTCTAACTCCGAGGTCTGCCCCGAGACGCACGCCCACACAACCCGCCGGCAATCCACTGGTAGCCTCGCCCGCGCTGTGCTGGTGCGCTGAGTAACACGGATTTCCGCTAATTCCGCCTTGGTGGCAGGCTGCGACTACTCCACAGGCTGGTATTCTCTACTCGGGGTATCCCATCTCGCTTCGGAGATCCGGGGTAGGGTGAACGAGATAGCGAACAAAGTGAGATTGGTGTAACGTAATTAGATTGTTTTTTTTTCATTACGGTGAATACTGGAAAAATAGAGGGAATCCATAGCTAGCAACAAAAAAGACGAAGAAATAATGATCGAATATAGATAGTCCCGTAAACCCTAACAATGATACTAGAAAATGCAAATCATAAAGCGTAGCTGATTTTGCGGCGTAGCACGACACCCAACTGGAAAAAGCAAAAGACCACCGGCAAAGCCCTCATATTATATGCCTATTCGAATCGAAACAGCTTAGATATTCTTCTTGCGGGCGGCACTGTACTCGGCCTCGTCTTCGCTGTCGTCGCTGTCGTCGCCCGCCTCCATCTTAACCTTGTCGGACTTGCGGCGGCGATCTTTCATAGCCTCGCGGATCTTGCGGCTAGCCTCGTTGAAGCCGCCTGCAGAATCTAGCGTGGTAAAGCCGCTGATGGGGAAGCCACTGGATCCCAAGCCACCGCCTGCACTGCTCGAGCGGGATCTGCTGCGATTTCTGGAGGGTGGGCGTGTAGAGAAGATGCCGACGGAACCAATGTTGCTAAACGAGTCGTGGCGTGGCAGGGCGCGGGATGACAGGCCAGGGGGAACGTCCAGGTCGACGCTCGACGCTTCGCTGTCACGACGGCGGCTGCTACTATCGGTACCGCCAGTCTCGACCTTGGAGGCATCAGGGACAAGACGGGCCTTGTCAAAGTCTTCAAACATGTCGGGACCAAGCTCATTAATCGTCTCCGTCACTTCGGCACTCAGCTCCTCACGGCGCAGTCGCAGCTTGTGGATGTTGTAGCCAGACGACGGCAATAGACAGAGAACAAGGGGGCGCAGAGACTTGAAGATGTCCATGCCTACTTCACCAAAACGAAGCGCGGCAAAGGTTACACCAATAATCGACGGCCAGACAAGAATGTAGACGAGCCAAAGGGGGATCCATTCGGGGACGGTACCCCACATGCGGTCGTGCCAAACCTTGAGGACAATCAAGCTAGAGTAGACATGGTACAGCGTCGGGGCCAGCCCAAGAGCAACAAGAATCTTCCAGGTGGCCATGACATCGCGGCCGCGGATCTTGACAGTCGAGCCGGCCAGAGCAGTCTTTGCCTTTTCACGACTAATGATGCGAGTGGCGACAAACACGGGGGAGAAGAGGATAAGACCAGGGACAGTGCAGAAGAAGAGCACCGCCAGCTTGAGGGATCGGTAGATGAAGAGGAACAGAACCTTGAAGATGTTCATCTTGCCGTACTGCACCTGGTGGTCCTTCAAGTTGAGGTAGCGCAGCTGCGAGTTGTATTCCTTGACCGTCTTGGTCAACGACTTGATACGGTTGTCGTCCTTGAACTTTTCCCAGCCCATGGCCAGGCGGCGGTTAAGCTCCACCACGACGGGCAGCGGCAGCTTCTTTCCGGTAGGGTTGTAGAGGCGTCGGGCAGCCTGGATGACCATGAGGGTATCGTAATCGGGGGCGGAGACGGTGACGGCGCTGAGGGCCTGGTGCACGGTATCGAGGACATGGCCAATGGCCTCACGACGCTGGTTGTTGCGGTACTGCTCGACAATGCGGGCTGGGATTTCAAAGGGCGTGCCAAATTCCACGACGGCTCTTGAGCGGAACTTGTGGGCGTGGAAGTAGTTCATGCCAACCGGCACAATCTTGAGGCCACAGTCAGGAGCCTCAGCCAGCGCTCCGAGAGCCATAATAGCGACACCAGCCTTGAGCGGCAGAAGCTCCGTGCGGTCGTGGCTACCACCCTCGGGGAAGATACCCACGCAGCCGCCGTTGCGCAGTCTAGCAAATACAGCCTCGTAGACCTTGGTCTGATCCGTATGGGGAGCCAGCTTGTACTTTGTGCCCTGGAAGCCCGGAGCAGGACCCTTGACATCGGGGTTGGTAAAGTGGCCGTGCTCATCAATATCGTTTCTTCCAGTGAGCTGCTTCATGGCCAGCTTTCCCTTGAAGGGGCGCTTGATACGGATCTCCTCAGGACCAATAATAGTCTCAATGTTCATGCTGACCGCCGGTGTGTCCTTGCCTGGCGGCAGGAACACCATTCCCTGGACTTCGCCCTCTCCCTGGCCGAATTTCGTTCCCACGCCTCGAATCAGAGTCGGATCGTTGATTGGATCGGGCATGTAGATGAAGCCCGAGCCGGCCGTCGCGGCATCTTGGGCTCGGCCGACAGGAACAGAGCCCACCTGGCGGGAGGCCCAGCCGATGAAGCCGTGGACCGACTTTTGTGCAATCAGCAGCGAAACTCGACGGCCGGCCTCCTGGCGGAGCGTCCTCTGCAAAACGAGGGCATCGACAAACTACAGACACGGTCAGCATGCATGGCGGGCAGCGGGCTGGTTGGTTGGGTAGCGGCCAGCTCTCAACAAAAAAAAAGGTGACGTACCTGATTGGCGTGTGGTGCAGCAACAAACAGCACCGGGCCTGATTGGGGCACCTTCCAGGACCCTCTGGGGACAACTTCACGGAAGAAAAGATCCGCCAGGTTGCCCATGAGATACAGAAACATGTCATATTTCCAGTTGACCATGGGATAGAGCTCTTTGGGGGGCTTTGCGACCTGCTGCTGCTGGGGCGCCTGTTCGGCGGGCGTGGTGGAGGAGGCCATTGTTGGTAGCTTGTAGCTAGCTGTAGCTACGCTCTGCTGGACAGGACTGCAGTGGTTGGTGGTTTGGTGGTGATCGTGACGCGTGGCAGGCGGGCGGGTGGGTGCTGTGTGGTATATGAACAAGACGGAGAGAATGGCCGCAATCCCATGCAAATCACGGTGCAGAGGAAAGAAGAAAACACAAACCGGGCAGGGGAAGCGACGAGAGAAAAAAGAGAGGTTTCCTGGCGGCCAGCCAGCCAGCCAAGCTTGTGGTTGTCTTACCCCGATTCTAGCCAATGGCGGGGGACGCGGAGTGCTGGGGGGGTGGAGGGTCAGCTTTCCACTAAGCCTAGCCTAATCGCGCTGGGCACGGGAAGACGCGCTGTAGCTGCTGTAGGTACTGTAGTGTTAGGGGGACGGCGGTGCTGCGCTGACATGTGGTATTCTACAGCGCATCTTTTTGCTTGTCTTCTTTTTTTTAGCATGTGCGCAGCTGTTTGCCCTGCCTCGTCTTCGTCCGAAAATGCAAGCGCGCCACGGCCGGAGAATGCTCAACATGTCCGGGGCCGATGATTTGAAAACCAGGCTTCTGATCGAAGACGGGAAGTCGGGGATTTCCATTTGATTGTGGTTTTGTGCGATACGCTCGACGGCGCAAAATGATGCTACGAGTTAGGCGTACTCGAGATGTCCCCAATTGGCCACCAAACATGCCCTATCCTCTCACCATCGTACTCGTAAATGCCCTCAACAAAACTGTATATCCTTGAGATATCCATCTACTGTAGTGCATAGGTCACGCGCTCTCCAGCCTGCTCGTCGTCCCCCAACCCAGCGTAGGCCGCCTATCAACAGGTGAAGATGGATGGCCTATAGCAAAGGATGGCTCTGGGGTGGTGATGCGCCTCGCTTGGCGCCGCATGGATCAGTCAACGGCGTTCTCTCTCCTTGTTTCGTCTCCGCCTGTCGATGATTTGCATGCATCTAGTCTGCTCTAATTTGTTTCCCTGCTCTTGTGGCCTTTGCGTTTTATCGCCATCTAACTGCTTCTTTTCATCATCACCATTCAAGTCTCGACATGTGAAAGAGCCCGCCACAGCGCAAGGGCCCGTCCTTTTTTAGCAGGCCCGCCCGCTGTGGGTCCACTATGGCAACGGCGCCGAGCCACTATTTACAGCGGTCCTTGCGGCGCACACCCGCCAAATCTCCCGCAAACCGCTTGGGACAAAGCCGTGGGCCCGCCCCGAGTCCGTATCAGCCAGTCCGCCCACCAAAACGCTCTCTTTGAGCGACTGCTTCGGTCCGTCACAAGGCACGCTTGTCTTACTCTTGCAGACGCCGAGGTTTAATTATATTGACAGAAGGTGGAGAGACTCCCAAATTGGGCCATTGTAATGCATCTTACCTTTGCATCGGCTTCCTTTTCTCTTTATTTGCAGAGGCCCTACTACTTGGGCCGCCCTCCTCTTCGTCGTGGTAAGCCGAAGTAAGCCAGACCACACAATTCGGCGATGCCGATGGTAGCCAACCAGCACTGAATGAACTGGGTTTCAGTACTCTGTTGCATCCCTTGGAGATGTTGTAGGATGTGAATCAGCCAGTAACTACCGTTCATCGACATCACATGGATCACAATGTAAAAGTTCCAAAATTGTCTATCCAATTCTTCTATTAGTACCACGTAAACGTAACCTCATTTCTTGCCTCGCTTCCGCGCCTTCTTCTCCGGAACACTGGCACTGCCACTCTCAACTTCGCCTTGCTCTAGTTGCCCTTGTCTCTCCATTTCCTTCAACTTCTCCTGTCCTGATATAAACATCGTCAGGTCATGATTCATTTCTTTCAGCTCGGCAACCTCTCGTTGCAAAGCCTCCAATTGCTTCTTCGTCGTCTCGCTGTCTGTTCCCAAATGTTCGATTCGCTTCATCAATCCTTCATTAAGCTTCTTCTCTTCTTGTAACGATTTTCCCAGGCTCCGGGCAAGATTTTCACCCTTGGTAGCCTTGTTCTTCTCCCGTTCCAAGTCTCGTTCCATCTGGGGGACAGTCTCTGTTTGCAGTAACTGAAACTTTTCATTCACAGCAGAGAGCTCATCGGCAGTAGCAGACGCTTTAGCCATTGTCTTGTCGGCCGCAGCCGATGCCTTGGATGCCTTTTCCACAATCTTCTTAATCATGTCTTCGTAATACGCCCTTTGGGATTCCAGCTGGCTCGTGATAAGATGGGTGTATTCGATACCAATGTTCTCCAGCTTGGCGCGAGGAACCACATCCTCATCATACTGGGCTCCTCCTCCTCGATCATTTCTCGACGGGAGCTCGACAACCTTACCATCGCCCTTGTCTCGAATAAGGCGATGAACCCACATATCTCCAGCATAGTCCCAGACGTATTGCGTCTCCAACTCAAGCGCAAAGGTGTGGGCAGATTCTTTCCAGTGGTCCTTGGCATGGCCACCTTTATATCTCCCGCATCCCACATATCCACAGATTAGACAAATCCACAGATCCTCGGAAGTATCGCACACGGTGCAAAGATTGGACACGGATGATCCAAACGGCTGGCCATACGGATTCGATGGATCGCTAATGGAGCCTTGGGAGACGCTAGTAAACCGGCAAACCGGACAACCTGCGCCTTTCCAATTTTGTAGGCAGTCGCAGTGGAAGACGTGAGAGCATGGTATCGTCATTAAGCCGCTGGTCTCATCCATTCGTTCCAGGCAGACTGGGCACGTAGGAAGTTCAATCAGATTCGGAGTCGGCGGTGGAAACGGCTTGTAGCTTGTAGAAACGGCTGTGGAAGATGAGGAGGCAGTCGTATCATTTTTTTTAATAGCTGTTGGGTAGGTAAAGGTGATTGTTTTGACAAAGGCGACGTGGCATAGTTGCGGCTACCAACATATCTCGCGGTTAGCAGCTGCAAACTTGGCGTATTGCATGATCCCTGTTGTCTCTGAAACGTACCTCCATCGTGTTGAACACTTGGCCGTCAAATTCTCGTTTCCATTCTTTCGCAGATCTGTTATCTCTGAATTTCAAAAGCGCTAAATACCTGTTCATGGTAGATGTCATGACCAAGCGACAGTGCGATATCTGGCTTCGCCATTTCTCTCCAACAAATCCCAAAAAGTCACCTGGCGACATGTACGTCGGGACTGCTGGAACACAGACTGTGGTACAGTCCAAGTTGCTCAGGTCAATCTCATCTTCGTCTGCACCGTCTGTGAGGGAAAGACGCGGGGTCTCATCCTCGTCTCTGTAGAAGTGAACTATCCCCCAGCCTATGCCAGCACTCAACGAGCCCAGTGGCAAACATTTGGCCTTTGTTGATGTGCCAGGCCCGGAAAAGGTTGGTCCCAAGGTTGGCGCAGCTGGCACGGCGGATTTGCTCGATTCACTTGTTGACATTTGGTGATTTTCTTTACCAGGATCACACGATACAACGCCAACTGTTCCAAACCGCCAATCCGAGATTGCAGACGTCGCTTGTGTTGGTGGGTGCCGGAGGTCAGCCGCAGAGCTCGGGGCAAGGTCTGATAAATCTTCAAAGATGTCGGTAATCGGTGGCGTATTATCTTCCAAGTAGAGTTCAAACCGGAGATGATGGAAGAATAATGGCATCGCCTCAACTATAAACGCAGCACGCGCGGTCAAGACGTCTAAGCACAACAGCAACAACGGCTTCGCGTGCAAGCTCCTAGTTTCGGTAAGATTCTGTGGCGTTTATGTTGGCAGATTCCATCATTTATCAATATGTATTGCCACCTCCAACGTCTAGTGGCACAGAACCCATGTGTTGAGTAAAGCTGTGCTGAGGGAAGCGTATGGAACGGGAGACCTGTCAAGGCAGAAGTGACGAGATAGGATTTCATGCCCCACCATTCCAGCCCGCCACTGTGCAACGGTAAACAGCCCGCCACCAGCGTGAAGGAGGCAACAATAGCATGATAGCGAAAATCATTCTACAAGTTTAAATTCACATTGGCAAAGAACAGTACAATGATACGACTAATCGTCAAGTTCGTATTTGGCACGCTGTATTTTCCAGTCGCGCGGGGTAACTATATAAACACATGATATCATAATGGCTCATCCGCTAGTGCCAACGTTCTAATGTACCAACACCGCCTTCACCACCTGCACAAACTGCTTACTGGCCACCGCGCAGACGGAGGACGAGATGCAGAGTGCTCTCCTTCTGAATGTTGTAGTCAGAGAGAGTGCGGCCATCTTCAAGCTGCTTACCAGCAAAGATAAGACGTTGCTGGTCAGGAGGAATACCCTCCTTATCCTGAATCTTCGACTTGACGTTGTCGATGGTATCAGAAGACTCAACCTCCAATGTGATCGTCTTGCCGGTGAGGGTCTTGACGAAAATCTGCATACCACCACGGAGACGCAGCACCAAGTGCAGAGTAGACTCCTTCTGAATGTTGTAGTCGCTCAGAGTGCGACCGTCCTCGAGCTGCTTACCGGCAAAGATAAGACGCTGCTGATCAGGAGGGATACCCTCCTTATCTTGGATCTTTGACTTGACATTGTCGATTGTGTCCGATGACTCAACTTCTAATGTAATAGTCTTGCCAGTAAGAGTCTTGACAAAGATTTGCATACCACCACGGAGGCGGAGAACGAGATGAAGGGTAGATTCCTTCTGGATGTTGTAGTCGGAAAGGGTGCGGCCATCTTCAAGCTGCTTGCCGGCAAAAATCAGGCGCTGCTGGTCAGGAGGGATGCCCTCCTTGTCCTGGATCTTCGACTTGACGTTGTCAATAGTGTCGGAAGACTCAACCTCGAGGGTAATGGTCTTTCCGGTCAAAGTCTTGACGAAGATCTGCATACCACCACGAAGGCGGAGGACGAGGTGGAGGGTGCTCTCCTTCTGAATGTTGTAATCAGAGAGGGTGCGGCCATCCTCGAGCTGCTTGCCAGCGAAAATCAGGCGCTGCTGGTCAGGGGGAATTCCCTCCTTGTCCTGAATCTTGGACTTGACGTTGTCAATGGTGTCGGAAGACTCAACCTCGAGGGTAATGGTCTTGCCGGTGACTGCGGTGGCGAGTTAGCACACTGAGCGTTTAGGCTGACGCGGCGGGGGTGGCGGGTTGTAACTTACGGGTTTTGACGAAGATTTGCATGGTGACTGGTTTGCAAAGCGAAGAGGTGTAAATAAAAGGCTAGGTCTCCTTCGTTGGATGGGAAGATGGGTTTGTGAAAAAAGCGATGGTGAAAAAGGAAGAGAAGGTGGCCGACGGAGGGGAGGCGAGCGACTTAAGTACGAGCGGGCGTGAACGGGCTGGTGCAGGGAAGCGCCGGGGGCGGCGCAGCGACGCTTATGACGAACGCGACCGTATGATTCATCAGCGACGAACGGACAAGGCGAAAAGCGGAAGGCTCCAGAAGCGCTGGCGCCCCCAAAAACCAGCGAGGCTGGCACGCAACCAGTACGTTTGCAGTACTCTGGCCGTATGCGGAGTCAGGTGAGACATTGTTGTACCTGGTACGTACCTGGCTCGCTGGGTCCAGCTGTGAGTCGTCAAGGTGGCGCTCCAGGTGAACAATAGGCACCCAATAGACGACCCCAAAACGTGCTTTTCCGTTGGCTCTAGAACAATTTGCATTGTGTTTCCAGCGTTCGCTATGGCCGAGACGGGAAAGAAAAAAATTATATGCAGCGCTGTTCATCAAGTAATAAGTAGTGCAAGATTAAGACCGTTCGTCTTTTTACCCTGCCAGCTGGTTGCAAGTCTGCCAGCTGCGAACACTGCCAGGGCAATGTCAGGGCGCCCAGGGGCTGTGCCACACCGAATGTCCGCGCCAAAGCAGTAAAAACATCGACCCCAACCAGATATCTCCCTTCACACAAACAAAAGACAACAATGACGCTTCTTTTAGCCCTTATCGCTCCCCTCAGGCCATTCCTCTCTGATTCTCCAAAATAACGCGATCGAGCTTTCCCCGCGCTGTGTTGTCACTGGTGGGGCCAAAGAGTGGACTGGCCCTGGGACCTGTGCCTAAAATACATCAGAACGGGGCCTCTATAAACTCAACCCAGGCCAGTGAGACGAAGCGGACTGAGTAAGACATCTGGTATGTCACTCAGTTGTTCTGCAAACATATTTCCGTTCTTCTATAGCCAGTTCGCTTGAGATATGATTCGTGCAGGTAAACAATGAATATTATTGGTATAAGTCTATCCTGAAAGTATCCTGCCCAACCTCGTTGCTTTTTTTCTCCTAGACATTGACGCCACTGTGGCCAGTCTGAGGCGTCACACTTTGAGAAAATTGTAGCGGTGAATTCATGACTCCAATTGATGCATCGATTCTAACATTGCTTCATCCAAAATTCATCCATCCATAAAAAATATTTCAAATACATGATCCCATAAAAGCATATGCAACATCATACGTAAATCCGGCTCGATAAGATCAAAGAAAATAGCAAATCGCTTTCATCAACATGCGTACCACCCATGTATGTGTCGTGTCTTCCTTGAGTGTCCAAGAAAAAGCAGACTTGCGTCTGTAGATAGAATAGAAAATGCTTTTTGGTACTTCAAATCATACATGATAAAGTGTCATTTCATCGTCGTCCATTAGGAATGTCTGTGAGAGCTTATCGTTATGCTCTTCAGATCCGACGTGTCCATGGCATCTGGTAAGGCCGCTAGTGCTGGCCACCCGTATTCGTGAGGTCGCTGACGCGGTTCAAAATTCAAAACGCTCATCGTTATGACAAAGGGGATAAAAAACAAAAAGAAAAAGTTGAGAGGTTGAGCTGTTCGGCCTTGGCTCAGTTGGCCTTGATGATGAGCTTCGACAAAAACTTGTTGGACAAAGAGTCAAAGTCGCTAGCATCAAACTGGGTTTCCTTGCGAGTTCGCAGGTAGGCATCGTGCTTCTCGACGTGCTGTCTAACTTCAGTCATGGCCTCGCAGACGGCAACGTTGTTGTGCAGGATGTGGCCGTGCTGGGCAGTATCCCAGTCAGCAAAGGCGGGAAGCTTCTGAGAGATGGCATGGAAAAGGCCAACAATGACACCAACGGGAGTGGTCTCCATATCGGTGCAGAACTTGTTGACAGCGGCAGGGTCGGGCACACGGTAGTGGCAGTCGAACTGCATCTCCTCCCAAACGGCGAGGAGAATGGAGGCGAGCATGAAGATGGTTGGCCAGTTCTTCATCTTCTCTCCGCTGTAAACACCACTGTAGAGAGCGGACAATTCCTCGAGAATGTCCTTCTGAAGCTCACGCCACATCTCAGCGAGGGCGCACTTGATCTGGTAGTTGACCATGACAGGAGCGACAGTTTTACCGTACTGTCGGGATGTCTCTTGTTCGACGCGGCCATGCATGTGGTTCTCGGAGCCACCGTTCTCAACCATGGTGATTTGCATGGTGAGGTTGTATGCCAATACAAGCTTGAGAGCCTTGCGGATAATGGGCATCTTCTCCTTGACGTAGTATCGGTGAGCGGTCTTGAGAATCTCAGTAATGAAGGGAGTGCCCTCAAAATGGTCGTCAATGAAGTCCTCAAAGGGGCCATCAATGTGGCTATCCAAGTACTCAGCGAGAGCTTCGAGACGGACACCTTCAGAGCCAACATCAAGTCTGTCAGCCTTGACGGCGTAAGGGATGACGGTGCGGCCATCGATACCACTCTCAGCCCACTCAGCAACAAAAGCATCTTCATCAGCGACAAAGACCTCGCGGACCATGACAGGCAAGGCAAAGCCATAGCCATGGGTGACCCACATCAAGGTCTCCTTCTGTGAGAAGCCAGTGATAGTGTAAGAAGGAACACCAGGGCCAATGTGGCGGTCTTGGTCGGCTCGCCAGTCCTTCAAGAAGTAACCAATATCCTTGATATCAATGCGAGTGCAAGGGACTTGCCAGAGACGGGCGTGAGAAGGCTGGCAGCCAGCACAAGGCTCACCCTTGTCACAAGTCTTCTTGAGGAACTTGCAGCGGAGACAAGCTCTTAGCTTTCTGATTTCACTGGCTTGCTTGCGCTGCTCAGGCAAAAGAGGACCCTTTCTGCGGCCAACCTTCTTCTCACCAGTGCCATCCTTCTTGCTGTTGGAAGTACGGCGGGCGACAGCCTTGGGGGCAATGGTCTTGGGAGCCTTGGCAATAGGGCTCTTGCGAGGGCCAGAGTTGCGGCGAGACGAAGCTGCCGACGAAGGTGATGATGACGATGAGCCAGCACCGCTGCCACTGCCTGGGCTGTGGCGAGGAGGGAATTCAGACTTGATAGTAGGGGCGTTGGGAAATTCCATCTTAATGCTAGCAGCGGCTTCTGTCTTGATGGCAACCGTGCCGGCGGCAGCAGCGTTGGTCAATGTCTCATGAGCATGGGCAAGGCCATCGCCAGCAAAGGAGTTGCGATGGCTGGTGGTGACATCGCCATGGCCATCTGAGTCGGGGGAGAAGGGGGAGTAAGGGAATGGGGGAATCTCTTCGAAGTTGCCAAAGTCCAACGAATTGGCACCTTCTGAGGAGTCTGAGTTGGTGCGTAGGTGTAGCGTTTGTGAAGGGTTGAAAATGGCGGTGTTTTGGTTGTTGGTGAATTGGTCAGGGCGGGACCAGTCTACCATAGCCCAGCCTTCACCAGCGGATGAAGGTAGAGACAGAACTTCGAGATATGTTCCAGTGGGAGAGTTGCTTCCGACGCTACCAAGTCTTTGGAGGCCATCCAGACTCAATGTGTTCTGGAAGTCCTGCCAGTTCTCCATCCCAGGATTGTTCCAGTGCATAGCCTGCGTGGTAGGTTCTATCGAGGCCATGGTTGTGAAGGTTGTGTCGAGAAGACCGCTGTGCAGAGCCGCCTGGGTAGTGGGAGGAAGATAGTCCAGAGGATTCGTAGCGAAGTTTGTGGCAGCCAGGGGGTTGAAGTTCATCAGCGGCTGGTCCATAAATTGCGAGATGGCTAGAGGGCTGAGAGGGTTCTCTTGCTGTTGAGCGGCAGCGGCGACGGCGGCCATATGGTGCTGGCGTTGCTGCATAGTCCAGTCAGGCAATGTGTGGATGGCGTTCTGGAAGGGCGAGAGTTGAAGCGGCGAGTTGTTGCTGTTGGGGCTCGAGGCGTGTGATAACGGTGACTGGGCCTGGTTTTCATCTGGCGAACTCGAGTTGCCCTGAGGGCTGCTGATGGGAGCGGACATGTCGATTGGGAGAGACCAGTTACGGGCGGCTGACATGTAACTAGATTGGGCGATGTGAGCTTGGTGCTGATGTGATGCTGCCTGTTGTTGCTGTTGATGATGATGGTGATGATGCTGCTGTTGTTGTTGCTGCTGCTGCTGTTGGTGAAGAGCGTAGAGCTGGCGGTTTCGTTGCTGTTGTTGATCGAAGCTGAGGTTCAATATACCGTCACCCCCGCCATTCGGATTAAAGTCTGGATTGTTCATTCTGAAAGAAGAGAAAAGGGCCCTGTGAAGCGTGGGCGCGCAAGAACGGTGGTATTGTATAAGCGAACTGTGACACCGCTCTTTGAAAAATTGGTGAGGAAGAGGACAGGGTTGAGGAGGATGAGAAAATTCAGTAGTTTGGCGAAGGCGTGCGTTGCAGATGGATCTCGAGGTGGGAAGCGAGAGAAGGCGAGAGGGGGTGGTGGGCACCTGGCGGTCTGGCGGCTCGAGTCTCAACAATGCCGCGAAAGAGAGATGGCGGGCGAGAGCGGGCCCAGCACCAGCACCAGCACGATAGCGAGTGGGCAAAGTGGGGGTGACCAACCGGCGCAGGCTTTTTTCCCTCGACAGACAAAGAAGCGGTGAAGCGGGAGCGCCAGCACGCGGGCCAATCACAGCTGGGCTGCGGCATCTGCAGAATGCAGTATAGTGGAGCCCGAGCAGGCGGGCGATCTGCTGGCGCGGGTGCACAGTGCGCACGTTGGCGGCAAGCAGGGAAAAAAGAGGCCGACGGCACTGCACTGTACGGGCACTAACGTACTGTACCTAACCTGTCTGCAGTGCGCCGGAACAGCACCGGAACAGCACTCAATAGCGGGTGCAGACTGCCTGAATAGCCCTCTCGGGCCGCCTCCGTTTCCTCTTTGTGCAGCTTTCCACCTGCATGAGGCCGCTGTACATATCGGGTCCCTGCTAGGAACGCGTTATATTATCGGATTGCCAGCGCAGACTTGCATCAGGTTTGTGTCGATGACGGTATGTCAGACATTTGCTTTCCATAGCACCAAGCCTCATACGGAGAAGCGGTATAGACGGACCCGAAATATGCTTTCCGCTTCATGAAACAGCCCAACAACGAGCATACACTACGCTTTGTTCCAACTAGAGATAGGAAATTTACATCCCAGCCAAGAGCTCGGCCCAACCCGCTACATTCCAGACATGGGGTCAGCGTCAAACTGCATCTCTCCGACTAGCTGTTGCATCCCGAGCGATGGCGCAAGCAACACGGCGAACTGCAGATTTTTTGCAGTCGTGATACCCCAGACAGCCTGTCAGCAGATGCCGGCAATCTCCTTCTTGTAATGTTGCTCATCTGTTTTTAGCTCAGGCTGCTGCATATCAGTGTATCACACACAGTCCGAACCCAGCCTGCAAACGAGATCCATGCGCTGTTGCGGCATAGGAATTTGCTAAAGAGCGTGTTTCTGATATGGCTCCGTCACCAATGTCACCTCACAGTGACGCGAACTATTCATGCGTTCGCCTACCAAAGACCAAGTACTCGAGACTTTGGAATCTGTGTACGACTTGCTAAATACATTGTGTATTTCTATTAAGCAATGCTTCAATGGCAAGATCTACAAGAATAACATTGCTAAATCGACCCGTCGGGTGGTCGTCATGTGCGGTCTGCCCTAGCCGAGCATTGCTCCGAGAGCACTGCAACAAGCCATTCGGCATCAACGAGACGACTATTGCATGTGGCTCTTAAAGCTAACAAGCTTGGTGCTATTACGTTGATCTTTCCATGTTGGCCTCGGGCATGCACCTCTTTTTCCCGCTTCAGATCCGTTTATGCCGTTCCAAACTTGGAGGCATCTGGTTTAGTTACTGGCGGGCGGTCCGCATTGGCCAGCATGTGCCACTGACAACAGGCCAACAACTGAAAATCACTACGTTAATCCCGATTCAGGGACCTTTTCCCTTGCTAAGCACAGGGGTCCAGGTCAACTACGTGTCAGTCAGATCCTGCTGTTTGCTGGCTGAGACGAAGCTCGGAGGACTACGGCGGTGCCTCCAGCCGCGTGCAAGTAGCAAGCTTCGCACTGTACGGCAGCTAGCCGGAAGGGACCCGCTGGACCTGCTTAGCCCGCCTCCATCGCGGGCCCCGTACCGTGCAGTAGAAGCTTCACCAGGCGCTGCTAGCTTGGCTAGTTGTTACAGGTCATCATAACGGCCGCAGCAGTGACCTTTTAGCTGATTCTTTGCTGCATGTCCCTGGGAGCGAGCGCCTGCAAAGCGATTTCCACGTATCAGCTTGCGTTGCAGAACCTGCTTGGCTTCACCCACGGTCCGCAGTACGCGAGTCGTCATCCCGGCCCGCTGCAAGACAACGTAACCCTGGCCAGTCTTGGATAAGGGCTCGGCGAACCGCTACGGTGCCAGCCACCGTTATTCGTGCCAACGGCCGTGGTACTCTGTGGTGGTAGCATCACTATAGAACCGTGAAAGCAATGAACCGACGCCGCGTGGAAGAGGACACAATGGATGGATGGAACGACAAAGCCGTTTGAGGTGGCAGCCAGCTCAAAGTCACGTTTGAACGTGCTTTTTGCTCTTGCCGAATGCTTTTTATTTTCTTTTGCCCCCTTTTTGCGTTGCATTTTTGCTTTTCCCGCCCACTTGCATCCTGGCTCCAGCCTGCCTAGTCGCTGTACCTTGCGTTAGCTGCATACACTAGCCTCCGTGAATCCTCCATATATCAGCTTTTAGCGGGAGTCCTGATCCTCTTTCATAGGCAAAAGCAAGTTTCCTCTGTGGCGAAGGACGCCCCAGTGCAAATGCAACATAGATGCTCAAACGTATGGCAGAGCCCTGATCCAACACTGCCACTGTAGCACTTGCACTAACGTTAGCACTAGCACTAGCATTGACTATTGCCTTCCCATATATTAGTGCATGTGTCTCTACGCTGCGGTCTCGTACAGTGCTTGTGGGTGCACAGTGCAGCAGACTCCAACGCCACACGCACACAATTGGCATGAAAAGCGCTGTGAATAAAAAGGAAAACATGGGCGCAACACGTGTGAGACATAACGGTTTGTCGTGTTGCGAGCATTCCTTTTGTGGAAGCCTGGTTTTGCTTTTCCATTTCTGCGTGTCATGTGGCCTTGTGCGAATCTGAGACTGTTTGCCTAAATATTCCGACGATGGAATGCAGTCGCAGGGCAAGTGTCATCGATCAATTGTCCATGTGGCCTGTGGACGCCGCCGAACCTGAATTTGCTTCTTTTGCGTCTGGGGAGCAGCTTCATCGGCGATACCATGCCCCAGCGAAGCATATCCCCACGATATCTCCCCGTTGTTTGCCTCTCTCACTGGCAGCACGGTGCACAGTGGCGCCGACAACGCGTGGTGGTTTGGGCTTTTCGCGTATAGTGATTTTTGATGAGGCTGCGCCCGCACTTTGGTCAATTTGATATATGACAGGCCAGCACTCAGCCCATTGAACGATGCTAAAAGTGAGGCGGGGCGCTGGCTATTGTGCAATCTGTAATTTATTTTATGTGTAGCATTCATTCGAGAGAGAAACCGGTGGGGTTTCCCGCTGTCATTGTTTGCCAGTTTGCCACATGCTCTGGCAAGCAAGCGAGTAGCCACAGTTGTTACTGGAGATCACATCTGCAAGGAACCAGCCTTCCTCTGCCTTTGCGCCTAAAGACAAACGTTTAGGTCGCGGTGACAGGTCTTTCCTTCCAAACTTATGTTAAGCTTGCAAATTTGACAGCGTTACTAGAGTAGTTTAATTCCTTGCGTATCTCTTCAGTTCAAATTTGGGTTGTGCCCTATACAGGGTAGCCATGGCCTCCACGCACTGCATGCAGCTGAATTCGCAACAACTTGATATTGATTGAGTTTTCTTGGCCTATTTTAAATTCATGCTGTTTGTAGGTTGTAGAAGATGTAGTCACTTAATTAATACCTCGTATGCTAGTGCTGCTTTGCAGGTTTGCCAGCTGGCGGGCAGTCATTGCCAACTGCGGGCGTATATCGTGGAGCCCCAATTGATACCCGATCATATTCCGAACGAACAATGGTTCGGCGACTCAACTTCTTCATATTGTCGAAACACCACAACATTCATCAACGACGCCCGCTGGAGCTCATAGACATTTAAAAAAGAGGCTTTTCATGGCGTTTTATCTGGAATAGACATACAAAGGCATACCCGCAGCTACATAAACTGTTTGTGTTGACAATTTTCGCTTTGCTCCAGCGGCATGCCCTTTCCAGTTCGACTCAACAAACCATCTTCAAGAGCCGTATTTCAGCGAAAGTTCAAGCGAGTAGATCCAAAAGACTCAAGAGCTACCGGAGCTATGGATGAAACTACCGCGTTTGCTGGTTGGAATGACATCTATATACCAATGCTGTTTACTACCATGCCGCCCATAGTGGACGAGCTCTCAACGAATACATACAAACTTCAACAGAAGACGGTAGAGGAATGTTTACCATTTCTTAATGGACAAGAACATCCAAACAAATGCAATCAACACGGAGTACCACAACTGGATAGACAGAACCACGCCCAATTTCTACATAAACAGTTGGGAAACTTTCCTCCACAATACCTAGCCATTGACGCAAGTCGCCCCTGGTGGTTCTACTGGTGTTTAGCAGCTCTGTCACTCATTGGCGAGGATATCAGTGTTTATACAGACCGCATGGTAGAAACTGCACGTCCTTTGCAGAATCCAGGTGGAGGATTTGGCGGCGGATTTGGACAAATGTCTCATCTTGCCACATCGTATGCAACCGTACTGGCACTTATGCTAGTCGGAGGAGAAGAAAGCTACGAAATGATTGATCGACGTACAATGTGGAAATGGTTATGCTCGCTCAAGCAGCCTGATGGGGGTTTCCAGATGGCCGTTGGCGGCGAGGAGGACGTCCGGTAAGAATCACGGCTTCTCACAGCGGCTCTTGAATCGTTACGTGGGTGAGGTGGCTAACGTATTTGGAATACAGTGGCGCATACTGCGCAGCAGTCATAGTATCATTACTCAACTTGCCCCTCGAGCTGTCCCAAGACTCGCCTGCATATGCCGCAGGTCGCCGCAGTTTGTTTGATGGGCTGGGTGAATGGGTCGGAAAATGTATGTCTTTTTCTTAACGCGACCCCGACAGGGATGCCGTCCTGCCGTCCTGCTGTCTGTGGAATATATTCAACTAACCAAAAGGCACTGAGCAGGTCAGACGTTTGAGGGTGGCATGTCGTCCATGCCCGGGTTGGAAGCCCATGGAGCATACACATTTTGTGCCTTGGGCTGCCTTGCAATTTTAGACGCTCCTCATCGATCGCTGCCAAGGTACATGTCCATTGACTATATTTAGACAATGATACTAACGAGTATTCCTGTAGATACCTTAATGTTCGCAGACTTGTTTCTTGGCTCTCTTCGCGTCAATACGCACCTGAGGGAGGCTTTGGTGGTCGTACAAACAAGGTTGTGGATGGTTGTTATAGCCACTGGATCGGTGGATGCTGGCCCTTGGTTGAAGCTGCTCTGAACGGGCCGCCCGCCGAGGCGACCAACTCTTCTAGCGGCCATAAGGTTGACGTGGACAGCATGTACAGCAGGGATGGGCTAATCCGTTATATTCTCTGCTGCTGTCAGGACATGTCGAAGAGGGGTGGGCTTCGCGACAAGCCCAGCAAGTAAGTGTTCTTTGAGGGGGTGCCGCTACGACAAGAAACCAAGTAACTAATGGCGTATACCTAGACTCTCGGATGCCTACCACACTTGTTACGTGCTGACAGGACTGAGCTCAGCACAGCACCAATGGAGGGTATCGTCTTCACGCCCGGAAGGCTCTACCATCGACGCAGATGAGTGGATTGTACTACCCTACCTAGAAGGTGAACAAATTTTCGACGAGGATGATAGAATTGGTACAGCACACCCTGTTTATGTGATTCCGAAGCACAAGGTGGATGATGCTCGAAACTACTTTAGGTCGAAGCTGGGCTTTTGAGGCAGAACGTTGAATGAATCGCGCGAAGCCTACTCCGTTTATGACGACAAGTACCCGTCTTCAAGACGAGTAGCGCAAGATACAGAAGAGGGAAATCAACACAGAATTGAAGTCAGCCAGATATGCTCTTTCGAGAGTATTTCGCATTATGACCATCACTCACAGTCCTTGTCCAAATTGTATGTCCCACAACAGCTGAATCGACACGGAGAGAAACAACGGTGGTGGCCACCACTACGGATGCTTCCCCGACGCATGTCTCATTGGAGCATATTGGAGGCTTGATTCAGATCCTTACTTCGTCGCCGTGCGGCACATGCAGCGCGAGCCATAAGTACCGCCTCATCATGTGCGCTGGCAATTTGGCACCCTAATCTTGACCAAGCCAGCACATCATACTTCTGTCTGTACTTGAAAACTATGACTGCGCGCTGTCCTAACCGCACTAGTAGGAGAACTAGGCTAGGAAAGTAATGAATACACAATTTAGGGGTACTGCATTATGTTTGTGCCAAGTTTTCAATAGTGCTGCACAAACGTGGGGAGGTTATGAACACATATGCACGTCACCATAAGACGATGGGTCCAAGAGCCTCTTGTCGACATTGGCCTTTGATTGCCACTTTGGCGAAGTCTTAGTTACCGGCAGTAGACTGGCTGCTCTGGTCAGTGAGCTGCGCAGGTACCTCGAAGCCACCAAATTATCCATTGCAGCGACCACTGTGAAGAAGCAATGCAAGCGGCACGAGGCGTTGAGACATTGGCCTGTCCAAGACGTGAGTCCAGCCTTGCACAAATATAATGCAGTTGTCAGGAGGAATACATAGACTTGGGGTCGACCGTTATTCGCCTCTTATGCACCCGCACCATGTATGTCCGGGGGGGCAATCAAATCGAGTCGAGGCTGGATAATGTGCTTTGCTGTCATTTCATTCGCCGCTTGATGCTCCTTGCAGGATACAAAAGAGTGCAACATTGAATTCAGTCGGCTATCTGCTGTACGTCTACGTGCAAGCTGACCTTAGTCTCTGCTGCGGCCGGGGCGCCACCTCGGCGCGTGGTGAGCTTGGATGGATGTGATTAGTTTTTGGCAGAATGCCGGCAGGCCGCAAACAACAACCTATGATTATGCGAGCCAGATACGAAGAACGACTGTGTGGTGTTGTTTATTGTGTGGCCAAGGCCCACGTATGGACCTGCTTTGCCCAATGTCGTTTGCGGTGCTTACTGCACAATTGAGAACCATGACTCTTGGTGTTAGTGACCCGGTCTTCGTACCGTTGGCACATGCAGCATTCAAACCCACTGGTGGCGGTGTCCAGCAAAACACCACCCCGCTAACGTGCGGCGCGCGAGCTGGGCTGCATCGTGACGTTTGTGTTTTGTATGACACGCCCCCCTGTTTGTAGAGAAGGGGTTCTTGGACAAACCAGAAGCATTGCTCAAAGGACTCCGCGCCCGCCGTCTAGATGCAGCTCAGAGGGCCGACTCAGTTTGTACTGAAGCACCACCGACGCAAGGGATAGCAACAAACAGGTAGGTATCGAGAAATTCCGGGGGACCTATAGCGCAGATTAACGCATGCATGTCAGTGAGGCAACTAGCACGGAAATTTGACACCTCACAACGCCATTGACTTAGATCAGCGCCTATCCAAGTTGTCCTGAAACAAATCCACAGAGGCGACTCGCCTCGCAGCATGTAAGCAGATTTACAATGGGCTGCTGATGCAGTTGTAAATAGGACCAGACAAAAAACAGCGAGGCCAAGCGGACCCCAGCGGCGCTGTAACGAGGTTGACACAAGCGCGTACGGCGTGCGTACGGCGCCTAAGGGCAATTGATAGACGTGCCGACTACAACAAATTTGCTCGAGGGCTGAGACCCTGCGTTTTACAGACAGGCGCTTCGCCCGGATACACTGGGAAGGGGGATTTCATGTCGGCAGCTGAAAGAGGTGTTGCGCTGGGTACGCCTCTGCCAATTATACAGCTCCGCATCTTTTGTTTGCTGTACATGGCATGCGAGGCAGCAGAAGGGGCGTCTGTCGTGATGCCACGCTACGGATTACACACAATGCCTGCAGCTTGGTATCGTCGGTCTACCCCCTGCGACCTAGCACTAGACTCTACACACAGCGCATCAACAACACGGCAAGGACATCCTATAGCCCGTAGGATGGTTACGTGCTACCAGCGAATGTTGATGGCGCTGCTCGTTGTCCTATAATTCCTGGCCGTCCCGCCAGGCCGGACAAGGGCGGACACGTCCTAATGGAGCTGCAGCTCACGGACTTTGCGTCTCTCGCTTGCTGGCGACGGCATCATGATTTTCGATGGTCTTAATTTTGTGAACTTACAGGTTCTGCCATGTTTTGTAGAGAGCATCGAAATGGCTATATGATTACCCAGTCCTGTGCGTACACTGACCGTTATTTGTTTAAGAGACCAGGATCTACAAACATGCCCTGGTCTGATTCTGGCACCGAGCTATGCCAGGCCTGACGATCGGCGATAGTTGATATTGTCGTCAGAGCAATGCTTGGGGAACAAACCTCGACCTAGATTGATTCGAAATAGCCTGTCGCCAACGCGTCCTGTACCCCACGCTACCGTCAGTTGTAGTAACATTGCCACCGCAGTTCGCAGGCAGTGCGTTTTTGGCTGCGCTGGGCCCGTTGTCGTCCGCGCGCCGGCATTGCCAGCTCAGCATTGCATGCTGGCGGAGATTACCATTACTCTTTCAGCAGCACCGCCAGCCCAGGCCTCTTGGGACGCCGAAGCGACGACGCGGAGCGGCAGCTGTGGAAAGCTGGGTGGTGCTGGCGGCGCTCTACTTTGGAGGTGTCTGACCAATCAAGTAGGCTGAGTTGACCGATTTCTGCCCAGATGAAGCTGCAAAAAGCAGAAGAGGGGGCCACATCCTCATCTCATCTCGTAGCCTCTTCGTCATTGTGCGACTTGAATGTCATTGCGAAGGGTGTGGACGATGGGGTCGATGCGCGATGGGCGTCGGTTGCGGCCACCAAGCGGGCAAATATGCATATTCCAAGAGACCAGCAAGCAGTAGCGCCCACTGAAAGATGAACAAGCGTGGCCCAGAAAGGGTGCATTTGTCCCCTTGAATGGACCAGCGACAACGCGCCGTCAGTGGCTCGATCCACTATCAAAGCCAAACAACTGATCCAGGCTAGCGATATGCGCTGTGAGTTAGAGTAGGGCCTTCTCCTCCTCCTAGCCCCCGCGCAGGACAGCACATAGGGACAAGGCAATGTATTTTTGGAGCGGCCCTCCCCTGGGGCGAAAAGCTTCACCGACCCTTCGGTGCTTTGGCTGGAAGGCTCCGCGGGGTGGGTTAGCCTGGGATGCAGGCGCTGCACACCCCTTGGACCTTGGACGCACGCCCTTTGGAGGTAGAGGAGGGGCAATTTGGGTGGTTCATCAGGGATCGAATTAAACCCTGCAATGGTTCAGACACGCATATCCCACTGCTGCAACCGCCGAGATGGCGCCAATCTAGCGGGAAAGTCCTCTGGCAATATCAAAGACCTACTTGTACAAAGAGCGAATTCCGCTTGGTGGAGCGGCCTGGCGAGAAGGTGGATTCGGCGGGTGGATGAATCAGGAACATGTAAACAAAACAATGGTCGGTTTTAGCCCGCTCTGGTCCGAAGCGGGACGACAACAAAGCAACAATGGATTCGCAAGGTTTACAGTACTTTGGCCATGGTCTGTGGGCGAGTCGCCCGGTAAGCCCCATTGCAGATTCGGCACCACATCCAATTGTCGCTTTTAGAGGCTTCCGAGGCGTAGAGACGACGGGCGGCTAGGAGGATTCCGGCAATGATCCAATTATCGGCTCCGACATCCGCAGCAGCCAAATAATGAGGAGGGCTTGGCTGGTTCATCCATGGCCGATGCTGCTCCGCAAGGGATTAGAGGTTGGGTTGTTCCTGGTGCTGGCGGAGCAGGTCTCAGTGGTCTCTAGTGCCGGCGCAGGGGCCAAAAAAGCCATGCTAAAGAAGTTTAGCCTGCCCCTTGTGAGTGCCGGTCAACGGTCCTAGGATGCAACTACGCTTGCGTGCTAGGCGGGGGCCAGTGGGCGGCCAGCGCAGTGGACCAGCGCGGGCTTACAGTAGTGTACTGTGCTGTAAGTACAAGACAACACAGAGAAAAGCAGGCAGGGTGTGTATCCAGGCATGTGTGCCGCCCGCCCAAATGGCGAGGGAGATCTGGGCTGGGTGTACCGTGGTGCAGCAAGCAAAGACATGGCTGGACGCTGTCGTGAATTAGGGTCCGGGGAGGGGCAGACAAAGCTGCGTGGCGGCCAACCAGGAACCGTCACGACTTTTGTGGTTTTACGCCATTCCGCTTGCTCGGTTTCTGGCAAAGGTTTTGTCTTTCTTTGCCACCGTCCCGCGGCAGGTCGGGCTGGCTGCGCGGTTTTGACTGAATGGACGCTGTGATTGATGTGCCCCAAGACCATCAGCGGCAGAGGCACACGATATGTGAGCAGAAGCGGAAAAGAAGGAAAAGAACAAGTAGAAGAAGCGAAGCAATGGCTGGCTGGCTCCAACTGCAGACGCCGAGTGACAACTCTTGGCTATGCAGGACACACGACACGCCCTGTAGAAACGATGCGCTGGCCGTGCTCCGGCTATTCGATAAGTTGCTGCGGAAGGTTTTTCTCTCTCTTACGGTTAGTTTCTTTTTGGCGCGCGCACAGCCGAATGTGATATCGCTTGGCTGGTCCACAGGACGGTGTCTACGATCCCGCTTGTCTGGCAGCCTGTTTGCCAGCGCATCGCCATAGCCATTGGCACGGAATAGGTTTGGGCCTGCGCACACTGTTCGCCTTGGATTATGAGAATCAAGAGCCTTTTACGAACCTACTACGCCTTTGCACCACCAGCAATAAGCTCAATTGCCTCAAAAAGACATGTTTGCTCTGCACGCCCCTCCCGAAAAAGTTACCCGATGGTGAGTCGTAGCCGTGTTGTTGCTTTGGCCAGAAAAAGTATAGAAGCCAGCAGATAGCGCACAAAAGCTGCTGCTAATTTCCTTGCCGCTTTATTGCGCCGCCCACGGTGGAGTGGTCTAAGGCGATTAGTGTCCAGCGGCCTTGGATTCAACTGGCAGCCGAGGACGCCAACACATCAAGAATATGGGTCACACTATCTTGTTTTTGCCCTCTTTTTTTTATTAACTATGGTGATGTGACGACGGCTTTGTAGTCGAAGTTCCGGAAAGCATGTGCAAATACAACTGCTTTTGTCGGGCAGACCAGCATCTTCACCGCTGAGCAAGACAAACACCTCGCCAGGCAGTGTATGCCCTGCTTGACCAGCATTGATGCCGCCGGCTGCTGTCTGCGGACTGCTTGTCTTGATTGACTGTACAGCAGGCAGCGCTAGACGCCAGACAGACCCAGCCAAGCAGCGAACGCTCTCGTTGTCGACCTGCAGGTCTAACCACACGCCACCCAATGGCGCCCCCGCCAGTGGCTCCAGGACACTAAAATAACACACGCAAAATGGTACAAGGCCGTAGCCAGCGCATCAACGGTGGGCGTGTCTTTGTTGTTTTGCTGTACATGGAGCCAAAAACCACCGCCAAACGGGCAGACCCTGGACGTACGTCTGGGACCTGACTTGCACCGCCGTTCTTAAGTTCGTCCCATCCGCCTCCCCCATTCCGATCTTCTTCTGTGCTTTCTTGTCAAGGAGACAATTCCTCCCATTGTCCTTTCTCTCTTTCCAACGACGGTGCCGTCTTGTGCAAATCTGCTGCGTATATACTCGCTTTCCTTTTACGACCAAAGCCTACCCACCTATACACACACACAGCCGCGGTTACCCTCACACGCCACTCCCACTATACCATCATCTCTCTCCCCGGACGAGCCAATACGACTTATTTTTTCAAAAACGTACCGGCTCTTGACGACCCTGGGCTTGACAATCTCTGCTTAACTGCACTTGTTGGCTCTTTAGCGTTGCATTTTTCATCAGCATTGCATTCCTTCTCTTCCTTCTCTCTTGTACACTTTTTGCTCGCTACCCACCTACACATATTCACAATGGGTGGCTTTTATATGCAATATCTTGAAAGTAAGTCGTCCTTTCACCCTATCGGCCCATTGCCTTGTACCCAGTCCCCATCAACAAGGCCGGGCTACGGACAAAAACACCTTCCACAAGCCCACTGTCCCGCTAACCATGCCACCACCCCACAGGCCTCTGCCGCCGTCGAGGATGGACTGATCCCGCCTACGAATGCTACCAAGACCCCAGTGGCTACACCTGCCTCGTACTGGTCAACGGCCGCGAGTACCAGACCGATTTGGCCTACCAGTCCAACGTCCTGGCCCAGGAAAACGCCGCCATGCGCGCCTTCATGGTCTGCCGCAACTTCTCTGTCAACGGAGGCATGCTTGCCCGCAACGGCGTCGTCCAGGGCCTCCCTGCTACCCCGGACAGCAGCCGCCGCCGAAAGAGCCAGCAGAGCGCTGACCGCCACGGACGACGCTCCGGAAACCACTCCAGCAGCAGCTCGACCGCCTCGTTTGAGTAAAGGTCCAACACTGTTGATGAAGCTGCCTTGTGGTGGTGGTTAGTGGTGCTTGTTCACGAAACTCCGAGCCCACAGCCAAACCCAAAATCTTTTACACAAAAAGTTAGAATGCAAAGGAATTCTGGGGAAATCGGAACTCTGAAGGGGGGCTAGAATGCTTGTCGTTCTCCATGTTCCCCCCAGCTTCCCCTCGCCATTGGTTTTATTACCTTTACGACTTTTACGACGACTACGAATTCAAACACCATGTTCATACTCTAGAAATGCTTCCCTGTTTAATGGCATCATTATAGCCCGCTCAGTTTGGACACACCCTCTGCTCTCATTTTTTTTTTTTCGTTTTTCACGTCTACTATATGATGATCATCTTCCGTTCTGCTCTGTTCGCAACGTGGTCGCGACGCCAGCAACGTTGAGTCTTTGTTTTGTTCTTGGCATTTACATATGGCATAGTGCCGCGATTCATTTGTCCCCCCGCTGTGGTCAAACCCAGTGTGGCAGGTGGACCGCGTGCATGTTTTTATTTTTTACTCTTCTTAATTGATCTCATGTTCAATTGTACGTACCTGAGCCACTTCTTTTCCTCGGTTGAGTTTAGACGCCGTCTGCATAGGGATGTCAAGGTCTTCTGCTTGAGAAGGGTGTGCTGTCAAAACCCCCTGGTAACATTTGCAAGAATTGATTGGGACCTAGTCACGATGATGGCTGATCTCATCTCGAAGCAGATGCTGGCAGGGTCCCTTGTCATGGAACGGTCGATCATGGATGCTTGGGAAAATAGATGGCTCGTTTTCTACTGCACATAGTATTATGACAACACTTTACAACATGACGGGTTTTCCTTTCCTTCTTCCTCGTATTATATTCCGGTTTACATCAAGAGACTTACACAATTGCTTTGCTTTCTAGGCGGAATATGTGTATCTGGTACCTCGCATTGCCAGGGCAATTAAAAAAAACCGTGACCAATCCGCAATGAAACGTTGCCAGCGTGTTCGTGGAGCCTGCCTTGTACTGCTAGGATACCAGAAGAACACTACATCGGCCATCGGCCATCGTCTTCACCACCTGTTTGTCTTGGATAGCCACCGGTGCTGCATCTGCACGTACCTGTTTGGCGCCAGATGACATGAACGCCTGCCCTTCCTGCTGCTCCTCCACTACGGTGCAGCAATAGCAACACCAGCAGCGATACGCCGAAATGGTGGCACAGCGGGTCTTTGGTAGTGCAGAAGCCCTGCGCTGAGGATTTGTTGTGGGCGTATTTTAAGCGCTCAATGTGCCTGCTACGCGCTGCATCTCAGGGCGCCTATGCACAGCAACAGGAGGTGAACCCAGCGGCAAGCCTCGATACGCACTCAGCTCTTTGCCAATATATCAATCTGCAAGAGAAAGAAAATAGATTGGCCACTACATATGCGGCATCAAATGCCTGTCTTAGTGTGCGCTAAACCTATATGCTGCCTGACTTGCCCGGACTGTAGATCTCATACAACGAGAACCCTTCCGCCACCGGGGGGATGGGCATCCGAATAGAAAGTCAATCACAAAGTCTGTGCCCTGAATGCCGCTAGTTTTTGCTTGGTGCAAACTGCCAGCAAGCAACCAGCTCATTCTAGCGCCAGTCACAGACGAGGGATGCGCTGATGCAACTGTCTGCTAGCAGCAACGGCGAATCTCATTCGCCCAACCACCCAGCTGGAGCATGTGGGCGGCGATGCAACGCCAGATTCTGTGGTTCGCTACGGCTTAGTCTGACCACGCACCCAGAACTGCTGATTGAGGCAGGCAGGCAGGCTACGAGTGTCGTTCTTTTGCGATAGAAGCCAAACGCAGGCAGAGGAGGTGTGGCGCCAGACTGCACCTGAGAAGCTAAAAAGAGGGGGGGGGGGGGTGCGCATTGCAAACCAAGATGGACCGAACCATCCTGCTGGGATTTCCTGGTCGTGCTTGCGTTGTAAATGTGCCCTTGGCTCGTCGTGTGCCTTTTTTTTGTCTTCGTTGTAAGAGCAGTTAGCCGCCTATGTCGTAGCTTGCAGCTGGCGTGCCTGCATGTCTTCCCATGTCTCAGTTTGTTTGTGTTGCTTCTTAGTTCTGATATCGAGACATCGTCAAAGAGCTACCGAGCTTCAAAAACTAGGTTCTGCCAACCCACGCATGTGCCGCACTTTGTCATAGTGCCGCTCCGGCTAAGCTGGAGTAGGACTGTGATCGTCACCGCACCGCCGTGGTGATGCAAGATGCTGGGGGTCTGTTCAGTGCGGGGGGACAAACCAGCAACCACCCACCACGTCTTTTCCGGGGCGAAGATGCTGCTCTGGTTGGGCAGCGTGGGCGTACTATGCTGCAGCTTCACTTGCATTGTGCATAACGCAGACGCGGCACTTGCACATGTTGCGGAGGCGTTGGAAAAACTGTTGGGGGCGGAAGTTGACGTAGGTGCAGCGGCTTGACATGCTGTATTGTCCAATATCACGGGCGTTTTATTAATAGCACGGAGAGATTCTACTTGGTGTTGAGTAGTCACTGGGTGTGGGGAAACAGGGTCCCGCACCGAGCAAACCGAGCAAGAAGCTGCCAAATCAGTTACTCGTCTTTTAGAGAGTGTGAGCTGCTGAAATGGCTTCTGGCTTGTATACGGTCTGCGTTGTCCAGCGTAGGAGGGATGTTCTGGTCGTGTGGCAAGGCTGCGTATAGCAATCGAGTCACAACGGACACTGAAAGATGGTGTGTGGATGGCGAGTAGGAGGCTCGGCGGAATCTGATGCCTCATCTTTTTTAAAGGCATCGCTTCGTCTCCCTGCAGAAGCCAAGCACTAGTCCTAGCAGCGTGGTGGCCAGCGTGGCGTGGACACCTGACGAATGGTTACGGCCAGCGGCCTGCTCGGGGGCTGCTAGAAGGCTGAGTGAGGCTGCATACATTTCATGTCACGGGAATTTCGGACCAAGCGTCGGTGGTGATGCTGTTGTGTCTCTTGTATTTAGTACTGGATTGTTGCCGAGTCGTGGTAGTGTTGTAGTTGGCAGATGTCAGTTTGCTTGCAACAGACGGGGGGTGAGTGTGCGACGGCAAACGTGATGGGAGTACTACAGTGGGTAAGCAAAAGTTACAGGTAAACTCGTTTATCGTCAATCTTTCAAGTATTCTTTAATATATATTTTAAAATTAGCTTTTCTATCAATCTTTGTAGAATATTATGCGTGATATAAATATTTTATATGTATCGAGTTTTTAGATGGCTATTACTTATAAAGTTTGTGTAAATATAACTATATTTAGAATATGTTTGTTGAAGTCTGGACTACTTGTAACTTTTGCCTACCTACTGTATACGCCCCAGGAGGCGACTTACAAGGAACACGATATACATCCCGTAAAATGGATGCATATATAAAAGTTGTTGACAAATCACATGCTAATATGAAATACGTCAATTACCATTGGATAGAAAAGAATAAAGAAAATTGTAGTCTGCTTTGCTACTCTAGTCTAAGCTGTAAATGCTACCGCGTACTCATCATTATCAAGCAAATCTAGCATATATAAGGCGGTTCTCATAAACGCCTGCTTTTACCAAAAACAACATTTTATACCTTGACCTTTAGCGTAGGGACAATTTCGCGCTGCAGCATGCGGCGAAGCTCATCCTGCTCCTGGTCTGATAGACGAGCCTCGCTGCCTTTGCGACGGCGCCAGCTCTCTTCTGTTTCTACCAGCTTGGCATCCTCATCTTTTCCAGTGCCATCGACAAACTTGAATGATCGATATTCGCAATTCTTCCAGTTGGTGGCTATATATATCAATCAGTATACGAACATGTTAACAGCATACAATGCAAAAACATACGGTATGGCATGGGGATGCCCTGCCACTCATCTGAAAGCCAATGCAGGAATCCGCCGTGCGAGACAACAGCAACATGTTCATCACTGTCCAAGTTGGCAATATCTCGAATCAGACGGCGAGATTCCTTGGCGCGGGCAAGAATCTTCTCCAGCGTAGGCTCAAAGAGCTGTCCGTCCATCTTCTGCGTCCACTCCTCGCGGACCTGGCTAAGATCAGCCTTATCGCCAAACACCTCCTTAAGTTTAGCAGGTGACGAGCCAGTATCTGACGGCAAATCGCTAAGTTCTTGGAGAACATCTAGCGCCTTGATGGGGTAGAGGTCGTTGCGGCCAAAAGAGTGGATGGCCGTGTTGAGAGTGCGCGTCATGGGCGACGCAATCAGCTTTGTGAGCTTCTCATGGTGAGGGAACTGAGCACGGAGATCACGGCACTGCTGCACTCCTGTGGGAGTGAGCTCAGGATCGTGCATCGTCTCATTCTCGACGTTGACATTGTGCCAGCCCTGGGCGTGGCGTACAAGATGGATAGTGGGGGCCATTTTCGACAATTGGATGGAGTTGGTGACGGGAATTGACGACAAGAAGAAAGATGCAGCGCGCACTGTTTGTTTTAAAATGATGAGTTGAAGAGTAAACGACTCCGATGTTTCTCGTTTCTCGTTTCCTTCGTCTAGCGAGCGATGACTCTTGTGCCAGCCGGCAGCCTAAAAAATGACCGCCACCTTATCGGCGGGCCGGCCGGCGCCGGAGGCAGGTCGGAGCTGCCCCTCCTGGAACCCCATCCGCACGTGGGGCGGACAAAGTACCGTGATTGATACGAGACTGAACAAGGTATCGTAAAGGCACTTCTGTCGCTTAATCGGCCTATCTTGGCGTCTAACGTGCGGAACGGAGTTGCGGACTCGCCAGTTTAAGCATCATTCGATCCGTGTCTTGCTGGGGTAAATACTAGATGTGGCGTTACGCATGATCATAACAACTTTTGTTGAAACAATAGGCACGGCAATTGAAAATTAAAAAAAATGAAATCACTCTGGGATTGGCTAGGCTGATCTGCTCTGTCTAACTACCTTGATGCTTGCTTTCAAATGGCCGGGATGATATCAAGGCTCGTCAAAAAATACATTTTCTACCATGCTTATAATTCAATCAACGCCTCTTCTTGAGCCGGCGGCGCCTTATGCGGCTCATGCTGCGGCACAGAGGGGAATGAGTCTTGGCTGTATCCCGAGTACGCCCAGCCTTGTGCCTGACCCGTTGGCTGGGGAGGCTGTCTCTGCTGCTGTGGTACGGATGGCTGCCAGTATGACTGCTGCTGTGGAGGGGCTGGCTGTTGCTGCTGTTGTTGTTGGGCCTGAGGTTGATGGGGAGGGTTCTGTGGTGCCGAGGCCACGGGCTGAGACGGAGCAACACCAGTCTGTGATGAAATAGAGCCGCGGTGATATTGTGCAGCCTGTTGCAGGTTGGGATACGGGGACGGGCTGGCGTCCGGTGCAGGTGCAACCGCAGACGGGGCAGATGGCGCTGGAGTTGTATGGGCCGAGTTGTAGTAGTAAGACGCGTGCTGATCGGCACCAGGGAGTGCGGTACCAACTGGTGGTGCTTGGCTAATAGATGGAGTGCGGTATTGCGTTGCGTCAGGCGCATGTCCCGGGGCATATGCTGCTGTCGCCAGTGTTGGTGGGTATGACGGTGCTCCCGTCGCATAACCTGTCGGTTGCTGTCCAGTATAAAACGACTCGGCACCTGGCGCCGACGCCACCCCATTCATAGCCATAGATGGATAACCGCCTGCTGCCTGTCTGGCTCCCGCGAGGCTGTAGCCCAGGTTTTGCTGGTTGTAGGCCTTGGACAGCCTCTCCTCGAGCATTCTGTCGTAATATCGTACCACGGTCGAGAGCTTGGCGTGCAGGTCGAGCAATGTGTCTGTCATACATATTAGTCTACCATTATCTGAAGCCCAGGGTCATCATACTGGCAACTCACCATGTTTGCTCATCGTTTCGCCGTATGTTCGTGCGAGTTTGGGCCGAAGAACTCCAATGCTGTCGTACAATTCTTGGATTTGGGGTTCTCGTAGGATCGTTCCAGGTGGTTGTGTTTGAAGTCGATCTACAAGCGTCGAAAACAGGTTAATGTTTTCAGCTTCGACTGGAGATAGCTCATAGTCGTTCTTGGGCATGGCAAATGTCGAGGGGGCACCAGCGCCACCAGGTGACGACGTTTGAGCCTTGAGTGCCGCTGCATGCTGCTGCTTTTGCTCCTCCATATCTGCCAAAGATGCAGCAATGGCTGCTCTAAGATCTTCGTCATCGTCATCGCCTTGGGCCGCAGTCGTATTCTCGGGTTTCTTGGGTGCAGCCGTTGGGGCTTGGTAACCTGTCGCTGAGTTTACCTCCTCAAGACTCATCGCCAAAGCGCGCTTCAAATCGTCATCAAAAGCATCATCCACGCGAGCATTCCGTGGCTGCATCGCCGACGAGCTTCTGGTTTTATGCGGGTATGTCGGGGAACGATCGCGGGGGCCTTTGGGTCCCTTGCCTGTGAGCTTTGCGTAACAACCATCGTCAACGCGTACAGGTGTAGTGATGCCAAGGTGTGGAAGGGGAACTGTCTTGCTCGAGCACTGCTGGTCAAAGCAGTTACCACAGTTTCGGCAATGATGTTTTCGATTCGTAAACGTAAAGGCCGTGCGGCATCGCATGCAGACTTCTGAATCTGCCCACTCGGGTGGCTGCAAAGGAAGCGCTGTTAGTAATGCGTGACAGTGGTGTCTATGGTTCATTACTTACCGCACTGCTGTCAATCATGTTGCTAGATACAGAAACCTTTGGAGGAAACTTGTATCCTTCTCTGTCAAGGCGATGGTACACCTCGCCAATATACGACAGTTCGTATCGACCCTCGGTGGCGCCGGCCCATGATTGAATAAGCTCTAGTATTTTCTCGCGAACATCGGAATTGATGCTAACATCGCCAACAGCTTGGAGAAGTGAGACCAAGTTGTCCATAAACTCCCGCGACGCAATCTCGACCAGGAAGTGGGAGCCGCCGTTCTTGACACAGGTATCGGTCAACTGTTGTGTGGTTAGCTTTCCAGTATGGGAAACCTAGTCAAATCTTTTGTTCCGAACATACATTTAGTGCGCTGAGTTGCGTGTTTGGATTCTTGTTGCCAATGCGGCGCTTAAGGGATCGCATGGCCTCCTTGGGCGCGGCAGCCTTGGAACGAATGACATCGGAGATTTCGAGGTTTAGAGCAATATCCTCCCTGTTGGAGAGCTATGGTTAGCATGGTAGAGTCATGGGAATGTGTCTGGATAACGTACAAGCTGCTGCTAGTCGCCTTTTCGATCTGCTCGTCGAGGGCCGTGTTGGCCGACGAAGACCACCAGCTCATCATCTTGGGTGGCCGGATGCAGCCTCGCAGCTAGGCTGGGGAAGGGTCGATAGGTTGAGGGCGATGTTGCACCTTCAGATGGCTGAAGTAGCAGTATATATATGTATCCTGTAGATCCTCTCAAATATAAGTAGCTGCTGATAGCAGTGGGATGCAGGCGATGGAAGCGATGAAGTTGGAGAAGCTGCTTGCGTGGTCGTGGTGACGAAGGCGACCAGTGGAGTGGCGTTGCGTCAGAACGGGGCGCCAGCAGACAGGTGACGGGGCGAGGCGCACCGGTTCGGTGCGCGGGTCTGAGTTTCTCCGCACAACAAGCGCTGGAAGCCTGGCCTTGTCTCGTCACAGGCGTGTCGAACCAGGGCGTACACAGGCAGCAACATTGAGAATGAAAAAAAAAAGATATCACTGTATATATTCGATTTTTACAGTATTTGGGTCACTCTCTACTTAAGAATGACAATGAGTTTCAATCATAGCGAGCTGCTGCCGGCTGTTCTGCGACTCACGTACCTGGCGTGGTGTAAGCCACAATGGTTAATATTCCAACTTGTGATAGTGCGCACAAACTGTCTCCTTTGCACTTCTTCCTTATGTTATACCCTGGACGTAATTAAAATACACTAATTAGTGGATTTTACTTCGCCAAAACTACAAAATAGGTACATGTCGCGCGTTTCCGACAGATAGAAACATACAGGGTAGCATTTACAAGTAAACAGCCAGCGTGAGTAGTTACGCATATGCCTCATCCCAACCGCGTTGAAAAGTAAAATCTATACAAGTCCTCTAATAAATTTATCAATAATAGACAAAAATTCTTATATTTTATTCGCATTGTATATTTAACATGATTTGGCGTGTCCCAGGCACTCCGCGCCCTGCGGCTGTCGTTCCTTTAAAGCTTCGCCGCGCGTACGTAAGGCGCTGGCTGCCAGTGACGCTACGTGGAGCTCGCACCAGGAACCGACCCCACGTCGTCACCTCCAAGATTAAGTCATCTGCTCCTACGTGCCGCCCTCGCGCCGTCTGCCTACTACATTCACCAAACGACGGTTATTCTACAGATAAAACACTTGCTATATTTACACCGACTGCTTCAAGCCCTTTAACAGCGTACATAACCTCGACATACACCTCCACCGAGCTGGCCACTGCGACTACCCGCCCCCTCTCCCACCACACGCCGCGCTGCGCCTCGATGCCATGACGTGAACCTAAGCACACAGATCATGAACGACGACGACTCCATATAATACATCAATAAGTTGCTGTCAGAAAAGTCCCGCTCGTCTGCTCTTTCATCCTCCAGCAAACGAAGCCGGCCGCGCGGTCATGGCCTCCAGCCAAGGCAATGCCTCCAGAGGAGTCCCTCTGCCACATATCGATGATCTGGTTGGGTTTCCGCAAGACATCGATAAGAAACAGTCTATAAAACGGTTGCTGGAACAAGCCGAGACGGCACTTCACCAGTCTGAAGCAAGTCGCGAGTTCAACCGCCCGGCAACTGCCTTTAAAGCTTACATCAAAGCCTACATTATTGTTGCGCAGGTAATCAAAGACCACCGTGACTACACGACCTTGACCAGGGATGGATCGAGTCTAGGAAAGGCACATAGTGCGCTACTTAAAAGAATATCACAACAGAGTGACATCTACGAGCAGATCAAACGCGACATTATTGCCGATAACCGTCGAACCGGAGTATTGCCAGCTTCGGGGAGCAAAACCAGCGAACGATCTAATACAAACGGCCATGTCTCACACCAAAGAAGCGAGAGCACAGGCAAAGCGAAACCTGCTGTACAACCCAAGCCGCAGTCATTGCAGGGAAACGCACTCTCTAAACATGGGCGGTCCGCTTCGTCGTCCGTCGTGAACGAAGATCTTGCCGCCAGGTTTGCCAACCTGCGTGGTCCTCAAGCATCAACTGGACAAGATCCACGGATAAAAACGCATAGTCTTCAGCCACTGAAACCTGCTGGCCCAAGAGAAATGCCGACAGCGTCTAAGCCTGCCTCTGACAATGCGCCGGGTTTACCAAAAATGCCCGATGCTATTTATACACCCACCAGAGTGAACTCGTTTGGAGAGGCACCTAGAGCCCCCGCCCCCGCTACTGGGAGAGCGCCCATGGTTCGCCATGGGTCGTCAGCGTCGGTATCTAGTGCTGTTAATACTCCATATGGCTCCGAAGGGGCCGATTACCTAGCCTCAAAACGTAGCCCAACGCTACCCTCTGGACAGACACCGTCACTCAATGGATCTGTACAGTCAGAACCACCTAAACGACCGATGAAGATACCAATTCACGATTCTATCACGCCGGACGAATTAGTTGATTTTATGAAGCAGAAAGGATCACTGCTGATCATCGATCTTCGAACACGTGAGGATTTTAATGAAGGCCACATCATGTCGTCCTCTGTCATATGCATCGAGCCAAATATTCTACTCAGAGAAGACTTATCCGCAGACGATATATCAGAAAGTCTTGTGCTTTCCCCGGCGCCAGAGCAAGCTCTCTTCGATCGCCGCAACCAGTACGACTTGGTCGTTTTCTACGATCAAGACTCTTATTCTATCCCACAATCTCCCCGCAGCTCCGATGATCTGGTTATTGTGTCACTACACCGTGCGCTTGTACATCTCAGCTATGGCCGGGAGCTGAAAACACAGCCCAAGATTCTCAAAGGCGGCTTGGATGCTTGGGTTGACTTGGTGGGAACTGCCGCGCTTCAAGTATCTTCGTCGCCCAACGAACGTAGCAACAAGCTCAACGGCCAGCGACAGGCACCTTTCCAACGACGGCAATCGAAATATCTGGCCCGCCCACTGCGTCCTGAAGAAGCCAAGGTGTGGAAAGAGGCGCTCCAGCAGAATGAGGAGATGAATGCACAGTCACCAACCCTGCATCGCTCTACGGAATCTTTCCTGAGACGATACCCTCCAGTTCTTGCGGAGCGAGAGTCAATGTCTTCTAGTAGTTCATCTGTGGGCAGCAGACCGAAATATGGCACATCCCACAAACATGATCTAACAAGTGATATGCCGTCACCACCAGCCAGACCTGCGCCAGCCGTCCCGAGAACCCATAGCAGCCTGTCTCGAACAACCAGCCATACTGATGAATATGAAGCGAGTCAACCGGAAGTATCCCAACGCCTAGAAGTTGCCAAATACCACACTGGCCTCAACAATCCCCATAACTGGTGCTATGCAAACAGCACGCTGCAGTCACTGCTGGCATCTCCAGATTTTGGAACTGATCTTGCTAACTCGACATGGAAATCACAATACAAGGCGCCGAGAAAACCCAATGAGCCAGCAGAGCACCCTCAAATCATGGTCAACTTTATTTCCAACTTTTTCCATTGGATGCGCTCTGGCAAATTCCCTGTCATGAAGGCCCAGTTTCTAATGGTAAATCTAAAACCGTCACCAGCCTATCTCATGACCAGCTACTAACAGACGTGACAGGGCTACTCCCAGGATGTTTGCAAACGAAACCACTCCAGTGCCCAGTTTGGTGGAACTCAGCAACAAGATGCCCAAGAGTTCATGTCCTTTGTCATGGAGCATATCCACGACGAAACAAACTCGAGGCGCGACCATCAGGGCAACCCAGCACAGCCCAAGACCTCGCAGCCTCTTATTATGGCAGCAGCCGAATACTGGCGCAACCACCTCCAGTATAACCAGTCCATTATTGACCGATACTGGCGCGGGCTTGAGCTTTCCACGGTGGACTGCTCACAGTGCCACACCAAAACGTACACGTATTCACCGTTTGAATGGATCCCGGCACCTGTCAATACGAGCCGCGTCCATACGTTGGAGCAAGCCCTCCAGCAGCACATAGCAAACAATACTCTTGATGACTTCTCCTGCGACAAATGCCGCTGCAAGACTAAGGCCACACAGTCGATTTCTTTTGCTCGTCTCCCGCCTCTCCTCTGCGTTTGCTTCCGCCGCTTCAACTACAACCAGTCCACGGGCGATATTCGCAAATCGACGGCACCCATTACGTGGGACTTTAACGATTTTGATTTCTCGCCGTACTTCCTTGACGGCGGTGTCTCCTCTGCGCCGCCACCCTCACCAGGTGCATCCCCCAACCCGTTTGAAGGCCCCTTCAAGTACGAATGCTATGCTGTCATTGTACACGCCGGTAGCCGCACCGACAACGGCCACTATTTTGCCTACGTGCGCGATTCAAGTACACACGATCCATATGCATGGCTCAAATGCGACGACAGCCGCGTTACAAAGTGCCGAATTGGTAGCGGCGACCGCGATGACGTCCAAGGCGAAGTCTTTAAGTCTGGTCAAGACCGAGTGCCATATCTGGTCTTCTTTAGGCGCAAAGGCGGCAGTAGCAGCGGTGCCCCTTGATGGTATATCCTTTAAACAAATATGACATTTCCCATTAGCATGCCTTGCGTACTCCGTTCTTCATCTTTGCATCATAGAAACGATAAGCGGCATTTTGCTAGGAGTTTGATTCTGAGCTTTCATGACAAAATTGGTTAGCTGTTTATAGCGCGAGCCGTATTTATACGAATTTGCATTCCAATTTCTTGTACATTTCTTTGCCTCGTAGCAGATGGGACATATGTATGTATCATAAAAGTGTTTGTTTTGCGCTAATGTACGCTTTACGGAAATAAATTACAAAAAGAGATGCAACATAAAGAGATAGAGCAGACAGACACCGCGGATGGTACAACATCGCAGTTGAATAAAAACAAAGTCCAGCATCCGTGATAAAATCATCGCATATAAAAGTCCAGCCAAGTGAATAATGAAAACAAAAACGCAACACACTGGGAATCGTCGTGGCTCATGTCGAAAATCACAACGGCGGTATCAAGTAACAATGCGTCATCTTCATCCACAGACGCCCACAGCCCTCCCAAAAGCCCTACAGCTTCTGGGCAAATTTATCATAGTACATTCGATTTAAGCAACGGTCTTGAAGCACTCGTCGATCTGCTTCTTGTAGAACTCGCGGATGACGCGGCGGTTGAGCTTCTGGGTGGCGGTGACAAGGCCCTGTAAGACGAGAGTGGTTAGTATTGACATCTTTGGTGCGGGATAGGGAAGAAGAACTTACAGTAGGAGGTGTCCACTCTTCCTCAGTGATGACAACGCCGGCAACAGTCTCCATGCTGACGAGTCCAGCGGCGCGGGCAGTGTTCTGGAGGTCCTTGAGGACGGCAGCCTTGACCTTGGCGTCGGTGTGCATGCTGTGCTCATCAACACCGAGCTCCTTGGCTCTCTCGATGAGGACCTTCTCGTTGGGCATGATGACAGCAATGGGGCGGCTGTGCTCAGAGTCGGCGTGGACCATGACGTTGGCGACGGTGGGGGCGCCACGGTAGACGGACTCGAGCTTCTCGAGGGCAATGTACTCACCACCCTGCATCTTGACGAGGTTCTTGACACGGTCAATGACCTTCAAGTGACCGTTGGCGTCGAACTCGCCAATGTCACCAGTCTTGAACCAGCCGTCGGGGGTAAGGGCCTTGGCGGTCTCTTCGGGGTTGTTGAAGTACTCCTTCATGATGGGGGCACCCTTGAGGAGAATCTCACCCTGGGGAACCTTGGCGTCGGTAGAGTAGCCCAACTCGGGGATGGAGACGAGCTTGACATCGATAGCGGCAGGGATAGGGCCAATGGCGTCGGCGGTGTACTCGAGGGGCGAACCGAGAGAGCCGTTGGCGCAAGTCTCGGTCAAACCGTAACCAGTCAACATGGGAGCCAAGACGATGGAAACAAAGTGCTTGGTGCTGGAGGCGATACCACTGGCACCGTTCATGGTGAATCGAAGGCGACCACCAGTCAGCTCACGGACCTTGCTGAAGACGATGCCGTCGAAAAGGCTGGCGCCGGGAAGCTTGTTCTTGGTCATCCAGGTCTTGTAGCTGAAGGCACCCCAGAAGAGGTTCTTGAGAAGAGGGCTAGAGCTGTCAAGCTTGGCCATGACGCCTTTGCGGATGGTCTCCCAGATCTGAGGGACACCAACCATGACCGTGGGTCTCAGCTCACGCATGTCACCAGCGCAGTTCTTGACGGAGGAGTCGGCGAGCGTACGGGGGTTACCGTAGCCGAGAGTGCCACCAATGTAGAGGACGAGGTTCTCGAGGGCCATTTCGAGAATGTGGGCCAAGGGAAGGTAGGCAAGAATGACTTCCTTGTCGCTGACACATTCCTCAACGCAGGTGTAAAGACCAGTAACTAGCGAAAAGAGTTAGCAACATTGTCTCGAACAGTGAAAGGCGCCGCAGATAGTTTGTGTCAGCTATTTACTTACCACCAGCAACGAGAGACTCGTGAGTAATGCAGGCGCCCTTGGGGAGACCAGTGGAACCGGAGGTGTACATGATGCAGAAGAGGTCCTCAGCCTTGGCAGGGCTAGGCTCGACCATGTTCTGCTTGCCGAGCTCGCAAAGCTCGTCGTAGGTGATGACTTTGAGGTCGGGGTTGGCGGTCTTGAAGGCCTCAAGCTCGTCGCCAGCGGCGAAGACACATTCTTGGTTGACAATAACAGTCTTGACCTTGGACTTCTTGATGGGGCCGCTGGCAGTCTTGAGCAGGTGAGGGTCAACGTACATGGCGCTGGCGCCAGTTTCGAGAAGGGTGTGCTCGAGGCCGCTAGCGCCAAGAGTGTCGTAGGCAGTGACGATGGAGATGGCTTGCGAGGCGCAGCCGTGGGACATGGACATCCAGTTCAAGCTGTTTGGAAAACCGTCCTGTTAGCAGAGGGTCGCGGCGGGAAGCTGGTGGCGTCATGGGCGCACGCGGAGTTTGCGGGCTTACCTGGTGGTACCAAAGAGATGGAGCTTGTGCTCGGAGTCGAGGCCAAGCTTGCGCAGACCAGCACCAATCTGGAGGACGCGCTCCTCATACTGCTTGTAGGTGAGGAATTCGAACTTGGTGAGCTCAAAGAACTGCCACTCCTTGTCGACCTCGACAACCTGGCCGTCAACGTTCTTCTTGACCTTTTTTGTTTCCTTGTGCAGCTTGACGAGCTTGCGGCCACCGAGGGCGTTGTGGTTGGGGTAGACGCGGGCGCTGCGACGGATGATGTCGAAGACGGTGTGAATCTCCTCTGAGGGACGGTTGAGCAGGCCGTTCTTGGCGCGAGGATGACGGCGAGGGATGGTCTCGCCAGCAACCTTTTCGTAGCCAGGCGCCTCAATGCTGTAGGGCGGCTTGTGGACGGGGTTAAGGGGCATGATGCCCACTGTGTAGTCGGTCATGATGGCGGTAGGTGGTGTAAGAGGAACGAAGGGAGAATTAGAGATTAAAAGGCTGATGCGGTGGATGGATGGGGAAGAAGAGAAGAAAAGAGATAAGTGGAAGAGCACAAGATGGAAAAGCACGGCGCAGCTGGGTGGCAGGAGATTGGGGTGAGTGGGTGCTGGTGATGTAATAAAAAGAAGAGGAGCAGAACAGGGACACGGGAGAATTTCACGGGCGAGCCGTGCCCCAGACAAGGCCAGACGCCGAGGAGGAGGAGGAGGAGGCCCAGTGGGTGGCTGGCCCCAGCTGCAGGTGCTGCTACAGTGGCCGCTGCTCTTTTTTTTTGTGCCGCGGCGTTGCCCAGCAAGCCAAAATGCAACCCAAAATATGGGGCGGGGCGACCGTCTGGGGTTGGAGCTTGGAGCTTGGCCGGCGCGTCGGCCCCTGGCGCAGGCGCTAACAAACGCTACGTGCAGGGGGGAGTGGGCTTGGTGGTGGTGGTAGTGGACGGGAGGCGAGAGGGGAGGATGGCCTTGTTCTACAGCGGGAGAGCGCTGCCCCCAAGTCTTCTTTAGCACGCATGCCCTGTGAATAGTGCTTCATGAGCGCTGGCTACAGTATGAGACAACGCGCCCAAGTGGCATGTCTCTCTTACATCGCCAAGCTGAATTGCGTCGATTAAAATTTCATCAAATTTATCCTTTTACTTTATTCTTCCCAGTATCCCTACGTGGCCTTATTCTTTTTGCCTTCTCAACCTTTGTGATTCGCCCCCGCCAGGCAGAAACTCTGCCATAGGCGTCTTGCTCACCCCGCGCCAGCTGAAGCTCTGCCCCAACAATCCTGTCACTTGCCGGCTGCCAGTGCTGCCAGCTGTGGCCAGCTGCCCCAACCCATCGCCAATCCTTCCCCCCTCCACCCCAAGAAGAAGTTTATCGCACCACCACCCACTGACGCGAGTTAGCCGTTCTTTGTCCCGGCCCTCCGCTCCATGGACGTGGCTGTCGTTACGCAAAGAAACTGCTGTACTCGACATGAATTTATGTTTTCAACAACTTGTTGACAGCAAACACAATGCGGCTGGCTTGGAGACAGCCGGCAACCACTTCGCCCGTCGGCTGCAAGCACATGCAAACATTCAATAAACTGTCACTGAAACTGTACCGCACCGAACTACCCGCTGGGTCTGCTTCCACCAAACTCTTCGACCTACGAGGTCGTTTCCCAAGGCTCGGCGCTTGTGGCTTAATAGCGCCACAGAGCCTGCCCCCGCCCGCTTGCCTGCTATTTGCGCTGTGTCGTTAATCTATCGGTGCACTTCATTTTTCTCGACCTGCTCAAGGTGTAAGTAACGTGTGCCGCTGTGCTATCAGTATGGCTAACTATGGGCCATGTTCACTATTAATTTGACTCGCATATGTCCCCTAACAGCAAACTGGCACAACCCATCACTAGAACCTGTCATCCCGCACGCTTTCCGGCTGGTCTCATCAACACTCTAACGGCCGCCACGCGGGATGCAGTTGCATCGGGGGGATTGCTAAAATGGGATCCTTCGTACCGTTGGCTTGCGCTTCATGGTATTGCTGTACTTACTGGTGGTGTGCGGCTACCCACTCATGCCATAGCTGAACGCCTCTGTCTGTTGCCAAGGGGCAGCTAATACAGCATGTATTGGGGGGGCATACAGCAGGGTCTGTTGGGTGAAATCGTGGCGCTCATAGCTCCAAATTTGGTTCCCAGCTTCCCAAGGCACATGCCAGGCCGCGGCTTGTCCGTTGTCACCATAATTAATGCACGGCGCTGCTGCTCTCCGGGCGTCCCACAGCGAGCGGCGCCAGGCCCGGAAGCATTGTCCGATCAGGGCAAGACTCTCCACTCATCTCGGCCAAATTGTCCAAGCCAGTCGTCTGGTGTTGAAACTAGGATGGACATGTTCGGATTGAGCAAGAGGAGAGCCTATCGCCAATGGACAAAGCCCCATTCACCTTTGGGATATTGCCTTTAGGCTAAGCAAAAGATGCTTCGTTGCGTTCTTGGTGAAATTCGCCCGCCAAGGCCAAGGCTTCAGCACATGACCCAGCCAGTCTACATAGAGCAGCGCAGTCCTCCCTAATCTGTGCCATCTGCGATCTAGACTCTACAGCTAAAGTTAGATATGGTCAAACCAATCGAAACGAGAGTATTCTGAGCCCACACGGATGAGCTCTAAATTCGACACCCTACATTTACAACAGATACGCCGTTGACTGCTTTTCACATGCTCCAGCAGACAAGCTCCGCACACTGTTACCACTGTGGCTTCGGCGGCGGGCACATGCGGGAACAGAGCAATCTTGCGCTAGCTGGCCTCGCTTACCCTACTCTAATCAACTGTATTGCAGGGATGTCAGACGCAGGTTTTTTTTGTAACAGCCTGGTCCAAGCTTTTCATCAACCAAGATCCCGATGGTCAAAAAAAATTCCGCGATGACGGCGCTTCAATGCGGGTCAGGAGAATTGAGCTCCGTGGTAAACACCGGCGAGACCGGGACAGGGGCTCAGTCTCGCACCGAATGCCCGTGTCTGCGACGAATATCGTATCCGGGCGATCTTCCGCATAGTTGTGCATATCCTGAGATTGCTGTGAGCCGTTGCAGATCCACTGACGGGCTACCGCCGAGGCAAATTTAGCACATGATACACAACTCTGGAATGATTTGGCTCCGAAGAGTAGCCTTTTGTGACCTCGCTGTAGCCACTGCTAGCATATGATTATGATGGTTTGCACAGGTGCTGGTCTTTGACGGCAGGCACTGCCTCTTAGGTGCACATCTGCGGTCCAATTGGCACTACCTGATATCATAGATCTTTCCTAACATCACATATCAATAGCTAGGCGCCTGCTATAAGACCTTTAGCCTACACACCAATCCCGCTTCTGCACTTATTACGCGCCGCTAGGCCGGCGGAGACCACCTATCTCACCCCTGTCTTTAATACTCTTCACCACCACTTGAGGCTCTGTTATAGTTATAAGGTTATTACATCAACGGCAGTTAACGACTGAATCCTGATAGCCTCGACGATTGCGCCGTCCTATCAAGCAAGGACTGCAGAGCATCGTTTATAAAACTGAACCCCGTTTCTAGTGGAAAAATGATAGCGCCTACTTATCGGCCGAGAGTGGATTCAGCTATTACCACCGAGTTGGTATCCTGGCCTACACTATCCACGAGCCAAAAGCGGCACCTCGTGGCAGTTATAGGCCTGAAGACGACAAAGGAATTTTCGTACTTTTAGAAAATGGACAAATAGAATGGCCTACACGTTTCTACATCTCGAGGTGCTATTCACCGCCCTTTCCCCCTTTTTCTACTTCTCTCCGCGCTAGTCACGCTGGACCTTTTCCACTTTGCCAGCGCGCAAGGGGGAAAGAGACAACGCCACCAATACACCTCTCATCGACTTTCCCCAGCATCGTGGTCGTGGGGTAGATTTTGAACCTTAGCGACCTGCAAGGCGACGATTTAGGAAAAGTCCAAGGCTGGTTCGCATGTTGGCTTGCAAAGGAATTCTGGCTATAAAGGCGGCACCCAGTTCCTTCAATTGGGCGCTGCCGTTGTTCTCTGCTAATGAAATTTTTGATACATTGTAATACACCCAACCTAGTATCCTACGCCTTTACACACCGTCATCATGAGAATGTATTGGGAAACCGACGATGAAGTCATTCTTCAAGGCACAGACTATCGCGACAAAGATCTGCTTGGCTTGATGCGATGCGGCAAGAGCCCATTTGACGGAATTTGGGACAGCATGCGCCTTATCCAAGAAATAGAAGAGTGCTTAAATGTCCAAGTGGTTGATATACCGCGCGTCTACAATGGGCGCTACAACTATGTAAGCAAAATTAGCAGTGTGATGGAATTGTGTTGCTGACGGAACCAAGGGGTTTCATCTGATACTCAGCAACAGGCAAGAGGTTATTGCCCGTCTGGCCCAGACCGATGTGAATGCACCGTATTATAGCGGTAAAACTGCAACTGATTTGGCTGATCAGGTCAGATTTGAAGTGGAAACAGACAGACTTCTCAGAGCAACACCCTCGATACGCGCTGCTCGTCTTATATACTATCGAACCCCTCACCAGCTTGAGGAGGAGCTATTGGACTGCCCTAGAAATATTTCGGGTCGAATGCTACTGGTGAATCAAAAGTTGCCAGGTAATAGCAATGTTTGGAGTACTTTCAACGCCACCCAAAAGGTACGCAAACTGGTGTCGCTTGTATACGTCTAGTCACTAAACTCCTTGTTAGAAAGCATTTCTTTCCCAAGCAGCTGTAATCAGGGCTGCTAAATTCCATCTGGAACTACCAGCAGGGTTCGTTTCTTCTTGGTACTATAACTATGTCGCTGCTCAGGCCAGCCGACCAATTGACATCTCCAACATGACACCCCGAGAGATTTGTATGGCCTGTGTCGCAATCAGAATCGAGGCGGTGATGGGTAGAGTAGGAGAAGATGTCTACGAAAACTACACTTCTGGAGTCTCGGCTGTAGTCATCAAGCGAAAACTACTACGGTTACTACCTCATCTACTGTCTGAGAATGATTTTCTCTATCGGCCTGTACTGGAGCACAACTACTACGGAGTTCAACACATGAGTGTTGTGACAGACGAAAACGGGGTGCCAACAATTACATCTGTCTATGACTGGAAGAACGCCGTCGTACTACCAGCAATTCTATCCAATCCAGTCTTGGCAGTAACCGTCGATCTGGTGCTGAACGAGAATGTCGAACCACATTTTTCAAGAGCGGCGCTTTTGGCATCTGACAACAAGCGAGCACAGTACATGTCGTGGTCCGAAGACTATTTTGAGGTAATACTAGCTGCTGCTGAACTGCATTCATCCTGTACTAACGCCTTTCCAGGCACTTTTTGAACATGCACCAGATTACGAAAGAATAATGAAGACTGGGAAGGATGTTCGCTATGTGTGGTTCACATTGGGAAAATGGCGCGGCAACAATCCTGATTTCTTCTTTACCACTCTCGCCGAGTGGGTTCAGAAGAAGATGGTTGAATTTGATCTTGAATGAAGGGCGAAGGATAAAAGCACTTGATTTGTATTTGTATTCTTTGGTGTATCTGCTAATGTTTAAAAGAGACCATTATGAAGTTACTCTGTTAAGTAATCTCCCTGTATACAGGACATAAAAATGTGATGGTTCTCATTCATAGCCTTTCCAGGAGTTGCAATGGGGGAAGTTGTAGTCAGAGCCAACGGGTTAGTATTGCCCAGTTGAATCATTAACTGGTAACCAGTTTTCACAACAGGAATGGTATACATACTGTAGGAAGCAGGGTAGTCCCAGAAACGCGTTTGATTCACATAGCACCAATCAGTGGTTAGAACCCACCTGTCTTCCTGGATCGTTCCATTAGGTAGAGTGGTTGTTGTGTCAGTGTGGCACTGGCTGATGACTGTATCATTGAATTCGTAGGTCTTGGTGACACCACAGGTAGTCTTAGGACAGGTGTAGCAAGGTGCGTACTCGTCACCAACAAGACTGCAGATGAGGTATCGTCGTGAAAGGCTGTGTCGCTTGGTCTGAGAATCTACTGGAAATCGAGGACCACAATCAGGGAGATCCCTGCGATCTATACACGTCAGATAGTTAGGATATATTGGGTATATGTTGGTAAACCTGTGATGGACGGTGATGCACTTACCAGGAGGAGACCACAGGTCAGTTTCGCGGACGAAGCAATCGTCTACAGTTTTGTACCAGTTGCTGCCGCTATATGTGAGCTTTGTAGCACTGAAAAAGTGTCAAGCATAACTTACTCATTTTCCAACAGCTCCTGCCCTTTTGTAGAACATGTGACAGTAATGTTCTGGTCGCGGCCGTAGAACTGGACATCCTCATCTGTTGTGTAGGGACTCGCTTTGCATTCACTTAGGTAGCGAACTTGAGCCGGTTCGCGGTAAATGTCCATAGGAATTTGACCACAGTACTTGAGGTCTTCCGTAACTATAGATGTTGTGATTAGTTTTTGGGATTGTTAGATTCTGCTGAGGGATTGAATCTCACTATCACCGTCTTTGTATTCGTTGAAGCCATATTCATTGGTATAGCAGCCTTGCTTGATGTAGACTGTTTCATCATGTTCAGTTAGCAGATCAGTGCATAATACAAAACTTTATAAGTATAACTCACACCAAATGTTGGTGTCTCCTCTTGTGCTCCCGCTGTAGGACATTTGCGTTAGTAGGCTGGTTGTTTTGTCTGCTAATCTGGTCTAGGAGTGCCTTACTTGGTAAAACACGTTGTCGTAACATTTTCCTGGCTGTCAACGGCGTATTTATTGACACAGACTCCATAAGGGCATGTTTTACAGTCGTTTGGATATTCGGAAGTAAAATTGACCGACAGCTCGATAGCGGCGGCGGCAGCCGTAGCCAAGGCCAACCAGGCGAGCTTTAAAAGAGGCATACTTTGGTAGATGGGCGATGGCGATCAGAAACGAAGGGGGCTCAGCAAGTGTATTTTTATCTTAAGGACAGGAAGTAAGACGGCTTTATGCAGTCCGACTGGACATCGCGCAGGGGCTAGTAGGTCCCTACTCTAACTGCAATCCTTCTTAGTCTCGAACATGGTCTTGCGCTGCACCAGTGTTAACTATATCTATTAGTCGCAGGAGCTGAAGGAGCTAATGCAACGCTGGGGCCGGTACCAGTGAAGAGCTTCATCTCTAACTGAAGGTTACGAGAGGAAACGAATAATGACTCAAGCGTTGAGAGTGATTGGCAGACACCGGACGAATAAAAAGACAGACTACATGGTTTATGTATTTTTTAAATAATATCCACATATTTCTACGGAGCCGTATTTGATTTGATGCGGCACTGCCACTGCGATCGGGCGTCGTTGGAGATCAACGACGGGGCTTCCGTTGGTGTCTCCCGTGGCTCTCCGAGGGCGCTAAACCCCTTTTGGGGGAGCATTTCGACAAAGCATCCTCCTGTGACGCGGCTCAGCCCTGGCTGGGGGATTCATGGTAATCTAGTGCCAGAGCCCGTAAAGGCTGATATCAGCCCTATACTTTTCCGTGGCGCACTCGCATCCATGTTTCCTTTTTCTTTCTTCATCTTCATCTACAAATCTACCAGAAACAAAGACTCACCTATTTGAGCTTTGACATGGTGTTCAGCGGTCGACTTTCCAAGGCCTGCGAGGAGTGCCGGGCGAAGCGGCGCAAGGTGAGTCGGCACTGACTGCTGCATCAAATGATGTCACTGACACGCATATAGTGCGACTTAGTAAAACCAGGATGCAGCCAATGTGCCCGAAAGGGCCTCCCTTGCCCGGGATATCGGGACTTGTCCAAGCTGCGCATCAGAGATGAGACGATCCGCGTAAGCGAAGCTGTGTGCAAATCCAACAGGATACCAACAAAGCACCAGATTGCAAAGGTACCAGCCAAAAAAATCATCTATGAGGAATCAACAGCGGCTCTATATCCCATGATTTGTCTATCTCAGCTTACCAAAGACTGCGCCATGGCTTTTTTCATGACGTCTTACATCAACTCTTCCATCTTCGAGTCCTATCTGCCCGATTTATATGCCCAGTCACGCTATGAGAAGGACTGTCTGCGACTCGCCACAGAAGCTGTAGCAATTGCCACATTTGCTCATCGCATACGGAGTCCCAAATACGCTATGCACGCAAGGAATACTTACTCCAAGGCTTTGGCGCAAACCAACGCAGCCATCGCCAACTCCGACACAGCCATCCTCGATAAAACACTGGCAGCAGTCTTGTTGCTAGGTTTGTTCGAGTCGGTGGCCTTCCAAGGCGATTCGTCACTGAACAATTGGACAAGTCACACATTCGGAACATTACAGCTCCTACGGCTTCGGAACAAGACGAAACCCGAGAACCTGCAGCTCGCAAGGCAGCTATTTATCCATGCATCCTACAACATTCGCATAAGTTGTCTGCAGAAAGCGAAACCTGTACCCAAAGAATTAATAGACTTGGAGCCCCTGGCGGCCGACGGTAATGACAGCAGACCTCTTGCTAAGCTAGTTCCCATGTTGGACCAAGTCGTGGCCATTCGCTGCAAAGCTGCATTAGGGAGAACCCCTGAACTTGTACTACAGGCGCTGGAAATGGATACAGAGCTGGGCACTTTTGCGTCGGCACTGCATGAGGGCATGCCGCTCACACCAGACGCTGACGGCACTGTTCCACTTGTACAGTACAAGGATTTCATGAATCATGCCTTTGCCAATCGAAGAATCGCAAAATACAACAACTCAGTTCGCATGATGCGGCTCTTTTTGAATGATTTTATTTCGCAAGGTGCTGCGGCAGTTGAGGCCGAAATGGCTGGGTACATGCCGCTCTTCGAGTTTGGGCTGGGAGACTTGCAGGCGACAGCAGCCAACAACATTATGCAGATTACAAGAGATGTGATACAAACTATACCAATGTATTTGGAGCACAAGGACAAGGGTGGCAAGTTTGCCCCGTCTGCTAGAGTCTTGTTTTGGCCGCTTAGCGTGACGCTCAGCTGTACCGCGTGTCCAGAGCCTGTCAGAGCGCTGATTGGCGCGCATTTGGATAAGATGGGATCTGATTTGAACTTTCCGCAGGCGGCAGCTGCAGCTAAAGTGCAATTGATGGACGATACCGTTACGGGTGCAAAAGATTGGTAAGTAGTAGTCAAAACAAGCGTGTGTTAATGGTCTGGCAGCTAACAACAATGGTATACAGGTTACATTTGAGCTATCTTGGATAGATACTAAACAGTTCTATTGCATTAATAATTTATGCAGAGATTTCTGCGCATTGATCAACTCAAATTGCAATCATCTGTTGGTATTTCAAAGCAATCGGCAAGTGAAGCTCACTGTGTATCCCAGTTGCGTCCAGCGCGGCTAAGTGATGCCCATGACGATGATGTGATTGACGGGAAAAACGCTTATCTCTGCAAAACTTTTCGCCCTGATCTCATTTTTTCTTATTTTTATCGTGCACGGTCCCGCAGTATCGGCCCGTCATCCGGTGATGGCACGTAGAACATGTGTGGTTGCCCCATTCGGCAAGTCCGCTGTGGTTTCGTCATTATTAAGCTTGATAGCTTACAAATTGAGGGGAAGCTCCCTCACCTTGGTTTCACCCCACCAAAGCTCTGCATAGCCAACGCACTGCACCATCAATAGGAAAAGGCAATTAAAAAATTTACTGCAGCTTGGGTTGCATGATACAAGAAGGCACGAATCCCGTCCATCTCATCGTCTCGTAGAACATCTCACCATTCAATTGATCATCTTCATACTTTCTTCCACTTCATCTTGAAACCCAACAATGGCTACCTCCAAAGTCTTCGTCGTTGGCCCTGGCTATGTTGGCCGTGAAATCATCGATCTCCTCCGTGCTGAGGGAAAATACGATATCACCACTCTTGTCCGCCGTGAGGCTGCTGCCAAGGAGTTCCAGCAAGATGGTATGGTGTGTCCGATGCTTTGTAGACAGACCAATCTAACCAGAGCTTTACATAGGTGTCAAGGCTGTGCTCGGCGATCTCAACGACTCCAACGTGATTGAGAAGCACTCTGCCGAAAGCGACATTGTCTTCCACACTGCTACTGCTGACCACTTGGCCTCGGTCCAGGCCATCTTGAAGGGCATCCAGAACCGTGCTGATGCCGGCAAGCACACCATCTACCTGCACCAGAGCGGTGCTAGTGTTCTCAGCGACACCAGCCCCGGCAACAACGTAAACAACGATATTTACTCTGATAAGACGGCTGCCCAGGTTGACAGTCTCTCTAATACTGCGCCTCATCGTCAAATCGATCTTGGTAAATAAACAACCCTAAGCCGTTTACTTACACGACCAACCATCCTTGCTAACACGACATCTCGTACAGCCATTGTAGATGCGAGAAACAAGCTTGGTAACAAGGCCAAGATCTTTGTCTGGATGCCCCCAATCATCTACGGCAACAACCCCAAGTATGGCCGTCTCTCGATTCAGATCCCGGCTTTGACCCGCTACGCTCTGAAACACAAGCAGGCTGGTTACGTTGGCACTGGTAAGAAGACGTGGTCTGTTGTTCACGTTCTTGATCTCGCTAGGGTACGTTTCTGTTTTCTTAAAAAGAAGGCTCATAGTTACTATTTTCAACTGACATCAACTCGCAGGCATATGTTCAGGTCGTGCACTGGCTGGAAACCGCCTCTGACAGCGACCCCGAGCTGCAAAACCCGTACTTCTTCTGCGAGAGTGGCGAGACAACCTGGGGTGAAATTGCCAGCTTTATTGGCAAGGGACTTCACGCCGCCGGCAAGATCGACACTGCTGAGACAGTCGCTATTCCCGAGGCAAACTTTGGAGACCTCTTCAGGGGGCACACACCTGATGTCGTCGGCTGCAACTCCAGAAACCGTGGTGATCGTCTACGTGCTATGGGCTGGAAGGCTCAGCAACTGGGCATCAGTGACTCCTTCCATCAAGAAGACCTTCCGGTCCTCCTGGCAGAGTCTGGACCCTTTAAGGCATCCGAAATGACACTCTCCTAAACTTTATGAAATCCTAACGAATAATATAATATATATACGATACTATGCTAAAACCAATATGCTATTGACAAACTTTGCACATGCAACAACAACCACGCACGGAAATGGTTACAATTATTCCACCACAGGGCAATGATCATAGTTTCCGGGACCGCTGTCACCACCCCAATTACCCCACCAAACCGGGAATGGAGAGCTATTGCCACCAGCGCCAAAGACGGAAAAGGACAGAATAAAGAGAGTGGTCAAAGCTGCACCGTCCCAAGCAGCAGTAACAAGGTATGAGTAGTCCTTGAAGATTCTGGGGCGGTAGTTTCGCAGGTAAAACTGGACGTAGAAGCCCGCAATGATTTGACTAAAGATCACGCAAGTTTGAGACTGGTTGTAGGGGATGAAACCTGCATACTGGAGCAGCTGAGCGGTGTTGATGTCGGCGATTTTGAAGTTGCGAATCTTTGGGACGAACTACAGTATCTCCTGTATTAGCTTGGTTTCTTGAGGCTTCTGAGATACCACGACTATACTTACAATGGTCAAAATACGTTGGAAGACGACGATTCCGGCACCAATCACAAGACCCAAGGGTACAATGGCATATCTTGCTCCGGTGGTATACAAGTACTTGGCTAGAGCCCACGATGTGGCGTTGGTGTTGTATGACTGCAAAGTTGCACCACTCCAGGAGGCATTGCCATTCTTGTCAACCAAGAGAGTGCGTTGGGAGGCCACGATCGAAATCATAACAACGTAGTTGACAATAGCACCAAGAGCCGTTCCATACAGCTGAGTCAGGAACATGACTCTAGGAGGGACTTTGACTGCAAAGGGGGTTTAGTACACATACTGAGTATGCATCAGGGACGGCTACTACTTACGGTACTCGCCCATCTTAAGATCGCTCGATAGGTTGACACAGTTGGCAATCATGCTGTGGGACCACGCAGCAAAGTACATATTACCAATGGGACGGCCAGGAAGCATCAGGCCAGCAATCATCTTAGACAAGTTGTTGGTGGCGATGCCGTTGCCAAATCGTGCAAGGAGGAGAACACTCTATGATCTTGTTAATAGGGGACGAGCAAGACTTGGTGGTGATGCAGGGAACTTACAAAGGGTGCAATGACGGCACCAAGGATGATGGAGACAACATAGGCCCAGGCTGGGAGAGTAATGTTTTCCTTGAGGACGACTGCGAGACCAATGACAAAGCTGCCCACCAGAACAATGCCATACCACCACCATGGAGCCTCCTTGTACTTTTTAGCCATGTGGGCGTGGTGTCTGTCGTCAAAGCGGCCCTCTCGAGCGCTCTTGAAAGACTTGACAACATCCTTACCCCAGAAAAGGATAACATGTGCGATGAGAGCACCAATCTACCAAATAGTTAGTTACGTCATTCATATCAAGATGGAGAGTTGGGGTCGACTTCTTACACCGGCATTGGCCATCAGCATAGCGTACGCAAATGAGCCTGTCAAACGAGGCACTCCGGCCTTTTTAAAAGCGACCTCATCGAGGACACCGCCGACAAATACTTTGCCGACAGGGTAAGCCCCGCCGCCTTCCGCACGAAGGCGTGTTGACATGAAGGGTTGGGAACGTGAACCCCATACATCATTGTAGTAGATGCCAAGCATGGCAAGAAAGCAGATGAGGAAGCCGACAGCAGAATGGACCTGCATTTTAAGGGGAAGCGAAGTTGCAGCCGTTGTAATCTATGGCATGTTAGTCATCATAACTCCTTAACCAAGGAATGATTGGATTTCTTACGTATTGCCAATCAAAGGACACGGAAAAGAGACCGAGGCCTTCATTGTTGGTGGCACCACCAAAGAGGTTGGTCAGGATAGCCCCCTTTGCGCCTGTTGCATTCATCGCAGCCAGGCAGGGGATGGAAACCGAGTTGAGCCAAGGAATGATGTACGCTGGGAAGAACTCGTAAGCAAACATGGTTCCAAAGGCGTACCAGAAGTATCGCATGGGCTTGGAACTTTTGGTTTCTTGCCAGTGGAGGCCCTGGATAGTCTTGACAGTGGGAATGTTGGCCCAGTAGACGGACTCGACGTGCCAGACCGAGATGGGGCGGAATAGACCGCACAAGCCGTATCCGAATAAGCCGATGGACATGGTGCTAAGGACAACCGTGGTGGCACTGATGGGCAAGTCATAGAAGAGCTTCTGTGCGGTGAAGACGGTGATACTGGCAGAGGCATTGGAGGCAGAGTTGGCCGTGATGGCGCAAACCGCGTGTTCTTTGAGATTCCATCGCCCGCCGTTGACGAATAACCAGAATCGAATCCAGAAGGGTGGCTTTCCTTGGCCACCTTTCTCACGCCACTTGACTTCGAGCAGATCACCACGGGGCAGGAATAGTGCCCAGGCCAAGCCAAGAAAGTAGGCGATGAGGACGATGAAGATACCCGAGATACCAACCTGGGTAGGTTTGAACTAGTGGTTGAATTCCGTGTCAGCCAATCGGACGGTCTCCGATGCTGCTTATGGGATGCTTACTGAGTAAATCTGGCTCATGGCGGCCTGGAAAGCAGACAGACCAGATGCCAGGAAAACGGATCGGAAGGTCAAGGCCGCTTCACCATCATCGCGCAGGGGCAGCAAGTGCTTGGCTGCAAGCTCACCCGTGTTGATGATGACCTCGGCCTCTGAATCCTCTGAAGAAGAGACTGGGGTGATTTCTTTTGTGTCCGCAATAGCTGCCTGCTTTTCAACAGTGATGTCCGAGTCGGACCCAGTGGGACCGGGACTAAGGGGTTCAATAACAGCCATGGCGATGCAGAATATCCCCAATTCACCAAAATGTGATGGAGCAAAAGGGAAGCTCGACTACGCGAGAAGATGAAGAAGGAAAAAGAATGCGCCTTAGGGGAAATTGGTTTGTTACCACCAGTTTCCGTCTAGCGAAACTCTGGTCGGACAGGGACCGCGGAGGGGGAAGAGGCAGGGTCGCATTGGTCTTAAAGGCTGATCTGCATGCGGGTAACCGCCTCCCAACTCTGGGATAGCGTCCTCCCTATGCTGCACAGGACTGATAGTGGCTGCTAGCGTACAGGTCACCGGGGCACACAAACCTTGGGTAACTGCACACCATCAATTACAGAGCAAATATCGCGACCTCAGCCCTTTTGGCAATGATGCCACGCCCACGCGCCGTTGTGCCATAGCGGGTATCGCCTTGGCGGGCGCCCAATGGCAAGCCGTAGTAGATGCTATACAGGAGCTCCAGGATCCTTATTACAGCTCCGTTCGCATTCAATGCCTTGTTGCGTGCTGCCAAACGAGCAATTAGGGAGGGACCAATTAGGAAACCAGCGTCGACAAAAGGACCTGTACGAGCGGGGGCGCCCCAGCACCTAGAACTTGTTTGTACGGACGTTTGAACAAAATGTGGCGCCCGAGGCTACGGATCGGAACTTTTGCGAAGCAGCTAAGGCCCATGTGCACACAGCGACCCAATGGGGGCTGCGGGGGGTTGATCTCGCCATTGTCAGCGGGCTTTGCGCGAGCCTGGTATGCTATCCACAGCGGAGAAAAGTGTTTTATTGACGAAGAATGGCTCTTCTTGTTTACAAATACGAAACATAGGATCCAAGCAACGTTTCGTCGTTCTTTGATAACGATACACCGAGGATGATGATAGTTGGCGTTCTTGCGGCTTAGAAGCGGCTTGTTTTGCCGCACCGCCAAGAAGATTTACCATCGCGCCAGAGGGAACTAGCGGGTGGCGGTCGCATGCTACATTATTTCCGGCCGAACAGGACAATAATCACCCGGTCTATGCACGTAAACCTCTTTACCTGGAAGTCAGACGGAAAAGAAGAAGAAAATGATTACACATTGTCTTACAGGGCTGCTTTGGCAGTGATGCGCGCGATTAAAAAAAGACAAAAAAGCAATTACTAGGATTTCCCCCGCTTCTCCTCTGTGGGGTGACGCGACCGCTCTTTGTTTGTTTGCCTGTTTGCTGTAACCACATGGTCTAGTGTGATTTGATACGGAAGCATCCCGAGCGGCTCTTGCGCCTCGTCGCTGCAATGGACACTCCAGAGGGCTTCGCTAAATGGATCAAGAAGCTCAAGGTCAAGGCGACGGGCGTCCGGCCCGTCAGTCTCCCAGGCCGTGGCCTAGGGATGATAGCTACGCGTGATCTAAAGGTATAGTAGAAGATAGCGTTACATCAATACCAAAAAGAGAGACTTTGGGTTCTAACTTGTCTAGAAAGGCGAGGCTATCATGAAGATCCCGATATCCATCATCCACAGCCTGCATTCAGTTCCAGCAGATATCAAGGCCAAGCTAGGACCTGATATGAGTACGCATGGGCTTGTAGCAGCCCAGCTCACCTTTTTCGGCCCAGAATCTATAGGCTGGGTCAAGACGGTGCCGTCTTATGCCGAATTCGAGGAGGTCGTCCCCCTTCTGTGGCCCGATGAGCTCCAGCAGCTTCTGCCGCGAGAAGCACGCGATATCACATTGGACCAAAAGTCCCGGTTCGGCACGGATTGGGCCAGATTTCATGCCGCGTATCCCGACAGTCGGTATGAAGATTATATGGTGGGGTGGACGCTTGTCAATACGCGAGCATTTTACTACGAGACGCCTGATCTTCTGATGCTCCCATGGCACGACCGAGTCGCTCTACTGCCGGCTGCCGATCTTTTCAACCACACATCGTCCGGATGTACGGTCATGTTCTCGCCTGAATGCTATACAGTCACGACGGACAAAAAGTACAAGGCAGGCACGGAGGTTTGCACTTCGTATGGGGATCTCTCCAACGACTCTCTGATGGCAGAGTATGGCTTTGTATTAGACGACAATGAATGGGATAAGCTGTGCCTGGATGACGTTATTCTTCCGCGACTAAACGAGACACAAAGACTCGGTCTCAAGGCCAATGGGTATCTAGGAGAATACATGCTGCAGACGACGGGAACGAAGCGAAGCGCCAACGTATGGATTGCACTGCGTGTTCTCGTAGCGAAGCGTCCGCAGTGGAACAAGTATGTGAATGGGGAAGAAGACAGTGAGGGTACGCTTCAAAAGGCCAGTAAGTTGCTCATTGAGGTGCTAGAAGAGTATGCAGATCATGTCAACCGTGCTCAGCAGTCGGTGCAAGCATTGACGACAGGTCTAGAGCCGCAGCGGGAGTTGCTTCGCCAGCGATGGGCGCAGATAGAGATTCGAACCAGGCAAGCTCTAGAACAAGCGAGAGTTTCCGCAGCGGCATGATGACGGCACTTTGACTACGACAATGACGACGAGATACACGGTGTACCTGTACAAACATTAATACATTTACTTATACTTTCGAAGTGTTACAACTCAGACACGTGTCATTTTGGTTGTCTTTTGGATTCTTTTCATTCATTCATCGTTCAATGTCACGGCTTTAATGCGTACATTTGGACAGGAAGCAGTCCCTTTTCCTGCATGCCTCGCTGATTCTCCGCCCTCACTACTGTCAAGCCAGCCTGCGCAAAAAGCTGTCGGAACCTTTCGTCCGTCCTATGACCGGTTAGCAAACATATCATACAAACAAGTACAAAATACAAATCCGTATCACACATACCTTGTCACACTGCTATCCTCCTCGTCAAACATGTCGTCGTCCCTTGTGCTGCGGTTCTCCTTGACGAAGATGATACCCCCATCCGGTTTGATAGCCGTCTTACAGACCTCAAGATACCGGATCAGCTGTCCGTCATTCAGATAATTCAGACACCACTGAGTCCAGATGAAATCGTACACTACGCTCTCAGGCTTCCAGTCCTCCAACCCAACGTTGTAGACTGTGCGCACACCCTCAATTCCCTTGAGCCTATCGGTGAATTTGGCGACGGGCTCTATCACGTCGACATTTTCAGCGATGGGCAGTAGCAGATTCTTTGTGACTCGTCCAATACTTTTGAGATGACAACATATTAGCAACAGCCCGCATCAGAGGAACGTGAGATTGATACTTACCCTGCGCCGGCATCGACTACGCTGGTGACCGACTTACGGCCTCCCTTGGTGCCAATACCGAACCGAGCGAGGAACGTCCTTGAGCCTTGCAGATCGATGGCAGATACTGAGCTGAAGCCGCCGAGCATGCCGTTGACATCGGCATCGACCTTTTCCCAGTACTGCGCGCCGGCGCTGCCTTGGACCAGATGGTCATAGGTGCCGACCTGCGCGCAAGAGTCAGCTGCTGGAGCTTTCTCCTCGTCTCTATACGACATCGTGAGATGCAGCGCCTCTTGTTTCGCTACAGCTACGAGTTCTATCAAAGTGCCATTTGGCGATTCGTTGATGGGGAGTTTGCAGTATCATCACGTGATGGTATCCAAGCTCTACCGTTCTACATCTTTACCATGTTGAGTATATCGGGAGGAAATATTATAATTAATTCTGAATAGTTTTCAAGATCACAGGATACAACATTCGGTATGCTTTCTTCGTCTTGATCGCCATTGGCTGCTGTTGTTTGCTTGCCATTTCCTCATTGGGAGCCAGCATTAAAAACGGCACTACTTTTACTAATGCTAATGCTGATGCTTGTAACAGGCGTGAACCATGCGCTAACAGAGACCAAACGTTGCCACTGAACCATGCGCTAGGCGGGCAGGTTACTGCGCCCACTCAGCAGGCTTACACGCCATAACCTTTACCTTGCGCATGAAGCAATTGATTGCAGGGCTTGGGGAAACTGACGATTGCATAAGGTTGACCGCTGATTTGCTGGCAAGGGGAACAAAAATGTTGGGGAAGAAGAAAATAGAGAATTAATGGGCTCGTTTAGTTTTCTTTTTTTCTTTTTTTCTCTTTATTATTTTTCGGGCTGCCTTGAGCGCCCACGGGATGCTGCACCACACCACACCACCAAGTACAAGCCACATAGCAGGCAACCCTTGCCATTTATTACTTGAAACTTTTTGCACCAAGTGTGCATGTAATTTACCACGTGGTTCCGAACACGGCCGGTGCTTCTTCTAGAAAGAAAAGAAAAACAGCCGAAGTCTTCCGGCGATGGCTTTCTCAGGTTGCGCCAGCGCCAACGGGCTTTGAGGCGGGATGCAACATGCCTTTTGGTGCAAGGGTTCTCCTGTCCCCGGACGTTTTCGTTCTTTATTTTTTTTATTTTCAAATGGGAACTTGCTCACGAGATCAGCATCAGTACTTTTTTTTAGTTATTTTGTAAAAGTCTATCGCGACTTGTTTATCAAGCAACGTTTCCCGTCATTGGGGCAGGCACAGGCACATGCCCCGTGCAATATACAGCGCGTGCACGAGCCCTATTTCCCCGCGCTCCAGCACTCGGGACAGCTAACGGTTGCTAACTTAGCACCGCTGGGGAAGCGTCATGCCATGGCGCACCACTCAACTGCAGGACCATGAACCCTTTTACTTATTAAAAGTATTTTTTTTTCCGGTGGAAATTATTCCTCAAGTTCCGGGATGTCGCCGTGAATTCCCGCAGATAAAAGATAAGCCCTTGCCACTCCGATAAAAAGATAAGAAAAAAGAAGCGCCGTTGGGCGCACCGAGTGGCAGAAAGCCACCGCCGACCAGATTGGGGACCGAAAGCGTAGTATAACCACGGCAATACAAAACTTGCGGGATCCGGCGCCGGCGCCAGCGCTAGCCTCCGATACTACTGTAGAACTACCCCAGAAAAAGGCGGTTCGGAAAGAACATGACGTAGGACTAGTACAAAAACAAAGAAATATTTTATTTTACTTTATTTTAATAAACTTTGTTTATTTCGTTCTGTTTTATTTTATTTGAATATCCTTTCAAACGGCCGCCTCTTTCCACAGCGCGGAAAAGTAGCCGTCTTGCTTCTCAAGGAGCTCTTCTGGTCTCCCCAACTCTACAACCTGGCCCTTGTCCATGACGACAATCATGTCAAAGTCGGCTATTGTCTGTAACCGATGTGCCACGGCAATAACGGTGCTCTCTTGAAACTCCGTCTTGACTAGTTTCAGTATTCGCTCTTCGGTATTCTGATCGACAGAGCTCGTCATCTCGTCCACAACAACCAATTTACTGGGACGCAGGAGAGCCCGTGCTACTGCAAAGAGCTGCAACTGGCCTTGTGATAGACCCAAATCAGACAATTCTGCATTTATGCCACCTCGTTCGTTGATAAGCTCTAGTAAACCAACTTTCTCCAGTGCAGTGAAAATGGCTTCATCGGTGCTCCTGTCCATCGGGTCTAGGTTAGTACGGACGCTGCCAGGAACAGCGACGGCCTCTTGAGGCACAGGTGTAATTCTATCACGAATAACTTCTCGTGGCAGCGTGGTAACATTGACTCCATCTATATACATCTCTCCTGATGAAGGGTCGAGCATGCGGAACAAGGTCAAGAGCAGCGAAGACTTGCCACTGCCACTACGGCCACAAATGCCGACCTTGAAGCCGGCTGGAATAGAAAGTGTCACCTTGTCTAATGCTGGGGGCTTGCCTGGTGCATATGTCGCTGTAATATTGTCCATGGTAATGTGACCTGACTGCGGCCAGTTGCTCGCTGGTTGGACACTCTCTCCAGCCAAGTGTTCGCTGGGAGTGCCAGCCTCAAAGTTCTTACAGCGTGCAACGGCGCCAAGAGAAGTTTCGAGGCTTGTCCAATCGAGAATCAGCTGTGCTAGCTGGGTATTGAAGTTAAGAATGTTGAGAAGCGAGAGACCGACTGATCCAGCACTGGCCGTCCCATGGAGAGTCATGGCCAATGCAACGACAACTGTTGCAATAGCCGCGGTAGTCAAATCAAGAACAAGATTAAGCCATCGCTGAATACAAAGCATCAAATAATACGGCTTCTGGGAGCGGTCTAGTAACTGCAGACAAGCGGAATGCGAGCTGTGCTGCCATTTAAACGCTCGAATGGTCGTTACGCCGGAAATGGTCTCCTGGCAGTGCGTGAGAAGAGGCGCCTGGGCTTCAATATCCATGAACCGTAACTGTCGTGACGTTCGCAGATAAAACTTTTGCAAAAAGTACAAGAGGACAGCAGCAAAAGGCATCAAAATGCCTACGTAGCGAGCACCAATAGCAATCAAGACGGCGCTAGTGATGGAGATGTACACATCGTTTTGTGTATGCATCACGGCATCGGCAAGCTGGAGTTCGATCAGAGACATGTCGTTAGCGAACCGGTTTAGCGTCACTCCCGAATCGGTATTGACAAAGAATGAATAGGGTGCATTCATGACAGTATCGAGGAGCTGCTCATGAAGCTTCGACGACGAGCGCGGGACGGACCAGACGAGCATAACCCAAATCTGGGAGAAGAGGCAAACAATAGCAAGGCAAGCAATGAGGATGTATACTCCAATCCAGACGCCTAGAGGATGCTGTTTCAAGGCCTTTTCCTCAGACCACCATCGGACCCAAAGTTCCGGGAATCGGTTGGCAAAGGCATATGCGACAGCCGTAAAGACGATAATGGAGGAAAACTTCCAACCGATTGACTTTACATAGTATTTGTAAACTGCTGAGTCACCTGTTCGGCGGGCAAGCTCTTCAGACTCGTCGTTTTCGTCTTCCCTGGAAACAACAGGCTCGTAAAGGACAGGCTGCCTATTTTCATCTTGCTGTTTCTCTTGCTCGTCTTGGAGAGATTCTTTGTCGCGGTTAAATCGAAGGTTATGTACGTAGCCATCTTGAGCGTCGAGCTCCTGGAACGAGCCCTGCTCTTCAATACTACCCTTGTCATTGAGCGCCACAATGTGATCCGCGTAGTGGAGGTACTCTACGGCATGGGTTGCCATAATGACCGTTATACCATGCTTTTTGCAAACGCCATCTGGTCCAAGTACCTGTTTTACAACATGCTTTGCTGAGCGGGCGTCGAGGCCACTCAGAATATCGTCCAAAACCAGGAGGTTCTTTCGAGAATACAGAGCTCTCGCTAGCGATAGTCGTTGCTTTTGGCCACCACTCAGTGAGACGCCTTTATTACCGACCATGGTTTCCATTTCGGCTGGCAAGGCGGAAATGTCGCTAGCCAGGGCACATGCTTCCATTACTGTAGCGTACCAAGTATCGTCCCATTCGGATTCGCCCATGACAATGTCCTTAATGGACTTGTTTGGGAGCCATGCTTCCTGAGAACAGTATCCAATGCTTTGGCTAGACCGTTGGACCTGGCCATTGGTAGCTGGAATATCGCCCGTGATGGTACGTAAAAGTGTTGATTTGCCGCTTCCAACGGGACCAACAATCAATGTCAGTGTTGCAGGAGTGATGGTAGCAGAAACGCTGCGCAGGACGATTTTGTTGTCTTTTCCCAGACAAACCGTAACGTCCTTTAATTCCAACCCACCATGGCTGACAGATTTCTGCTGCTCTTGTAATTCGACAACACCGTCTGCAGTCAACAAAGACGAGCTCGAAGCATCGGAATCGCTTAAGACGAGTTTGCCTCCATCCAGTAGCAGAAAGGATTCAATGCGCTTGACACTAGCCAGGGCCGTGATAAGCGATGGCACAGCAAAGATGATTTCCTGAATTGGCTTTGTGAGGATAGAGATAAGAGACAGTGCGGTGAAGGCGATCGATGGTGTCAATGCCCTGCCTTGATGAATAAGAGCAAACATCATCAGCGTGAGTGCAGGCGCGACGTTGTCAGGGATGGCAGCAAAGGCGTTGCGGAAAGTAACAAACTTGCGATACTGCGCGTACTTGTTCAGCTCAGCCACGCGCAGCCCTTGGATACGATCTCGGAAATAGGAAGTTAATCCCAGCATCTTGAAGCCCTTGGGGCAGCCGAGAACAGCCGCTGTGTAGGATATGCGCTCTTGAATGGCTACTAGCCATCCTCTTTGCAAAGGAATCGACCGGCTCGAGTTGAGGAACGAGATGACAGTGATGATGAGCGAAAAGGCAACAGGTGCAACCGCAGCGACACCAATTTCTCGACTGAGAAGGTAAATGGCAACCGAAACCTCAAGCGGTACTGAGAAGAGGTCAACCAGTTGTTGCAGAGTCGTACAAATACGGTTCGCATCGTTGCTGATGAGCGTGAGCACTGCGCCGTCACTCAACTGTTCCGCAGAGAGACACAGACTCTTGGAATGAATGACGGAGATGAGTATAGCGCGGAGCTTGGTAGAGAATCTGTCAAACTGCCGCTTGCTAATTACATTGGTGAGGGCCATTCCAATATAGACGAGGGCAGCAGCACCAATCAAGCTATGACCAATGTCGACATTGCTATCATTTTTGCTTAACCAAGAGGTAACTTGGCGAATGAGGAGAGGCTGCGAGAGTCTGAAGGCGCTTAGAAACAGTCTTGGAGCGCCCATGGTGATGAGCTCAAGCCATAGTGCGCGGCGCAGGGTGGTTATCAGTGGCCGTTTGGACGATAGGGATCCTGCACAGACTGTGGTTAAATACAAAGACCCTTAGAACTGAAAGAATGAAGACTTACGTTGCCAGTGTTTGTTGAACTTGCGCTCGACCTTGTCCGACGATAAATCCTGGTCAATAGCCAAGAGGCCGTCCATGGATATGACGCTTCCATAGCCCTTGAGGAACAATGGTTTCAGCCACCACAACACAATACGATCGTAGAGATTGACAAGAGACTCGGGAGCATAAGAAGAGTATGGAGCCAGGAGGGATGACCGTTTGCTCCGCGCTTCGAGGTAGAAGACGACAACCTTGACGGCCAGAGCAGCTGTAAATAGCCCTGGCACGGGGGACGAATTGTGACGCAGCCATAAGCTTCGAGCTTGAGGAATTTCCAGAAGAATAGAGAAGAATATGTATGCATTGATGGTTGAGCTTGGCCGTGCAGATCGTGAATGCTCTATACTCGACAAGTACAGGAGCGCTAGCGAGGCAACAATGGCAATGACTGTAGAAGGCAGCGAAGTTCTAATGCAAAGCTCTGGTAATACGCTGTACGCGATGAGGAGTCCGAATTGGAGAGCAGCAAGAACTACAACGGCCAATTGCTTAAATGCTCGAATGCCCGTAGGCTGTGTTTTGACAGTCTGGCGCTGTAGTTGAAGGGTGCGTATTGGTAGCGACAGCAAGAAGAGGAGACATGGGGCAATCTGCAGCAGAGACTGTTCAAAGAGAAGGGTAAAATCCAATTTTTGACAATACTGCGGCCCGAATGAATTATCTGCATTCGCTGGACACGCCATTGCTGCTGAAGCAGGAAAGAGTTGTAGCGGGGAGCTACTGTAGATGAAAGAGGTGACTGTCAATGGGAGCTTGGTGGGGGATCAAAGACGGTGCAAGTGCAGATAGAGAGTGAGCAAGCTAACCAAGCAAAGCTAACAGCCAGGACGTAAATAAATATAGAAATGAAGCTTCCAAATAGCTGACGTTTGCAAATTCCAATTAGACCTGCGTTAACCAAGCGGTCAATTCAAGATAAAATTCGACGCGTACTACAGAGAGTTGTTTGTGTTTGCTTGCAGCAGACGTACGCGGCCTCTGACGCCATATCGGTGCTACAGCACGCTGTAGGCGCGCTGCCCCTCCCTGAAGCGCAGAGCCGCGCAAGCTTCAATTTTGCAACGTGCACTTACAATGTTAGTTCAAACCTAGGTAGCTACAACACTAAACCCACAGAAAGCCTTGTACAGAATGCACTGTAATATGTATTTGTCATTGGTTTTGTACTTTCCTCCGAAGCTACTGATGAACTTGCATTGGCCGCGATGGAATTCGTCATCGATTAGGTCAGTCTCCAAGCAATCAAACAATCAGGCTGTGGCCTTGTGCGCCAACCCCTCACTAACTAATGACGGTAGTGGCTCGCTATAACAAGCATTCCCTTTTACGTCAAATACTCATGCGATGTCACCATCAACTAAGCGATAGAAGATTGGACTTTGTGCCAATCAACACTTGACCTTAGTGCTCTACAGCTTGCCGACTGCACGCCACATCTAACCATGACTACCCCCGAGTATGTGTTAACACGCGAAACAATTACAAGGCTGACACGGTTAATACAAGGCATGTTCAAGGGCTGTCATTGCTATACCCGAATTTGAATGTCTCTCCCCAGACTCCTCCGGAGAGCACATGCTCTACATAGAGCGACAGTTCCATCCAAACAGCCACACGTCCACAGCAAAGCTGACTATACTACACCTTGAAAGCAATGCCACACATGTTATACATGACAGACCGCAGATACAGCAGGCGTTTTGGGTCCAAGGCGCGGACAGGCAAATTACCGTTCTGGAATCCAGGGAAGTTGACTTGACGCACGCCCTGGTTCTGCACCTAGATTCTGAATACATGTCTGCCACGATCCAGGTGATCGGAACCGTGCCTGGCCAGGCGACTGGCCTCGGCGCCGCAGCAGCACCCGACGGCAAGGTAGTACTGGCAGTGTCAGCCATGGCCACAGCCAACGGTGAATTGCATGACCCCAAGACGGCTCCCCAGCAGCGATCTTCCGGCCGCCTCTATCACAAGATGCCTGTGCGCGCACCCGAGTCCTGGATCACATCCCAAACCCTGGCCGTTTTCTGTCTTATCCTAGACTGCGACGCTGCGGACCCGCATCTCAGTGAGCCATTTAATGTGCTTGCCCAGACAGACTTGGAGTATAAGTCGTACGGCAGCATCCATCTTACCCAACAAGGGCTTGCGGTGGTCGCTGGGCCTCGCCAACCCAGCGTTGCCGAGGTCGGACTGGCTGCGGTCTACTATATTGGTATGCCCGCCATACTAGAGCGCAATCACGCAGCGAGACGAGAGATGAGTGTGCCTGGTTTGCACGGATACTCAAACTGCCCGCGGATTTCAGCCGACGGCCAACAACTGGTTTATCTGCAAAAGCCTGCGTCGTGGCTAGAGGACGAGGTAAGCCATTTAGTGGTCTGCAGCGGACTTGATACAAACCCGACGCTGTCGCATACCCAAATCTACCGAGACGAGATGTTTGAGCTGTTACTATCTCCTCTCACTGTGGATATTGCCGACGACGTGACCACGGTCTACTTTACTGCAGAAGATAGAGCCGAGATCCGGCTGTTTCGTGCTAGTGTCTCTGGCGCGGACAAGATCGCAGCAACGCCCCTGTCGCATGGATGGTCTATCGAAGCATTTTCATTGCTACCAGGCGAGCCAAGCTCGATTCTACTGGCTGCTAGTACTATCAACGTTCCTCGGCGCTGGGTAACTTTGAACCCGGCTAGCATGGCTACGCGTCTCATCTGCCAGGATACCAAGGAGAGCAGCGACGCACGGCTTGAGGAAACCACCTTTGAGTCGATCGAATGGGCGGGTGCCGACGATATTCCCGTCCAGGCGTGGCTCGTAAAGCCGCGAGACTTTGACGCCTCCAAGTCGTATCCTTTGCTGTATGTGATTCACGGCGGTCCCAATGCCGCCTTTAATAATGCCTGGGCGTCTGGTGCTTGGCGTAACTGGAACTTTGCCTTGTTTGCAGCGCAAGGCTACGTCGTCGTTGCCCCGAACGCGACTGGGTCGTCGGGATTTGGCCAAGACTACGGCCGACGTGTGCTCAACAGCTGGGGCGGCAGAGGCTACGTAGACCATGAAAAGGGCTTCGAGCACATTCGCGCTGATTTGCCGTTTGTAGATACAGACAGAGCCATTGCTCTCGGGACGAGCTACGGCGCGTACATGATGAACTGGTTTCAGGGACAGCCGCTGGGGCGCGAATTCAAGGCCATGGTGACGGAGAACGGCTTTGTCAACATGAAGGCATTTTATGTAAGTTTTAAATCCACTAGTCTTACTCTTTGGTACTGATCTTGGCGTGATAGACTGGCGACCTGGTCTGGTTCCAAGACCATGTCGGAGGCCCCATGTATGAAGATAGCAGCGGCTACGACAAGTTCAACCCGATTGACCATGTGGATAAATGGTCAACTCCTGCCCTTGTAATTGCAAACGAATTAGATTATCGAGTACCAGTTGTGGAGGGTATCGCCGTGTTTCAAATTCTTCAAGCAAAGGGGATCGAAAGCCAGCTTTTGAGCTTTCCTGATGAAGCACACATAACTGTAAAGCCCGAAAACAGGCTGTACTGGTGGCACGTAGTCTTGGAGTGGTGTGCTCGACATGCTAAGATGGAAGTTGAATAGCCCCTTCATATACACAGTCCGTATATATTAGTCAAGTATAGCAGCAAGTAATGGACGACATCAAGCGGCCACCGTTCTGATACAATAGAGCAGCAGTGACAACAACTAGAAATACATGAAACGGGCATGAATATTAATAAATACTATGTTAAATTGGTCACTGAGTAAACTATGCTATCTACACTATCTGCGGGAGTTACCTAATTGGTTGTATGTTCTTGGTCGAATGATTGGTGGACCGCAACCATGATCTAGTTACGTGGTCTACTATCAGCCCAACGTCATGAAGAAAGGATGCAAGATATGTAGACGGTCACACTTCGTGCGTGCAACACGAGACACATTAACTTGAAGTCAGTTAAGCACCGATTGTGCTAAAGCAGAGAACTCCAAGTCCTGCGAGCTCAAGAGTGCAGCATTTAGCTTCCTTGCCTTGATCGGCACAGGAACCGACAAAGTCTTCGGCATCATCATTTCCCTCACGTGCTATTGAATCAACATGTTAGCTAGACTTTTGTTTCAGGAAGAAGGAAAAACGTACGAGTAGAGCAGCTGAGATCAGCGACGCCAAGAATGTCCACGGAGCAGCAAGCCGGGACACTGTAGAGGATGTTTGGGCAGACACGACCGCTTGTTCGCGACTCAAGTGCACCAGTTTGCACCATTGTTGCGGTCTGAGCCTTGAGTCCGGGAAGAGCGGTAACGGACGCGGCGAGGAAGAGAACTGTAGTGGAGTACATTGTAAAAGGTAGAAGAAAGATTGGATCGAAGAGTTGGATGAGTGTTTCTAGAGTGTTTGGTAGATGTAGAAAGGTAGACGGTTTTTGGCGGGAGATCACAATATTTATAATAGACGGCCTTGCAGCTTTCTCAGTAACCTGGCCAGTTAGCGATACCTTACTTGATACTGTAGAATTTCTTTTGTTTCCTCCCTCGGCGTTGTAACTTCTCTCTACGCTCGCTGGATTCATAATACTGCAAGCAAACCTATCTGACCTTGATGTCTGCTATTGCTTTTCCTAAACGGTGACGGTAAAGACAGCAGTTGACGGTGAACATGCCTGTCTTAAACCCGCCACCGATAAAAAGCAAATAAAATGGTTCGCTATTGAACTTCGGCTCTAGGCAGCTCAATATGTGCTTTAACGAATTTATATTTAGATTGTTGCTATCAAAGGAAAACTTCATGATATATTATTAAGTTTATCATATTTAAAGTAAAATCAGAACAGATGGATCCATCTTAAATTTGTTATTATAGGATATAAACAGCTTGAACTAACAGTAATAGCAAGGGAGGCAATGTACTAGCCCAAATAACTTGTAACTGATTTGGATAACAGGCCCGCCGCCACAGTTAGCCAGCTCGCTTATTTTACTTATGTCACGAAAAATAGAAAATAAATTTCATTCATTACAGTAGCTAGGCCCTACAATCTTGGCGTAGCTTATAGGGTTATATCGTAGGGTACCTGGCGTAGCTGTGCTTTCGCCAGTCTTATCGTGCTATTACCGCACCGTCCTGTATCCGCTTTACGCGGTGAAACCATTGCGGTAAAGACTTGGTTTAGCCTCTTTACTAAATCCATTCGTCCCGAGGCACGGTGGAGGAGTTCGAGCAACGGTTCTGCCTCCCATTGGTTTGCTCGTCAGGGCCGTGGATGGTTCAGTCAACAATCCCAAGGGCCACTTCCCCACACAGTGACCGTAAACCGGCCACCAGAATGTTTCAACGCAGTAAGTGAATGCCATAACAAGCACAGCGAAGTACCGTCGTGGTACAGCTTTGCGCCGCATGATATCTTTAATACGCTTTTCTCAGTTCAAGAAAGATTTCCATATTAAGCAAGTGGGGTAACGAACATAATTAATACCAAGAGATAAGATCGAGTAATAACAAGCCAAGAAAAAACGGCCAATTACCGCCACGTCCCATTGCCATAGTAGATCGCTCAACAGTTAATTATAATCTGCAATGGCACTGGGCATTCATAGCCAGTATTGACTTGTTATACTAGCGTGCTTGAACAAGTTCTACCATAATATTATTTCAGCCAGAATATTGTCTGTGTAAATGTCGCTCCGGTCTCACGCTCTGGATCTCGACTTGTCCTCACGGCTCGTCCTCGTCAACTTAGTACAATAATCATCGTCGCAATACGGATTGTGCCCGTACGTTTCTCGCAATAAGCGCTAGCTTGCTCGCTTAAGTCGTAGTTTGGGGTAAAGGCCCGATATCGCCGTGCTCCATCTTCCTTCCTATTTAAGAAGCTTATTCCCAGATGATCTTCAGCCATAATTAATCGTAAACGGCAGGTACCCAAAACGACCAAAAGCCAAACCTGTGCACAATCCGCTTGATACTAAGCGGTAACGGAGATACGCATCTTCATGTAGTGATCGTGAGTCTCGGCAATTGAGGCGTTGTCCTCACTCTCCGGCACTCCGGCACGGACAGCCACTAATGAGGAACTTTTAGCGACGTCGCTAACGTACAAAAGCGCTGAAAAAGCTCTATGAAATGCCGGTGATGCCGGTTGTAGCCCATTCCCCAGGTTTACCACCTCCGTATTACATGCACGAAGACCTTCCTTCTTCATGTTCGGCAATGGTTATCCTGGGAGCTAGATGTGATCAGCGATGCTCGCTTACAAGAAAACACTTATTTTCAAATTTAACCGCAATAGTCTCCTTCTTATTACAGTATCATTTGAAACATAGGTTTAGTAGTATCTGTGCTGCTGCCATTGTGAGGACAGCAATGGCCAGCGAAGGTATTGTAGTATAAATTGAAGCTGGCATCCAGCTTTGTATTATTATTTTCTTGGTTTAATCACTCTTCACAGCTCCCAATTCACTAGGATCCCTTCTTCCACTCTTTTCATTGATATTTACGATGAACTCCCTCAAGCACTTGTTGGTCCTTGGTGCCATCACCACGGCCGCAGCCAAGCGCCATCATGCGTCTGCTAACGGAGACAGCAACTGGTGCGGCGCTGTGGAAAAGACCGCTGTTACCTACGTTGAAGGCACCTGGAAGGTTCCAAGTGCGAGCCTGCCACCCAATGGAGACTCAAGCTTGTTCTATGGCAACTCTCAGTGGGTTGGAATCGATGGTTACGGCAGTGACTGTGGCCTGTTTCAAGCCGGTACATCTAGCTATGTAAGTTTGACAACGGCTACACCCTTATACTACAATTGAATGAAAGCCGTAACAGTTGGCTAACTGTGAAATGTATAACTAGATTGACAACGGCCAAGTTAGCTACCATTCGTGGATGGAATGGTTCCCCAACGACAACATAGACCTCGACGTGGAGGGTGAGTGATGTGGCGACAAAAAGTATCCAACTCAATTCTATGCTAATCGAAAAATGCATCAGTTTCTCCTGGTGATGAAATCTACGTGGCAATCCAGGCCACATCCTCGACCGCCGGAACCGTGTACCTCGAAAACAAGACCACTGGGCGCTCAACCAACCAGAAACTCACCTCGACTCCCAAGCGGGCCCCTCTTTGCTTTGAGGCTGTTGAATGGATCCAAGAAGATAATGGCGTGCCTCAGAACCCTTACCCCCAAGTCGACACCTTCTCCATGACGGGATATGCCAAGGACAGCAATGGCAACGTTGTCCAGCTCAACGATAACGCCATTCAATTGAATGGTACTAGAAACGGCGTGCTTCAGTGTGTGCCCTCCATCAGCGGACACACGGTCACTTTCCAGTACGAGGGCTCTGGTTAAGCTGATTGCTTCGAACCACCATTCGGTCAATATCTTCCATTGATTTTGTGCCGAGACACCTCGTATATATCAGTTCTACGTTATATAATTCTATTTATAGTACATTTAAATTCTATTATATATACCCATATATCATAAAGTAACATTCCTTATAAGTTACAACCAGTCCTTCCGGTTGGAAGATGCGTGTGTCTGCAGCTATACCATGACCATGCACGCTGATAGCGGAAGACATCGGGATCGCAGGATTAGATTGGAAAACTACGCCAGTTGTGATTTGAAGTACTCAACGTTGGTATTTGTAGTAATGTCGCAATGTAGGCTACCATGTTTTCTCTAGTCTACTATCTCTGATCTTAGAGTGGTTATGTGTCTGAACTGCCGTTGAGTGTTTTGACGGCAAGCCTACCTGGCAGGCCAACAACAGTAACAATGTCCTGGTACGAGGGTGCAGTTAACGGTAGATTTCTAATACCACAATGGCAGCCTTTAGTCTTTGGCTCAGCTACATGGCTACGTATTCGAATGAGTGAGGCATGTTATGCTATCCATCCTTCTATCAAGAGCCAGCATTAAAGGGTGGCTACTCTCTACAAACACGAAAGGTACAGTCTTGAAATCCGATAGGCAAGTAAATCATACTCGAGACTAAATGCGACAGATGGCTCGCAAACTCTTCTGGTGTCCTGAATAGGAACCTATCGCTGCTTGTACTCCCAAAACGCAGCAGCGGACCGGATGTTAGACTTGTAGGAGTCTTTCAAGCACATCTAACGAAAGCTACCTACTGTAGCGACAGTACGTGCGAGGCGTCAGTCACTTGTCCATCCGACTTAGTACTGCTCTGTACGGGATGGGTATGAAACACAGCTTGATTTTCCACAAAAATTGAAATATAATATACGGTATTTTTTTTTGTAACATGTAGTGAAGGTGCGGGCGCCGCCGCAAGCCGTTCGCCGCTAAAGCCCGGCCCGAACCCGTCAAATGAACCGCTGGCGGCGGCGCTGTTTAGGGGGCTTGTTGCATTACGTACAGTGTCGCTTGTGGTGGCATCACACGAGACTGCGCCATCCGAAAATCCATGATTTTCATCCTTCGCTAAATTAAAGGTTTTACTTGTCTGCAGAGAGGACAATCAAACACGTCAGGGACCAGGTGCCCAAAATCCCAAGGAACCTTTGCTCACACACAGGCTGCAAGTAGGAAAAGGGTCTCGTGCTCGTCTCTCGCTACAAGATCCACGAGGCTGGTAACCAAGCAGCGTCGCGAGAAACACTGCAAGACGGGCTAGGCAGCCGTAAATATAGAAAAAGGGTCATGCTCACCCTCCAATACAAACCGTAATTAATAAATCATGCCACAGCGAGGCTGGCCACTCAGAAGTGCGAGAATCCAGCAGAGCTGTCTAGCGTGCCGCGGAGCTCCCGCGTTGCCCTGAAGGAGGCCCTTGTGACCCGGCCTGCCGCCCGCCATGACGTCGCTGTGATGCGCTCTAATTGGCTTCCTTTTATTCTTCTAGGCTGATGGATGCATGCATCCTGTAGAGAAAGACAGAGACCATGGCATCCCGTGGCCACGGCCCATCCGCCACAAAACGTGCCGCCACCCGTCCATGATTTGCCGCAATTAAAAAAGATGGAAAAGATAAGAATTTTCAAAAATAGGGCTTGCAAGTTTTATCTAGAGAATTCAGCTCTTGCGCTTTTCCGTTACCGAGCATACAGGGCCCCCTTCCCCAAGCCAGCCAATGCCCTGCCCATCAGCAGCCATGCGTTGAGAGTCCGCCACCCCTAAAGCACAGAAGAAGTCACACGCCCGGCGGATGATCCAGCGCCCCCAAAATGTATCCAGGGCTGTAAGCTGCTGCTCTTGCAGGAATTGCTGTGTTGTACATCCCGGGTCCGCTGAGCCGGCCGGAGATGGGCAGAAAAACCCTGTCTAGTTGTCTTTGCTCCGGCGCTGTCATTGGATACCGAGTAGGTCCATGATGCTGCTGGAGAGAGCTGTAAGTCACTTGGACGTGGAGGAGGGGGTGTGGTGTGCCTGGGATGGAGTTGGGGTAAAATAAATAAATAAAAGAATTGAATTGAATAATGGAATTAAATAATTCAATTTGGAATGAAAAGAAATGCATTTACCTTTAGATTTATTTTCTATTCCGTTTAAGCCATCGCCTCGGTTGTCGTCAGTTTCAGCCGCTCACTCTTTCACATCGCCATAGCTAAACACACTACTTACAGCATTACTCCATACAGTATCTATATGCATTGCTCCATTCAACATTTTCCCTCGATACGTAGACACTCTTGATGATTCCTTCTTCCTTTTATTGTTGTTGTTATTAAAGCAACACGCAATACCTGTATTTACAGCGGCCTCCGCCAACGTGTTCCTGTCCCGCAAAGCAAAAACCTGAAAATCTTTATACGCCACACAACAAAACAAGCCAGAAGAGGCACGCGCCACAACGTGCGTCATTGCCATGCAACTCCACGCACGCAACTCCTGCTTCATCAGCAGTGTAGCTACTCTGTTTGACAAGACGTCATGACTTCCGAGTAAGAGATTTCCCTCCCACTCGGCGTTATCAGTCCAGGTACAGCATTGCCGGCGGCATAGCTCTTCCAGCAATGCTGCCATGCGAACCCAGGGCCAGCCACCTGTCAAGCCTACCCAACAGCTCTAGCTTGAGGTGCATGCACTAACACGCAGCTAACGAGGCTGCGTAAAATTGGTGAGATTACAGTAAAGTGACTGAGCTTACAATATAACCGCTTCTCCGTATTTACACGCGTATTTTAGCTATGTTTCTATTACAAGTCTAAATTCATCTAGTCATTCTTTATATGTATATACACATATCTTTCAAATATTAGAGCAACTCCTCTTTCATATCAGTTAGAAAGAACATACACTGCTACCAGAGGACCGCCACCAACCTCGGCCAAAAGGCATTACAAAAGACAATCATCCGGTGATAGTACTGTAGGAATACACCACTACAAGGACAATTCCCACTAACCTATTTTGTAATATCCACGTCGAGCGCGCATGGCAGCACGTAGCCAATCCAATCCTGCCGCCCAGAATCCCAACAAAGTGAGGGCTGCAAAACAAACCAGCATATCAATAATCAACGCGACACGCGATTGCCAATGGCGCCCACGCTACACAGCACTCCTTGCAGCAAGCAAGCAATCAGCCTTCGTTTTCGCGATCGATGGGGGGTTCGCATGGTCTACAGCGTGACCAGACCAAGGCTAGCGAGCCAACAACGGACCTTGCCCAAACGGGACATGGTTGCCCAGATGTGGAAGGCTAGGCGGCTTCTCTGGGGGACGTGTCAGCGGACCATGTAACCGCACAGGTTGCGAGAGGGTGTCGAGGACTTTGCTGGCGCGTTTTTTTATTTCCATTTGTTTTTTTATTTTAAAAAATTGGAAAAAGAAAGAATATCAAGAGATTTTCATGACAAAGAGCTGATCAATTCTTTTTTAGCTCAATTCTGTACGGATCGACTGGTACATCGCAACAGTCTCTTCGTCATGATGCCAGTGCTAACGGCTATCTGTTGGTTGTGTATGTAGCCTTGTGACTACACACAATGACGGGACTGTCAGCACGGCTTTGACAAAACGGCTGCTATCAGTGTCTGTATTTCTGTCTCTCTATAAGCCCTGCCGTGCAATATCCCCTAAACATGGCACATGTAGCAGTGTACAACCTGATATCGGGAGGCGCACGCAGAGAGGGTATAGCTGTCGATTTGATATAGAAACGTGCGCGCGTGAACTGCATTCTTGGATCAAGCGATCTCTTTTCTGCACTGGGCCTCGGCTTCAAATGTTATTCCCATCGTACCATACAATATCCCATCTTCAAAACCCTCATGATGTTTCTACACACAAACACAATGCGGTACCGGTGACGCTTTGTTGACCCGAAAGCACCCGCGCGTGCGCTGGGCCGACAGCGGGGACCATTCCGCGACCTGCGATGGTTGCTTCCCCCGCCTTTCGGCGACCGGCGCAGTGGATGAATGGGCTGCCGCCGCCCAAAAACTCTCTTTACAGGGCAAAGCCGGGGAAACTCGCACTCCATTTCCGCTGAAGAAATTCCGAGACGGTTTTCAAATAAAATAAAAAAGCAAAAATGATCATTCTTGTTATAAATCGAAATCGATATAAAGACCCCCCTTTTTTCTTTCAATAACCTGCTCATATATAGGCCACAGGATCAAGGCCAAGCCTCTGTGTTCTCCGCGGGGCCGTCGTCAAGCGCGGCAACTGCCAAAAGACGGTGCGCCAGTGCCTGTAGCACATGGCCCTTCAGTGGGCTTTTAGCACCTGCAGCCAGTAGCACCTGGACGGAGAGCCGACCAACTGAATGCGACGAACAACCACCACCGCAGGACGCACTAACTAAGTACAGAAAAGATATGATGATAGATATATCGAAGCATTTCCGAGATGCGAGCCAAGGCCACAAAATAAAAGTAAATAAAAAAAGTAAATTCAATAGTGAGTATTAATCAGAATAATCCGATTCGCTTTCTCATCCAATCGCAAGCAGCCCTCGAACCACCTCACGCGGGGAAGTTTCCCATCCTGCCCATCCTGGCAAACTCTAAATACGCTGCGGGCCTTAGAATTAGACAGCGCATCGACTTTCTTTCTAGAGTTTGATACGGAGGCCCCAAAAGAACGCATCCAGCATGGTCATTCTGACATGTCGCATGCTTTGCGCGCCTACAAAAACCCAATCTACATAAACAGGCTGCAGTTGCAGTTGCAGCTCAGAGAGACACCGTCGATAGCCATAAACCCAGGTCCGCCGCCACCTACTGTCAAACAGAATAAAAGAAATTCTTTGTAAAAGAAAACGTAAAAGAACCTCAGTGCCTTCCCGATCCAGATATCCTGCGTGCATGCTCATGCCCATGACCAAAAGGACCCTTGTTGATTGTCCGCAGCCTGTGCGCCTCCCCTAAGCGGCCCTTTTTCCCCTCTGTGGCGGCGCTGCAAATCCCGCACGCCCGCAAATTTGCACATCACGCGGCCTCTCACGCCCAACGTTTTCGGCGCAAGCCAACCGCGCTGAGGAGAGAGCATGTGCTCGCTTGCCGCAAAAGAAGCAAATCTAAAAACATAAACAAAAACAAAAAAGAACAAAAAAAAGCTTACAAGTCATTCAGTCATTCATTCATGCACATGATAATTAAAAGGGACATTAAAAGTGATTTTTTAACATTTGTTTTTGCATTTCTTTCTATTCTCTACCGGCACCAAGCCTAAGCTTTGGCGTCCGTCTTCTATGCCATTAAAATCGTCCTTTTTCTTCCTCCAGTCGAGGGCTAGTAACAAAAATAAAGGGAACGGATGCGCTGTGAAGGCAGTTCCTCTTTCAGGGTTGCCCCTTTGTCATATCTTTCTCCTGCTGAGCAGGCTGTGTGCTCGACTGTCACTCTTGATGGAAAACGTAAGGCTCCAAATGAGCCTTTGCAAAAATAAAAAAAACCCTGGTATCTTTCAAAAAAAAGACAAAACGCCTTGCCGAATGCGCAAGAAACAAAAGGTCGTTAAAATAAAAGTCAAACAAAAGAACCGGCTGTCGGCGCCATGCAGCGAGCCCCGCGTGGTAAATTAAGGGCAGGCTGCAGTGGCTGATGCGGGTTGAAATGCAACGCTCGAATATACAATGCTGAGCTTTTGTGGTCGTGTGGGTATCAAAGTACAAGTGTGTGTATGTATATGTGTGAAGTGCGGGTGTATGTGAAGAGTGTCGACATAGGTAATTTACCAGCCCTTGGAGTGGTAGCCGTTGAGGGCATCGCGGTTAAGGTACTGGTTCCAGCTACCGGCGTTGGCATCCTCAGTCTCCTTCATGCAAGGCTTGTCGGGGAACTGCTTCAGGTTGGCGACATCATGCGAAGTATGGCGTCTCTTAAGAACCGCGTTCGCTGTAGATGTCTTCTGCTGGCGCTCCCAGAGAAGGTGTCGGCGGAGAGACTCGGTGAGCTCCGTGGCGAGCATGTTGCGGCGGGTTGTGCGGGGAGAGAAGGCAGCCTGGGCGTGAGCGTAGTTGGGAGCGGGAGCAGCGATGGGCTGAGCCGAAGATCGAGGAATCTCGCTGATGGGGTTGAGCATTGGCTGGCGCATACCCTTCATCATAAGAGGGCCTTCGTCAGAGTCGTTGGGCGAGGCGCCCAGGGCGACTCCGTGAGGAGCGGTGCGAGATCGAGGAAGGGCCGAAGTCGACTGCGAGGCGAGGTTGCTAAGATTCTTGACACGCTCGTTCTGGGCAAGCATCAAGGTGATAAGCGAGGGGCGTGAGGCAAGGTTAGCCTTAGACTCAACGCGCTGGAAGAACTTCTCATCAACGCTCGACTTGTTGCTGGTGCTCTCCTCAAAGGAGTCCTCCCAGTCAGAAGAGTCTTCGTCGTCGTCAATGGCGCTCTCGTCAATATCTTCGCCTTCAGTGTCGGAGTCGATGGCAGTCTCGTTGGTGTCGACGCGGGGAAGGACCATGCGAGGAGGAGCAAGCTTCTTCTCCTTGACAGGCAGGTGAGGAATAGAGCCCTGTAGCGAGGCATCATCCTCAGAAGAGCCGCCAATGTGGAAAACAGACTTCTTGTAGACGTTGGGAGGGTTGGAGCGAAGACCGTCGACGCTGTGGCTCTGTTCGCTCGAGGAGCACGATCCACCTAGAGCAAATTGCGCGGGCTTCTTAGGAGCAACGGGCTTGGCAGCAGGCGAGGACTTGGGCTCAGGAATAGAGTCGTTGGAGGCGGCATCGATAGGCTGCGGGTAGGCAACGGGGACAGGAATCTGCGACATCTCGGGGGCGCGGGTAGAGCCAACGGGATGGGGGATAGGCATAGCGGATTCTGTCTCCTCGGGGCCTTCGGTATCAGACTCGACGGCAATGTCGTCAGCCTGCTCCTCAGGGATAGACAACTGCTTCATCTGGGAGGCAATGGGAGAGATGGAGGAGGGTGCGGAGAGAGGAGTCTTGTCCTGGACAATGGAGACAACCATCTTCTCAAAGTCGTCGGAGCTGATGTGACGGTCGCGGCGGCTGCGGTTGCTAGTGGTAGAGTCGAGGCGGTGGATTCTAGGGCGGCAGATGTCCAGAGGTGTAACGTCACCGGCTTCCTCTTCGATGAGGGAGTCGACGCTGCCGGAGAGGTAAGGTATCGAGTCGTGGAGGTTGGACTCTTGCTGTGGTTGTTGGCTTTGGTCCTTGTTGACAAGCTGCTCTCGTTGCCAGAGACGCCAGCTAAGGTTTTCTAATCTGCGGCCTTGTTCTACAGAGTCTGCACAGCGGGAAAAGACTGCACATCCATAGTTAGTAGGCTGCGTGTAGTGAAACCGCGCACAACTTACCCGTCCACATGCTATAGAGGTTGGCGGGGTTTGCGGTGTCGACCTTGTGGATTATATTCGTATCCACGGTCAGTACGTGTGTGTCTAGGCGGTAAGGCATTTTATGCTCAGGCGAGATGCTCGAGCGATGCGAGCGGGCGTGTGGTTCGGTAGGAGAGGCCAGAGCAGTAGGTGAAGCGAAGACGGTGGTATATCAATGACGGGGCTGAAGTCGATGCTTGTAGTAAAGCACCAATCGTCGCCAAAGTGGAAATAGAGCGGTAGTCCTTGAGGATGTTTTTGTCTAATACGAGTAGTTGTAGAAGAGCGGGCGGTGTGGTTGTTGAGAGTGATGCGAAGAAGAGGTGAAGTGGTGGTGATGGTGGGTGTGGCAAAGGTGGTGTTTGCCTTTTGGTGGTAGTAGTCGACTTTTGTTTTGGCGGGGGTGAGGGCGAACGCAAAGGTGACGAGCTTTTGGTGATCAACTTTTGATCTTTTTGGAGGAGACGAGTCCGGGGGAAGCGTGGTAGTTTTAATTCTGTCGGGGAGACAGCAGGTAAGATGCTGGGGGTGGGATGAGGAGAGAGAAACGAGGCCAGGCGTACTCTTATCTGACCCAAAACGAGGGCACGGGCAAGAACCGGGGGTGGTGGAGGGCACCTAAACTGGTACGCTCGGGGTGCGTGGGGAGTGGCCCATAAGAAAAAAAAGAATAATCACACTCAAGCCAATGCTACAGGGGGGCAAGAAAGGGATTTTGCAGTGGAGGGAGAGCCAGCCAGCTGACCCGGAGGGCAAAGCTAAACCTAAAATGGCAGTACCTTAGTTTTCTCACCAACAAAACACTTCCCTTTGTCGCCTAGCGCCCCCAAACCGCGCTAGTCCTATCTGGGGACCCTCTTCCAAATTCGCTATTCCAGTGGACGGGGTCCAGCCCTGCGGTCCAGAGTGCTGGCAATGCTACCATGTGATGGGCTATGGGCTCTGTGCTGGCTGCGTCTCCTCTCCCAGGGCTCCGTTTTGGCCTCTCCCGAGGCTGCCCGACACCCTCTGTAGGTGAACCGAGCCCAATTGCCTTTCCAGGGATTGTCAGCCCCATACAATTGCACGGCTTTTGGCAGGTCAGGTCGCCCCAAAACACCGGGTTCCGCGCACTGCTGGGTGCTGTGAGCGCGCCCCAGCAGAAGAAAATTTGGTGCAGTCACGCGCAGTGTGTACCACCACCAGCACCGCCGCCCGTCGCTGAAAACGGTGCTCAAAACGGAAACCCCTAGTTTAGCCTCCGTTCCAGCACCACCAAGGCACAAGCTGTTTGCGCGCGCGCCGCGCTGTAACAAACAAGCAAGGCGAAGCAACAGCATTGCTGTTCATTTCGCGATTGCATTACAAGACAAACAATGGTCCCCCCTTCAAAGGAAATCCCATGATCATCGCCAGGTACATGTAACAACAGAGCGTGACGGACGTGTTCCTTATTTTATTTTAATATTAACCGCGAAATGCCCAATCGTCGGTCTACAACTCGTCACAACACGGCAACATCGGTGACGCTGAATTGGGCAACCGCCGTGCCTGAAATCACCACTGCGCATCAGCAGGGATCGCTAAACGACGAGTAGCCTGACGGACTGGCTGACTTCTGCTACTGGCTCAGCGCCTAACACGCAAGCAATGCACCCTGAAGCCACGCTGCTTGCGCCCCCGCCTCCTGCTGTATGAAGGGCCTGTAGTCTTAATATAGCCATGTTTTGCAGGTGACCGCGCAAAGGGACTCCAGGAGTGGACGTCTAACCGCTGGGTCAGTGTGATGGAGGGGGAGCCAGGGAATGCTGGCAACGTACACGTCAATAGTCATTCGCACGTTTCTGTTTGACGCCGGACACAACATCGAAAAATCGTGGTGAAAATAATACGAATATTTTTCGAGTGTCAGCAGAACGGTACCTGATCTTTCTCGCTACTGCTACGTATTCTTCTCTTGACGCTGTATGCGCCGTGTCTCTGATGCAGATCGGGGACGGACCCTGCGCCTGACCTAAGCCCTTGGGCTACGTAGCAGATCAGGTTCCCTCCTGCTAACCTGTTACCTATGCACGAAACGATCATGAGGCCGTGGCCAGAGCTCGTTGCTGCTTCTTTCTCACGCACTCACACAAGTAACCAAGCAAGCAACGGGCGCCAAGGCAGCAGTAGCAGTAGCATCAGTTTGCATCCCTTTCATCTCCCTGTCTCATGAGGCCAATAGGCACCAACCGGTGAACCAAGACTACAGTTCCGGATGGCTTGACGCCCAAAAGATGCAGAAGTAACGGTACAGCATACATACGTCCAGCGGACATCTACGATCAAGAGCCCATTCCATACCGCCGGCGCAGGGCAAGATATGGCGTTGTGATTCGCTATGCAAGTACATTAGGACGATGTCAGCTGCAGCCCAACGAAACGTCTCTACTATGCGCCTACATTCTTTGTTGCTGTACCTGCGTACATATGAGTATGATGATTATACTGTAATATAAATATTCCCTATTTTTTTTTTCTATAGAGGACTCCGGCAAAGCCTTGCTCGCTAGCCCACGGGGAATGCTTCCAACGGGCGTCCTTTTGGCCCCCTTCCGCCCGCCCATGGGGCCGTCCCTCGTCCCCCGCAAAACCCGTTACCCCCAGAACCACAGACCACTGCCAATAGAGTAAACACAGACCACCTCAGCGCGTCAGCAGGTCATAAGGCCCCTGTAGCGGGCGGGTGTCAGACACGCTCAGCGCCTGCAGCACCAAAAACGGCTTGCCAGCACACCGGCGCTGATGGTGGTGCACATGATCGGTTTTTGCGCGAGGGCGCTTGGACAGGCCGCTGGGACCAGCGAGTTACAGGGGCAAAACAGGGCCCTGGATGCTGTAACGGGTGGCCACCTGTTGCTCTTTGCCTGTCCATCCAGTCAGCGTGCGCGATCAGCAGCCAGGTGAATCATGACAGTCATTCTTTGGGGATTTATTGGCCGCCCCATGTTTCGCCGGTGCCTGGCTGTGACGATGCGATTTCGGTTACAGAGTGAAGCGAATAAGGGGGAGGAGTAGGGGACCATCCATCCCATATTGCATCTTTCACAGCGGGCGCTTGTTTGGCTGCCACATGATGATGCTGCTGGGCGAACGACACGGCTTGCAATTAAAGCAACAGAGTGTGCAAGTACGAAGTACGAGCTAAGCAACAATAGATACCCGTCATATCACACTGGTAATTCCATTCCTAGCGCACTTTTTGGTAGGGCCCTGCTTAGGCCGGCACCAACGGAAGCTGAGCCGGCGCAGGGTGGCCCACGCCGCTGCTCAGCCCATCACAGCCCGTCGATTCCCCACGACTTGTTGCCTCACTTCCGCGGGCGATTGTTGTCGCGCGGGTTCACGACGGCACATTGAGGGCCATTGGCGCGTTGCAAGACGCCAATTCATCTAACGAGTGCACTGGCAACCCAGTGTTCTTGAAGATATCACAATAGCACAATTTCCCAGGCCGCTGTATTTGCCATCCGTAAATGCCCAGACCGTATGCTAAACCGCCAGCCTGGCTATTATGTAAAGGTGGCAGAGGCCACCCGAGTCGTGAGCAAAGATGTAACGTGCCTCTGGGGGAGGGGCGCAGAGTCAGTCAGTCAGCCAGCCACACCGGGCAGACTCGAAAGCGGTGCCTGTTACGGAGCAAGGGGACCGATACGGTTTCCTAAATAGGATGCCGTTTCCCTTTCCGTTGTCCACCCACCCGCGTCCATTTTGGGTAGTCTAGAGCCAGGCACCGTACCGTGTGTTACACAGCATTCGAGAGGGTTGACAGCCAGAGCTGAAGTGCGACTGAATACGGGCAGACCCTGCATATCATGGGGAGGATTTTGCATGACGCATGCAGTTAATATCGCCAAAGAAAAAGAGTAATGTGATAGATTTTTATCAACATATAAAATAAATTAGCTCAGCTTGAAATAATGTTAATAATTATAAAACAGCAGCAGCCGAGACCTGATCGGCCAGCGACGGCCGTCATCCTTTTAGCAGAGATGAGCAGCGAAATGTGCAGCATGTTTTGCGGGCCAGCAAGGCTTGTTTCCCCAATCGATATCTGACAACCAGTAGCTATTCAATCACGCCTCTGACCAAAAAAGCATATTGCTGGCCAGCGCCACTGGGCCGGCCGAGCAACATGCCGGCCCTGATGCTGCTGCAAGACATTGGTCGACAGCCCGCCCCAGCGATCGCTGCTTCGTCACCTAAATTTACAGGGCGTGCCACCGCAGGGCTTCAGGCGGTGCAGCTGCCCCTGTGGCGCGCTGCAGCAGAGCAGTGCAGGTCTTGTTGCCTCTCCCCAGCGAAGCGTTTTCGCGGGAACGGCCCGTCTGTACAGCGGAAGGGCCGTTTTGGTTTTGCTTTTTTAGCGACCAATTTCGGGCGAGAAAGCATGAAACCAAAAATGAAGAGTATTATACAATAAAATAGTACACCCCCTCCCTCTTTATGATAGAATTTAGAAAATTACAAGCATTGTATTTTTAATTATTTAATTCACCAGTCAGCGTTATTTTGATTTATTTCATTTCTTGTCACGTTTGTTTCGCCCACCGGTAGCAACGGCTCCCGGAAGGATCTGCCCCAAAGTGACGGGTCCAGCGCCTTCATACCAGCCGTTGCAGCGCCTCTGCCCACTGAGCTGGCCACGCATGCTCTCTCGCCACGCCTGTCTTGCCATGCTATCTTTTTGTATTTTCTGCGCATCAGATGATGCGGTGCATGACTGGCTCAGAAATGGGGAAAGACGAAAATTATCGGTCGCAGATCCTCTCTTTTGCATCGAATGTGGCTTGACTGACGCCAGCAAGCACACCCAGCGCACCGGGAGACTAACCAAACTCCTGGACCCTGAACCCAGATCTGCCGGGGCAAACCCGCCTAACATGAGCATGACACCACCACCACCACCAAGTGAGCAAACATGGTAGTGGTGGTGGTGCATGTGCCTGGGGACGGGTGAGAAATCACAAGTGGCAACCGTATTTTACATGTGTGTGTCTGCTTACCTACCGAACAAGATGAGGATGCTGTTTACGAAGCTGGCTTACATCGACGACCTAGGGTCTCGCAACAATACACAGATGGAGACTAGCTTGTTTAATGGGGTTCATCCAATATATGGGAATTGAAATATGCCCTTTGATCAGAATTCGAGGTTCAACAGCTTCCAAGATCGAGGATTTGGTGGACAATCGGTTCCAAGAAAGCGAGGGAGATGGGCGGCCGGGGAGGAGCTAACTAACCGTTTGAGTAAAAGCCGTAGGCGAAAAAGAAACATAATATCAGAGCTCCAGAGAAAAGAAATGTAGAGGGGAAAATATGCAGGAAAAGAAACAAGCGCACGCCAGCAGTGCGGGAACCCAGAGCACTGGAACGGGTTTCAGTATAAAGCTGCGGTTATCATATATGACAGATGAAGAAAGACATGGGCCGGGAGAGATTCCCCGCGAACCGGTGCCACGGAATCACGAACGCTTGGTAGCGCGTAAAGGTGTCTTTCTTTTTTTC